TTTTTTAAATTAAGAAGTAGGCCATATTGAACTAGGTGTAGTACCTTAGAAGCCAAAAAAATTAAAGAAACGAACTTTCCTCGACACAAAAACCATTCTTTCTCGTTGCTGCAAATAGCTAGGTTTCAAATGTACAAAAAAAATTGAAAATAACTTAACAAACAGAAGGGGCAAAATATAACAAAGAATCCAACTAGGGTTTGATTATAAATCACAAAACAAAAAATGAGTAACGTACTGAATAAGTTGTGTCGATTAATTCAGCGTCTTCAAAGCAAATAAACTTTCAAAAATTCAGAAAACAGAAAACAAAACCGTACTCAGCCTTGGTCAACAAAATAGAATTACACACAAAGAATCTTTCAATTTCACCTAGAGTGAGGAGATGGTCGCCGCTCTTCTATAATTCCAGGCATAGGAATCACGAGTGTGGTCAGATCATAAAGGGAGACTAGGACCACTGCTCCCGATAAGCATTAAACTTTTCAGCTGTTCCTAAATTTATATCGGATGCTAGGGTAGAAACAGGAGTAAAATCAAAGAAAATAAAACAAAATACACACACATGTAAGCGTTTAAAATCATAAACTCACTTTCGTCTCTTTGCGGTATCATATTGATTCAAAAGTAGCACCTGATAATATAAGATTAGATATAATATTAATCCAGGAAGTTGCACCATGATTAATTAAAAATAAAGTTACCAAATAAATCAAGAACACCCACCATATTTAATTCAGATGGTAAGTTACCCAAATTAATAAATGAAAAAGTACATATTAAATCTAAGAAGTATAGCACCATATATTAAAGAGTCCTATACCAGAATAGTAGCAGCCATATTAATTCAGAAAAGTAGCACACATTATTAATTAAGATAAGTCAAAATCTGCACATTAAAATAAGCCATCAGTTACAGCATAGATCAATAGTTATAAAAGAAGTTCCTAATCAATCTATGACTATTAATCAAGTAGCACATTATGTAGAAGACACCAATATTAATTCAGAAATAGCACCAATGATTTAATTCAGAAGTGACACATATTAATTAAGAAGAAGTACCAATAATCAATCCACGAAAAAAGCACCATAATTTAAATCAAAACTATCACCAATAAATCAGACACAATAAATTAATTAAGAAAGAAGTACCAATCAACGCCAGATAATAGCCCACTCATTTAAATTCAGCAAAAAGTAGAAACCCATAATAATAATTAAGAAGAAAGACTATCCATGAACATGCCCATATCAGATGCCAAAATTAAAGACACCATAATTAATTCAGAAAGATAGCCCGACATTTCGATCCAGAAATAGCACCGATATTAATTGCAAGAAGTAGCCACCCAATCTAATTAAGGAAAAGTTACCATATCAAATCCAGTAAATAGCACCATATTAGATTCAGGAAGTATAGCACCTATTAATTAAGAAGAAGTACCATATCAATCCCAGAAATAGCCACCATATATTACAGAAGATGAGCACCATATTAGTAATTAAGAAGAAAGTACCATATTACAATCACGAAAAAGGCACCATATTAGTAATTCAGGAAGTAGAGACGCCATATTACATTAAAGAAGCACATATCAGTCACCATATCAATGCCAGAAGCCCTTAATAGAAGCCCATATTAATTCAGAAGTAGCACCATATCCTAATTAAAGAAGCTTGCTGATCATTACCGAAATACTACCATAGTATGAGTGATGCGAGTGGCACCATATTAATTAAAAGAAGTTACATATCAATCCAGAAATTAGCACCATATTAATTCAGAAGTAGCACCTTATTAATTAAGAAGAAGTACCATATTCAATCCAGAGAATAGGCACCATTATTAATTCAGAGGTGAGCACACCATATAATTAAGAAGAAGACCATATCAATCCAGAAATAGCCCCATATTAATCAAGAAATAGCCCCATATTAATTCAGAAGAAGTACCATATCAATCCAGAAATAGCACCATATTAATTCAGAAGTAGCACCATATTAATTAAGAAGAAGTCCCATATCAATCCAGAAATAGCCCCATATTAATCAAGAAATAGCCCCATATTAATTCAGAAGAAGTACCATATCAATCCAGAAATAGCACCATATTAATTCAGAAGTAGCACCATATTAATTAAGAAGAAGTACCATATCAATCCAGAAATAGCACCATATTAATTCAGAAGTAGCACCATATTAATTAAGAAGAAGTACCATATCAATCCAGAAAAAGCACCATATTAGTTAAGAAGTAGCGCCATATTAATTCAAAAGTAGCACCATATCAATCCAGAAATAGCACCATATCAATCCAGAAATAGCCCCATATTAATCAAGAAATAGCCCCATATTAATTCAGAAGTAGCACCATATCAATGCCTTGCTGCCTTGCATTTACAATACTTATGAAAGTAGTTGAGTGCACTTTCATGAGATATGTTTTGTCTTCGTGCACAAACGAATTTTATCAAGTTGGGAAGATGCTGCAGATCGTTAAAATTGGTATATTGGTCTAGCGAATATTGGAATAACTCCACAAAGAGAATAGTCGAGCAATAGTTAAATGCGGTTATGAAGTGACAGAGCTAATAAATGTTGTTTAATTTTCTACGATCGGCAGCTACTTGCGTGAAAAAATAGTTATACATTATGAATAAAAAGAAAAAACAACTCAAATATCAATTAGCCTTCTGTTTACGCACCTTGGCATGTTTACGTTGCATTAGCCGTTCATTACACAGCTTATAACACAAGTGACACCATAAAAACATAATGAAGTGGTTGTTAGTGGGAGGAAAAATGGCTACAATTTACCTTCTGCTTCTTCTTGCATGTGCATATCCATTTGCAGACGGTTTCTGCATTCATATTGTGTGTGTTGAGACATTCAAGCCATGGGCTCCACAGATTGCGCACGACAAATGTGGAGTTCAAATAGCAAAGTCGGTCACTACAGTTCACACATACACCAAGCCACATTCTTGTCCGGCCAACGTTTACTGTAAAGGAAAGCACAAAGCACGATTTGCATGTGAGTTCCATTTCCACATCTACTTGTTCACTTAAAGATTGGGACGCTACCACATATTACTCTCATTTGTAGCAGCAAATATCATCATTAAATGCTGAATAGGTCACCAAGCAGGGATCATTGGTCAATTTTGATGAAACCCTGTGTTAACACGTTAAATATCCGCTCTTTATTACTAGCAAGCGAACAAATTTCTTAATTAGTAGGCTGGTTAGATTGTCTCAGTGTAACTGCTCAATTGTGAGTAAAACAGCAGAAAATAATTAAGCTTTACATGTTTTAAGATTACTAGAGGTAGGAATTAATACAAATAGATTTTCTAGTTAGCTGTTTCTCTCGGTGAGCAAAATTGTCTTTGCCTTGTCCAAAAATCTACAACATAGGAAACCTCTAATCTAGCCTTGTTCTTGTTTTGTTGGAAACTGAATACTTATGAGATCATCTAGATAACCAAGAATGCAGGCTGTAAAATTTCAAAAATTTGGGTCTGTTTAAAAAGAGGGAGGTTAACCCTAGAAATAATGTTTTCCTACCACCCGAGTCAGCGATAACTGGCATCTACAAGCAGAATTTTACAGCTTGGGTAGCCCGACAGTCGGGTAAATTTTTCAGATTGTCACATAGACTGTAAATTGCATTGTAAAGTTGACGTTCGCAGCAGTGTTAGCTCTGCTAGGTCGTTTACAATGGGAAAAACTGATCGGGGGGGGGGGGGGGCTACTTCTGACCTGGGTTGCCCTAAAGGTAGAGTAAACCTGGCGTGCTTGTAAATGCAGTTATCAAAATTTGAAGAAATGTACTGTAACTCAGCCCTACTGCAATAAACCTTACACTTGGGTACTCTTGCAGTAGGTCTGTTTATCCACCTCATAAAAATCCCCGATAGGCTGTGGCCTGACGTGTTGACTTGAACATTGACTTTCATCTAAACAGGCAGTTGCAAGGAGCTACAGGATTGCCAATGGGCGTCTTGGGAAGCCTGGACCGGAACCTTGCGTGACAGGGCATGTGTACAGCAGAGACGAACAAGAAGGGCAACTCCAGTTACCATATACAAAGAATTTGTAGGTGGCTGTGGCAACGTTCCGAGCACTTGCCCTAGAAATCAAGACAGTGAAGATAGAACAATATGTAAGTTTGATGCTAAAAAACAAGAACTTATAACTTACCTATAAATATAAATTTTCTGAATCTGGTTTTGTAGGCTCGTTGACGAATTTCATGTAATCTTTCCGTAAAGCCCATTCTAGGTCCATCTAATGTTTCGCTGATGTAGGGTCTCAATGGAAATGGAATTTTGATAACAAACCAAAGAAGTGAATTTTCCTAAAATAATTTTAATTGAAAATCTAATGGTTTAATAAACGATTTCTTTTCGGTACCATCAAATGCAGTGATATGTGATTTGCGTCCAGGCAGGTGCAGAAAGGCTGAAAGATGTGAGCTTCACCCGTGGACAGCTTGGGCAGGACATGTCCCAGATGGCCGCTGTGAAAGACAAACTTGCACACAACCAGTTACTCCGCATTACAAATACGAGGAAAAACCTGATAACTGCAGTAGTGTTAATCCAGACTGTCCTCAACCACGAAACAGGGAACGGATATCATGCAAGTTGGCTTTTTTAGGAGTATCGTTTTCACTATTATGGACACTTTATCATTTGTCACTATAATAAAATGTAGCATATCTTGCAATAAAGCTTGCAACTATGTCCTAAGGCACACATTTGCTTATTTCCATATGTTCTTGACACAAATAATCAGAGAAATACTGCCTTAATTTCGGGCAAAATCACTAATGGATCGTCTATGTAGTAACGCGATTTGATAGCATTAAAATATTTTATGGTCTTTTTCTTAACTTCCATTATTGTAAATACATTTCAGAATTACGTTCTCCCTTTTCCAGTGAAGTTAAAAATATTTATCTTAAAATAAGAACAATTTCACAGAACTGCAAATAAAATAGTCTATCATTCCCTTAGGCCGTTGCCCGACCAAGGATTGTGTTAAACGGGAATGGACTCAATGGTCATTAATAAAAGATAACGGAGCCCCCTGTCCGAAAGAAGAGAGAAAGCGGACATACTCGTTTACATTGCGATACCTCGAAGCATTGGACAACTGTAACAACATTGGGGTGAGAAGTTGCCCACCAACTGAAGGCGTTGAGAGGCAGATGGGTAGGTTAGATTTGTTTCAGGTATTTCTTTCTACTTTCAGCTTCAACTTTCAATCTTTAGAGATAACCATTTGAAATAATCGGATTGAAGGAATATCTAGATGATTATTTGATCGAAGACTTAACATCAAATGAAATGAAATGATACTCGCATTGCGTCAACTTAAAGGCACAATTTCCCGTCAGTCAACCGTGCAGAGTTAACAATAGGATACCTAACAAAAAGTCTACTGTGTGGTCCAACCAATGGGATATTTAAACAGCCAGCGAAATGCGTCAGGACATAGGGCCTTAACAAGCATTTTCGGATGCATGGCATTTGCGAAAACAACCAGAATCCGTAGAAACATAAACAAATTTTGAAAACACAGAGTAAAAATGTGTCAAAATTTCATGTTTTCTTTTGTCTAAAAATAGCCCTTTCTGATAACCATAGACATCAAGTGTCCACGACTAACGGCTCCGCAAAATGGAAAACTTCTTGACGATGCGTGCAATGGTGACAGGAGCTCATGCAATGCACCATGCAGTTTTGACTGCCTCTCAGGCTTCAGACTTGTTGGTAAACCATTTGTCAGATGTGGAAAGGATGGGAGATGGAGTGACAATACACCTGTTTGTATAGGTGAGTAAAGTAGAGTTGGGGCATTAGACAAAGTATCTAAATACGAAATTTTCCAACAAGAGGTTTTGAAGGCACCAGGACGGTTTAAGGTCATCATTTTCACCCACAAATATAGTCGTTTGCAGAAAAGCAATTTTGATATATTGTCAGAGAGGGAATTTTTCAGCAGAATCAGAAAAGAAAACAGAGGCATCGCCCGATGCCGCATTCCATGAGAAGTGCTAGGAAATAAGCATATGGCCGTCATATGGGACGTAGGGAGAAGGCAATGAGGGGTCATATTCTAATCATTACACCCTTTAAAAGATTCTAACAAAATTAATACTTTCATGGTTGGAGATGCTGTAAAAAGCTGTAAACCTCTCAAACCACCGCTAGCAGACGTAATCTATTACCGATTGCAAAGCTGACAGTTGAATCAACAAGGCTCTTTTCATCTTAACCAACCTTTCAACATTCTAATGATTTACCAATAGACCTGTTTATATAAGCTGGATACAATGATAACAACTATAGAAACAGATTTTAACAATTATTTTTGAATTGCTGCGTTAAGAAATAAACCTAAGTGGACCCTCCTGCTGGATTCAAATATGACCATGACACATGAGAGGTCACGTGGGCAACTATAATTATCCACAGAGTTCTAGATAATTCACATCTCTACTGAAAGCAAATCTTCCGTTTTTGCGGTTCTCTCGCCTAAATATTAGGGCCTTACTTGCATCATGCTTGATCATCTAATGTGATGGACAACAAAAAACTGGCCTCGAGTCGATTGCAGACAGTTATAACAAACTTGAATACGTACAGGCTTTTACTGTTGACAGCAATAAAACTTCAATTAAATCAAAATTTCCCTGTCTGATAATAATAACCTAGATCATCACACGATCATGGCAAATAGGGGGGAGGGGGCATGGGTAAGGGCAGGGCCAGGGCCTCGAGGTCAAAGAGGTCTTATAAAGTGATGAATTTGATTTTAAGAATGAAATTACTAAGACGTACCAATTAACGTCTAAAATTATTAAATCCTTTGAATTTTAAGCTTATCTGAGGGGCGTACACAAAAAATTTTCTGCTTGCGTCGATCACAAGGAATCATCTCTCTCAATTTGTTCCCAGGGTCTTTAAAACCTCTCGGCAGCCCTACATATTGTTAAAGTGTTTTCCTACAAACCAAAAAGGCAGTTATCAAGATGTTGTAAAGACGTTTCCGAATAATCTTGAAATGAAAACTTATGATTTTCCCTTGAAAATTTGCATACTAAGCATTTGTCAAATGGGGTTCCCTGCTAGAGTCTTTATAAAATCATAATAAAACCATTTTTTATCCTAGATGCAATTGATCCAACTATCACCTGTGCGAATACGACGTACGCTCCAAATGATCCTAACACGAACTACGCATCTATTCCCCTGACGATGGCAAGCGCGACTGACAATTTTGTCGTGTCTTCAGTACAGGCAAATGAATCAAGTCCAATAAGGGTCTTTGTAGGCAGACCTTTGAAAGTGATGTATACTGCTAGAGATGCTGCTGGTAACACCGCAACATGCACAACAACTTACATAGCAGAAGGTTTGGATATGTAGAAAAAGTATTGCAAAGTTGGTTTTGATGAGGACACCTATGAAAATAAATTTGATGAAGACACCTTCGCAAAAAACTGATAAATTGATAGGAACTTTGATTTTTCTACAAACTGATTTATTCAGAAAAATTATGTGTTGTGAAAGTGGCCTGGTACATGTTAGGTCAAAATGTAGAAAGATATTGGAAGGAAATTCAGGCCTATTTGAAAAACGTTTAGCTAAGAACAATTGGAAGAAAATCCTACCTACAAATAAAAAACCTTAACAAAACACTAAGATTCACAGAGGAACAAGCAAAAGCAGGGATATGTGAAATATTGCTTCTTTGAAAATTTTCCTTATTCTTAGGCAATCGCAGTTGAAATCTATTTCTTTTATCAGTTTCTTATTTTCTACAAACCTAAAAGTTATACCTTTGCTTCCAGACAAAGAGCCACCGAAAGTAGTAGAGTGTCCACAAGATATTGAACGCACTGTGGCAAATGGGAAGGTACAGGTGATATGGAAAGAGCCAGAATTTGATGACAACGTCGAAGGGAGACATGTTGATCGTACGCCTACATATCCAAATGGATTCAAGTTTGGGAAAGGACGATACAAAGTGATTTACACAGCAGAAGATAAGGCTGGCAACAAGGCAATTTGCGAATTCAAAATAATAGTCAAAAGTAAGTTATTAACTGCTAAAATAATCTATCTTTTTATGCAACGGATACAGGATTCCTATAACTAATAATTCAAGACGAAGCTTCAAGCGTTTTGGCAGAGAGTAGCAACAGACCAAAACATTCCCTGGGACCTAAGTAACAGGCTAATAGCCCTTCATCTCCGTATTGTGTTCTTTTCCAGCATCTTGGTATGGAGGAAAAGTGCAAAAAAAGATAAATTACGACAAGAAGAGAGGAGACAATAAAAGGGATCTCGTTTTAATCAAGAGCCTTTCCAATGTAAAGTCGATACTGGCCGAAAACAAAATACTCCTTACTACATTTAATGTTTATAGTGCCAATAGGTTAGAGCTGTGAAGCCAAGCCATTAACAAAAAAGGCCCTCAGAAATATACTTCTAATTGAAAAAACCGAAAAACTCTGTAGCAACTTTAACATCATATTTGAAAGGTTTGAAAGTAGATTGAGATACTTTCAATTAGTGACAGCTATTTTTTGTTAATAGATCCCGATAACCTTTGCGAAGTCTACAATGCACCGAAGAATGGGTCTATGGTTTGCAATAACAGAGTTACTGGTCATAAGCGCGACTACGTTTGCGCTGTAGCTTGCAGTGAAGGCTTTGGATACGCAAAGACTAGCGCAAATACAAAATTGTTTGACTTCTACATGTGCTCAGGAAGTGGAGTATGGCTTGGCACCAATCAAGCACCACCACCAACCTCCATTGCACGTGGGACTAGACCATGGCAAGACTGTTCCAGTGAGTAATTTGGACATAAAAAGTAAATAATCCTTAAATACCTAACTCATTTGGCACACTCAATTAATGGTGCATGAGAGTGATACTTGTTCGCAAAATTTGTTTCCTCTGATATAAACAGGAATAAAAAAGGATTTAGCTAGTTAGAAAGAGAAAACCAGTCCTTATATAGCAGTTATTAATACCTGAAAGAGGCGGCATTAAGGGGGTCAAGGGGGCTAAGGGGGTTAAGCTTCAAAGATCTCAGTCGGCAGCCACTTTCTCTCGGCTTTCCAGACAACGTTGGGATTTCTAGATTTCTAATAATCTAATAATAATCTTTCCAAAAATGTTTAACGATTTCATGTATAGTTGGACTCGGTCTGACAGTAATAATCATGCCAAAGTAATTGGTAATAAGGATCAAGAAGAACTTAAAAAGCACGCATTAAAAAGTAACAAGTCGTAGACAAATTCGTCTAGAACTTCCATCATTAAATTGTTGTAACCTCTAATCTTCTCCTTGTACGATACTGATGATATGACAGTCTCAAAAACATCAGCTGATAAACATGAATTTTTTCGGACCGATTCCATTTTACAATAGCACGATTTTTTAATACATTTGGTTTGTTCAAGTTGCACAGTAATTCTATTGTCATGCCAACGCATTTTGACTAGACACTGATCTGACACAGACTGATGCTTCTTTTGTATGAGGCCTTTGAAACTGACCTAATTCATTATTTGAAATTGTGTTTCCCACTATCTATAGTAACATAATTTTCTAAAATCACTCTCAAGAATCTTGAGGAAATTCATTTGCTGTGCTATCACCTGCATACATATTTGTATTTGCTAAATACTTGCAGTGTCATGCAGGTAAAGAACTTGCAGATTAAACAGGTTTGGTCCAAAAAGTGAGCCTTGAGGGACCCCTACAACTAGCATCACAAAGTAGCTTGTTCAGCTCAGAACTGGTTACATTCCTCATGAAAGCAAATAACTTGCAGCTTCTTTTTGAAAATTATACAACACTGCTTGCTAAGGTTTTTGTGGTATCTATTCATACTATCTTTATAGTTGATATCTTTGCTATACATTCCTTCCAAGTCTCTCTAAGGCAAAGAAAAATGATCCCAAAATCCCACTCCCTGTTGACAAATAAAGGATAGCTAACAACGGCCCTGGCAGCCTCCTGTCTACTTGGTGTTGTAAATCTTTAAAATTCAGATTCTTAATTTGCCTTGGTTCCCCTAGCCAACTGATTCTGTGCAGTTATCATCGTTGTCCCATGTAATGTGGCAGATAAGAATTTGAAATTATTAATTCACTATTTAAACATTCTATTCAGAAAATTATCCAGCTGATGCAGTCACCAAACATTTCAAAATAATGGCTGGCCCATGCAACAAGAACAAGACAAAAGAAGAACTAAGAAGAGAGTTTCAAAATAAGATGAAGAGTAACATGATGATCAAGGCCTTATTCTGCATGACATCAAGATGTGAAATTGATGACATTTCGGTAACATGTTCCTCTTCAAAGAAGAGATCAGTTGCAACAATGGTCATCAGTTTTGACATGGTTGTTATTCCTGACCTAGCACCACCTACTCCTGCACCACAGGGAAGAGCATTTATGAGTACAGATGACTTGAAAAAGGTGGAAGAGATGATAAGGAAGCAGATTGAGGCAGAAATACAGCGTCTAACACAATATTTACAACGACTGCAGCAACAGGTAATGATATCATACTTATAGTATCACTTTTGGCTTTTGACCAGTAACCCCAGACATTGCAAGCCATAGATCAATATGAGAAACCAAAAGTAATCAAGTACACAATTATTCAAGAGCTCCAAATAAACTTCTTCACAGTTTGATTGATAAGGTTTAATATCTATTTTGGGAAATAGGCAAAAAGAGAGGAACATACTAGGTAAAATTATCCACTTTGGACTCAAAAGGGCCTATCCTAGGGTTTCCAAACTGCGCAAAACCAAATGAAAGGCTATAATCAACCTGTGCAGAGCTAATTTACATCAAAAGACATAAGATGCATTTTAAGAGAAGCTGCAATTTTCATAAAAACCTTTTCCAAGTCTGTAGGCCATGCATAGAGGAATGAAGACTATTGGATTCTTTGAACAAAGATAAACATATTCCTTATCTTACACTTTTAGTCTTTGTCTGATTATTTTTATGGCTTTGAGTTGATATTGCACAAAGTTTAAAACATAGAATGCTTCAATTTAGAAAAACAATTAGAAAACAAAATGACATTCTGAGGTACCTTGTCTAAATTTGTAGAGTATCAAGCAACATGATGGCCTCTAGAAGGAAAATCTCTTTTTTGCTGAAGCAAAGTGATCTAAGAATGTCATGATGCAAAGATAGATTTATTTCAAATCTGAAGTTTTAAACAACTGTTTTACCAAATTTTCTAGATAAAGATCATTCTGGCTCACATACTGAAAATCAATGAGCATCTTATGCAAATAACTTCAAATCCAGTTTATGTTGGATGTCCAAAGGGCTCAACAATGTCAATGGTTGGACAACCGCCAAAGAAGCTTTGCAGTAAATATGATATTTTGTCTTTCCTTTTCATTCATGGAGGGAGGTAGACACTCAATTTTCCAACACCCAATTGGTCAGTCCCAGATTTTTAGGTCTAAATTTTGTGATAAACGATAGTTCTAGGTTTAGGTATTTTATAAAAAAAGATCTGGTACTGGGTTTAAAATATTTGATATTTTTGAATCATCTAAAAATTCTATTAAACTTTGTCATAACAATTAATCCAAAAGATTGTTTGGTTACTGCGCAAACTGAAAACTGTTTTTTAAATTTTTTTTTTAAAAAGCTGGTATTTTTGGTTTTTTTTTTAAATTTTGCCGGAACTAACCTGAAATCAAGCCCTCGTGTAATGTAATATATTTTGCATTAGGGTTCCTGGCAGCAACCTTGCTGGGATATTTTTCGCATAAATCATAACAATCTGAACCTTTCATGACATTGTTATAAAAAAATGAAGGGCATAGCTTTGAAACATGTTCAAAACCCTTGTCATACTCTTCTTCTAAAATAGTTCGTTATTATTGTTACAATTAGGGTAATTTTATCAGCATATAATATAGTATCAAATAAAAATTAACATGCTGCTACCTTAGACCATTAGTATTAAAAAACAAAAAAGGGAATGCAAATTAAATATCTTACTCACGTTCATTCACAATACTTCTTACAGCAAGATGCCCGGTCGGCACAACATTCAACGAAAGAACAAAAATCTGCGATAGCTGCCCACGTGGGTCATTCCAAGACGACGAAGGTAAACTCTACTGCAAAGCATGCCCCGCAGGGACAACGACACTTGGCACGTCAGCCACTGATATGAGTGATTGCAAAGGTAAACTGATTCTGAACCTCTAGAACCTCTAGAAATAAGCAGGTTGGAAAGTGGGGGGAAGAGAAAATTTGCCAATCATAACAAAATATTTTGAAAAAAAGCTCTATTGTTTTGTAAAGAATTAAGGGGCCATGGATCCCCCCCCCCCGTTCGCCGTGAAAATTAGAATGTAAGAGCCCTTCTGTACCCTGGGTACCAGATTCACTCTATATACGATCGCAGATACAGGTTCTTCCAGATTTTTACTGACACATTTTCTCCGTATTTTCATAAGTTTCAAATTGTTTGCTTTTTATTTCCTTTTTATGCAGATTTTGCACCCTTAATTGCCCGAACTATATTCATTTTTTATAAGAATATTGTTTAAAAGAATATTGAGGCACAGAATCATCCAGTTTTTAAGTATATTAAAAGAATGTTACTCAGCCTCGGCTCGAATAATTGTGTCTCAATTTTCAGCAGTTGCTGGGACTCGTGGAACTGACATTTGTTGTGTTTCAAAAAGCGTGGTTTCACAAGAGCGGGTGATGTTGCCCCAAACCCAAATAAAATTTGAAAAAAATTTAAAAATATATTTAGGCCAGGCTTAAAACAACTTTCTTAACGATTGAAGAAGTTTACACCGCTTTCTAAATATGAGGGTGACTCAGCTGGACTTCAGATCAACGGGTCTGTGATTGAGTCCCTGGTACAATTACTAAACTTTTGCTTTGATTATGGGGAGTCGCTAGCTCTCTGTACTTCAAGGCATTGTTGTACACGATGCTTCGTCATATCGAGAGGAAGGACGAGAACACTGCACGATAAGAAAGCTTCACAGTGTCTTAAAAACCACTTTGGGGCACAAAATCCTTTGAACGACAAGGCCAAATTTTGTTGAGTCTAAGTCTAATAATATAAAAATCATGTATGTTTTTACTGCAATTTGAACAATTTGCTTGTATTTGTTTGCTAGCTGAATGTAGACCAGGCACGTATTCGAGAGGTGGGCATGGTCTCGCTACGTGTCTGGCTTGTCCTAAAGGGCATTATCAACCAAACCAGAGGCAGTCAATTTGCATCAAGTGCCCCAACTGGAAGACAACAGCGAGCTATGGATCGACAAATATCAGCGACTGCAAATGAGGTAACCGTGTCTTTTTTCACTATACAGCCCCCCCCCTCCAAAGCACCAAAAATAACTGTTCAACGACAAACGCCTGTACTTTTTCGTATTCAAATATTTTTCATTTAATACTAAACGGTAAGAGTAGTTAAGCAAAAGGGGAGAGTAATTTGACAGTTTTATTAAAAATTTTAGATCTAAACTATGGAAAAACTTCTGACAATCTTGAGCGATTGAAAACATCAACCTTGTTTATTGTCCACAGACTCCTTGGGTATTACCGCTTTTTTGTGCATCTGACAATTCAACATACTAAAAACACGAGGAAGAAGGAGATTTTGCTTATCTATCAATTCTTAACTTATCTATCCATCAGTTCTTTTAAGCAAATCTATCAATTTTTAGTTATTTTGTTCTAACTCTTTATTAAATATAATTTTTTTGCAGAGAACAAGGAAAGCAACAAGGAAAAGTAAATGACTTTTATTTGCTATTAAACTTAGCAGTTGTTACCTGTAACCACTGAATGAAATGCTTTATTCAAGTTTAACTTTTATTCCAGACTTCCCTTCGATTAAGAGAACAGTCCTTCATAAAAAAGGCTTCATAATTGATTGTCGAGTGCATCGTACCTCCAGAGGAACTTCTTTGTTTGAGGCAAATCATACACGAAAAAAAAGAGTGCCAAAGTGACGTCATCAAATTAATGTCTCAGTCAATTTGCAATAGATTCAACAGATTTTGCAGATTTAGAGTGATTTCGTAATGTTTTCTCAGGTTATGGAGTAAGAATTCTAAAATAATAAAAAATACTGTTTGATTAAGCCATTTTGCCTCTCTATGATCTTTACTTGAAGAAAATTTCGGGACGAAGTTGTTTGTCCCTTGACTTGTGCTTAAAAGTGTTCATGAAAAAGTGTTGATCAATTGACAAGAAAAAGGATGGATACAAATAAAACAGCAATTTATTAAATTTGAATCTATTTGGTATCAAAAAAGATGCCTGGAGATCGTGCTCTTAATGAATAACACGACTATTAATGCTATCTAAATCTACAAAGTACCCCCATTTGTGCGAGAAATTGTGTTTAACAAAATTAATTTACGACGAAAACTCAGCAACAACGTATTCTGAAAAAAGAAGATGAACAGAAAAGGCCAGCCTTACGAACAAGATCTGTTACAATTGAGAGTGAAGCGGTTATTGCAACACCGAACTTGTAAATATAACTTTGTTAACAATCATGTTCCCCCTTAGCCTGGGCTAAACGATCAATTTGGTACAGACCTTTTGGTCATGGTTTGGACAACTTCTACCGAATTGTTCCAAAAATCTCAAATTGGACTGCAATCAAATTCACGCGCTTTAGTAATAAAAATGCACTGAAAGAAACTTCTTTGAATTCCAACTGCAACGCAAGGAACTCGATTTGCGCTGGGTAATTGATTTAGAGAACATAAATTACATACATTGATTATCATAAATTATAATAATGATCTGCCTTTCATTCAGAATACGTCTGTTGCGTAAAGGCAAATGAACATATAGAAAAGAGTGCATTGTGTCTGTGAGGGTACTTACACAAAAGAACTACCAATTATAAGATTATTACTAGTAAGAGGGTTCTCTTGGATGGTGAATAAAGCCATTTGTCCTCGCGTGTGGTGCAGCGAGAAAACCTAGTTTTTGTTTCTGCTTGCGCTGCTCCACCATCTTGAAAGAAAATATGACACAAATCAACAAAACGAAACATGACAGTATTGCAAGACAGCCAGTGGCTAATACTCTGGCTCTAGAGAGAGTGGTTAATTGAGAGTGGTAAATGGCAGTTTAAATTTACCATGTTGGTAAATATACTGATCGCAATAGTGGCATTATAGTTACGATAATGACGGTTAATACGGTATGGAATAAAAATGTGAGATTTCAAGTGAAAGCCTAGCCTGTAGGATGCTAGTAATAAAAATAGATGTCATGGATATAAAACATCTTTTCAGTATTAGACAGAGCATTTCGTTTATTCTTTGTTTCCGCTCTCAAACAATTTGAGGAGAAGATTCAGAATGACAAACTAGTGGAGACAGCAAGAGCTCAATTGATAAAGTAGCTTGATCAAATCAAGAGGATCAAGAATCTGTATTCATTCAAACTAGCGGGGAAATAGCGCATCGGGGTGGACTCGTGCTCAAAATTTCGCTTTGGATCCTTGTCGTAAACAGCATTTCTACAAGCCCAGACTCTTGATCCTCTTGTCATCATCACTTTTGAGCTCTGTTGAGATAAGACTTACCTACCTGGTTAATAACACTGGCAAATTGGTGAACGCAAGCATTCCTTGCCACAGGGTCAGTGCCTGTTTATAACCGCGATGGTAATTAAATTTCAAAGGTAACAAGAAGCACCTACCTGATCCCGCAGCTCAGTAAGTTGTAGTGACAAGGTGTGCACCAATTCGCTGGTTGCTTCAAGTTGCAGCTGCAACGTTCGATATTCATTTTGCTCGTTTTCGGTGTCACCCACTGACAGCGACATACATCTCAAATATGGAAACCAATCGAGGTTTTTCTCCTGTAAGTACAAAAAATTAACCGTTAGAAAATAAAATTTGAAAATTTTGAAATTTCGCAGACATTATAACACTGATCATTTACAAATGAAATGTCCCTGAATAAATTGTGTCGTATGCATTCCCATTCATAGATAATTCTTAGACAGGAAATGAAATTTAATTATTACAGTAAAATGAATGTAATACAAAATGTTGAAAATGCGACAGAAATTGACAGAATTAACATAAAAATCTTTGTTATTTGAAGAAAGCAAGAAGGTATGGCTAACGAAAAAACGCAATACTGCAACGATATAATCAAACTAACTTTAATCATCTCTGAAACATAGCTCTCAGGCCCTGTGAATTCGGTTGGATCCTTGACTTTTGTTAATACAATAAAGTACAAATAATGCCACATATTGTGCTCTGAATTTACGTGGTCCTCGAAGGTGACACTTTTATTGTCAAACGATGAACGGTCGAGGCCTGAAAAGAAAAGAAAACGCAATTATATTCAACGTACCACTAAAATGATGATCAGGATTGAAAACCAGTGGAAGAAAATATAATTGTGGCAATAATCAAATGGATTGAGCAAAAGTGCAAGACAAACAGAACTCTGGTATTAATCGATGTTAAAGAGAATCGATGAGAAAGTGCAATATGTTATCAACAGAGATGCCATTAAAGTAAAAATTTGAAAATGGCACAAAATAGCGGAAACACATCATACTAAAGTACTTTTCGTTTGACACTCTTCTGAGTATAAAAGTCGGATAATAACTAAAAGTAAGCTGAAAATTTATATCCAGGTGTGGATCGAAAGTAACGTGAGAGGAAGAAAGACGCGTTTGATTGGTTCTTTGTTTTTGACCAATCAGCGACCGCTAACCTCTAAGCTAGTTGAAGGGTCCAAGAGAGAGAAGGAATTCTTTCTGTCTACACAAGTCGGGATCCTTTATTTTGATGTAAACAGATTCCAAAACTTCTAAATGAAAAGACGAACTTGCTTGCCCAATGAATTTAAAAAAATTTCTCGTTATACGTTTTGGCACATTTTGGTTTTTTGAGAATATGTTGACCGATTTCAGAATCTAATGTTACTTGTGCATTTTGGTTTTTCAAAATATGCCAGGGGTGTTTTCTTTTGAGAATCGCTATTTGCCTGATGCTTTGAGAATCGCTATTCGCGGGAGCATGTTGTATGTAATACTCAAAGTACATAAATATGTATACATGAAGTACTTAAGTATGCTTCCGCTACTTCGTGCAATCTTCAAATTTTGTGTTACCAAATAAAAATTGGTTAAAAGTAAAATTATTTCTTTATAATGCCTGCATGTAGGGGCGTTAAGAATACGTGTCTCAATCAACAGAAAAAAGAACCTTAATTTCAATGAAAAAAATTGTGAGCTATAAGTCATAAAATTAAAGGCAAAATTAGGTATAAAATAAGTTCGTTTCAATTTACAGAAATTCACTCCAATGTAAATACTGTAACGTATGAAGAAAAAAACACGTTTCGAAAAGATTTACGTAATTCAAACAGTTGAGTTTTGAATATCTTGAAGTTGTATCTTACCACATATAAAACAAGTATTTTTCAAAATTTCCTCCTTTGTCTGCTTTTCACTTCTGAGGTCAGCAAATGTGTCGATTATGACACCAAATATAAGGTTTAATACGATGATGATGAGAACGAAAAAGAACACTAAGTCATAAATGACTCTGGCCACGAAGTATGCATCCTGCAATTTAACAGATGATTATTTGAAAATGCGGAACTGACCTCCAGTCCTTCCCCAATACTTTAAACTCTCAAAGCTATAAAGTTTTGAAAATTTTCATAAATTTTCAGCATGGATATTGTTTTATGCTATTGGCCAAATACTCCCCCCCTCCCATTTCTCTTCCTAAAATATTATACGGGCTATAAACCGCCAATCAATGCGAACAACATTGTTCAAAATCACGTTATCTATGAAATGAAACTATATATTATATAGTTTCATTTCATACATAACGTGATATAAGGTAGTAATTAAATCGATACATTTTCCAGAGGTTGCCTATGGACCAGTAAGCCATGCCCTGTATCTAAGTTTAAAGGGAAATGAAAGCCAAACTATAAGAAAACTGTCGTTAGTTAGTACGTGAATACACTGAAATCTGAAAACCTTTAATTAGTGCTAAAAAATATGCACTTTCAACTGACGAAAAATTGAACAACAATAGCTTGTTCCTTCGTCGTCTACAAGAATCCTTCATTTTCACTTTGCTCAACTATATTTGTATCTTTTTACGATGAATTGAAAGGGGTTCTGTCCTAGCATAAGAAAAATACTCAGTCATCAGGCAGAAGTACTTTACATTAACACGTTAATTCTCCATTCGGTAGGTAAAATGCTAATACAGTAACCAGACATCTCAGTGACTGAAACTGGATAAGACATTTTTGGGCATCAAAGCAATGGTGTTAGCTGAAAATCTTTGAAAACTTTAAAATCGCCTCTTTATATGAAGAGTAACCGCAAGTTAGATGGTGCCAAGAGATGGTCCCGGGTCCTTAGCTTCCTAAAAATGAAACCTCAAGTGGCTCAGAAATCTTTCAAGCTCAAGGCCAGATATTAATCTTGTTATCTCGAGTTTATAAAACTAATTTCGAAACATAAAGCAAAAGCCAAGAGACGCCAAAATATAACTGCCAATAACGACGTGGGGAAGAAATCCATTCTAACAGGAGACAGCAAGCATTTTAGCCTAGAATCCGCTTAAAACGGATCTTCAGAAAAGATTCTTAGCGCTTATACTCAAGTTACAGATTGTGGAAACATAAATGATGGAAAACGTAAAAACAATTTAGTATGTATGTACTCTTATGAAAAAACCTTTGTTTCACATGTTTAGTCTACGTTGGCGCAAAACAAAATTCAAAATCTTCGCCTTTGTCTAGGCTTAGGGTTATCAAACAGAGAAAAGTACAAGTTGTATTACGAAAAATGTGTGGAAAGAGACTGCAATACCAAGGAAACACTTCGCGTGCAGATGACAATTCCTGAAAATGCCTTTAAGAAAGAGACATTCAATCCTTAGAGTGAAAATCTGTCTTTAGTCAATTTACTTCTGACACCTTTACCGCAGATATATGTCATTAACAACTCTTTTTTCTCAGGAAATGACAAATAAAATTGGCATACCTTGCTAGATGACTTTCGTAGAACATCGCCGATCCCACCGCCACTTCTCAAGCCTTTATTCAACGTGGTGACGATGCACATAATCAAGGTGTCACACGTACGTTCTCGCACGTTCTCTACGTCTACAGCCTTCGATTCCACCAGCTGCATCGGTTTGATGTCGCATAGGCCGTCGGCAGAACAAGTCTGATTAAGCAAAGGCTCTGCAAATTAATTAGGAACTGTGTTATTAGACAGGCCAAACCCCAGAATGGGTTTTATTCCGAAATATACTGAAGTCTTAGCATATGGAATATTGCATTTAAAGGAGACAGAATAACGAATAAAAACTGAACATTTGCACTGGCTTTAGCGAGTACTACCTGTTCAGACAGAATACAATGCATAATTATAGGTTTAGATAAATTTCACAAACTTATAACTATTTTGATGATCAAAGATTGGCTGTATAAATTCATACCTGTCATGACCGTTACAGGTTCTGCTTCGATAAGGAAATCCTCTTTGAAAAATATAAAACCAACTATTGAAAAGAAATAGACCAAAACCAAGGCCAAAACGGCAGTGATCACAATTGAACGCCCATTTCTCGTAACACTTCGTACGACGTTTAGTAAGGTTTCTTCTTGAAGAAGCACATCGACCATCTAAAAGAGAAGCAAATATTTACCCGATATATCTAGAGAAAACAATCAAGGTTACTATTGCCTTGTGAATGGATGATTCTAATTCGGATCTTAAAGAAGAGTATCTGCATAAAATTTCCTGATATAAAATTTCAGAACAACTTTTTTGTAAATCAAACACAAGAGTGAATAAGGCTTTAGTCCCGGTACTCTTCTTCATAGCTGTCGAAATGATGAATATGAAATTTTATTTTTATACTCGGATATAAGCTTGAACTTTTTAGTTTTTAGGACCATGGAGTGAAAACATAGCGTTTGGCGTCCAGTAGCAAAAAATTGTAAAAGTCCTTTGCTTCCAATGAACAAATCCCTTTGATCATATCGTACAGCAACTTACTTGCTATAGTTTAATAGAATTAACATATAAACAATCTTTCTTTACAGCACCTTAAATCAAAGATATCAAGGAAATTTCCTGCGAACATATTCACAAAAAATTTTCTTACCAATATACTATAGAAAAACTCATGTACAAATGCTCCTAGAATGGCAACAATGAAGAATGCGATATGCGATAACAAAGTGCGATCACGAATAACTCTTCTCAGCTCAAGATTCTTGAATGTTCCACGATTACCAAGATAACTGACAAGAAATATCCAGTTGTTGAAAGCCTAAAATCAAAGGACGACGCTGAATTATGTAGTGCTAATAGCTAATTCGCCAAAATACCAATGTCGGATGTTTTCAGCAGCTTTGGTTCAATAGAAATCTATGGATGGCTAACAGGAGCCTTGAAAGGTTAATTCCTAGTTTCATTTGAAAAAAATTTTATTACAAAAAATACAGGTAAAGACATTACTTGGCTGAGAGCCCTAAAAAATCAAACGAGGATAGTAGTATCAAAAATGGCTTTGATAAAAAAACACTTAGAAACACATTTGAGCTTTATGTCTGGCAATCCTCAGGGTATAAAAATCAGAATAATGAACGAAAAGTCTAAGCTAGGAAATAGATATACCCTGTTGTCGATCCAAAACATTGATTTACGGGGCACTAATGAATAGTTTCAAGTCAAAACTCCACTCGGAAGTTCATAAACTAAAATGTATCAAACTGGATAACGGCCATTTTTGGGAACATATTGAAATCCGATACCGCCAAAAAAAGTAGATTCTTTGACAAAAGGTAGTGAAGATAGAGAAGTCATACCATTGTACAACCAAGTATCCACAGTGTTGGCTGGATTCCGAAGGAAAATATCATTCTCAGCAAAATAGAGGCAACTAAGGTCCATATTCCAGACATTCTTGGAAGTGTGCATGTGACAGCCAATGAAACAAACATGGCTACCCAGATAAGGATGGATAGCCTTGGGTCAAGTTCTATAAAGACATCGATCAAAAATATTTTCAGTACATGATAAACAAGATCAATATATCTTTTTTGATTAAGAACATATATTGAAGCCATGCTACAAGAAAAGGCACTAAGACATCCTCTATAGGTCAATCCAAGAGAATGGAGCTTAAAAATAAGGTCGTAGAAAACGTATCGAGAAGTAAGAGCAACTTTAACACTGCATCCAGTTCAATAAAATTAACCTGCGAGAATCTTGTGAAAAATAAAACAATTTTTACCTTTCGGGCCTTCTGAAAATGGATAGAAAAAAGCAACTAGAAGATTCAAAATCAAGGCTTGATGAACAGCTATCATTTTCCAGACTTGAATATTTCTGCTGCACCAAAAGAGTGTGGCGTGGTCTGAAGTATTAAAAAAGAGCTTTCAAAACATTTTCGCCACGTCTGTTACAACAACTCAGATTATTTTGTTTATTGTCAGCATTCAACAAAAAAGTGTCTATTTTGACATGAGGTATTTTGAAAACATTCAAATTATCACAGCTTATAGAGACTGAATGACAAAACAAGACTGTTCAAGAAATTCAGAGCGAAAAACTCATGACCAACATAGTTGAGATTTTGTGATCACCCGTTCGATCTTGCTATCAAATCAAATAAAATATTAATTTTGACGAGAGGGCTAGCTAATTTATCCGTGCTACCGTGAATTTTTCTAAACAGCAGTGTAGAGAATAAAAAATGAGACTAGTTTAAGCGTTGACAAGAATATCTAAAAAGAAGAACGTTCATAGTTCTGATTGAAAAAAACATTATTTCCTATGCAAAATTTTTGTTTTCAGGATCTTTAAAAAGCACATTACATTGTTACAAAAAGCTACCGATACATTGCAAAGACAGTCAAAAAGGTTCTGTTGAAAGAAAACTGAAGTATAGTTGAAGATGTTCCTCTTTAAAAAGTTATTAAGGGACTGTTTACCTCGTAATTGTTTCTGCCATTGCATTTCTCTATAAAGTTCGTCAGAACGCTCGAAAAAGTCCGTTACCTGAAACGATAACATTGAGGTAAATACTGACGCAAAATACAAAAAGAAGATCAAGAATTTATAAAGAGATTAGAAAACATGCTTTGCTACGTTTCCGCTTTTTCGTGCCATCTTCCAAGATTAGAAAATGCATAGATCAATAAAGCTTTGATTAGAAAGAAAACGTTTTCTTGGTAACAACTTAAAAAAATGATGTGAAGAAAATGATAAAAGTTTTAACATTTGCAAGCAAAAATCTACTCATAAAGATAAACTCGTCTTAACTTTATCTTAAATAAACTCTGCAAAAGTATAGCATTAATAAGAAATACCTTGCTGTTTTTCTCGTCTCTTTCAGCATTACAGTACACATTCCACTTGCTGGAATCTGTCAGATATTCACATATAGGAGGGACGGGGAAAACAATCTGCTCTAATGATCGGTCTTGGCGGACAATCTAAAAATTTAATATTACATAGTCAAACAATAGAATAGTTGTTAAGCGAGCAATATCCATTGTTATAAAGTTCTTTGAAACCTATTTCAAAATCTCTGGCACCTTTTGTTATTCACAGCAAAAGTCTGCATGGAAAGTAATTCAAAAATTGAAATCGATATCATGTCAATGCTAAAAACCAAAAAGCAGTTGTAGCTATACAAGAAATTTTATTCAATGAAGACTTATTAAAAATATTCTTGGAGATTTGGTACCAGAAATAAAAATAACAGAAAATTGTAGCAGAGCTTAAAATAAAGCGAAGTTCAGTGGTTGGCAGCAAATGGGTGGAAAATGCTTTGATTTACACAGGAAAACAAGTAATAGAGGGGAAAAAGCAAAAAAAATTCTACCAACGAAATTAATAGAAAATATTAACAATATTAGCTTGGTAGAAAACAAAAATGTTCTTTTAAATCCATTTCCAGATACACTTTGAAAGTCGCATTTAAATCTGTATAAAATTATTGTTTACTTCAATCTGCGCTGTTCGCCTTGCGTAATACTCCAGTGCACCATCAATTTGAGGCTCTTCATTTGCCTCGGGCCCACGTTCTATTTTCAGCAAAGCCGCAAGTTCTTTGTTGTGTTTCGATAGCTTGGAACAATAAACAGAGACATAATCTAAAAATGGCTTGGAAAAAAACAAACATTTCACAACATACTACTAAAATTTTTCAAAGCCATTTTCAATTTTTGTAACGCCATAAAAGAGACATAATTGCAAAAGTGAAAGTCACTTTGCCATCGTGAATTCATCTAGCGCCTACTCGATTCCTATCCCAAAAAACAATAAGTAAGACAAAAACTGAAAACATACTTTCTGAAGGTCTCAAAAATTGTCTCGCTGTTATCTTAAAAAAGGGTTACGATGCGATACCATGGGTGCCAGAGCCTCAGTAAAAGAGTTGGTTGGTGAAAGAATTGGGCGATCAGTGGGCCTGAATTGGTACCTCGGGTAGGGATGCAGCTTTTCGGTATCATTTGGAGTGCTAATTATTTTCAAAATATTTGTTTACCTGGTAGGCAAGAATGTAAATGTTATGGCCGACATCCCTTGGGGATACATCGCTATCCACAGTAGAATCGAGGTCTTCCTGCCTAAAGGCCTCCTTGCAAACGTCGACCTGTAAATAAAGGTTTTTTAAATTCAAAATAATTCTCAAAAACTATGGTAGCCTTAAGAAGGTGGTGCTTCTGTACTTTCCACTAAAAGATACTTTTCGAGGAGCATGCCTTTGAACGATGACACACTCGTAATTGAAAAATAATTGCTCATTGCAAACACATCAAAGGATTTTATTCACGACACAACAAAAAGAATAAACGATATCGCGTTGGTTAAAAAGAATGACAGATAACGAGCAAATACAGTCTCGATTTCATATTTCTTCACGGTGAAAACAGGAAACAAGGCGTACTCTTTCCAGAATGATTAATTCCCAACCACTCCTTTCAAATATGAATATACTTATTGATTAATAATTGCATAAACAAATCAGACTGTAATTCAAAATACTACAGTAGTTTCCCGCATATAAGAAACATAAATCTAAAAAACAAGGACCCTGATTTTTAAAATCATACCCTATTTTCTTAGAAACTAGACAGGCCTGAAAAAAGCTTGCTTCTAATTCAAAAAATTATACTTATATAAAACCATTTGAAAAATATAATCAAATACTTAATAAGATTGGATTGTGCACACACAGTGCTGCTTGTCAGACAAAGTTTAGTTTTTTATATACTTGAGGATTTATCAATTTATTTTCTTCTTGCAGCATTTCCTGGAAAAAAAAAATTGAGGTCCTGTTCCTGTCGATAGTAATTAGATAGTAAATGATTTTACAACTGAGGAACTTTATCCTGATTTGAAGTTTATCTCATTTTATAAGAAACAAGTCAGACCTGAAATTGGAAACCTTTTTTTCTTATATGCGGTACAGTCCTGTATTGAGGGACTGTGGACATGTTCCAACATGTATATATCCATGAAAAGATGAAAACCTGGACGCAACATGCAAATTAAATGCAAGGACAAACTAGGAATTCGAAGCCTTGTTTGCGAGATTTTGGAAAGTCAACATCGCAAAGACTCACCAGCGAGGCAGAACTCATATTGTAAAGAATCTTCTCGGCATTTTCACTGTCGTGGCGACTTTCCATTATTGCCAGAAGAAGCTTAGATGCATTGTTCTAGAAGGGTTACGTACGAAAATAAAATGGATATAGAGATACAGAGGATATACACTCTGCAAAAATCTTTGCGCAACTGTCCACCTTGAAATGATTAAGTTGATCAAATAATAGACTAGAGATATCATAGCATATTCATGGCTTTGACTTGGATGACGGAAATTAGCCTCAATCTAGACCAAGCCCAACAGAAAAAGAAAAACATCCTTGAGAGTGTCAATGAATACACTGGTTGTGTCTGTTTCTGACGCAATGGTTCATTTTTGAAGGACTAAATTAAAGATTAGCTCCGGCTTGGAAGCAGTTATAAAATGTCATATACGATTAGGTATGGTGAAAACTGTAAGGTAAAAACTGTGAGAATTACGTACCTTGAGCTCCATGACAAGATCCATTCTATGTTTACTCAGCGGACTGATGTCATTGAGGACAAGCGCTATGACGATATCAAGCCCATTCGATTCATGGCTCACAATCGCGTTCTGTAGAAAATATACCAGTTTAACTTATAACTTATTTTCTGGCACTCTAATGCAAGCGACAACCGGGGAACTTAGGGGAAATATTCCATTATAAAGTCATAAGAGTTAAATGACATAGAAAAGAATGAATGAATAGGAGAAAACGATTCCGATACTTCTTTCAAAAAAGTTCTTCATGATGGTATTAACACAAACAATAAAATGGAACTGATGAGGAACTTATAAGCACCAAATAAAAATACCACTTATCTCTTAGTTGATGAACATTTTAAAAGCTTTGTTCTTACGATGGAGAAAACACAAAAGATGCGGGGAAAGCATTTTATATTTCGGACAAACTTTGACTTTTTTAGTGTTTTTTAAGGTTTTTCAATTTCAAAATTACTGAGGGTGAAAAGGCTTAAAATATTCATAGATTAGAGACATCATACCTGATTTTCATGGCACGGCCCCTGGCAATACTCGGTGAGCGTGCAAAGGCATTGGTTGATCAGCGATACGTTGTGCTCATTGATATACAAGCCAAGAAGCCCTAGACCACCAGTTGTGCTGCCGCAGATGCAGTCTAAAAACGACAATGTCTCCGACACGAGGTTGAAATTAGTCTTGTTATCCTGCTTTCTTAGGATCGTCTGCAGGAGAAAACAAGATAAGCTGAAGCGCTGTATATAACGAAAAGGAATATGAATACGAAAAGCGAAGCACTAGAAAAAAGCAGCCCTTTTGAAGCGTGAATTGAATATCAATCTTATGATTAAATGATTATGAATTACGAAACCTATGTGACTCATTATGACCCCGTGAGGTAATTCAGTAAACATTTAATGGATTATAAGTTCAATCATCTGAGATGCATATTATAAGTTTTGTTGATCTAGAAATTATTTCAACGTACAGAATTCAATTATTTTGATCTGTGAAAAATAATAGAAATTCAAAATAAGTTGATGTCAGTGGTCGGTTTCAAAATTTCATAGGGAAAATCTAGAATCTCAAAAAATTCAGAGACGAGAACTTAAAAGGTATTGGTATGCTGGTCTTAGGTGAATATCTCCAAGGCAGTGACAAGGAGTCCTAACTGAGGAATATCCTATCATGTTATAACAAGGCTATCAAAATACTCCAACATTTTAAGTTTAAAAAACCGATTACCTCCCTAGCACTCTTGCTTTTTTGCTCCCCATTCAACAATTCAATATTACTTTCAAGCAACTGCAGAACAACATAAATAAGACCAGATAACACAGAACCTCCCAACAATGCAAAAATTGTTCAAACCTGTAAATTTGTGTTATGATTTTCGCAAAGAAGCTGCAGAAATCTCAAGATGGGCTGCATGCAGGCAATCTCCTGACTCAACAGACGTCCAGCAGGACCACCCTTCATACTCAGCTCTCCCAACGCGTTATGCCGCTCAGAACCTTCCATTTCTCTTCCTCGTCTTACAGCTAGGTAGGCTTTGTTAGTCTGTGATGCAGCTTCGCTTAATTGCTCTTTCATTTCATCCGTTAAAGACAAAATTATACCTGCAGAAAGATCACATTAAGGCTGATGTGAAAGCTGTTTTTACACACGAGTTGAAAAATAGCAACGCTCCACATAAGAAAATAGCAAAGAGAGCTCCTTAACTTGACATGATACAAAACAGTGCTGTTGGTTATCTAGCAAACTGCGCACAAAAGAAGCAATCAGATCCATGCAGCCTAGGCCTCTGAGACATGTTTTAAGGTGCACTGTGGAAGCATTCTATCGATTGAAGTAGAAACGTTGGAACAGTTTATCGAAAGTCGTTGACATCTATCATGAAAGTAAATGCAAGAAACGCCATGCCCAGTCTTTACGATCACAACACAAACAAGGTTTTCTCAAGGGCCCTTTTGTTCAGGTAAATATTGTTAAATATAATATACCATAGGTACAAATGACTTATAGATCAACAATACGATTTTATTTAAAGAAATAACTAAATGAAAAAAAGGTCAAATGTGAAAAGAAAAATGTTAAGAAAACGTTACAATAAATAAAGAGATTAAAAACAGCCTGATAGGATGAAGTAAACATTTCATAGAAAGAAACATTTAGAACTAACCTGGAAGTTGAGGAAAATCCCGTTCGTCTTTTCGCTGAGTTGCAGGTTGTTCCTTTCGACACACCGTCACTGTGGCCTCTTCATCTCGTTTTCTATTTTGAATCTCTGGTGTTATGACAGTCAGTTTGCTTTTAATGTCTTCTTGTGCATCGGTCATTTGATCGTGAATGCAGTGGAAGAAGGTTTCAGTTTTGGGTGACAAAAATCGTCTATGGAATGATTTCTGAAATTCAAAATACACATTGAATAATCACACTCTTATACACGAAACTCCTGAAGTGTAAAAGAAGTGTTGATGAATTTTAGGAGGAACAAAGTTTCGAGGATAATTTTCAGCAAGAAATGCAGCAAAAAAAGATTCTGTCAAGAAGGCCCTGCCAATCACTAGACTATTTTATAAAACAGCATATCAAACGAGCTCCTTTATGCATAAAGTTCTGATGGTCATAACTTGTGCCCTATGCATTAAATGGCTGAATAAAAAGCTTACAGTTACCATTAGCTCTAGAACAAGCTCTTCGTTTTGGAAGTAAACTGTCATCCTTTTTCAATTTGCAATCAAATAATTTCAAAACAAAAAAGAATAGAACACGCTAAAAACTCAAACACAATTAACACTTGATAAAATTTGAAAATTGATTTATGCACATTTGGTTATGCAGTGATGCAGTGATGCAATGATGCAGTGATGCAGTGATGCAGTGATGCAGTGATTCACGTGATGCACATTCATTGGCGTTTGAAAAAGAGCTGAACAAACGATATCCTGAAATTTGAGCCAACACAACAGAAAGTTATACAAAAGCTTCCTCTGTGTACGTCTTTGTAAAAGACGTAATAAATAAATCTATCCCACCTGAACCATGTCATTGCCACCCTCTAACAGCGCAATAGCTAAATGCAGACACTCTAAGAACACTGCATGGCTATGATCCCCAATAATAAGATCAATCACTAGATCCGTTGCTCCATTTTCATCTAACATTGACTGAAGTTCAGGTAAAGTCAGGCCCGATCTGAGACGGCCATTTGAACTTCCTTGGCTGGTCGTAGCAACTATTTTGCCCGGTGAGATTGATTTTGTTAAAACAGCATCCATTTTGTCAATCATGTTGTAGTCAGAGTGACCAAAATATCTCGTCAAAAGAACTACTCGTAGTTTGTTACCCTTGAGAACAGAGAAGAAAGATTTCACCTTGTAATGACACTGAACGGTACTAAAATGTTTAGCAAATGATACAATAGGCAAGGTTTTTGTTGCACTTTAAAAGCATCTGACTGGTAAACAACATTCTACCTTGGTAAATTGCATGACTGAAGGTAAGTTTAATTTAGTCTCACCTTTTCTTCAAAATTTGTGTCAAGCTCTAGAGTTTGTTGCAGTACTCGTAGGATCCTCAAGCATAACACCTCATTCTCCTTTGTCAAAGCTTTTGCATGCTGAATCATTCTGCAAAATTGAAAATCAAATATAAAATTTCTACTTGGTATGCATAAAACAGCTAGCCCTGACATGATATTTTTTCGAAAAACTAACTGAAGTTCAAGTATATCGAAAAACTGTCACTGTATCGACTGCCATAGATGAAATTTTCAGTGTAACGATTCGCTGTACTATACTGATATATTCAAGTTGTCAGAAATAAGACTGCAACAAAACTGAGACGCCTCCTTTGGTATCAAAATGCAGTCTATATCTCGACGATAGCAAGAAGCCTTTTCCTATAATTATAGCCTTGCGAAGACGGATTGGATTTGAATACGGCAAACAAGACATACTTGGATATAAACCCGCCGTCAATAGCTTTCTTTCTGTTGTCAGAAGAATGAGGGAAAAGCATATGGGCTCTGTAGATGACGTCAACCAGCACAGAAGACTCGGCTTCAACCAGAGGCCGCAGTTGATCTTCCAGCAGAGCAACAATGTCCTGGTGAAAAATTTTATAAAAAAAATGAAGAAATCAAATAACATGAAATATGCAAAGAATGAACAAAAATGAACAAAATGTTTTTCAGTGAACAAAAATGTTTAAGGCTAAAGTCTATAGTATCACTGAAGTATTAGCTATGGAATTGCTCCCCAGCAAAGAAATTGGATTCGTAAGAAGATACATGAACGACTGAAAACTTGGGGCAAAAGCTCTTTATGACAAATAATCCCGAAATAGCAAAACGTTCACTTTTTAACTTGTGCTACTCCCTGAAATTTCTATCGGCAGTTTCTAGATTATTTGAACTATATTTTGACATTTTGCAAATTTTTTGTTAATAATGCTTAAAGACACTATATCCCGAAGCATTTCATTGGCCATTTAAATCCCCATTGGCTAGACTATACAATAGACCTATTGTTACGGAGCCAATCGGCTAATCTTCAACGTTTTCTCGATTTTAAACACGCTGTAAAGCCTATTGTTTATTCTAAACGGTTAACTGACGGGACATAGTGCTGGAAATATACACTCTTACCATATTGTCAAGATACTGTAGAACATTCTAGTTTAATCTCTCATATCATTCTAGTATATTCGTAGTATTAGTTCAATTCTATTTTCCGCAAAAATATCTACTTCCGCTTGCTCGAGCCTTCTGTAACGATACTTTTCGAGAAACTTCTAGAACATTACAATGAACATATAAAAGAGCATTGCTATATTAGGTTAGTTTGTTGCTCATATTACTACCTCTGCGTTAATCAAACTGCGTTAGTCTTTGGATACCTTCAACACAAGGTGATTTAACAATGTTACCATTCATAGGAAGAAAAACGAGAGCCTGCTGTAATTTATTTCAAGCATAACCAACAAAGAAAGTCCAAATCTAGATGTTTTTTCTACCTGCAAGCCCTCAATAATATTCCTGTAATCCTTCGACACAGTAATGATAATTGAATCTCGTCTTTGCCGATGGCTCATCCAATGCCTTGTATGTTTCAACACAAGCTTTGATCGATTGATAATTGCAATAATTTCTGTTTCCAGATCGTTAGGAATTCCAATACCCCGTGTCTTCGCTGCGGAAATAATAAAAAAATAGCAAATAAAATCCAAATAACAAAAAAACGAAAAAAAGAGTTTTTCAAACATGACTTTAAAATTTAAAGCCCATATGCAAAAGCCAGACTCTAATGCATTTTCCCAAAATCTAGTCTCCAGTAAAGAGGAATTTAAATTCAAAAGTCAAGAATGGGCAATCCTGATAATTAGAAATAATTGCTAGTGGGATAAATGCCAAGCTTAATTTTACTACTTTAATATATCGTTTTTTAAACTTTTCTGTAGACTTCTCAACTGATCAACAAAAATCTTTTTGTGTTGCCTCAGGTAGTTCAAAGACCGGGCAACTTAGCGTTAAAGGTAATAGAAATTATCGAAATTAAAGGGCGAAAGTGAATAAAATTTGAAAATAGAGCAGAACCAGGCGGTGTTCTGCAATTCGAGCCAATACAAAAGAAACTGACAGAAATTCAAAAGACCTACCTATTCCTGCGAGATTTTTGATGCAGCCTTCTACATGGAATTTTTGTTGACCCGAAATCCATTTGCACTGTGATAGCCGGTACAGACTTGAGAGCAATCGGACGAAAATGGGCTGACGAGCCTAAATTTTATAATAAAGATAAGCAGTGGTTACCAAATCACAACGTTGAGTATTCCCATCATACTATTGTAATACAAATCTTGGAGCGGGCTAAGCATGTTTACTGGTATACATCCACGGAGTTTTAGACAGACCCAACAAATATTATTTTGATCACTGAGATAGCAAAAATACTAGTTAGATAAAAATATAAAACTCATATATTAGTCACAAACCCAAAAAGGCAGCCGCTATCGACAAGAAAATGGCAAATTTCAAAATTCCTAACAAAAAATAATAGCCTGCTAGTTACTAAAATAGCAAGCCCAGAAAATGTAGAATAATCACTGTCATTGTTTCCAATGAATGGGCTTGTTTTTAAACCTTAAGTTGTTTTCTTGAAAGAAAATTGCAAGAATATTTAACCATAGCTTATCCATAGTTTGCAGGGGGCGTTATCGGAAAGTGATAAAATCAGTAATAAAATCTTCAGTTAAAATTGAAAATAATCTTATGCGGTAAAAGAAAATATGGAGTCATAGCAAGCTCAGATTGAAAGCCTTAACACTTTGTGAGATTTTAGAGCTCGTTAACCAACCTTAATGGTTGTACTTGTTTCTGAGAAAGGAGAGTTGAAAAAATTCGTCAATATGCTTGGAACAGCCTCCGTGACGAAATTTTCAAGAAGAAGGTCAGCATGTTGTCTGTTGTGAGTTGTGTTGGCAACCTAAGATAAAAGAATATCTATCAAAAACAAGAATCATTCAGAGATAAGTTATACGAGCGCCAGTTAGGAACAACCTGCTTCAGCTAAGACAGCTTGATGGATTTTCTATGTTCGCAAACTGATCTAACTACCTATAAGAAATCACTCAAGTCAGAAGGCCACTGTGAGCTTGCTTTTTGGGGCTTAAACTTTCGCTCGGATTGGCAAAGAAAACCTATTTACACAATTAATGATCGAAAGTCATGCAAACATGATCGAATTCAATCAAATTATAAAATCAAAATTTGGGTGATTTAACGCGAACAGTGACTGTAGTTAAACAATGGCGAGTTTTTGTGACACAATCCCTTCTTGATAAAATAAACTTCAACAGTCATCGTCAAGCTTCAATATTCTTATAGAGCACTAAAAATACAAACTTACCATGCCTTCCAAATAGTTAAAACAAAAGGTTAAATTACGCTTTGCAGCATAGCGGAAAAATCATGATTGGCTGTTATTTGATACGTGATTGGTGGATTTCCTGGGGGATTCCCCAGAAGAGGATCGCGCCAATAGCCAATTAAGATCTGTCTGCTATGCTAACACTTTGTGTCAATAAAAGACATGTGAGAGATCATTCAAGAAGTTACTTATTGAAGATACAGGGAAAAAATATCAGTACCTTTGCCATGTCAACCATAAATTCTTCAAACAATGTCCAAATGTGTGTGCTGTTGTAAATCTCTTTCATCTCAACTTCAGTATCAACATAACAGTGATTCAAGAAATTGATATACGAAGTTTTAACCTGGAAAGTAAACAATATGTCGATCAATTTGATGATCAAAAAAGATCATAAAGTTCACTATTTATTCTGGCAAAATGATTTTAAGAAAGTTATATCGATCAAATATTGCAATAAAAAGGTAACAGAAGTAGAGTACTTTCAAAAGCATAACATTAAAAACAATTCTATTGACTTTACATGCACATTAAAAAGTACCAAGCAACGAACATTTAATCATTAAAGGAACATTTTGCCTACTTCTGACCTTTCAACAGTAATAAACATTGAAAAACCCACCTTTAAGGCGACAGTTGTTATCTTATATGAAACTTCATTAAAATACGGACAGCAAAAAGCGATGGGTAAGATAAAATAATGATTAAAGCCAAACATATCAAGCGTGAAGTTTTGTAAAGTATTAGTTATAGCAAAAGCAAAAATTAGAAAATAACCTCCGGAATGCAGTCTGGGTGTGTCACTATTCGGACAATATCATCTAACGGCAGCAAACTGTGGCATTTGATTTCCGTATAAACATTCTTGCCTTCGGTGCAGCAAGCCAAGAGCGTGACAAGGTTGATGTGGTAATTGAGAGGGCCGTCAGGGTCCATTCTTTCTCTCTCTGACTGCATCATATCCAGCAGATTGGCAAAAGACGAATGGTCATTGTAGAAGACAAGGACGTCGTCACCGACACTTGCCAGCTGAAAGACACAGAACAGATAAAAACTTCCAATAATGTCATATAAAAACACAACAAACACAAATTCAAAAAATCAAAATTCAAAGTACCATTTTGCATTCACAAAAGAAACATATTTTTCTATAAACATCTTGAAGAAAAAAGAGGATACAGATTGGGTAAAAACATTGTTTATTTTAAAAATCTTTTATGAATGCTTTTAGAAAGTATTGATAAATTAAGATATACAAATAAAAGTAAAAAACACTACCTCTGCCATAATTGTATCTTGCGTCTTTCGTATCAGTTGATTTTCTGCTTTCAACAGCGTCTGAAGAAGCTGCAAATACCTAACATGTTTACCTCCAGATTCGATTGCGTGCACAATCTGTTGTACAAGCGATTCTGACACCTCATTACACAATGCCACGTTTTCCATATAAATATATCGAATCGTCTCTGCTTCCAGTAACTGCCAAAACAAAAAGAAAGCGATCAGATTTCAGTGAAAGCACTATAGGCCTAGCTACCAACGTTATACGACCGTTTTTTTAATTGCAAGCCATTCACACGAAACAATTCACACTGTAACATTGCAAAAGTTGTAAAAACTGAATTGTTGAAAGAACTTTAGTATGACCTTCCTTGCTGCATTGGTTTGAAGAAAAAAAGAAGCAGATTTTATATCTTTTAGAAAAAATCTGAACTTTCTTAACAGTATTAATGGGATTTTACATAAATTTTTCCAATATGAATTCGATATTGAAACTACAGAAATAAGGAATATAAGGATCATAAAACTACGGATCATACTTTCAGCAATTTGTTAAAAATTCAAATAATAAAAATATTAAGTATTGTAAGAGCAAAATAAATATTTCTAATAGCTGGCTGGAGCATTACCAGTTGCCAAAAATAAACAGTTCAACGTAGAATGCGACAAAAGGACTGAAGACTCACCCCTAAACCAGATGAGAGAAACCTATCGACATACTTTTGCATTAGGGCTTGGTTTTGTGGGTTGCAAAAGCAAAAGTTTTGCAGGAATTTGTGCGCTAATTCCATGATTTCTCGCATTCGCATGTCCGACTAAATACAAAAGAAACGAACTATTAGAAATGAGCAAGAATCTAGAAGATATAAGCTACAAATTAAAGACACTAGCTTAATTATGATAATTTATTCAATCGAATTCTTTTAGGTACAGGCCTCACTTTGCCTGTGTCTTTATGAGCTTATGTCATGTTTAAAGTTTTATTTGGAGCCTCTTTTTTGCAAAGGTATTTTTTAGCCAAAATGCATTGTGTATTCACACCTACATACACAAATGTTATTCAGTCACCAGAAACCAGACACCCTTATTTTTAATTGTTTATTGAGAAGACTCGTTTGGTTTCAGCTTGTTTGGTGATGATGGAATGATGAACAAATCAAAAAGTAAAATTGACGATAATGAAATCAAAAATTGCTTATATGAAAGCTTCCCCTTTATTTTCAAAACATGATTTATAACCATATGGACATGCTGATGTATCTGTTTGGATAGCAAAAAAACCTTAAACCAGCAAACCAGCTGCAATGACACAAACATGTAAACAGAACACAAATAGTTTAAAATTGCAGCGTTAACATTAAATTATTATTAGCAAATCAAACAAGAAGTTTCCAAACCTTTTCGAATGGAATCTGAAGAAGATCCAACACAACTGTATATGCACCCATGTTTTTGAGAAGTCGCTGCTCGTGTTTTCTACTCTGTTTTTGATCTTTTGTCAAACAAAGATCGCAAAATCTTTGAATTATCTACGGAAATAAATAATGGACAGTAAAGATATCTTTACTCACAAACCTATCATGAATATAAACAATACTTTTAATCTACAAAGCTTAAAAGTAACACCAAGGTCCCTATTCATATTAACTCCCTTCACAAACTGTTGAATGTTATTCTCATAGTGGGGTATGCCACGAACAACAAATAAGCCTTCAATCCCATTTTTACTCATGCTTAAAAAGCAAAAACATTATTCCAAGAAAAACAAAATTAAATTACTCTCAACTTTCTATTCAATAACATCCATAAAAAAACCTAAACAAGAAGCAAAAATAAAGGGTTTGGTTCGATTGAAATAAAATCAAAGCTGATCACCATTACTGGCTGCGTTAAATGATGAGTGCCAAAAGTTCTGGGATCGATGAGGCAAATAATTTTACAAACCACAGTAGATATTTAGATGTATATTTTATGTCATGCTTATTAATATAAAAACAACAGAAATTGTCAACTTGCCTCTGCCACGGCTGCATAATTCTTACTTGAAACGGCTTCAAGTATATTTGGATCTGTTTCACCATCAAGAGATTCACTAAAATGACGGGTTCTGAACTGCAAGAAGAAATATTACATAGAGCAAGGCGGAATTTTTTTGTCGACCAAACAGATACTTTGTTTTCAATTTACAAAACTCTGCCTTGCTTTCAAACGGTCTAACAGCAATAAAAATTAAGTTGAATATGTTAAATGAGCCGAAAGTCGAATACATCAATTCATCCTCGCTTTACTATTCATTATTATTATGTTCATCAAAACATAAATATCCTGTAAGTTATACCAAGACCGTAAATCCTCGAATAAGCCCCCACGCTCGAATAAGCCCCCTTCCTCGAATAAGCCCCACTTAAAAATCATTTTTGCAAATAAGCCCCCCCCTCGAATAAGCCCCCCCCCTCGAATAAGCCCCCGTGGGGAGGCATAATTGCAGAATAATATCTTATTTCAAGAAGCCCCCACAGGACAATAGCTATACAGTATTACTTCCTTTGACTGGAGACCAAAAAGCAAACAAGCGACTTTTGTGATGATAAAAAATTATAATATTTGTTAGATCTTCACACAGCACTTTGTAACTCTTTTAATGATATCAGAAATCATTATTGACTGTTAAGCTTTCTATGCAAAAAAGACTTGTAATTTTTATGTAATTTTTCAATCTATTTCATTCAGAAAATTAATGTCGTTTATATGTCGACCTTTGAGGAAAATACTAAACTTTAGATAAGCCCTCCCCCCTCGAATAAGCCCCAACCCAGAAATTCATTTTTGCAAATAAGCCCCTGGGGGCTTATTCGAAAGTTTACGGTATTGGTTTGCTAATAAAAAAATATTCCATTGATTGCTACATAAAAGATGTTTCAGACAATTTCAAGAATTCTCTTTCTGCTGTTCTTACGGCATAAACAGAAAATCCATCAAAAACTACAGAATAGAATACTTATCCAGAGTCCGACTGTCCTTCGGTCATTTTATAAAGGTGCTTATGAGAATTACAGGGTCAAAGGATCTTATATTAGGTTCTTGAATAGTAATGTATTTCAAGTATTTGATTAGTAACTTGTCCTAGATGATTAGTCCTAGATGGATTGCAATATTTGCCATGTTAGTAAAAAGGGCTTAGGGTCTATCCTTAAAAAATCCTTATAATTTGCCAGGCTTTAAGCCAGTCTACACAAGAATAACAGTCTATTCCTAAATTTTTAGGTTCATTCTTGCAGGTCTTTCTCGAATCCGAATATTTTTCCAATATGAATAAGACTATACTTAACTATAGTTAATTACTATAAAACCTGGTGAATAAAATTCTTACTAATGATGACTCTGTGCTCTCAGCGACGCTTCCCTCTTCCTGCAACAAAGAAACGAAATGATGCTTAAATACAAAAAGCATGTTTGCACCCTATATATCTGTGTATAAATGTATTATCACAAACGAGTTTTGACACTTTACGCTATCTCGATGAGGTAGGAACTTTACGTCAAAGCACGGACAATCACTTTAAGGCTGCCCACTATAACATGGTAAAATCAGGCACTGAAGCTCTTGTAAAGGCTTTCAGCATGCCTCAAGCATGTTCTTACAATCCCTACAACAGGATATCAAGCATTACGCCAATAGCTCTCTTAACCGACACTTGCAAATAAAGATAGCCTACATCCCTTACAAAGAAAGTTGCTTAGACAATTGCGGTGTCCATGGAGAATCCGCATAACTTTAAGTTATTATGCATTAAAAATCAATAATAGCAACAAATCATAAAAAGCGACTGATAACCTGAGCTGAAGATATTGAATCTCTTGTCTCTATTTTCACTTGCTCGTTGCCTCTGTTATCAGTCTTGTCATCGAGACCTAAAAGTTTGCTTTTCCTCTTCTTCAATCCAGGGGGCGGGTTCAATGATAGCGATTGACTTTTGCCTTTGTACACCCAAAGTTCAGACTTCTCAACAAGAAGTCGCAGTTCATCCAAGTCTGACTTAATTTGCTTGTAATTCTCAACGTCTTCGTTTGAAACTAATAGTTGAACCTGGGATACGAAATTCACTGCATAAGTCAGAGTGTTTGAAGACACATGATGGCAGTTTCAGAAAGTGAACCTATGCAATATAAGCAAACACCCACTACATTTATAAATAAAAGATAACATAGTTTAAAATATACGAAAAAAGCTTTAGAAAATGTTGAGTTTGAAAACTTCAGCTTAAATCAAATAAACGAGGAACATAAAATGAAGCATTATTCCAAAATTTCAAGATATCAGCAAACTAGTTTATTCAAAACATAATTTGAATAAAACATATTTGGAATTGGAAGTTGACAAAAATGTATTAGAAAAAACATGTTACCTGCTTGAACGCTTGTAGAACTTCCTGTCGCTGGCCAAAGTGTCTTAGGAGCAGCTGCAATGACCCCGTCACAAGTGGAGCGTACTCGTGCATTGAGAGGTGTATTAGAACTCGAAGGAACATCCTTCCTCCACAGCCATCAAGATCAAGGTCTATATTTCCTTCCCTGAATCAACGAAGTTAGTAACATCCTTAGGCAAATTGACGGAATTTGTAAAAAATCTATAAGGAACAATTCTAAAATATTTGATGGTCTTGCAAAAAATAATCTGTTTGCTTCTATGTGCACTTGAAGGGGGCTGTATAAACCTGAGTAAACAGATGTAGAAATTTCAATAAAATGAATCGACGAAAAAGGATATAGAAGCAAAATTATTCTTAGAACATTACAATAAATTACATTGGTGTAAAGACTATAAAAATAAAAATAATAAAATTTTGTCACTCACATTGTCTCGAACATCTTCTCCGCTTCGAGACTGATATTGTCAAGATCAATTCCTTTGAAGAGGAAGATTTCAATCAAAAATGAAATTTATGAAAAACTTAAATTTTTAGCAAGTACTAGTTTTCTTATAATTCTACAACATACTTGTTCAATTTTAATTTATAAGTTCAATCAATTTTAATCACTCAGGATTCTATAACTTCATTCAAAGCCCTTTCCATAGGCTTTAAATAAAAACTAGGTTGTAATTCTAAACAACGCGCGCGAAGAGAAGGGGTTTTGAAACCATGAAATATGCACATACCTCCACTTTCATTGTTGCCAGGCTCACCGCTGTTCTCGTCGAAATCTCGTTTAAAGATGGAGAGCAAAGTCGACATTCGAAAATCAAGACGAACATTCATGATGTACTCCAAAATCTCCATTATTTTCAGTTTTGTGTTCATGACAACCAAGTCTACTTGGTTTCCGGCTTTTATACTGGGTGGAGATGTAGATTTGGGGCTTTCTGGAAGGCAAAGGTGAAAATGCTTCAAGCAAACTTGATAAATAGCAAAGTTATTTAATAGCATGATAATAAATAGCATAAATAGGATGGTAAATAACAAAAAACCATTCCTTACTGGAAAGCATTCATAACATAAGCAGAACAAACAAATGACAACATAGGTAACGCTATTGAAATAAATGAGCAAAAATCCAACAAAACTGATAACAAAACAAACCTGAAATTGCGTCTAATATGCTAAAATGCGCTGATAACATAAAAATTGATTTGAAATTGTCTTTTAAACATGTAAATCTTATATGTGGAATCTACAAAGATGAGTATGAGAGAAAACATGTCTAACTGTCATGATTTCTTGTAAGATGTCAACTCTTGCAGGAGATGCAGTAAAAGACAAGGCATCAATGCTGAATAACTGCATGAAAACAGATGCAGTTAAAATAAAACAAATTGATAACCAGGCAACAATGAGGTGAGTTTTGAGCAGAAACCAAAAGATTACCTATTTTAGCTACGTCCGCTACTGCCTTTGGTTGGAAATTTTCAAACGGTGTGGCCGATTTCCCAAGGGCCATCTTCGTAACTACGGCCCCAACAGTTTGAAGAGACCTGTATACGTCATGCCTCTTCTGTGTGCCTTTCAAAAGAGTAATTTTAGTAATTAACCGTCATGCTCCCTTCGATTAAGAATTATTTCATTCCGTACAGGACTACATTTAAGAACATGAAGAAAAAACTGAGACCCAAGGACAATGAAATAAATACTATGATTTGCTATTCATTTCTATAAACATAGCACGGAAAAGTGAAACATATTTGATATAAAGGAAACTTAGTATGCTATGCATCTCTTCTTCGGTTCAATTCTGCTGTATCAAAAGCTTATTTGGTAGTTCATTTCTTCGATGAAACGAATCGATATTCTGTGACGCAAACATCATGTGACGCTAAATCCTCTTCATATATATTCAATTCTAATTCAGTCTTATTGCAATATTTCTATGAGCAGTTTAGTCGATCCACATACCTACTGTAGCTATATGCACCCCTTCTTCTCCGTCTAGAATCACCAGTAGCATCTTCGTCAATCGTAAGAGATCTTTGAATCCATAAAACCCAAAGCGAATCAAATATCGTGCGATTTGGACAACCTAAACAAAAAACGTTTCTTGGCTTCAGTGTGCTTTGTTCGGAATCCGGTATCTTAGGTACAAATAATGAACATATACAACTATAAATATTGGCGAACTGAGAAGACAATCGAAAAATTTCGGGATGGGGGCTTATTCGAGGGGCAGCCTGTTCGAAGGTGGGGGCTATTTAGCAGCAGCCAAAAACAGGGTAAAATTTCTTCCTCTATTTGAGGCTGGTCAGTATGCTTTAAAATGCAGATTTTTTCCTTGGTTATACTTGGTTTTAACACCCGTATACATCCAATCAAATGCTGAAGTGGTGCATTCTTTACCCTTGCATAGCTATTCATTAAAGTAATAGTACCGTTCCACCAAGATAGTACCTCTATACGGGTACTGAAAATGATAGACAAAAATAAGAATCAGCAGACCTCATATGTCAGTTTATTTTGCTCTGCATCGTTGAATCCTCCACCTTTTGAGTTGGCAATATTCTGTAGATAGTTTTCAACAAACTGCATCGTCGGCAGAAAACGATAGCTGTTACTAGGGTTATTTTCTCCACACAATTCTTCCCTCAACTGCGAGTCGTATCTACAAAAGGTGTCGTGTATCAGCGTTATTATGGTGAAAGGAGCACCAAACGTTATTGTCTTTCTACGCGAACAGTACGAAACCGTTTAATGACGGACAGATTACTTTGACGCGTCACGTGGATGCTACATTATACAGAATCAAAGTTGTCAAAAAATTTCGGTCCACTTCAAAAAATTCCTTTTTTAACTCTATTAGACTAAAGGCATGAGGTAGATATTTTTTACACTTACACTCTGACAATAGGGCAGGATTACTGGGCTGGTAATGGTTGCAAATAACAAATTCGGTAGGTAAAGATGGCAACTAATAACGATGATAAGCAAATTTAGCAACAATTTGCAAAATGATTAGTTTGTAAGAAAATAAAAATGTATATTGAATAATAATGAATAATGTAATTGCATATTGAATAAACGTACTCCTCAACAGAATGCTCAGCGGGGATTTTTGACCATAGCCTTGCATATCTGACTGGTTGCACAGGTTCTTGGGGATCTCTATCGATGTGCAAATGCAGCAACAAACGACAAAAAACAGCTCGTAGGGAACATGGGAGCTGCTCGTCGGCAATACATCTAAAAGCGAGATAAAATAAAACCAAATCAATAAAATCTTGAATAATTTGTCAAAAATGTTTAGCTCACAAGGAAATTGGAAACCCAACGAAAACAAAAACAAATAAAAGATTAAAATGAAAATAAAATTTTTAAGAGAAATGACATTTACACGAGAGAGTCAGAACTGTTCTATAATGGTTGTAGTCCGTTAGTACACTGGAAAAAGACGACGTCAAATAGGACTGCCTGCAAAGCAGCTGGGTTACATGCATTAAATGTACAACCAAGTGTTATACATTTGCAGTTATTAATTATAACTGCAGAACAAGTACGTCATGTATCGTTATAAGTAAAATATATGTGCAAAATCTAACTTAATTATCCTTAAAACATTGTTCAATTAATAGAATAATTTACTTTGACAGCTTGCCTTTTCTTACAGAAATGCTTTACTAAGATAATAAGCTGCTATTCAATGAAATTTGGACGTGAAATTCTCAAAATAACAAATATCAACAGAAAAAGATAGAAACCTTACATTGCTGGCATAAAGTAGTATTACAATGATGCCAATCAAAAGATTCTAACAAGAACTAAATTATGAAACTGAACTATATTGAGTTCTATTGTAGAAACTTAGACATATTCTTTTATAGAACTGAATCTTTTATAAAACACTCATGAAATTAAAAGTTTAAATGCTGTATTTAGCATCTAAATATCACTAATTCTTCTATACACTCATACAATTTAGATTTGCTCTGAATATGTTATGTCAAGACATGAGGTAATTCTGTTTTGAAGAAACGTGAGCTCTTTAAAGATTGGTTGTGTCGCAATAACGACAAAAATGCAAGCTTGTTTCAAAAGATTACTCAAACATACTCTTATGTTATCTCAATTCCTAAAATTTACATAAAATACTATAGAAATAAATAAACTAATAAAATATCAGAAGACAGCAAAAGAAGATTTGTTCAATAATAAGCAACAAAAGCTTTAAAAGAAGATTTTGGCTAAATCTTTCCTCAAATATGAAAACTAGCTGCAATAATATAAAACTTGTTTGCAGACTAAATCTTGCTACCTACAGCTTGCCATCAACTACCAACTACAATCATCAATTCCTGGTGAGAAATCTACAAAAAAACAGATTCAAGTGAGAAGATATCAACGAACTACGAAAACTTCAAAGTGGTAGGCCCATGTCAAAACTTGTTTCTTCAACTGAGAAATGCACTTGCTACCTATCTTCATCTGTGAATACTCTGAATTATAAACAGTCTTGCTATATCTACAGTGAGACTTCAAAATAACGAAAACTAACTGGATAAATGTTGCAGTCTGTTTAGTCTGGTACCTCAAGAGTACTTCTACAAGAATTTTATCATGGAAAGGTTATTTTAAAAACGCAATTATTCGTTCTCTATTTAGAGGTCTGTTATTGCATAGTTTCCATTGAATTAAGCCGATTGCATATTCTAGTCAACTAGCAAAAATGTGGAATACTTTAAATGATTGATTTTCATTCAGAAACATCAACGAAACACACGACCGGTTATAAGGTACAGGGGTTTTTTCCCCTTTTGTTTGGACACTTTATTTAAAAGCCAAACTAATGAGTTTTTCATACTTGAAAACTGCGAAAAGACTTTATCATAACAAACTGTCGCATTACGTCACAAGAAATAATCTTCTATACACCAAATATGAAAAATTCAAAATAATCTACTCAGGATAGAAAAGATATCCAGTTACCTAAGCATCAGGTCGATGTCCAGTTGTTTGCTTATGCTATTGATGGCAAGATACTGACGATCTAAGCACATCTGTGCAAACAAATGAAGTTGGTTTCTAGAACGAAATATAACGCCTGTTGTGAAAATCAATCAAGGCTGTTGAATTACGCATATTACAACTGCATAAAATGAATTTTTCCATCATGACGAGAAAATCGTCTGGACAGAAATTTTGTAGACAAAACAAAATGAGTGGAATATATGCATCGTGAAGCTACAATGTATGCAGAAGTTCAAACGACAGTACCGTAAGTCCTCGATTAGGCACACGGAGGCTTTTTTCGCAAAATAATTTCGGTGTAGGGGCTTATTCGAGGGGCGGCCTCTTCGAAGGCAGGGGCTTTTTCAGGAATTAAAGTGTTGTTGTGGTACTTACGCACGTGACAGGGGGATATGGGAAAATTAATCGCTCGATAAGAATGATATAAAATCTATTTTTAATATCAAACCTACAATGAATGAAATCAACTACAAATTTGAACAGAGTTTCCAGGAAATCTCTCAGGGGTTCTTTCTTTTCCTTTAGATTCCCTTCTGAGAGTTTTCCCATCTTTTATCCTCCAGTCTTGAATTTTCACACGAGAAACCGTAAAATATTAATGATTATAGATATTTTAGGCTTTTTTTCTTGGTTTTCGAATGAAAAGGAAACCTCGTAATCGCTGGAGTCCATTTTAGGAAGTAAATGAATTGTAAAAAGATAGAAAGGACTTCCTTTACTTCAAGACGATACAATGCTTTAAACACAAGGGTAAAATGTAGCAAATTTTGTGCAACATACAAGTAAAAACTGAGGATGCTGACGTCATCTGGCAAATTGTTTCGAGCTCCTCTTGCTAGAGCGCGCTGAGATTTCATTTGTGTTCCTTCCTTCCAGAACAAATAAACATCGTTTTCAAACACCCTTGAAAAAATTTTAATCATCAGCAATAAAAGATCTACACACGTGAAGAAACAACATTGCCCTCAGCTCATTTATTCAACGAACGTATTACACTAAGCTGCTGAAATATCACCATAGGAGAAAACCATTTGACAATATTCTCATGGAAAATAAAATGAAACTAAAGCTTGGTTCATACAGATCCAATCGTGTGGAAACGGACACCAGGTACTCAAAGCTAGAATTGGCTGAAATGTTTTTTAGCAACATAATTGACAGCGTTTTCCATAGCATGGCTCTATAGAAATCATGCGATTTTAAAAGTACGCCGTTTGAAACAGTACGGCGTTTGAAACAGTACAGCGTTTTGAACAGTGAAGCGTTTTAAACTGTACGGCGTTTTAAACAGCGAGGCTTTTTAAACAGTACGGCGTTTTTAAAAGAACATTGTTTTAAGTCAATCTTGTTGATGTTGAAAAATATGAACTACTCTGCTGCTTCGAAAATACAAGGTTTGTTTATTGCGCGTTGGCGTTTTAAAAAGCAGTATTCAAACTTCTGTATTCAAACTTATCTAAATTTTGGTGCAATAGTTTCTATGATGCATAGGGGTTTGGCTCTCTAATTCCCTAGTAATTGCAAAGTTATTAGAGTAATTGCCAGCACTGTATGGAACTAATTTTCCCAAACGAAACATCAATTCCTACAGAATCCCCCATCTATCATGCAGAGATGTCAGTTAAATTTTTACCAAAGTCTACGCAAAGAATCAAGATAACTAAAGCGTTATTGCATGCCATACCTTGTTTCAATCAAAAGATCAACGTTTCGAGGATGCAGAACGGACTTGCAAATTAGCTCTTGCATTGACGGAATGGCAGTGTCGTTTGAAACACAGAGATCCGAAAGATAGTCCAAAAACCTACAATATACGCAAATATTGGATAAACAAGAAAATTCATTCCAAATACAGAAAAAATTCAAATGCACTTAATTGAAGTAAGAAAAGTAATTCAATAATCAGAACTGTTTGCACTTCAACTTCGAATATCTAATAACACCAATCTGGAGTTTATCAACGATAATAGTTTCACCTATTTTTTTTGGTAAGTTAACAAGCAGCATTCTGACAACATAAGATGCTTAAGCAGCCTTCAAGACATAGTTTTGTAACCTCCATTACCTGTGGTCTCTCTTTCGTCTTACAAGTGTGACAAAAGTCTCAATTTCTTTCGCTGTTATATGCTTTTCAAGCAATTTTCTGTTATTATGCACCAAATCTGTTATTGTCTCTTCTGCCAACAGATCATAACCAATTTGCGATTGCATGAAACCGAACTGTTTTGCGACGTATTCCTAAAAAAAATACCTTAAGTTGTTCAATCAATGTTAATGGCCTAAATCAGCCACAATGTTGCCACGTGTAGAACAAGTAACCTAGGTGCCGGAAATATATCCCAAAATAAGTCTCCGAAGAAGAAGCATGCTCAGAAGAGGATGCTTTTTGAGGCCCTAGAGCCGGTGTAAATTGACAATTAAAATATGAAACATAGGGCTTGACCGATATAAGATCAATGATTTTAATTATCAAAGCTTGAAAAGGCAAAAAATTGAGGGATTGTGCTGAACATCGATAGACGTAAAGCAAGATTTAGAATATCAGCACAATTTATTTAGAAAAGCTGCTTATCAAAACATGAGCCTTCAAAAATACAAAACACCTACGAGATAACAATACCAAGAAGATACGGAGCGATAAATTTTCGTTAGATGTAGAGACATTTTAACTGAATTTGCATTTAAATTTCCCAATGAAATTTTTTGCAAATACAATCGCGATAATATCGATGAATGTTGTTTATATTGCTTCTCGAAGAACGTTCTCCTCTCCTATACAGTAAAAGGTTCTAGAAAATCAGGTTTTTTATCTACAAAAGCACTAAGGTTGCTGCCACCTCCAAGGAAATACCAATTAGTATACGAATTTGACTAAATCGTCTTTGCAGAGTCGTTGAAGATTCTGACCAAAATAACAGAAAGCGAGCTTTGAATTTCAACATTGCACTAGAAAACGATTATTTTGAAGAAGAAGAATAAATTAAACCAATAGAGTGGAAATGTGATGACGTCACCAAAACTCTATCTTTAGAATCTTTTTATTTTTGACCATCTGAGCAGAAGGAGCCTGGTGCACTATCCGTCGATGTTCATAACAAATTTTATCTGTTTTGTTACAGATTCTCTTAAATGTGGAAAATGATTATTTGAAGTTTTTGTTAATGTGTACCTCAGGCACAATTAGAGGTATATTCATGGTGCCCTTTCACGTTATATGTTCGAAAACCCAAAAACGACGACAGTAAGAGTTGCGTTTTTACATTTCAGCTAGGGTACCTGGTTTTTGCGATAATCTTTAGAGCTGTTTCGAAGGAGCCTGTATGACAGCCTCAAAATATGTCTTATCGGTGCATTCCTTGTGTCTGACAGCTCGTCTATTTTCAGCATCGGACCACCGGCAGCTTTGTCAACAAACGGGGACTTCAGCAGTTGAAAAACCTACAGAAAAATAAAAAAAGCTGCTAGGAAACTAATAGCAAACAGGGATCTAGAATATGCTCATTTTTTATTAGATTACTTTACGAGAACGTTGTCTCAAGGTATAAAAAATGTTTCCAAAGGCAAAACATTTTGATTGTGAGCAGAAACTTTTAATGCAACAAATGTAAGATGTGACTAAAGTTTCTTGCTTATTTTGTTGTTAGTATGGTCCGTGTTTTATCAGTACACATCTTCTGTGCGAAAACAATGCGTTCGTTCGGCCTACTTTTATACATTCGAAACGAAGTGTAAATGAAGTTAACAACAAACAAAAAAACAAACACATAACCGTTTAACAACAAAAAAATCTGTATGCTTAAAGGATAATAATTTCCACTTGGCGAAATATTTAATTACTCAACTTACAATTGCGCTGACCTCCTATACATGAGTCAGTTATAGATTATAAAAGAGCACACATAACCATGATTAACATTTTCAAAGAATCATAATACTAAGATGAAAAAATTTATATCATATGTAGCGAATAAGCATCTTCATGAAAACTGAAGGAAGTTCATAAGATGAGTGTCTACTTGAGTTCAGTCATGTCTAGTTTACGAGGAGCTTCTGCAGACTGATAATTCTCTAAGTTTGATACCTACCGAATGTATAAAAAAGAACATCAATATATTGTGTAGTAAACTAAACTTTTAGGATACGATTGATGTTTTCAGGAAAATATTTTTAAAAATTCCTCTCGCTGTAAAAGCCCTTGTACCAATAATTAGATATTGACATTTCTAATTGTATACATTTCGAAATAATATCTGGCGTTTTAGATGAATTCTAAAAAAATCCTCTGCCAAAAACTCCAAGGGCCATAAATCTTTAAAATCAACAGTGAATTAAGCCGAGAAGAGCGAGTTCTTGAACTGCCACCCACCAGTTTCAGGACGTTTTGCTCTCTTGCTAGTTTTTGCCGCTCTCTGTCAGGTTTTTGGGATGTAATTGAAAGAACGTCTTGCTTGTTAGTTGTCATGTCCACGTTCAGCACGAACAGGTTGATATCTGTTAAAAGCTGTGTAAGGCTCCTGTAAATTACCGACAAATTAGTATGACATCGGACGACAGAGGTCATGCAGAATTAAAAAGTCAAAATACAGCCTATCAGTTGTACATAAAGTAAAAACAAGCCGAGGGAATACTAGTTCTACTAGTTTCTAAGGTTCTAATTTTGCTAGAATGAGAAAATAAGCTCTGGGATTACATAAAGGTGTGAAAAGAGGTGTTAGGCCGAAAAATATATCCCATCTTTAGCTCGAAAAACCTGTCATGTGTTACATTTTATCGCTGGTGTTTAAATCAATGCTCCATGGTTTATTAAAAGGAAAAGGGGCTTGGAAATACGTTCATTTTAGCAGATTTAAGGTTATGATCAATAATGAAAATACATTTCAGGTGCCTTCAACTGGAACAAAAAATACATCGTAATAACGCCGAATTCCGTAATAACGTCGAAGACACCTTCAAAGCAAAGAAAATAACTTGTACCACAACATATGTTCTTTTTCTATCATTCACCTAACAGGCACTTGTAAGATACACTTTTCAAACCAGTGACTGGGTAGTGTTCGTAGGACAAGAAGAGACTCAAGTATCTCATACTGTCACCTCACCTAACCAGAGGACAGAGAGCTAATTGCTAAATACTTTGGGCAAGCTATCTAGCCATATTCGAACAATACAGAACAATTCACAAATCTTTCATTGGGGTTTACAAAGTCTCCAAAAAACGTTTAAGCGTTTTTTGCGTACAAATCAATTAAATTTCAGACTCACTTTCGGTCAGACTGCGAGAAATGACCATCCTCCATCTTTTTACAGTTTTCAGCTACAGCTCGACTAGCATCATTCATGAAATCGAGGTCCCTAACTTCTTCCGCGTTCACGTGAGTTATAGCAAATGCTTCTTTGTCTTCTTTGATTACAGCAGTGCCAACCTACAGAAGAAAGCGGTTCATTTCAAGTTATAGAGAGCCACACGATGAGGTGATCGCAAAGAACTCGTGTATATGACGGCTAATTATTATACGATTGGCAGAGCTGGTTTGTGCCAAGGCGAGTCTGTTTGCGTTTCACATGACATTGTCAAAAATGCTTTCACTCTTCCAAAATAAGAAAAAGAAACAGAAAATAACTGTGGATTGTAAAGATTAATGACCAATCAATTTTCTTTTAAAACGTGTGATTAAATTTCATCCATTGCTGAATTTTGTTGGCAAAAAGTAAACTTTTTCAAAATTTTCGTTCTTCCGTTTTATAATCAATAGGAACCGTTACGTTTCAATCTTTTAAAAAGAACAGCAATGCTACATTTGGAATAGTAGAACAACCCTTTTATGTTGGACAGATTGTCTGGAAGCACGCTACCTTGGAGTTAGGGGATGACAAATGTTGTTGGCCTAAGTCCGTCAAATAGCAGGCTAACAAGATATGGAACTAGCATGAAACCTTTCTTGAAGATAATCTTAGTTACCTTGAGATGCCTGTGGCAAAGAAGTACCATTTCATTAGCCAAGCTAGAGCAAAGTTATCGAAAAAATTTAAGACACGACAAGGTTTCTGTTGTGCAAAAAGAAAGATTGGCTCAATAATATCGAGTTAAAAATACCTTGTGCATGACTGGTCGATCTTCTTCAGAGTCAATAGGAATCGACGTCGAGTGGACCCATGTATATGTGCAGACATGCTTTAAACGAACATACGATGACCTGCGGGACAAACAGTTTTCTATAAGGAGCTGAATGCAACGGCGGTTTCATTGGAAACCATAAAAGGAAGACAAAGGGAAGGAGGAAGGTTTGTTAAAAGTTCGAACTTCTTGCCTCCTTGCTTATAAGTGCAGATTTCGATTAAGTCAGGAAAAATAATAACGAGGATGCTGGAAAAAGACCTTTGCAAAATGGCTGACCTGTTTCAATATGGGACAGTAATTGTAGTTTCTAATAACAATAAAGCAAAGCAAAATATTTTCTATTAGCTGCATGTTCAGATGTCAGAAAGAACTGTTAAAAAATGGAGAATAGATTATCAATATGTTAGTTCTAAAAAATGATGATGATTAAAAATATCAATGCAGCATTTCTGGGAGCAAATAAGCAAACAAAATTTAAACCTGTTTACGAAGCTACAACGCCTGTCAAAATTACTTGGGACGTTGAACAGTTTGCCTTGTATTATTTTCTCTTAATTTGTTATTCAAAATACTACTAATTTCTTCCCCCTTCCTCTGGGACATTATTGATAGTCAAGGCATATCATATAAGCCGAACAAGAACGCACTCAGGAATACTTTTCTTTTTCGAAGCAAACCAACATTGATTCTAGGGGGGAAGGAGGATGGCGGAAATTGCCTTTGTAAACCACCGTTAGTGTTCCAAGACTTTTGAGGAGGGTTTGAGGTTTTTTCTACCAACAAGGCAGGTGGGCGTCAATCAGAACATCTTTGCATTGACGTTAATGCAATCGAAACGTTAGAGAAAATATGAGAAAATTTTAACCTATGCATATGCTTATCGCTGGATTGACCTTGATTTGAAAAGAAAAGATACACTCCTTTTAGCTGAAAGCTCTTGAAGTTTTACGAATTCATGTGGCAAACAAAATCAATAGTTAATGAGCCGAGCAGAAGGTCAACCAAAGTAGATTTATTTTCATTCAAAGAATTAAGATATTTTCTGTCAAATACAAAGAATCCCAGGCCCACCCACATCAACATGAAAATTTAATATTTTTCAATATTTTAAGAAGCGACAATCTAAGCTATTCCCTGATTGAAAGAAATATTTTACAATTTTTCTGTCTTTTAATGCACCAAACGTTTCAATATATACTTTTAAATTAATACTGCTTCAACCCTATTATTCATTCGATGCAAACAATTGAGAGAACCACTTTTTGTACTTGCAGCCAAACGACATTGAAATATAAAAGAGCTATACATGGCAAAGGGTAAATTTTTGTTTAAATCAATACTTCGTTAACTTTTTCTGTCATTATACACTCTTTGTGTCCATCAATGCGTCAATTAAAAGCTTAATCAGCAAAAATGATAAGGTGAAGTACTCACTTAGGAACCAGATCATCACTTCTCTGCAAAACCGTAGGGTCCAGTTCAAAAATCGAGGCAAGGTCATTTCCACTGTCAACAGAAATCAGCGTATACACAGGGTTTGAGCCACGAAGTTTGTTTCTGTTAGTATCCTTTGATTCACTGTCGTCTACCTGCACGTAACATTATTATCAGAGCGGGGAAATAATGTCAAGGTTTGGAATAAGGCTTTAACTTTAGTAGTCTTCAAATAAAAATTTGAGTCTTAAGATCTTGTATCTCTTATCCTCATTTTTGATTATCTTAGTGTTGATTCTCTTAGTAAGAAGGGGAGAGTGCATGAGCAAAGAGAAAATCACTGTAAAGGTGCTTACATTTTATATTTTGTCAGCCACTCTGAAGAGTTTAAAAACATTAAAATATGGCCAATTATTTAGGATTTTTACCACATGGTCATTTTCATGACTTTGATTGACTTTTTATAATCTGAGGAAGGAAGAGGGTGCTTGAGTATTTCGAGTTCTGTTTCTTCTTCATCGGGCAATTTTGCAGTACGAGACATTTGTCAACTATGCAATAATCATAAGATATATATGCTGAATCCTCTTTTGAATGATTAGGCTAACAAAATGATTGACCATAAAGTATAAGTAATTATTCAAAAAGCCATGATATTAATAAACAAAATCGTTACCTTGAGGGCAAAACTATTGTATAACTTAGGAAATCCATTATAGCTGTTGGCTGGCGTCATTGCTTACAAATGTTATTTGCTTAAATCTGGTACTGCTGGGAGATTCCGTCATTGGTATATTATGGTACTGCTAATGCGTCAGGTTAACATGTGATACGTTGCCAAGAAATGCCATGATTTGTATATCAAAGAGAATTAGCACGAGGTCTTTGGGTTAAAAGGCGATTGCTACCTCTACAAATAGGGAACCAATCGTATGAAAGTCCTTTCTGTTTCAAAAATTACAAATTCTTCTGTTCTGAGATACAACTCAATTCCTACGGCATGAGAATGGAACTTAAAGCTATTTTTAGACGACCAGGATTTAATATGCGTTAGTTCGATTTACAGAATGAATAACCTTGGAGATAAAGGCCTACGTTTGCTAGCAGTGTTTAGATCTGCAGCAAAATCTGCACTCCAACAGAGAGCTTAACCAGACAGATTTAGAAACTAGCTGAGTAGTTTAAGAGCACATTAATAAATGTAGAAACAAAAAATCTCAAAACATCACAATTCTGTAAACATATGTTAAAGCACAAGAAACTCTGCCTGCGACAGCTGATATGACGACTAGAAAATAACAAAATCTGTACCGAATACTGCAGGAAGTCCCAATTCTATCATGTCTAAAATCTTGAGAGTTTAAGCCTACTCATTTACAAGTCATTGAGCTTGTAACTTCACCTGCAGCATTGAATTGAAATTTAAATCATGACTAGCTGCAATCACTGCAAAATTATTTGGAGAATTCAATAGTTTGCGCTGTGCTTTACCATTTTTCATTTGTTTTCCCGAATACTACCACTTCTATCCCTCTTTCCTCCCGAAACAATATTGATAGCTTAGAAAAAATATCATACAATCTACAAGAAAAAAGTGTATTCCATTATCGCTCCCTTATTTTTATAGCAAATCAACATTGTTTCAAGGGGGAGTGGAGGTAGCTGAATTTGCTTTTGAAAACTGAAGTTTAGTGTTCCAAGACATTTTGGCAGTGATGGCAGCTGACAAATAGACGAAAATGTGGTTTCAGCCCACTGGCAACGTGTTAGGTTTTTCCTTTCATCCATCTTCTGTTATCAAATGATTATGTTTTTCATCCTTCTTATGCAATACAATCTAGCATGTGAGTATTACGTGTTTGAACCCTGGCAATTTGGTTTTTGCATTTACAGGTGACTATTTCACTAAGCTTCAATCGGATTTTGTTTTATTCAGTAACTCGTGTACTTTTATTAAGTTGAAATTTGGCATTAAACAAATCAGATCACTCTTGCATTAGCAAAGTATTGTCCCTTTTAATCTCAGAGCCGAGGCACTCTAGAAGCAGATAGAAATGTAAATCTCATAAACATTAGGTAGAAATCCTATTCTTGAACTAAACATCTCTGGAAATAATTCTGTTTTCTCCAAAATCCCGTATGCGAATTCGCAAGGGTGATTTGCCCCTCGTAAGCATTCGTCCCTCCAAGTTATCGAAAGAACGGGGATACGCTACACTACCTGAGAACGTCTTCTAATCCACAAACTTAAAGCCAGTCTTGTTGACAATAAGTTGCGATGTTGATTATAAAGAGGTTGCAAACAAGGATCTTAAGCAAAAGCTACCTCTGCAGCAAGATATCGCCCAGTTGCGAGATGCTTGAATCGAAAGAAGCTGTTCCAATGGGCAGCACCGCTACGACATGCATCTTGGTGCACGACCTACAAAAATGAGTAGAAAGTGGCTTGAATGAAAACATTTGTTTGTCAGAAGACCATGAAGCTTAAAATGTTACATAAACCAGGAGTTTCAACTAAGGCTATTAACTCTAAAATGATGGCTTTGTGTAAATGACGTATGGTTGAACTAACAGCCCTTATAGCAGGCCAATTTAGACCACTGTAAAAAATTTGAAAGGATACAAAAACATAATCTACTAAAAGCAAAGACTACTGATTCTTCTAAATTCTACCTACTTTGACTACTATTGACTTTGACTTCAGGGTCCAAACTACAAAAAGAAGCTCCACAAACGGTCTAGCTGCAGCAATGTCTTTTAAACATCAGTAACAATTTCAAGGACACTATTTTGGGCAAACTGTGCGTTATGCTATAATCAATTGCATCGCACTCGTACCTCGATTTCCCACAGTGCCTTCGAGCTTGTTGCAGAGGTGGCGGTAGCACGTGCTGTTGTTCTAAGAAACACGTGAGACTTCCTTTTATATTCATCCATCGTCAGAAACTTTTCTTGTTCCGCATGAAAAAGTCGTATGACATCACCCTGCGAAGAGTTTGTGGACAATGAGAATGCGACAAAGTGATAAACAACTTACAAAAATTAGCAAACAAAGTTGGACAAAGGGAAGACTGAAACCAATAAAAGCAAAGCGATTATAATAGTGACTATTATTAGCGATTATAGTAATCATTCTAAAACATATATCTGAAACATACTCCCTTTAAGACATCGTCTCTGTTTTCCTTGTAATCCATATAAAGATTGATTTTCCAGCAAGTATTACAATTAACGGAGTTCACCTGCAAAAAAAGTAAAAATTTTCACACAAGAAAAATCAACAACATAGGTGAAAAGGCACAACAATATTGGTCATTGTTAAAAAAAGTAGTTTTTTAGAACCCATTAGTATAAGCTTGACCACGAATTATGTGGATGGATATGCGTAAAGGATATCAAACCAGAATGACTTTGTGAAGAACGGTAAAAGTAGTAAAGCGTTCACAAAGAATAAGAGATGTTCCACAAATATTTTTTGGCAGAATTCCTAAGGGCAAACGACAAACAAAAAAGTGGCTTAGAGCCACCTGTCAATCAATATTAGCCAATCACTGATCGTGTGAGTAGAATCACACTCACTGATTGGTCAATTTTTGATTGGAAGATGACTTAACCCACTTCTGTCGATTAACAAGTATCTGTCGATTGCCTTTAAAAGTATCTTGTCGAGAAATTGAAGAAGCTGAATAGGTAGAAATGTGTGTTTAACATTTTATACGTGTATTATATTGTACCTCTCTGCATCCAGGCTTATCTGATAGTTCATATTTGCTAACGTGCAGTGGTTGGCCTGCATTGACTGGGTTTAACACAACTTTATCTCCCACCACCACCTGGAATATGACATATAATTCCTAAAGGAAATGACGCTGAAAAAAGCAAACATTTTCAAAATTATAAAAGCTTTTTCGTCTGATACTCCCATGAGTAAAAAACACCAGAATGAGTTTCCGCTCTATGATTATAAGATCTTGATACACCTAGTATTGAATTATTTTTATGGCCCGTATCAAGTGACCTTTTGTGCAATCCTGAAATGATTACAAAGATAATATACATAAGTCTACTGCCAGCTGCAGTTTCCCTTTGGTATTTGCTGATTTATAGCACAGTTTTTTGGACTTAGTTTTATCGACAATGGCTTTTTAAAGGTTTCCTAAATGACTTTTAAAGAAGCGCCGAATTTGCTGTTGTAACAGAGATAAGCATATAAGCTGTTTACATTATTTACTCATATTGAATATTTTAGACATTCACTCACATTGTCACCTGGCGTTCGCAGCTTGTAAAATGGTACAATATAAAACCATGACCCCTAGAAAATAAAAAAAATTCCTTTTAAAAACTATTTCGATAGAAATGGCCATACAGATTTTGGCTTTTCAAGTTTGGAACAGTGTCAAAACTGATTATACCAGACAAAATTAAAGATACCAATTAGTTTGGGGACAATCGCTGAACGGATACTACTTTTGTGAGACTCTATATTCTCTTGCTGGTCATGTCATCTGGCCTATTTGCAGTCACTGAAATAAACCAAAAAAGGTACAATAGACGAAGATTGAATTTGACTTGTATTGTACCTCGTTGCCTTCAGTATCCAAATGCACTCGCATGGCATTCTTTTCTAGCAGTGCAGGAAGCCGCTTGTTAACAGTAAGGTATTTGTTACTCTTGATATGCAATAGCTACAAGAAAACGCCACACTGATTATTCAAATACAATCCAGAGGAATTGGAGAAGAAAAGCTATTGAAGGACCAAAGCAAGTTCATGATGGCTGGCACACAATAAAGACAAGATGATTAAGTGGTTCTGAGATTCCGTAATACTTTTGGCGTTAGCAGTTTGCAGACTGGAAGTAATATCAAATAACGCAAGCAAACGATTTAAAAATATTGATTAGCATATAACTTTTTCCTGAGAAGATGCTGGGATAGGTACATACATAATTAGTATTTGTTTGAACTATTAGAAAGTTGCAATTAGTTATTTGAGCTGTTAGAGATTTTGGCATTGTGAGCATCCACAGATTTTTATGGTTACTAGGCATTTCACACAGCCAACCAAAAACACCAAAGTCTAAAAAACGATTTATCTCTTCAAAATCTGCTCTCCTGCAACAAAGCCGCAACAGTGCTCTTAATAAACAGTAGATTAAGCAACCTGTATGACGCCCCCGTACTGCACAACAGTGGAAATCATTCTCTTGCCATCTTGTTCGTTTTGTTTCTTCTCCAATTCAGCTGCATGCTAGGAGCAAACAATGAAGGATTAATATTGAACCAGAAGCCAGGTAGTCAATAAATCAAATTGCATTTTCAGACTTTGCATGATCAGAACGGGCTAAACTGTTTACATTATTTTGGTATACCATGACGTTTATTTATGCTTGGCTTGCACAACTTCTTTACTTACATGCAACTTCTTGAGGAGCACAGTATCGCTGGTTGTCGAGACAGCAGGTTTAGCAGCCTTCCAGAACTGATTCTGGGCAGAATACCGATTCATGGGGCATACTTTGAATAGGCAGTCTGACAAAGAAATTAAAAGTCAAAATATATATTCGATAAAGTATCAACGTTTAAACCAATTTTAGAAGTACATAATTTGCTATTTTCAAATCCTTAAAATTTTCTACGTGACTGGCTCACTAAATAAGAATGAGAATGGCTTTGAAAAAAAGCAAACATTTGAGTAAACTAAAGCTTTTCGTCTGACACTCTTCAGAGTTTAAAACGTCAGAACATAGATCTAAAACTCTACGTTAGGAAATATATATGCTTGCGTTTCTGATTGGCCTATTTCGATCCACAACTGGGTATATATATTTCCTAGCGTAGAATTTTCGATCTATGTTCTGACGTTTTAAACTCTGAAGAGTGTCAGACGAAAAGCTTTAGTTTACTCAAATGTTTGCTTTTTTCAAAGCCATTTTCAAGTTTTGTACCACCAAAAGATTGTTTAAATAAGAATATATTTACATAGTATCGTTAACAAATACATTTGAGGCAGTTTTTGCGATCGATAGAGCAAATGTGAGATCGGTAAATGATAGCTGAGTCACTTGCAGTTTATGGTAGAAGGACACTGGAAAAAATTGAAAAAGAAATATGCGGCGCATAATATATTTATAAAAGTACTTTCGAGAAAAAATCGAGGAGTAGGAGCGATTTTAGTTAATCATTGCTCGTGCTCTTTGATTCCAGCCCAACAAGAATTTTGCACGCAACATAAGGTGAACAATTAAACAAACTAGGCCAAATTAAGGGCGTGCGATATCAAGAAAAATACAACAGTTTTCCTGACAAATGGCACGGGCCAGCGGACATAGAGACAGGCTCAGTGGTGAATGGATAATTCTCAATGGTTAAGGTCGCTGACTACAGACCGAAGAGCCGTGGTTCGAGTCCTTGACATGACCAAACTTTCTCTCAGATTTAGAAGAGTCGCCAGCTCTAGGTAATTCCAGCTCTCTGTTATTTACAACGAGAGGAAGGACCAGGACACTGCTCGATAAGCAAAGCTTTTAAATGTCCTAAAACTACTTTCGGAAGCTGGTAGCAACAATACAATACACTACATAGAGACATTAACAAAGCCAGACATATTTTAAACTATGCAAAACCTACTAGCCAACAGATATCATGGGACAAAGATCCAGATATTTCATGTAAGACAACTTCTTAACGTGGAGGAGTCTGGGATTAGAATTTGCATTACTTATCTTGGCAGAGCGAGCCAACTTCGGTTAATGGCTATTCTTTGCAAGTTTTCGAAAGTTTTTTTCCTTTTTTGAGCGGAATGGATTTAGCACGTGCATAATTTAGGGATCTGTGATTATAATAATTCACGCACATGCTACGAATTATAATCTTTCCAAAATAATGACGGCTCTTCTATTTGTACGAAAATTTCCATCTACTGCCAGTTAAAAAAACTCTTTTCAAACAGGTTCAGGTTCTGATTGACTTCACTTCTTTAATAAATAGTAAAAATTGAAAACAAAACGAAATATACTTGTGGTCTTAGTTTCATCAGTTTTTTAAACTGAATTTGAGAAAAAACAAAACAAACAATTTGGTGCGCTAGGTTTCCTTGTTAAATCTTTGAGAAACAACAGCTGCCTGTAAAATAGCTTCTCGTGATAATAATTAAACTTCAATCCAAGCGTTTCCTATACAAGCGACAAATAACAAAATAACTTTGTAGTAAATAATTATAGATTCGATGATAATAACTGCCTGCGGCTGACATTTCTGCAAAGGTAAATAAAGCTTTCCATTGCAAGCCTAAATATGAAGCTTGCTTGGCGTTTCTCAGGTGCAGATGCAAATTGCTGAGATACCTGTTTGTAATACAACGTAGAACTCGTACTACCTCATATAGAGACGAAAAAGAAACAGCAAAATTTGACGTTTAAGCAGCAGTCACTTGAAATCCATTCGTGTGAATTTACATTTCAAAAGGCTTTAAAAAGAAAATATTTGCACCTGGATTGGATACGGGTGACCAGTTGTATATCAATATGATTCAAAATAGGTTATTTTCGAACGCTAAATATTTTTCGTTACACGAAAGCAACGTGTTTGTTTGCATTCGGAAATGTGTCCACGTTGGAAATAGAGGCCTAGGTATATTGGAAAAAAGTAGCTTAGATTGCTTGTAAGGAAAATGAGAGCGAATTACCTCTGTATTTCGTGGGCGGATTCTCCAATGTTCCAGCATCCGGCTCAACCACAACTCTGTCATCTACGAGACTAAAACACCAACACACGAATAAGTTGATGGACCCAAAAATCTTTCACTATTAACTATCGTACAAATGAATAAGAGTTGAGATTTCCAATTGAAGTGTACAAAATCTTGTGGACTAGCTACTTTGTAAAAGCGACTTGAAGACAAAGCAACAATAAAGCGAAAGAAAACAAAAAATAAAATTTGATTTATAAAGACATCATTAATTACACTGACTCAGTATTTCTACTAAGAATCTGATATGACAAGGCTGACAGGAGGAAATTATTTCCACAAATGGTGCTGCCCAATTGTAAATACTGCACTTCGTCAGAATCGAACTCTTGTTTGCGGCATCAAAGGCAACGATTATTCTACTGAGACAAATGGCTATATGAAATGATCGGTGACTTTTGAAGCTTCCTCTGGAAGTCCTTACCGGAGCAAGGGCAGTTGTTTCTTCTGTCTCGGCCTTATATTCTATTTCTGTTATCGGCTATATAATCGTCATTCATATAATCATAAAAATCATTGAATCATCATGTTCATTTAGTAATATACACGAGATCTTAGGTGACACATCCTTCAGAGTTTATCTAGAATTTTCTTTATTGTAATGAGCATTCGATTAAACAACATCTAAATATATTGCTAAACAGGTCATTCAGAAAGTCTGATATCGTTGACTTGAATATTTATTTAAAAAGATCTAGGTGCTATTATAAGGCGTCACAGTTGGTAACGTTTTAATAAACATGAAAGTAAATCTTCACACAAAACGTTCATTTGTTATTTCAATGCTTTAAAGTGTCAGTTTGATTTCCCGTCTCAGTTTCAGAAAAGTGAAAAAACCTCGTTTATCAAAAATCTTTTCCAAGCTATCTATTAGATCAACCATCATAGTGGGATGTCTGTTGTATAGAACTTGCTACTTCTCTTTCACACTTTTGACTAGAAACAAGAGCCTTGATTCTTATGGATTTTTCAAGCTCATCAGCAGTTTAAACTTTTATGTTTATTCATTCAAATCAGAGAAATTCGGTCATCGGCATTGGCCGCTTACAAGTACAGCAGCTGCTCGATTGGGATTAAGAACTGATCTTAATAACAAAACCTGCTACTGCATTGAACGAAATTTGTTTTAATCAATATTCTATAATGACCTCAAAAAAGCTGATATAGTCCAAAGAAAATTCTTATTTCGAGAAATAAAATCTTATTCGCAAATAGCGGTCGTGAAACAAAATCAGCAAAATAACGAGTTATTATTCAAAACTGGTAAACATCATAGTTCAAGTAGCAGTTGAAACGATCGTCTCAAGACAAAGAGCACATCGGATAGACAGCCTGCACTATATCACTGACTTCGATTATGCTAGTATTATTCGATTCGTTGAAAGAAAAATTCAGCAAAATTGAACATAATAACGGCGGAGATCGGGTGCCGAATTCAATTGAAAATTTGGTAAAAACATATCTCAGAATGATTTGTAGATTTTCTTTCATAAAGTGACTAACGAATAAAATGCTCTTACTGTGACATTGTGGCTACAGCACGATTGTCTTAAAACAGTGATTAGGTTTTCTCAAAATTACAAAATGCCAAATTGTTTCGAAGATCAAGTTACCAGCCCGTAATGTTGTTTAGGAAGGAACTTGATCTATTGTCACCTGATTCTTATCGATAAATTTCAATAGCCAATATTAGATGATGAAATTTTTTGTCTATCTGGCTTTTACCGAATGTTCGAAACACCTGCAAAACTTTATATTCATGTTAATCAAAAACCCAAATGATCTTGTGAAAATAATGTTACCAAAAGCTTATCTGGTGAAGTTTTGAATTTTTTTTTAAAAAAATCGGTATATCTGTGGTCATTATAAGATAAAAAGATAATTGATAACCAGATAATGGTTCTTTAAAAACTACAATTTCAAACCTAAACCTTCCAATCCATAAAACTGAGAAACGAATCCACAGGACATTTGTTTCATTTAGCTAACGTTTATTTGATGAGGAATTAAAGGTGCTTTGTGACCTGAATTTTATCACCTGTCTAAAACAAAACGATATTCTAGTTTCGCTGCATATTCGTTAAGGTAATTTATAGAAATTATCGAGGCAAAAGCAAAAATTGCAAGATCTTTCGAAATACTAAACAAAAAAAGGTTAATAAATATGAAATTGCAATTTACGTAGCTAATGCATTAAATTGTAAGAACTTACCCGAGAGTGCTAATAAAGCCACTGACTCCTCCTTCAGCAAACAAAGATATGATATCACCAATGTGGAGAAAGTGCGAAGACGATGCCATTTTGTTTGGCTCTTGCTCACTATGAGAGGAATGGGAAGCCTCACTAAACATGTTATCGACCCATGCAAATGTCCAGCCAACGTGCTTGATTAATGCACAGATTGAATAGCGAACATATTTTTAAATCTTGAGGATTCGAAGCAAATGACGAAAACATGCAAAGATTATCCTGTGAGCTAAATGTGAAAATTTGGCCTAGCAACTGGAAGGATGCTGCTTTTGAGCAAAAAGCGCGCTGCAGTCCCGAGATCAGCTTTTCTCTGGCCAGTAGCTCTCGAGGGAAAGTATTCACAACTCAAGGCTAAGACCCATGAATCATTTATGAGCGGGTGAAATGTTTAAAGAAAATGTACACTTCTCACAATATTAGAAAGAGTCTGCCTCCGCAGGTGCTTCACGATAACTTTAATCCAGCACCTTAGCTAGAGCTTGACGTGCAAAGAATATCAGACTTTGTGGTAAGAATGAAACTAAGCGGTCTTTAATCGCATCACAACACATTATATTAGAAGGTTCCTGCTTCATTTTTATAAATGAGCATTTGGTGTCATTCAGATGCGTTGGCTGCTTAGGGTTAATACATGCCTTTTCAAAAGAGCAAAGTAAACTTTACGATTGCTATTGATCGCCGTCAAATTTTAGGCAAACGTGTCGCCTAATGCAATTTTCAACAGGAATGCAAAAAGGCCTCTCTTAAGATTTCTTCTTCTTTTAATTTCCGTCATTTTCGCCATTTACGTCAACATTTTTTCAAAAAAGAATTCTTTTTCAAAAACATAAACATAAATTGAGACAAAACATGCTTCTATAAATCCCCCTATTATCAAATGCTTCTAAAAATGCAAACACTATTTCCTATAACAACCAAAGTAAATAACCAAGTGAATGACAAAATCTTTTTGCAACAATACAGTAACAAAGTTCTTGAAAGATGTGAATGGCAGATAGGCAGAGGTTGAAAGTAATGAGCAATAAAAGTCCAGCTGCATCACTTCAAGATAAATACTTTAACACTAAGCCAGATGTTTCAAATTATAAGCAAATATTTTGCCAACCTTTTTGCTTATTTGTAAAAAGAGCAAAATTCAGGTTGTTTCGAAGCAAAGAATTCACCACTTTATTCCTGGCTGTATCAAGGTAAAAATTACCTTTTCATAAACAAGTAGTAACTGCAGCTTGAAATCTAATTTCTATCTTTGAACAGCTAATACTTCCAACAAGCAGAATCACATACATTCAAGGATTAACCAGAGCAAGCATACCAACTTGACCCGAAGAGTTTATAATGCAAACCAAAATCTTCTTTTCAAAAATTTTCCTTATAGGTAAACTAAAAAAAATTATTTAACAAAGTTTTACTCATGTTAAAAAAAATAGTGCAACCCTCTTCTGGTATAAATGCTTAGATTTCAGAAATTCTTAGAAGAAGCTCTCTGGCTACATCATTGCTACTTTACAAATATAGACTATCTTCCCATCTTCTAAACCTTGTCATCTATGATATTTCATGTGTACATTTTGATAAGTGGATGATAATCTGGATGTCTTTAATCTGCAAAGTGACTGAGCTAAGATTATCAGGATATAGGTGCGGGTAGGTCATATTTCATATTGTCCTAGAAATTAGTGAAACAGACTATATTGGCATAAAAATTCATTCTTATTTTCAAAGGCTCGAAAAGACATAATTACATTCTACTTAACTGATTTACAAATTTTCATAATGTACTACCAAAATTTAGCAGAACATCAAGTGGCAATGATAAACAATTGCTAAAAGAGTTTCAAGCCTTCTGGTATGTTTTTTTGTGCCAAAGACATGGCATTGTTTATTACTTTAATCATAGAAAGGATACAAAAGCCTCAATAAAACAAATGACTAATTTTTGCCTTAAGTGATTAATTGATTGTTTGGTTCTAAAATGCCCCTATTTGACAGGGAATGGTCCAGTATTTTTAGTAATTTCTTTCAGTACTAGTAAAAAATTTCAAAACAGGCATTAAAAAATAAAAAATTCTTTTAAAACAGGCATTAATATCTAAATTAAAACATGATAATAAAGTTATAAAGTGAAAAGTTATAATACAGAGTAAAAATCCCACTTCAATAATAAAGTTAGTTGCTTTTTTCCAAAGTGATTTTAAAAGTGCAGATTTTAATCCACTTTAATCTGTTTGTTAAGAAATTATCTTAAATGTTTGTTGAAATTACAAACCTTCTTATGAGTTAATTCTGTGCTTAATTCTATTCAAAAATTTAATCTCATTTTGAACTCGTGCATTGTTTATTCAAGAAAGAAAAGCTTTCATTGCAACAAACAGACACTCGCTTTTAGACTCTAAATTTGTTAACTTTCTGTATCTAATTATCAGCATAACTTTTTCATTCTAACCATTTCAGATTCTTCAGAGGTTTACAGTCTTGGATACAAACAGAATCAGTGAAAACATGACAAAATTGCCACAGAATTTCTTGCCTTGAACCAATGCTCCTTTTTTCTGTAACAGGAAACATTAGTTTTAAGTAATTTTACTCATTTTATGAAAGCTGCAATATTGTCGTAGGCCAAGAAAAGATGAACTTTAAAAAACTCATGGAAATTATCTGTAGCACCCAGCAAGGTCAACTACAAGCTTCAAACTCTGACTATGATATTTTTCACATGCAAGCACCTCTTTATGTTTCCATAATATGTTTTCCAGGTACCTCAGTGCACAATTTCTTAATCTAAAAACAAACAGGGGCAATATAATCGCTTGCTCCCAAAATTTTGCCAACCTTTGAAATGTCAAGTCAGCGATTTGTGAGGAAGTCTTTAGCTGGCAAAAAAATCAGCTTTTTATGTGATCCATGGTACTACAAATTGCAAATTATGGAGCATACTAGCATACTATATTATGAAGCAAATAGCATACTACATTTATGAAGCAAATAGCATACTATAAATCAATGAAGAAGGGAAGGGGTTCGAACAAATTCAAGATTTTTAAAACTGTTATAGGGGAAGAAGGCACAGCCAAAACAAATGAGCCATTGTAAATACAAAAAAAACATGACAACAAAATGTGTGGTACCAAATGTGTGAAGAATGGAATGACAAGCTAACTGAATGCCAAAAAATTGTGAAGGTCCTACAAGCTGCTACACCTGTTTTCAAAGTTTCCAGTAGGCAATATATAGTGTATATGCAAGTACCAAATTCTTCAATGTTTTTGTTATGTGGAGATGAGTCCAGTAGACACATAACAGACCAGTGGATACACACCGTATTTTATCTATTTAACACCCAGAGTGTTCATTTAAATTTTAACTTTTTAGGGTGGACGTTAATTAGAAAGAGGCGTTAATTTGGAAGTGGGCGTTAACTCAATAATTCCCGAAAAAAAATTTATGTACTTTATCCTCTGAATTTCTTCCAAGAATCTCTGAAAAATCATACAACGAGAAAATAGAGCAACCACAGAACAACCAAACTAGAGGACATTAAATAGAAAGGAGGGTTTAGAAGGAAGTAGGCATCAATTAACTTTTTTCACTTTTAGGATGGGTGTTAATTAGGAAGGGACGTTAAAAAGGAAGAGGGCATTAAATAGATCAAATACGGTAATCTGGCAAATATTTCTACCCTGGCTAAGTTATTGTCATTTGTCTCTTTCCGGTGACTTAATGCAGCATATATATTGGGGTCTTGGTTCAAAGATTTATTAGATCCATGCTTTTTACATAATGTTGTATGATCAAACTAGCATAATATGGAATGCTAAGTGGCAATTTTTTTTACCAAAACTGCTTGAAAATCTTTGGGATCTGTTTTAGCAATACAGTGTTCATCGAGAATAGAATGTGGATGAGGTTTTTTGCAATGCTATTTTGGCGCCAGCTTGTAATTCAACCTAATTCAATTCATGTAATCTAAATTTATACATGCTGGTATGAAGTTCTAAACTGGCTGACACGAGTAAAACAAAAGAATACATGTTCAGCGAGGTCAATTGTACTGCTTAAAGGATTGCGACAATTTCAAAGCCAAAATAACATTCTTATCTAAGAAATTGAGCGGTTGGCAATAAGCTGCAGGAATATTGAACAAACAAAACGGCCTAAAAGAAAGAAGTGTAGAACAGCAAATAAACACGTTCATTATTAACGAAATTTGTGAGCAGCAGGTTTCCTTATCAGCAAAAGAACAAAATGTAGATATTAAGAAGGAGAAAAGTTAAATCATATAGCAAAATCACAAATATTTTAGTCAATTTCAGATATCTAAAATTACAGCTTACCGTTAACAAAGCCATGTTTACAATTTAAATTCTTTGTCAGAGCAACTCGGTCTGTTTGCAGACTTCTCCATACATCATTCCCCTTTTCAGCTTCTGTGCACTTTGCAGTCTCGATTCCGTTAAAGCTGCTTCGCAGCACAAGCATAGGCTTAGCATCACTGACCAGTTAGCATCACTGACCACAACATTGTAATAGTGCTAGTTTAGACTTCTATTATTCTGTTATTTGTAACCATAGTAATTTATCACCTTTCGATTGTCTATGATTCCTTTTGTTATCTAATTGCACCTTCAGATTCGTTAGTTATTTTATATGGGATTTTAGCATCATTATCGATTTATCTAACTAGTCTTTTTGATGATTAAATGAAATTTAATCAGAGTTAATTTCACGAGGGGCTTTGGAGCGTTAACTAAATTGCATGAGATTGTTGTTATTACTATTTCGTTTCGTTTCGTTTTCTTGTGCCACGCTTCCTCGCGTTTGCTTGTATCTGCTCTACTAGTTTATGGGCAATGCAGGGAGTCTTTCGGCCTCTTGTGAATTTGATTTGTATAACTAGGGTAAGATGTGTGTTTCGTGGCGTTTTCATTCCCTTGGTTAATCTAGGGGTATTTAAGGTTTTGGCATAGCGTGGGTCTCATCTTGCTTGGTGAAGCCACAATACAACTAGGCTGTTTCATTGTATTTTCCCAGCCCTCCCTCCCTCATTTTGTTTCTTTATGTTAAATGCCTTTTCAGTATAACTTTGCGTGTTGAGTTTCTTTTGTGGCATCGTTAAAACCTCTCATACCTTTAGGCATCTTTTATGCTTCTTAGAGTTTTCTGATGCTATTAGGTAGGACTGGTGCATCGGCTATTAGTGGGGAAAAGAAGCTTTTCCTGTCCATTCCCTCCCAATTATCAACCATATTTGGGGCTTATTGTGTAACTTCCCTTAGTAGCCCCTATATGGTAGGTTGAGCGATTGGCGCCGATGCACCAACGGCCCAACTCGCTCTCGATGATGTGGGAACGTAGCCTCATGACTGACCTTTCTGATGTCTATTGCAGTTTTTCTGAGGGAGCTTTATGCCCTTTATGTTGGATTGATATTCCCGAGTTAGTAAATTAAAGAGTAGTATCTTTTGTATTCACAATTATTATGTAAATAAGTAGCTATGTAGTATTTCAATTGTAGTTCTTGTTTATGTTATATTTTGGACGTGTTATTTTACAGAGTTAGTTGGAGTTATGATTAAGAGCGATAAGGTTAAGATTTGATTATATGTATTTTTAGGTTCTCGACGATTTACTTATATTAGGCGGCAAGATGCTTGTAAAAGATCTTGTTGATATTAACTATGGTTTTTGTAGGATACGTATTGTTATTTATGGAATCGCGCGTGACGATTGGGCCTACTTTATGATTATTATTGAATCTCTATGACTTGAGTACGAAGTGAAATATCAGAATGAAGTATATCTGATTCAATCAAGGACGAGAGGATGTCGCGTTGAAATCTTTCAAAAATTTAATTGAAACCATAGGGATAAAAAACTTGATTCGGCTTGAATTTTTCAAACTGTTTTGATAGATATTAACATGAAATTCGCAGGGATACAAGTGACAATAACTCCGGGAAAGCTAAGTTTGTGAAAAGTGGATGTTTGACAAATTTGTATATCATTTGTACGTCATTTTGTCTTTTACCAACTTAAGACACATTTGTTACCTATCTTCGGTTTCGGTGTAAAAGCAACATATTTAATTCGAAGTCAAGTTTTAATTTTTTTCAAAACTATTAAATTAAAGAAGCATGAGAAGAAAAACAGTTTGTTTTTTAAGCAAGCAAGCATGGCTAAATAAACCAGCTCCTACTCAAACTCTAAACGTATATTTAAAGACCTATTTAATAATAACAATATTCTGCCTACATCTTACTCCAACATATATTAATTTGCTTTGTTGCAAAATTGCATTTGCTGCAGGAAAATTAATACCATTTTAAATGGACCCAAAGTTTTTTTTCAGTATTGGCAGATGATGGAAGTATTGGAAGTAGCAAAGACTACTTTTTCCTTCCCAGTTTCGTTGAACTTTTAGACTTCTTTGTGCTCGTTTGCTGAACATCCAAGAGTGTACTTAGACCGTAGTTTGGGCTGCCCAGTTTTTCAAGCAGCTTTGCATCGTCTTCATCTCTTTCTTTTTTCGCTTTTACAACCACTTTCATGGCTTTTTTGACACTTGTATCTTTTGCGAGTCGCTTAGGTGCTGGCATTGCAAGAGCCTCTTTACCGTCAATGATTGGGTTCAGCCAAGTCGACTTGCGAACTACCATATGGGTGCCTCTGGGCACGTAAATGTGCAAAGAGATATCAACAATTTCTTTCTTTGTAAATAAGTGCTCGTTGAATGTTTCAGGGTCTGAAATAAATCAAGGTGTAGATAAATTAATGGCATTTGGGAAGGACCAAAATTCTTATCAATAATGAAAACTTCAAATCCTTGTAAATAGTCACAATTTCAAGAACGCAGACCTCAAATTGGTCACACTGACTAAATTAATGTAAACAAAACAGAAATTAGTATGTGTAGTCTAAACTGGCTAAATTGTTTAATTAAACAGAAGTGCCACAAAACTGTTTAAAAAGACACCTTACAAATACCCACTGCTTTAAGCCTAATCTCGTCAGAGACATTTTTGAGCGCGCGTAGCGTATTCAAATTGAATTCAGCTATCCACCATGCATTTGCATTCGGGTTCACAGGTCCATCCTTTATAAATATCTCCGTCAGGGCATGCGCAATAACATTCAAAGCACGAACGAAAAATTTTCCAGATTCGAGCGTTGAAGAAATTTAACACTGGTGTGTGAATTCGAGCGTCGCGGATACGTTAGCGAATTCGTGGAAAACTCGTATACGTGTGGACGGAAGTCTTATCAGCAAAGAAAATCTTTTCGCTGATTCAAAATATCCATATAAGCGTGGACGGGGCTTCAGAGTACAGTAATAAGTATTAGAAAGGGTGCAACGAACGAGAATTGTATCATAATTGAGCTTTGATCATAGGCTGTTGTTTTAAACGTTGAGTGAACAACTTGATATAAAGAGGATTGGCCATAAAACAACTAGCCATAGAACAATCTATGGAGGGGTCACAGGTTGAAACAACATATCGTTGATAAGGGTAGACAGAATAAACATTTTCAAAACGGGTCCTTTTAATAAAACTACTCAGTTTGACTTAATATATCTTATTCAGTCTCAAGTTATCTCAAAAAGAGCCTGTATGTACGTTTTGGGAATGCTACATCTACACCCGGTCGCCATATGTGCAACACTGTTTAAGCAATCATATGGGATCTTACCATATTCGTTTTAAGTGTGTTAGAACGTGTCAGCTTTCGTTCCAAGCTATGTCGCGGGCTGACATTCCTCTAATTAACACAAAAATTCCCAATAAATAATTAAAAGAGAAAATGATGGACCTTGATGAAACAGACGGGCGGCATCTTGCATTTCCTTTAATGATGGATGAAGTTGACATTTTGTATAGAAATTTCGAAATTCTTTAAACGGCAAGCCATCCTGATCCTTGGGCAACATCATCTGGAAGTTGATTTCAAATTCTGAAAGTTGAAAGAATAAATTGCTTTCAGTTTGCATAGTTTATGTTCAATTTCAATTTCTTACTGCTAAATATGTTCTTGATCTGTATTTTTTAATTCTTTTACCGTTGCAAGTGCCGTAATAACGGAGGGATTCGGTATTAATTCAATATTTTCATGGGCATATGCAATAAACAATCCTTACTAGTAAAATTTAGCCTTGCTCTTCCTGTACGATAATGTCTGATTTACTAAGTTTTTTGGAGTTTATATAGCTTCCGCGAGAATAATTGAAGACTGACTTAATTCTAACTCTACGAGACGAGAATTTGAGCCATGGATAGTGAGAGTGGCTTTAAAACCTACTCGGGGCTTTGATTTTGAAATAGCTCCCATCGAAACATAACCCCAATCACCTATGCCTTTAATTCTTTGAAGCTGGGGTTAAAATGTTTAAGCTTTCCAAGGGCAATAATGGCTCAAACAAGTCACAAAGCAAAATATCGATATGTACAATTCAAGGACATCTTCAATTAAGAACATTTCACAGAATTAATATCAATGATTAACCAGCTACACATTAAGAATTTAAAAGAAATTGAGAAGTCCCTTTAAAAGTTTAGATAAGAAAGCTGCCTGCATCAGCAACAAATAGGGATAAGGTAGCTTACACAAATGAAAAAGATAGCCGGTGCATGAAATTGAGTTAACCTTTAAACTTACTGAGTATTTTCTCGATGTATTCATTGAGCTCAACAAATTCAATATATACTTTTGGATTTTCTTCTCCGTGTCTTTTCATTATCTCAATGCAATGAGCTCGATATCTATCAACAAATGTCTTGAAGTTTGTACTTCTCTTCAAAGCCTAAAAATGCCAGAAAAAAGTTTACATTTATTGAGTCTTTTTAAAGTACAGAAAAGTTTGAAAGGGAATTGAAATTCGCCATTCTAAGAGTGTCCAGAAATGAATTATTTCGATAAACTTTACAAAAGTTTAACAATAACACAAATTGTACACTTCAATATTGATAAACTCTTTGCAAGGATAGGCCCAAAGGAATTTAAACGAAAGTAAGCACCTAACAAGAGTATATAGAACAGCCAAAAGACCATTCAAAGTTATTGTTGAAAAGTATAGGTAGAAAAGGAAATTATACCAGTTATTATTGTAAATATTACTTTATAGCCTTGAATATTAGGGTTATTTTTAAAAGATTTTTTGGACGTAAGGTGGATAGAAAAGAACAAGAACGATTTGTAGAACAGGCGATAAGTGAGAAGAAATTAATAGAAGGCTGAAAAGAAAGGTTGCCTGTTACTCTACATAGAGTGAGTTATGAGCCTAAACAAAGTTTCTGTTATAAACGGGATTTTGTAGAATCGCCCTTAGTAGGCAAAGAAATAGGGTTGAATACTTCTAAAAACGCAAATATGTATCCCCAATTATTTGTTTTTTTTGCTTTCAATGTTTGTGAATGTGAAACTTTTACCACAAAAGTACTGAAAAAGAAATAGGGTTGAATACTTCTAAAAACGCAAATATCTATCCCCAATTATTGGTTTTTTTGCTTTCAACATTTGTGAATGTGAAACTTTTACCACAAAAGTACTGAAAAAGAAATGGGTAAAAATGGAAGATATACAACCTTTTGTTTTGATATTTTGTAGTTATGTCTCTGCCTCCAACCACGAAAATGCCTGCAAATGGAAAGTGAAGATAGCCATAGCACTAAATGAAGAAAAGGACCAAAGAGATCCATAAAAGGCTATCCCTTCAAAATTCGTCATCTAAGTAGCCACATACAAAATACGAATATTCAAGCCAGGTTTAATGAATATTTCTGAGGCCTTTTTAATTATGAATGAATAATATCAGCCAGTTGTATTAATATGCAACGAAATAAGCTGGAGAAATTTATTCTGAGAAACTGAAAAGACTACCTTTGGATTGTTACTGCAGCTGCTGTTCTTTTCTTTTTCGAAGGCTTTGATTTGGAAGATTTGTTGAAAATGCTAGATGATAACATCAAAAAGTAGAATGTAGAATTAAATTTATATACGACAACAGAAGCTGGTTGAACGCACAATAATTATACTGTCATGAAGTGATATTTCATAAAGCTTTTGATGTGCTATCTTTCCGTGTCCTATCTTACTTCTTTCCGCATAAATTTTATTCTTCTTATCCCAAATAATGTCTTTAGCTATGTAAACTTAGCAATATCTTTTGTAGCGTAAGCTCTAAGTCACTGGTCCGAAGATGGCTCAGTGGTTAGGGTCACGTTCTACATATCCAAGGGTCTGTAGTTCGAGCTCCTAAAATGACCAGACATCCCTTTACCCTGGATGCCAGAGCATCAGTCAAAGTGAATAGTAAGCAAAGCAATGCTCGACCCTCTTTTCACTGAGGCTCTGGTACACAGGGTAACTTTCCCTCAGAATGAGGTGAGTTGCCAGCTCTCTCTAATTTCAGGCGTAGGATCACGAGGTGTGGGCCCGTCGAGACGAAGGACCAGGACACTGCTTGATAATCATAGCTGTTCAGTGTCCTAAAACTACTTTCGGAAGCTAGGTAGCAGGCAATATACAATACAATAAAGAACAGTCACCAAGATGAATGTTATCATACGAATTAATGACTATATGAACTGCACTACTTATTCAAAGTCGGTTGTAAACAGAGGTTAAGGATAAACTCTTGGCACACTGCGAATTTTTGAATCAACATGGCAATACTAAGCCTAAAAATTCGTAAGTACATACCCATGAATGTTGTCTGATGCCTTCGAACCTTGGCTCCCTGGGGCTGTCATTGCCGGCCTAAAGTGCAAAGAATATCGAACTACATTATTGTTTGGATGAAGCTGCGGATAAAGTTTGTCTTTGCTTCACTGTTACTTTAGGAACTTGGTGGTACGGGGTGTTCTTTGATAGTCATTGATTCCCCATCACCGTCTTCACTTCATTAGGGCCAATATTAATAACTCATCGCAAATCATAAAGAGTGAAATTAAGCTTTCTTGAATGAGTCAGCACTCTCAAAAAGGTGTATTGAATTGTCTTTTCTGCATGGTATAGTAAAGAAAGGTCTACAGTAGAGTTAGCATCAAAGCTGTGATTTTCTCCAATCCTATAAAAGTCACTCTAGAGGTTGCTACGAAATATGATCATCAATACTAATTGCATCTGCTTCATGGCAAATGTCAACGTTGGCTGGTTTGTCGTTACAGAAACTTAAGCTTTAACTTACTTTCCTCTTGAAGGACCAGCTGTAGCCATTTTCAAGCGCAAAAGATGGCCTTCCCGCAAAAAATGTATTCTGAGGAACAGAAGCAAGATAACAAAACTACTAGTGTAAAATGCTTTCTATCGTATTATCATTCATTGATTATACGTCATATTGTATTTTGCTATAGTCCTCAAGGCAATTGCTTAGGCCAGGGGGTTCTTAATTATTTTAAGTGCCGGACCAGAAAAACATATAGATTTTCTTCGAGGGCCAGTTGGTTTTCAACTTTTACATACCTCGTGTTAAAAGGCTGCTCAAAAAGAAACTCAGATCTCATTTTTACCAGGCTAAGTTAGTGATAAGATAGGCATGCCTATTATTTCGTGCCTGCCTATTTTATCTACCTTAGCATAAACCCAAAAAATAGTTTTCACAAAGGTTTTGTAACTTCATGTTTCTTGCACTAGGCTGAGTCAGAAAATCGTTCTATGCTATTTTTAGGCCAGAAGGTTGATCGTTCGTTAGTGAAAGGAAAAGTCTCGCAAGGTTTTAGAATGAATGCATAACAGCGTGTACGATGGAGAAAAGACATAAATTAAAAAACAGTTAATTAAACGCTATAAAACGATCAATCAATTAAAAAAGCATTTCCTATTTCGGTACTCTCTTGTGGACCAGTAACTGTCCACGGAACGCATTTAAAATTTACTACAGAGAAAAAGAAAAATATCAAAGAGGACAAAAGAAACCAAAGATAAATAGAATTCCAAATGTTGGCAAAAAATATTTTCGAGGTGAAAAGCATTCGGCGGGCCGGATGAAATTTTGCTGCGGGCCGTAGTTGGCCCGCGGGCCGGAGTTTAATGGCTGGCCTAGGCCATTCCGTAGAATTTTAATACAGTACTCCAAGAGTTTATCATTTCCCAGGCATTAAAACCTAAAATAAAGCAAAAAAAGGTGTAGGTAATATAAACAATCAACACGGGGTATTTTGTTTCTATTTTTCATTGATCTTTGGATGCGTTCGACCCTTTTACCGCCACGTACTTTTCTTTGTTTTGGGCATACAATCGATAAAGTATAGCTTGTCCCCAACTCCTGACGATGATAAACACCTAGCTACTGTAAAATGTGTTTCTGAGCAATGCTGCGAGACCCCTTTAAGAGATTTTAATCCTAAAAAGGAGATTTTTTCATCTAGGGGTAATCTTTTCGGAGAATTTTCCCACTTTCCGGCGAATAAATTATGTCTCGTGGATGTTCAGGCCTTATTTGGCAAACAAGGCCTGAACATCTCCCTAGAGCTGGCAATTGCACTTCTTACACCCTAACGGTAAAAAAAAATTAAGAATAATCCTCAAATTTTCGAACAAATTAAGAACAGCCATACTGAAATCCATTTTACTGGTTCTTATAAAAAGAGAGTGTAGTAAGGTCAATTTCTTAACTAAGAAACGGCCACATTTCACAAATTATTATCTTTATGTTCTTAATACAAAACATTTAGAATACAGTAGTTGTTTCATTACAATCTTTAGGTTGTTTTCATAAATGCATATTTCAAACATTTTCAAATTTCATACCTTAATGATATCAGCATTTCTAAAATATGTCTAGAGTCTTAAAAAATACTGTTATTCATTCCTTTTAGCTCTGTTTGCAAAGTTAAGTGTCACCAGCTAGCAACACTCTATAATATTGAGTAAGATGTCATTAAAAGAGGATCAGTGACAAAATTATTTACATAATAAATTTTAGTCTCTCGTTTACATTCCTAAATAAAAGATGTTTCCCTGCTCTTCCGAGATTCAGAAATCTTTGTCAGTCGCAGTCTGATACTAGTTTCACCATATAAACTCTTTTTCCTCCTCCGCAGATTCAGCAGGCCAGGCCAGGAAAAAACCCTAGATTTCAAGTTCAAGACAATAGCTTCTGTATTGAAGTTCAAGACAGTATGTCGTAAAATGTTTTTTTTTCAAAGCCATTTTCATATTCTGTACCGCAAAAAAATTGTTCACAATACCTTCTGATATGTATAAAAATTCCAGCAGGCAAATCATGGTGATGGGACACCCAAGATGCAGATTTTTTAACAGTCTATTTCATTTTGGTAATTTTTCGTTAGTTAAATAAATTATCACATGGCACTAACTTATTTTATGTGGTCTAACACGTTTGGAAGAAAAAGAGCCAAGTTTGCATAAAAAATATGATGAAGAATGTATTTGCGTTTGCTATCTTATATTTACATTGTAAATCAATAAAATTGGTATTAATATATTGATACTAGGTGTTCTGTGCTTACGGCTTTCTTCAACTACATATGGAATTTGCTATGGTATACAACTGGATGCAGATGAAGTCTGTTAACATTTATACATACGTTGCAAAATAAAAAGTAATACATGTAATATCACAAGATATATGTTAAGTATGATAATTATCAATATACTCCGATACAAGCCCCCAGTATTGTACTTTATATATACAAGTAAGTGATAAAAATGAATACACTGAGAACAGTTTCTACGTCATCTTTCGTTCGCTTGCAAAAAGCTCTGCGAATTCAGCAATTTATTTACGGTCTTGTTTATGGAAAATACTTAAAGCTTCTTAGCGCGACTTGTGAGCTGTCTTTCCTGCTAACACGTTTGTGTTCTGCCTGGATCATCAGGTATCTTTAAGCACCACAAAGAGCAACATTCTAAACTGGTTTCTTTTAACTTGTCACTGCATTTCGTGGCTAGCATAATAGATTTTTGTAAAAACTTCATAATCTCGGTATCAAATTAGACAGAAGACTTGGCTATGAATTCGTCACTATTTAAGGTACAAAAGCATGGTATATTGATCGAAAATCTTCACTTTCGCTAATATTTAGGGCATTACTTGATCAATAACAGTCAGTAACAGCGAACAGCGAAACAGGTAAACAATCCTTAGTTAGAGCCACTATGCGGAGTAGCTTCGTAGATATTCTAAGGTTCTGATGACAAATTACATAACCCCCTTTTCAAATGTAAATTATATAACCACCATTTGTAAAATATACATTTTTTTGCTTTTTGTTAAAAAGTTCTTTTTATTCAAATATATTCAAATATACAAATTTACAGCTATTTCTTTTTCTTTGATTGATTAGATTTGCTTATAGGTTTTTCGTTTAATTTTTCGAATCCGTTCAGTTTCGCGTCAAGCGGCAGCAAATCTGGCGTGATGGCTCGTTGCTCCATTTCAACCTGATCACGTCTCGTTTGGCTAACAAAATCGAACACCTTTCCCAAGCTCGTCGCCTCGTTGACTTTCTTCGACAATTTGATCCGCGCTGCTTCATCACCCCCGACTAGTGGATTCAGCCAGGTTGACTTGCGAGTGTCTACGAGTTTGGTGCCTTTTGGAACATAAATCTGAAAGGCAATTTCTACAATCTGTGCCTTGGTGTATGCGTGCTCTTTCAATTCAACAATGTCTACAAAAGAAAAATTATGTTGAAATGTGGCTGACTTTATACCAACCATAGTGCTGAGAGAAAGTTTCTTAATATTACATAATTCTGCACTAACAAACTAAGTTTTATTCAGTAAGGTTCTCGAAGGACATCTTTAACGATAAATATTTACAACCATATTATTACTGCTCTGCCTTTATTAACGCTAAAAAAATTGTAGAATTGCTAGAACTGGGATAGTATTCTGCATCCGCCAGCAAACCACATTGATATAAATCTGGTAACTTTAATAAACCATTAGAAAATTCTTGAAAACAATATAAAATATAACGCACCTGAAAAGCAAATATCGATTGCATCTTCAACTTCCTTGCGCGATGGATGTTTTCCACAAGCTTCAAAAAACTTCTTTATATCTTCATACGTAAAAATGCCAACACTCCCTTGTTTTTTCCCTTTTGCAATTCTATCATATTCAATCTCGTACTCTGAAAGCCAAAAAGGTTTGTTATGTGCATAAAGCTACTAAACATCACAAGAAAATAGACTGGAATTAGGTTTAATTACTAGTCGAAAAAGAAAAACCATTATTCATTCTCCCCTTTCAAAGTCCTACGACGTTGACTGGGTCAATAAAAAAATACTTGTGAGAAGAATTTTTTCGTCATCTTGCTACAGCCATTTTGGGTCTAAAAACTTCTTCAAGCCACAATATATTAATCTGAATTTAGGGGGCTATGTTTCATCCAATAGTATAGATCCGGTCTTTCTATAAACGTCATGAAAACAGTCAATCTCTCACCATCTTTAACGATCAATCATTGATTATTAAAATGGGAAGTGAACAATAATTAAAAGGGCAATTTCAAAGAAATGTTTTCATATATCAACAGTAAGGCCAAATGGTTTTATAGAGAGTGGATTCACCACTAGGATTCATGGATTGGCATCTATTTTTCATTTGATCCCGCCTTCAAAATTTATACTTCTACTTTTTACAGTGCTGGCAGTACTTAATTCTGCAGATCAGTTTCAGATATATTACACGCTACTCCTCCTTGTACTCAGGGGTATATGTGGCCACGTCCCGTTTCTAGGCATCCTTTTGTGCATTTTTACAGACTGTCCTATGCATTTTGACAAATTATTCAGTTAAAAAAGTCGTATTGACCTAGAAAACAGAGAGGACAAGTTGCTGATTCAATGCCTATTTAAATGAACAGAATTCTCTGCATCAAAAAATTGGCATGGTGCTATACCATCCTTTTGTGCCTCTGCACTTTTCAAATTTTCGTCGTCCATGGATGAAATTTCCGTTTCTCAAGCATGAAATGTATAAAATAATTTGCATCATCAAAGCTAGCTTACTGTTTCTTTTCTCGATGTATTCCAAAAGCTCATCAAAAGCAATTATTGCCTTTGAATCCTTTTCCCCATGTCTCTCCATTATTCTCTGTAGGTGATCTCTGTACGTGTTCAGGAAGCCTTTGAAGTCAAGCGTCCTCTTCATGGCCTACAAAACAACAGGAGGGTGATATTTGGAAACACTGGAATATCTTATTATGAAATGTGAGAAAATGCTAACTCTTTCAGTTGCCCTTTATTTGTCCTTTTATTTGATGTTTTCCTTTTTGAATGAAACTTGTCCCTTCAAATATAGAACTGTTTGAAAGCGGTTACAATTTTTTCATCAAATGAAAGTATCACCAATCACCAAAGCCCCAGGATCTAAAGTAAAATAGAGTGGAAATACCTCAGACAAAGTGCATGCATGAAAGGATGTTTCCGGGTTAAGCATAGATAGTACCACAAAGGGCAATATCATGAGACTCACAACAAAACGATTTTTAGACTAAATGTTTTTCGTCATACTTGCAAGGATCCCTATCTCAAACAATCAAACTGCTCTGTTAAAAAACATTGCAGTTAAAAACGTAGCATTACATTACAGGTTGTCAATTGCGACAGTTTGAAAATGAGGCATCTACTGAAAATGAGGCTACCATGAGGCAGTCATTTGAAATCGGATCAGTAAGAACGGACAACGTTTAGTCAACAAAAACTGGAATAAACCAGTACCGAGCAGTGTGAGCATAGTCCCAGATATAAGATCGAGATATGCTAGAATATGAATGTTAAATTGACATTAACTAGTTATCTTACAGTACATAAAAAGAAGATATTGCGGTTCATACCGTAAAAGGGGTCACAGTTCGGCAGCAAAAGGAATACCTGGGTATCACAAATATCTACCTTTACGACTTTCGTAATCAGAAAATCCTTATATATCGACCAAAGCAGTTATCTTACCTTACTTTTTGCATTTTGGTAAAATTTGCGCACTAACCAACCACGTACGAACCTAAAGTAAGATGAAATTAAAAGAAATAGCAATACGATTAAGGAGATAAATCTGATTACATCATATTTCAGAGAGGAATGGAAATACGCCTTATAGGAAATACGTAGGCGTGAATAATTCTAAGAGTTTGATAGGAAAGTGTACATTCGTAGCCTCATACAACAAAATGTGAAAAGCAAGATTATTGTCATATGTGGGAAAATTCAGTAAGCATTTATGCTGTAATTGAGCTCCATATAAGAGAATTTCAGTGTACATAGCATGCATGAACATCAATTTATTAGTCTATATGAAGAAACCTACGGGGGATGGATACCCTGATTTTTATGCCAACATGTTAATTGAAACATAAACAAAAGAATATATACAAATCCTCAGTGTGAGAAAGGAAATTAACCTTCGGTCTTTTCGAAAAATTTTACAACTTGAAAAGACCATTTTGAATAAAAATTCAGAAGGTTTTCTTTCCTGATACAACGAAAAAATCATTGAGTGCTTTTTTGTGATCGGCAATTTACCTACCTCTGGATAGTAATTGCAGCTGCCTTCATTTGTGCCTTTGTGGGACTTTTGTCGTGGAAAATTCTAAAAAGAATTAATCCTTGCCCGTCACTTATAAAATGTATAAAATATTGAATTAGATAAGCCAACTAAACTACATTCATTTTATTTCAGATCAGAAACTGAACTTAACTGATCTTTTTGCATCAAGTTGGTTGAAAAGTAGCAGTTGTAAAAAAGGCATGAATAAGAAAAGATTGAGGTTTCATAAATTTGCGATTCCAAGATATCAAATGAATTCCCAGAATTTGATAGCTACGATCTCTGGTGTCTGAAATCAATTAAAAGGCTGATGTACACATCTAGAATTCATTAATCAAATCTAGCCAAAGTTTTTTTGAAATGCCTTTTTCGTCAAAATTGTAAAATATGTTAGCTAAAGAGTCCGTGTAAATTCTTAACTTGTAAGAAGACATGTGGAATCCTAGAATATCCAACAACAACATAAAATGCCAGCCAACATTTATGATTTAGGCTTTATTAAGTTCTATATGCTGTTCATATCTTTTCCATAATACAACAACTTCCACCTCAAATCGTAAAAACATGAAAAATATGTATTTATACGTCACGACAGAAATCGGCTCCCTCTTTGATATTGATTATTGAAAACGCCCCCCCCCCCCATACCCAGAGAAGCTCTGATCACGAATTATCCCCCATCTTTAGCAACAAATTTTGGAAAAGCCCCTAAGGCTTGTTGGAATTATTACGGTATGTATAGAACAAACATTATCCAAAGACAGAGAGTGAGATGGTCGAATTCAACCTTAAAAATTTTCGCTGGTGTTCAAAAACTCTGACAATGATTGAACATATTTAGAACTCAAGCCTTTTTCCTCCCTTCCGATTACGTTAAAGCTGGTGCAGCTTACCCGAAATATTCTTTTTGCGTCGAAGTTTTATCAATTTTGTAGGGAAAATAAGTACCACAATAACAGAAAACAAAATATTATTACTCGTGTATGGCCTTCGAAGCACTGACTTTCCGCATCCTGTCATCCTGCTTGACCTGGAGTTTTATCAGTCTAGAAACAAAAGAAATTGGATAGTAAAACAAGCCACAATAGCATCAATAAATTTATATTGCTATTCAATTTCATTTAAAAAGGATTGAAAGAAAAACCACGAATAACCAGAATGAATCAGAGCACCGATTTATAAACAGCACTTTGTTTTTTTGCTACATTTAGGAAGGTTTGCCACATTCAGCTTATCGCTCAAAGGGCGTACTCTTTCTTGAAAAACATGAAATACAAATATATTTTTAGTTTTCTACTTTACAGTATAAGTATGATGCAAAAATGGGCCTTAAAGGTGATTTACTTCTCTAGGGATAACTTTGAGATTGTTTTCACATACCTTTCTACTTTGAAAGTAAAATAACTGATAATGAATAGATTATACAAAAACAAGGCAAGTCAAAATTGCTTGTAATGAGAATTAAATGAAAATGAATGCATATTGCAGCACTGAAAGATTTGTAGAAACAATGGGAAGAAAGAACAAAAGTCATACTTCTTATTACGCGTCTGAGCTTTAAACATTCGCTCATTGTCTTTTTTCTTCAGATGCTCCTTGTACGTTTTCTCCCATTCGACAATGTCGACTTGAGGAGGGCGCTGGCTAACGTTGTACTCGATCATTCGCTTCCTTGTTAAGTACCCTCGCATAGCACTGTGTAGTAAAAGAAAGTATTATTGACAAAACGATACAATAATCAAAATTTTTAAACTGCACTGGTTTTCGAATTGTAAAATTAATCAGTTAATGAATAAATTAATTAATGAATTAATGAATGAACTATGCATTAATCAATTAGTTAAGGGATAGTTGGTAGCTGAAAGCAACAAAACTACTTAGGGATATTCAAAATTGATTTTTGCTTGAAGCCAACCTTATTCTTTGCATGTAAATGACAATATTAGTGAAAGAAATCACATATGTAGTATATCATAAAACTAATTTTTGCGTTAAATAGCGTCTTGGTCTGAAACAAAGCTCATAGTAGGCCATTACGTGTTTATCTGTTTATGAAAGTGAGCAGAATACCATTTACCTTTGTATTTTAATTGCAGCTCTCTTTTGCCGATCCTTTTCTGCATGTTTCAGCTCACGAGCATACTTTCTCGCCATATAGCCTCTGAATATCCTATCAAATTGAAAACGTCATTGTCAATAGCACTAATACCTACGCATTACTCTTGCAGATTTCAATTATTTTACCTTAACAACAAGAAACTCCTGTGAAAAGTTCCCCTTTTCTTTCAACAAACATTGCCTTATTGAGATACCAAAAAACCAACTATAAAAGTGACTTCTATTACAGATTTTCATTTATCCTGTCCGGTCAAAACTGAAAGCTTACTAAATCAACTCCTAAGTTTAATCGGTCTGTTTTTCAGTGCCAGCCAAGGTTTGTCATTTTCCTTGAGGCACGTTTGGCTCTTTTCTATCTTTTTTATATATAATGTTTTTTAGTTTCTTTGCTTTTATTGGGCGGCTATTTCTTGATTAGTTAATCTACTTAGAGAGTTCCCATTAATCAATCAATATTATATACAATTATGTAATGTCATTTCTTTGTTTAGTTTATAGTTTTATACTAAATGTTTTTAATTCAGTTCTACATATTGTACTGTAACCTTGTAAATTGTATGTATTGATTGGTAATCAAATGAAACTTGAAACTTGAAACTATCCTTAATTTCAAATAGCTTAATACTTGCTCATGATTCACCAAAAAAGGATAGCTAATACATGGATAAAAGAATTCAAAAATACCTTTGGATGTCAACGGCAGCATTTGTTTTTCTTTGACGCTGGTAGTCATCTTCAAGTGCCGGCTGAAAAATAAACCAGCTTAATAAATCAAGACAAAATCAACTGAAATAATATGACAAACGATAAACACACAGAAAAGCGCAGAACTGAATAAGACAAAGGTAGATTGGCTTTGAAAAAAATATTACTAATGTACTGAAATGTCATACTGGAACATAAGAAGTTCATGGCATATTCCTCAAGCATTCTTGTGATTACGAAAAAAACATTATCGCATTCTAAATATTCAATATATATGTTCTACAAGAATTCTTGATGTTGGGTGCGATTTCTCAAGAATGAAAGTTAATAGCAACAAAAAGGGGGGTTTAAATTCTAATATCCTGGTTGTAAAACATAAATATTTTTAAGATATTTATATAGAAAAATTCAACGGAAAAACAAACTTTCGAAAAACTCAGAAAATATCTGAAAAAGAAATACATGGAATTCTTACATTATCATCAAAGCAGTAATGCGAGAACTTATTCACGCTGAAAACTTGATCCACTTGTTCTTCAGTTGTGCTCTTTGCATGGGAATGAGGCCGTCGAGTCGACTGCGCGGATCCATGCCTGCTAGAGCGCGCAGAGCCAAGCCTATTGGACGCTTTCGAACATGCTGAAAGAGGCCTACTCTTGTTAAGCGACAGGGGATCGCTTCTCTCCTTGTACTGACTGCCTGGTCTGCTTATTTTCTGAGTCTGCGGCAAGGACTGTGATGGTGATTTTCCGCCAACACTCTGAGATTTCTCTCCGACTTGAACAGCATGGCCTTCAGCTTTCAGTGGAAAATAACCACCTAAAACAGAATCAGAATGAGCAAATCCTCCAAGCCACGTAGCCGGTTCCTATGAGGTTTCCAAATTTGCTATCTATTATTTATAAGGATAAAAATATCTGGAAAAAACAGCAGCGATTGATGAAAAATCACGGCCTGTGATGGAACGAAGTGACTAAGCTTAAGAAAAAAAACGGTCTATTGGAGCTGAGGTTTCGCACCTACACATTCTCAAAGAGTTTTTGAAGAAGTCTGTGGGTTTTATAAGTTTTTTTGAAATTCAGACTGCGGTGAAGAATTTGATATTTAAAACAACACACCAGGCACACTGATAATAGGCTTGAAGAAGGGCTTTTGACTGGAAGAAACATTCTAGCTAAAAAAGAGGACTTTCGAAGGAAAAGAGAATCAAAACTTCAAGGTAGCCGTAAATACATTTTTAGACTTATTCAATTTCTAGACCGGTCTCTAACAAATTGGAGGTTCACCTGAGAAACAAGGATTGTTGAAGCAAAATTATAAATCAAGTTAAAAAAATGATAGAATTTCAATAGAACTTCAAAACATAAATCAAAAGCTTTTAAAAGGAAGATCTTCCGAAATTCGCTAGGACAAGGGTCTCATTTTTGGTTAAAAATTTCAGTAAGCATTTTAGCAGAGACGACGGCCGACGGTTATGGAGGGGGGATGTCAGTTGCCCTCCTTGGCCTCGGAAATCTTCGCAATTACCTTTCTTATCCTTCTGTTGTGTTATGTTTTGTTCAGGAAAAGAACGCTAGGACCCAGGCTCTATATACTGTTAAGTTAGTTGAGTTATGTAAAGTATGTTCGAAGTACACCATCGTTTTGGGTTATCTAAAATTTGCCTATTAGGCCATCATAAACATAAATATAACATGTTGTACCACAGCGTAAATATAAACACAAATAAAAATACAAATACTAAAATATAACTAAAAACATGAATAAATGAAATCAATGGATAAAAACAAATATAAATAAAAAATATATATACACTTAGATAAATATGAATATAAATAAAGATAGCTTTCATAAAAAAAATCTAGACCATCATACCATTGTACTGATTTAGCCAATCAAGCTTATTTATCTCTCTGCTCCCTACGTCAGGGGTGTTTGGAGAGCCTCTTTGTGTGCTCAAAGTCTCGGTGAACCTTCCAGTTTCCCACTGAGCCTTTTCCCCTCTATCATCGCCAATGAGATACAATGGTTGAAAGATGTTCAGCACGTCAACATCGATTTGCTTCACATGGTACTTTGGCCTAAACAAAATTGTTCATTGTAGTTTTGAAGAACACACAAAGAACACATTATGTCTTGAGTATGGGAACTGCTACAGAAACGTATCGACAAAGTTTTCTTCGTGATATGATTCTATGATTTTGAAACTGCCTTCACGAAATTACATTTAGTTATGGACGCCCTCTATTGAGGATATTGGCGTTTTGGTAAAACGGCGTTTTCTTTAAGTCAAAAGGGGGTGACCAATTAATTTTCATTTTACAAGTACAGCCTAGTGACTGGCGCCACCCCTGATAAACTGAGGTTTTAGGGCTAAAAGGGTAATTTGGACTTTTCAGACCTCTAAAGCTATCTTTTCACTGATTGTATCTAACAAAGAGCCATTATTTTTGATAACATTTCCTGTTTATTTGGCCATTGAGCATAGATTGAGCAAAGAGCTTGGAATAAGTGGTTACTTTGGAAGTCAAAATCCCTTAAAGTGTGTACCGATATTCTTCGTTGAAACTTTTTGAATGCGCGGAAAATAGAATGAAAACAAAGACGATAAATAGGCAAACTTTCTAAGGTCCACAAGATCAATTTCAGAATTTCTCCCCTTTTTTTATCTGCCATAAATATCTGTAATATTATCTGATTTCTGAACGAGTGGAGGCTAATAACTAGGGATCCCCATCCTTTCAAATTTCATATATTCGTTAACGCGCATCTATAATCGACGTTCTACCGAAAGTTAATAATTGGCTTGGGTTTGTCTGTGAACCTGGTAGTCCTAATTATAAAAAGAATATATGCAAGCGGCTTCTCAAAGAGGAAAATTATCATTCGCCTCTTAAGGATGCGGGGGCGCAATGGTTGTTGCGGAGTTATTCAATATGACGTCATATTGATAAAACGAACTAACATGACGATTTATTCTTTACCTAATTAGCAAAGTTTTTCAGATATGCTTAGCTTATCATACTTTGATGATTGCAAAAGATTTCGAGAATATTTTTGACAAAAGAAGAAAGTAATTTGAGGAAGATGGGGAATATTTTCTCTTGCTGCGCAAGTAGAAAATCGTGTAAAGTTGAGCCGTTTGAAAAGAAGGTTTCGCCAGTTAATCGCAGTCCGCCGTCCATTGAGAAATCTCGCGCGAAGGCCACCGCTGACATGAAGGCCATCGAACAGATGTTTGCAGCCAATTGTCAAGCGAAAGCGGTCAATGAGGTGGACAATGTCGAAGACAGCAGCAGTGAAGATGCTGTATCTATTGGAACGCGCCCGAGAAACCCAAGTCCACCTTCGAACGAGGGATTGAGGACACCTGAAATACTCGAGGCAGCGCACTTACAAGACGGAAGTTCGGAAGCTTCAACGCCGTCTATTCAAGAAGTTAACGGGGTAGTCCCTGAAAGAATTGGGCACCAAAATAATGTAAATACTTATCTGCTTTATATGTATCGCTTATTACCCTTTCTCGGGATATGTAGCGTTATATTTCACATCGAAGAATCAGTCTTGATAGTACGACACATAGCATAAATGAAATAAACATCTATTGTTGGGTTGAGTAAAATGTTTCTTGGTATAAAAGGGGCGTGACTTAATAATGATGGGCACTATATGAAACCACAAGATCAAAAATATTTGTAGCCTTTAGGCCACGAAGTTACCATTTAATTTTGTTTTTCTGCTCAATAACACAGAGACAAAGATGTAAGAGCACCATTTATAAATTAGAAGAGCATCTGTATGGAAAAAAACTACATTTTAGAATGGTATTAAAAAGATTTTTGGAAAAAGTAAAAAATAATGCATCCATTGATAGATATATACTGTTATGATTCAGGAAATGCAAGAAGAGGACGAAAAGTTCGTCCCAGTACAAGACAGAAGCCAATTAGAGAATCCACAAAACACTGGAGCAGGAAGAGAAACTGGGTCAGAAGAAGAAAATATAGCTGAACTGAAGGAGAGTTTTCCGGTAAACGATCAACACAGTCAGCTTATAGTTGAGCACTTTGAAACAGACGCTGTGCCTGGAGAAGCTGCAGGTGTAACTGCCAGTGACTTGATAAAGGAGGAACCAGTGAAAAAGGGCAGTTCAAAGGTTCCATTCTATCCATACAAACAGGAGTCAAAACAGGCACAGCAAGGTACCTACGGCGGATGCCAGGAAACAGGACGTTCCAGACGAAACCGAGTCATAGTGGTACAAAGCTATGGAAGCAGTGCAGGTGCTAGAAATGAGATCTACGGCAGGCCAATGGCTTCATACAGTAGACACTTAGTGGGTGAGGTGAAAAGGAATGAACAGTTCATGAATCAAAGCATAAATGGGATGCAAGAGCATGGAAATTTGACCCAGGACCCGCTAAGGCCTGGCTATGGCACAAGAGGCCTCCAGCTGGGAGGCAATTCTCTTATGTTGGCCCGGAGTTATGAGGATGCTTGGCGCAACATGAGAGGCCTTACAAGCCCTACTGAGCCAGATGAATTTGCCTTTTCCGACTGCACAAATCTGTCAGCTCCAACGACACCAAACTTTGAGGTGGCATCAATGTCAAGGTAAGTAAAGTGACTCAAACGATAAAATTGTTTGCTATAATTTTTTTAAAAGAGGCTTTGAAAGTTTGATTCTGAGGCGGTCTTCTGAGCAGGGTTTCGTTTCTTAAAAAATGATACATTTTGCACAGGAAAAGAAGACGGTAAATACAAAGGTAAAGATAAATCAGAAACGAATGAGAAAATGAGAGTAAACACTAAAAAAAACTTAGGAAGAAAACTCAGTGTTTTATTATTCTTTGTCTTACAGCTCCCAGTGCTCACCTCGAGTACTGCCAGCACAAGGGGTGACAAACTTTCACCCGACGCATGCTTTTGCCAACGACAATGACTATATCTTCGAGGAAGAGGGTGAAGAAGAAAACGAAGACAGTGAAGTCAACGATGAAGTTAGTGACACTGATGACATGTCAGAGGTAGCCCAGCCGGCAGTCTATGAGCAAGTTGGTAATGTGCGGCGTATCACGGTGCAACCAGCTAATGAAAGTTCCTATGGCATGCTAGAAGCATTGCAATGCCACCACGGAAAAAGGAAGTCATTTTGTACATTGTGTACACGCCCAACTGGGAGGGTTGGGAGAGAGTTTAAAGCGCAACAAGACAACTTCAAGCGCGAGAGAGAGGAGAAAAAACGAAAGATGGTCAGATTTGAATAAAAAAACTTCACAGTGGCTCCAAAAAGTCAAAGCTTACAAGAGAAATGAAAGTTTGGGTAAAACTAAATAGATTTGATAATACCTGGGCAAAGTTGAAGGGTGACTTGATATGCAAAATAACTAAACTATGAAAAGAGACTTTGAAGATAATAACCTTGAAGAGTAATAGGTTTCAGAAAACTTATGAAAGAATGTTGCAGATTTGGCAGAAAAATCAAATGAATATGGTTTTTAGAGGTATAAAGTTTAAGAAATTAGGGGGCAGTATAAGAGCTACCTTGATTCAGAACGGAGATAAAATTCCAAAAAAGGCAAACAGCAGAAAGCCTATAGCCTGGTAGAATACAAGCTGGGCACCAAATTGAGAGGCCACAGTGCTCAGATGGGTGTTCAGAGAATGAATAGAGACGGCCAGGGACTTAAATTCTCAATGCAATCTTCGATTGAAGTTAGAATAATTCATGTCGATGCAGAACGTTCGGTCATTAGTTCTCCGTTCCCTGGATATAAAGGGCCAGAGTTCAATACCGGCATTTCTGATGGAGAGCTACAGAAAGCATTGGAGAGATGAATGCCCAATAACTATAACAAAAATTATCCCATGCTGTTGCACTTAATTAGAATCTCGATGAAAGTGGAAATTACTGCGAAGAAACTTGATAAAGTATGAAGTATATGTGCACCGAGCATTCCAATTGATTTTTTCATTACAATTGTTGTAAATATTATACAAATCTGGCTAAAAGTTCTCTTTTTTTTCGCCTCAAGCTAGAGCTTTGCATAGCTACGTAATATGTTTTTGCTAATAAGAAGGAACAAAAACTCTTATCCTAGGAAAAAAGGGAACAAAAATCTGAAGGAGTAGATGTTTTGGAAACACAAACTTTGCTTGGAAATATGCAGAGCAAAAATGATAGTATTTTAACTGGCTGTATACTAAAATGTATGGAAAAATTGCTTTGATAAATTGATAAAAAAATATGACATATGCAACTTGGAAATTAATTTGGATGCTTTTGATTTTGCTTTATGACCATAGCCACACTTGGGGAAAAATATGCTTCTACGCATGAAGACTTTTCATGAAGGATAATTCGATCAACAATTTCTGGCAAAACTAATGAAATTTTAAGGTACCTTTGCTAAAAGCCGAGGGATTAATACAACATATTGACATCCAAATTTGGACAAATCCAGACGTCATCAACTCTGTTACTATATTCTCTCCCCTCCCCCTTACAATGTTAACTTTTTGATCAAAAGTTATTATGATTCCAATCCTAGATAGATTGCCACTGACAATTATTTATAGCTGTGCCAGTATGTGCCAAAATTCGAAAAATTTGGCAACGATGGGGGCACAAACAATTCATGTTCGCTTTAACCTTTGAACCAAACAAGATACCTCAAAGTACCCCGGCTCATATTGAAACCATTTTAAAGATCTTTTTATTATGCAAATTTGGATGGAACAGCTGTTCAAACGGTGAAAAGTTTTTTTAGGTGCTCCAATAATTTTTGCTGGGACTGTTGTTTCCTACATGGGAAATTTTTTTAGACTAGAGCTATTTTAGAAATTAGTAGATTTTTGATGATTAGTTCCTCTGCAGGGCTTAACAGATCATGGTATGTAAGCCTCTCAAAGGCTGAGACGAGAAATGAAGAAGCTCCGTTGAGTAGGCCTTGTCATGACACTCCCTGAAAATATATCAAGGTGATCCATGATTTAGAAACCAAGTTTCAAACAAAATATACTATAAATATGATTGACAACGAGTTGGTACCTTTTGTTTTCTGACAGCTCTGATGAAAATGCTAAAAACAACAAAATCTTGATTAAACAGCTGGAAAACTTCAGGATGATCAAGTATAGACGAAACAAAAATACAAAGAAAGACTTTACTCCAATAAAGAAAACAAAAAGGCACTAAAGTACGTTAAAGAAATGTATACAGATTTTTAAAACATAGCGTAAAAACTCAAATACCCCCCTCCCTTTGGGAAAGTTCAATACTCAGTACTGTTAAAATTAAAGAGGAGGGGGTTATTCAAGAATGGCGCATATTGAATAGGGTGGTTAGTTGAATTATTACGTTGAATGGCTCTTATACATGCTAATCATAGGATATCAAAACGATTAACTTATTCAGTAACGACTCTTATAGGTCCTATGAAAGCTCCAGCACTTGGAGATAACTAAAGTCTTTCCATCGTAAAATTCAGAAAATTAAAATGCGTTTTCAAAAGATAAAGCCAAGAAGAGTGCCATAGGTACAAAATAATGTGATGGGGATGAAGAAAGAAACCAAATAATCATGCTTCTTTTATCATTCGAATATTTCCATGCTCTTTGCAACCTGCATCATGGCTACAGTAGCATTTAAGTTTACAAGCAAAGATGATATTTTGACAGAGAAACACAAGTCAAAGCAAGTAACAGCTTACAGGAATCTTTGTCATAGGGCTTGGTTAGTTTCACAAACTGCGTATCGTCAGGCTTCTGATTTTCGCTGTCTGGTGACGCTATCCACATTGGAACAGCGGTGCTTTGCCCGCTCATCCTGTCACTGAAGGATTCAAAATACGTCAACAAAAACCTGAGCTATTAGAACTGTTTGCAATCATGATTTACATAAAAAATAAACGTTTAAAAGGTTTAAACATCGCTGAATAACTCAGTCCACAAATGTCTGGCTAGCTACTTCAAGAAAATTGTAACTAATAAAAATCTAGAGATGTGGCTTATAAAAATCTGTCATTTAGAGAGAAGTGACTGCCCGAAAAATTCTCAGTTTATTGAACGCAGACTTCATGATGGACAGTAAAGAGAATCGAAGTTTCTCTTAAAGTTATACAAATGCGAGTTAATTTTCCCGCTTTGCATTTTTTTCACTAACTACCTCAAGGTTTCCTTTGTTCCTTTTCTTCATTCCATTCTCCTTTTATATTCAGGTTTTGCAAGACAGTTTTTCCACAGTATATAATTAGTTAAAAGAATAAACGAAAGAAATGAAACACAATTGATTTCGCCCTTCGGAAACGTACAAAACATTTGTTGACAATTAAGCGCGGAAAAATGATGGGGATTTTTGTTGAAATTTACGATTAAATTACTATACTAGAAATTAAAGTACAGGTTTAGCTATCTGACGTATTCTCACCGAGAGAAAAATGCAGCAGATGAAGCTTGGATCAAAGCGTTGAAAAGAAATTACAAAGGTTTATAAGCTTTGTAAACAAACAAACAAAGGTAAATGCTGCATTATATTTGGATTGCCATAGACACAAATTACTAGAGAGTTTTGCTATTGAATATTTCGCAGCGCAGCCAAATAATGTCTTGCCACAGTAATAGAGGTCCATTTAGTAATTGCTCAAATTATACTTTTGTATCACTTATCAGCTCGAGTTAACAAATTAGGTCACGTCTAGTAATCGTCATGGAATGAACTGCTATAGAATTGTTGCAGTAAGATGCATTTTCATAGGTATCTATCGCATGTAAAAAATGAAGAAAACTAGAGAAAAGGGACATGAAACTTTAAATGAATTTACCTGGATCTTCTGTCGCATCCACCCAGATGCTTAATAATCATAGAGGAAGCCAGAGTCTTTGAATTAGGCATACGAGAACTATTTTTGAAAACTGATTGTGGTGACTCGCATTGTCTTGCTTTTACCTTGCCAGTACGATTTTGCATTTGTGGCCTTAGGAGACAAAAGATGCAACAAAATGATGCGTGAGAAAGACTAAACGAACCAACAAAGAGGACTTCTAATTTCTCGCCTCATATTTTCTGTAAGATATTCGTGTTGTTTATTTGTTATATTCCGTTGCAAATTTAATTTTTCATTTCTTTTCACCATAGTGAAAGCTTAGCAGATTTTCCTCCAAAAATTTTCTATTTCATAGGAGTATATAGCCCTCAAGGTTGTTCGATGCAAGAATATCAAGACCCTTGCGTCAAAATTAAATATCTTATAAGATCCAACGAATAATGCAACGCATGATCATAAGGAATTAAATAAAATTATGCTATAAAAAGTAAAACAGATCATTAAACTTCTTAACGATTATACAGAGAAAATGGCATGTTCCTGAAAGGGCGTTCGTGTGTATATGCAACTTTATAACAGGTAAAAATGTGCCAGTACAATGAAACTGTAGGACAAATCGGAGACGACTCCTGTTGAATGTAAATAATTGCAGATGAACCCAGGCAGAAAAATTGCGTAGTAAATTGTTCAATAAATACAGTCGAAATTTTTCACTGATATTTTCAAATTTGAAATCAAAAAAAGGGTATGACATAAAACATACTTGGTCAGTTTCTTTACATAGGTTCGACTGCCAAATCCATCATGTGTATATCTGGAAAGAATGAGCCAAATATCAGAATAAAGTGAAAAAAAAACAGAATAAAGTGATATATTAAATATCAAGGAAGATAAAGCAGTAAAAAAATCTAGTTTTCTGCAGATCTTTGGAGAAATATCTCCTTAAAAGAGCTTCTATTGGTCCTTGAGTTTATGAATGACTATATGGGCTACATTCAGCTTGTTTGAATCATACCTAATAAATCCTACCTCAATAGGCTATGGAGAGCCTTTAAACTAAGCTTTTCCAACCACTACTATTTTCAGTTCCTAAATAGACCTCCAATTAAATTTCCATTCCCCTATAAAATGGGCCCCCTTTAATCTGATATATTTGAGATTGAAAGCTTTTACATGTGTTTGATTACCGATATCTCAACGAATCCGGCTCCACCGGACCAGATATTTTGTAATGTTTTTCCGTTTTCGCGTTCCGGTCCTGTGGAAAATGAACTTTATATTGTCTTGGACTTTCTTCCGGGAACAAGATTTCAGCCTTCCTCAAAGCCTGGCTGGCATTATCTCCTTTCAGAGCAGCAGTTGGCCTAAAAAAGAATTTGGAAATCTAAATCTGGTTTGTAGCTGTTTTAACTCTTTCTGTGCTAAATACTACAAAGGGGAATAGAATTCAAAAGGCATTGAAACTGCTGAAATCGAAAAGCATCTTATTATCAAGGGTAAAATGTAAGGGAGTGGGCATAAAACGAGGCGGTGAAAGAAACAGGAAGAAATGGTCAGATATTTACCTAAGAGAAAAGAAATTAATATAAGGAAAAAACGAGAATAGGTAGAAAACGTCTATGAATAGAAAGAAAGGGGAGAACGTAGAATGAAAGAGAATAGGCATTGAGAGAAAGAAATTATTTTGAAAAAGGAAAAAGGAAAGGAAGAATGGAGGGTGTGGAAGGTAAGGAAGGTAGATAGTTGCACCTTCGGGAAGAATACAGCAGCATGTTTCTTTCCAAAATAGTCTTCGCTATTTTGACATAGATAGGCTAATGGGAAAGATCAGTAAATCCAGTTTCATCCTGCTGTTACTGAAGGCCTTAATAAAAAAATCTTTAAAAAACTCGGTATTGTTGGATGTAAATCACAATACAATGAAATATGTACTGTTCGACAATACCTTAAATATAATCGCGGACTAAGTCTATCACGAGGGCTGCTGTGAGGCGAATTTGAAGGACTTTGTCGAACATCTTTTCGAAACTCTTGATGATTGATTTGAATCTGCAAAATATATAAACAATTTTAATTATGTTTAAATTTTTAAAACTTCCTAATTTTAAAATCAACCCACGGGTAAAGGCAACATTTGCTAGAAGGGCCTATCGAAAAATCCAGAGGGATTCTTCATTTCCATTTCCATGTCCAGCACAAAACGCATATATAGTTCAAGCAAGAAAAAACTAAGCCTGCGGAGCATTTCAAATCACCTGGGAGAATTGTTGTGGCATAGAGCAACATGCTTTCAAAATTTTCCAAATATTCCCGCCTTGTAGCGTTAATATGTGGACGCTAACTTTTCTTAGTTTTTATTGGACTCATGACAACTAGAAAATGACAAGTCGCATGTTATTGTGCTTTAATTACTTGTTCTAAGATACAAATACAGTCACTGATTGTAATGTGCATTTTTTGTACATTAAAAGATTTGCTTTCCTTGAAAGATGGCCAACGTTGGTTAACCTGGTTGCAAGAGCCTCGGAAGAAAACAAAAATGGAAACCTAATACTCTTCGTCTCCCTTATCGTGAGAGGCTGCCGCACCAAGAAACAAGGCGAACCATTCCATGCACACCATGCAGAAAATCATTCATTGTATCTTATTTTATGTTCTTTCGGGATGTTCGTTCTTAAAGCACGGCATAATTTACAATTAATGCTGATGACAATGAACTTGAAGTATAGCAAATTTTCGACAATAGCCTTTTTTACTAAAAATATTCTTATGCAACGGGGGATGCAGTCCGAAAGTCCTAAGACAGAAAACAAATAGATACAACACATTCTCGGGTAGAGTTTCAAATAGGGACATCCCCCGAAAAACTGTTTCCAACTTAAGACGTGTTGCCATGGCATCACTCAGCATCGCCAATGGCTACCGTCTCCAAGAACGCTCGCTTGCTTCTCCAGAGGGAAGTCCAAACTCTTGGCTGGAATAGTTGACAAGGAAAACACAAAGATGGCATCGCTTAAAGACTTAAAAGTCTAAAAAACTGGTCTACAGTTGCCCTGGTGACGGCAACAACGGTCCTCCATTCACCAAAATAAGAACAACATGCCATATGCATCCATTTATTGGTTTAGCTGGTTGTTTACATTTAGCAAAATCTCTGTTCAACGCAGGAAAATTGATGTTTGCTCAGTTAAATGGCTGCTCAAAATCCAAAATAACTATTGCTTGTTAATCAGATTATTAATTGACTTTTTATGCCGTAACGCAAGACCCACTAAACGAATCAAGATGTTATGCTTCCGCATCTTCATTCGAAAGGACACAAAAACATCGTGATGACCCACACATGAATATAAATCGAATGCTCCACGGGAAAACTTTGCACGGGATAAGAGCTTGTCTGCTTTGAATGCATGGACATTCTTGTGGGTTCATGTTTGAGCAACTTCCTCTTGATGCATTTAAGGCATTAAGGTAAAGAATAAAACTTTGAAGGACATAGCGGGTCAAACTATAATTGAAATGATGTAACCGTTCTTAGCATTAATAAAGATACTCTGAATAACACAGAAATCACAATCGAAAAAGATCGAAGTAATTGGTTGACCCTTTTACCTTAGAAGTTACTGGAATGTACTGCACTTTACCATATTTGAGATGATAATTCATTTGGCTGGCAATCTTTGATTCCGAACGAGTATCAGGTCTCTGAAACCATTTGCTTGTAGCTTTCCTTTTAAAACTGCATGGCGATATAGCGGAGCAAATATCAAACAGCCGAGTTCTCGCGGGAAAGTTAATGTCAACAACACATTTGCGACGAACATTACACTAATAAAAGAGTTTCCACACCTTGACAAAAGGACCGGGGCAATTTAGGACATCAATAATCTGAGTCGAAATTAATTAGCCTCAGAGACTTTTGCATTGATTCTCTAGGGAAAAGAGAAACTTTGGCCAGAAATACAAAGGATAACTGGTCTCGAAAACATCTGACTTTAGCTGACGAGAAAAATCCCTGTTGTGCGAAAAGGGGACTAGTTCAGCAACGATAAAGTCTTGCTTCTACTTTGACCGTCGAAACTAATCATAATCGAACCATTACCAGTGTCGAACCGTAATACGCAGTCGAACCCCCTCCAAACAACATTAACGGAAGCATGAACGGGCGGAACGGTTCCAAATGCATGCTAAATTCCTTGTTTAAATTTTGTGCATTAATGGTGTGAAAAACAACTTACCGTAGACAGTAGCAAACAATTCGTCTTCGTAATCCTTGAGCCGATTAATGCTATATCACGTTACATAAGTAAGTCGAACAAGGCCTGTATCGTTCTTTATGTATGTTGTTCGATATTTCTATCAATATGCGAAGGATAGACAGCTACAATTCTCGGATTATTCTACGTTCACACTGCAAGGATAAGCAGCGTGCTCTAAAACTAAACTCCTCATTTTCTCAAAATTGCACTGAAAAGCGGAAACATTTCAATCCTCAGAGCATTCCCCTGGGTATTAGTGCCATAAAAATTCTAGCATGGAAATAGAAGATAGAAGCGGAGGAGCGGAGGAGCGAAGGAGCGGAGGAGCGGAGGAGCGAAGGAGCAGAGAACTCCGCTTCTTCGCTCCTATCTTCTATTTCCTCGCGCGAACTTCTGTGGCTTTGGTACCTAGGGTATCAGAGCATAAACGTCAGATAATTACCAAAGCGGAAACTAATATCCAGAGATGCGAATCGGAAGTAAATTAAGAGTTAGGGAAGTGCTTTGATTGGTTCCTTATACTGCTAAACCCAAAAACCCTAAGAAAATAAATATATGAAATTATAAATTAGGTTCAATTTTTGGGTCGAAAACTTTTCCCATATACATATTTTTATTTTTTAGTGTTGGTAATGTTCATTTTGTGACAGAAAGCTACGAGGATTCTGACTGGTCAAAAAGAAACCCAATTTTCAAAAAACGATAGATAGAAACAACGCAAGATGAAGAGCCAATAATTTACTGATACTTTGCCCTGGAAAGACTCATCTTAACTTTGAAGATTCAAAAGTAATTTGATTTGAAGATCTTTCCCATTTTCCCACTCATTCGCTACCTAAAGTCACATTTCTGACAGGAGCCATACAACAATTTTTTCTTAGTACAATAAAGAGATGTGCTCACGCTAAACTAATCCATTGACATGAGGATATTTGTGAGGTGTATTTTGCTTCATGTCCTCGAGAAATTTTCAACTTAAATTCTAGACATTTTGAAATGGTTCTTCTAAACACATAAATCGTTTGGGATTTAAATATACACGAGCACATCTTTACACAGTGTAATAATTCCTGTTATTTTATCATAATTAAAGTGAAAGTTTTATTTCGAAGGCTCTTTGATTTGCAAGGCTTTCAAAAGTACAGGGCTAAAGGTTGCGAAATTTGAAAACCGAATTTATCCAGGCTAAAGATCTTACCAAGAAATACTTCGACAGGTTGATCTGCATCATTGTTTGGTTTTTGCAAAGCTCAAAAATCAACCAAACCTTTGCTTACAAGCAGTCCCCTGCGTGCAGTAAGTGAATCCAATGCTAAATCCACTGGCTACTTTCGCAGCTAACCGGTTTGATGATAAAAATATACTTACTGGTGGTTTTTGTTCGAGCATTTGTTGGCCAACAGGCGTCACAAGCTGTAAAATCGATGACGTTGTCAATCCATTTTTGTTTCTAAAATAGATATCACAGTCTACCGTGTTAGGAATAAAATAAAGTGATTAAAAAAGTTGCGCAATTGCTAGTGGTTTGGTGGCAAAATCACCTGCATTGGAGAAGTGTGGAAGAAAATAAGATTTTGCGCTAAACAAGCTGTCATAACAAAGAAAATGACGATATGACAATATGGCATTGAGTTGCTCGATGCAGAGCAATGCCAACCAACATAATGCAGAGCTTTGGACAATCATAAGGAGCCTTTTGAAAATGGATGCATACGATGTAATCAAATTAAACATTGCCGCTAATAAGGAGCACAACTTTTCACAAAAAATTGGGGCGCGGAGCCTGTTTTAGAAAATCGAGGAAGCAACTGCTCTCAGTTAGATAGTCTAATGAATCCACTTAAAAGAGGTGTAATGTACTTAAAGCAAAAAGGACCAATTTAGAGGTGGTAGCCGTAAAAATGGCATGTGGCAACTTATCGTTTGGACTGATTTTTTCTGATTGTCCAGTACTCGTTTCCTATAGCGAAATTGTTTTAAAAAATTAACGCATATTCAAAACAGTTCATCTCAGGTCATCCTTGAATTAACTACCCCCCGTGAATGGTGGCCCAGTCTAACTACAAATGTCAATAACTGTTTTCAAATAGAGCTTATGCTTGAGAAATGAAAAAATTATCACAAAGTTTCAAATAACCGAGATGAAAAGCAATCGAAGAATGGGCTGTATGAATAAATGGTTCTATTGTCAGTGAACTTTGAAACGAAGTGCGATTGTAAAAGCAGAAATATCTACTCACAAGCCACTATGTGGGTCAACTTGTTTCTTAGCAACGTTGCGGTGAAGGCTTCTCGGTGATTGGGAAACTTGAGAAAGAAAAATTAATCATTAAAATTTGTTGTGACGATAGAAACAGCGAATATGTCCTATATATGGCCTTATAGCAGAGGAAAACACTATTAAGTCAATGTTTCGTAATTATACGAGAGGCAATCTACATTCTACAGGTTTCTATTACAGCAGTAGTGGCGCTAGGAATTTTCCGACAGAGGAACATAGCCTTCCAAAAGGGGGCTAAATATCTTAAAATTATAAATCTGGTTTCCTTCACAATTCACATCTGTTTACAAAAGCGATGTGAAAATGAAAGCTAATATCATAAAACCTCTTAGAAAGGCATGCTAACATATGCAGTACGAATTTTATTGTAGTTATATAAATGTAATATTCATTAGCGCGAGATATAAGCATCAGTTAGGGTGCAAGAGCATCAAGTATAGCAGGGCTGCCTGACATTCACCACAAATATAGTGAGTTCTATATTTTCATTAAATCATCAGTCGAAATTCTAGATGACGGTCACTAAATATGGGCGACAGGGCCAAATTTTAAATGACGGTCACTAAATATGGGCGATAGGGCCATATATCTGAACATAACATTTACAGTGATTCTGACCTAAAGGACGATTCCTTTTAGCCTAATACAGCCGAACCATGTTGAGGAAAGGCTCATCCCCTTCCGAAGATCCTGGGTTGGTCTGTTGCTGGCTAGTTTTACAATATCCTCCACAGTGAACAATTTAGGCTGACAGTGGTTGTATCAATTTGATTTACGCACATGTCAATTCACAAATCATCAATTTTAGCTACAAAACTTTGCATAAATGTTGAAGAAATGACGTGGAGGTATTGGAGATAACCTATTTCGCACCCTCATTCAGATCTTCTCTTGGCCATGCTCGTTCGATGGGGTTGTTAAATTTTTAATGAACTCTAATTTACAAAGGTTACACTTCACTTAAACCCACATTCACCATGCTACCTAACTTTAAATAATAACCCAAATCGCGAAGTTGCATCTTTGAAGGAAAGGATATGATCCTAAACATAATTTGAGCAAAGAATATGATTACAAACAATCTAACGTATTTAGCAAGCTAAAAATGAAGGATCAAACTGCAATCGCTTTATTTGACAATATCTTTGTTGCTGCTAACCCCAACACATACCAGCTTGCGTGCTGTTGCTTTCCTTGCTGTTCACTTCGTCTTTATAATTCATATGCTTCCTTTCTTTTAATTGCTGGAATTTTGAATAACTTGGTATATATTCAAACTTCTGCTTCTCTTGCTGAATGCTCGAATTCGATTTTTCTCCCAAAACTGTATCTTGCTCCTTAACAGAAACCCCTTTCTCCATGATCACCTCACCAGTATTCAACGATTTCGATTGATCGATTGCAGTTGATTGGCTGGCACTGGCATCATCAGCTTGAGTCTCGATACTAAAATCCTCGCTTGATTTCTCTTCCGATTGTTGATCATCGCTCATTTGAGCACTTTTAACAATTTGATCAACATCAATGCTAACTCGGTCTTCATCGATTTCAGATTGCAGATCGCTTCCTGGTAAATCCTCCTGAATGTAAACTCTTTTTTGTAAATAATCGGCGCTTCTCGACCTCTGTTTTTTATTGCTTGAATGACTCAGTGGACTCGAGTTCTGGTTATAACGTTCGATTTGGTTAACCTGCACGTTTTCGCTGTTCTCTCCCGGTGCTGTATAATGTATAGAAACTTTTGAAACAGGTCTGAAAAGAAGTGATGAAAATACTAAGATGTTGAAACAAAGGAAGGATAAAAGACTCAAGCAAAACTCGCCTCCTCACGAAAACAACTATAACATGACCACAGGCAGGTCTATAGCTACTTTCTTATAAAGTTTTGCATATGTAAAATTTTTGTTATTGATCTATTTGAGCCACGGGGGGTTCGCGTGGGCGAAGAGCTTACAAATAGGTTTGTATATAGGAAAAAGCAGAGACTAGATATTTCATAGGATATTTCATTTCATAGATATTTCATAGGATTATACACAAGCTACAATGATCTAAGGGCTCTAAAGATAGATCCAGTGACTGCTATCATGAATCGAATTTAATTCACAAAGACAATAATCGATTGCCAGGGTACTCATTCATAATCGAAGCAGTTGTGAGCTGGCATTTAAAACAATGCGTCAAATAAGTCCTGATTCGGCGGAGTTTAGTCTATTTATGCGCATGAAAGCTTCAAGGGGATGCCGAATGAAGGTTTACCTCAACCAAATTCAACTTTAAAATGCGCAGTGATTAATGTACTTTGAATTTAAAAAAGACGATACGAAGAAAGCATTAAGTGCTGTAAATTGCATAGATAAGAAACATGCTTTTTCATGAAGGGTCTGGAGGTGAAGGGGTCATGGGCTGACATCAAAAGGGACAAACCATAGCATCGAGTACTTATCCAAATTTCAAAATAAAATGAATTATCTAGTAGAAGATATATATAAATAAATAAATAGAAGATAAATTCTTTCTTTGGCAGGAATCAGGCCGATTCTGCTCCATCAAAATTTCATTTTGAACCAATAGTCTCAATCATTTTTGGAAGGTAACACCCTAAACGACCCAAATATTTGCCTCAACTGAATGCAGAGTAAATGCAATAGCAGCACTGAGTGAAGCAGCAGTGCCACGAAAATAGTCGCGAAAAAAAGTTGCGAGAGATTTACTGATAAGGATGAGCCAGTTAACATGGGTGAACAACAGGCCTTTCTTTTTGCATTTATTTAGGCACTTGAGCACCATTCACATGTCAGTTCCTGGTTAGATTTGACACAAATTGCATTTAAATTGGCGCATTGCTGACGTGGCGAGAGAGCTCGAAGGCAAGGCGCCACCCGAAATGCATTGGAAAAAAAGATACCTATCATGTTATTTTTCTCTGATAATCCTCTCTATACTTTGTTGACGATATAGCAAGCACATCAATTTGAAAAGTGAGAAAAATAATCCATACAGTCAGTTTCAGAAAAAAATGCTCAGCGCTGGGAAACCATACAGATTAAGCAAGAAAGTACCTGCTGTTTTCCATAAAGGCGTCACAAAACCCTACAATATTGTAAAATATTTGAGCAGCATATGTTGCTTGCACAAATAGTGGCTGCAAATTTTTTATCATGTTTAAATAGATAGTGAGCCTTAGAGTCTATAATGGAAATTTGTGTTGGTAATCTACCCATGATGGCGCAGAAAACTTGAAACATTTCTTTTGGAGAGACTTCCCTGTAGTCATCTAGCCACACAAACTGGCCTCGTAATCAGTTGTCGCCTAGTGATCCCAATACAACACTACATAAAGTATTGTTCACCATAGCAACAGCTGAAGTGATCGCCTTTCCATCTCATGGCGTGGAGATTATGCTGTTTCAAATAAAAAAGGTTATCCTCATAAATTAGGTCTTTCTTCAAAATTATATACGTCAGGACAGCTTAGCAAGACCCAAAACATAAAAGATTATTGGTCAGATCACTGGGAAGCACAAAGAAATTTCGGCTGAAGATTGTCTGGAAAGCTTTAAAATTGCTTAGAAAATTTGATCAGACCAGGCTGTCGGCGCATTTGAAGATTCGTTGAAATCTCAAACTGGGAAACTACCATTCCTAGAGGCTAGAAAAGATCCGTTTTTCTAGTAAATCGCCTGCTGAGCTAGGATTGTAATGAACAAGGACTTGGAAACAACCATATCTATAATATTTGGACTAATTTAACCGTCATTTTCATGTTTTTGGGCTTGAGGCATAAATTATACAAATCTTTAGGCTGCAACTCGATAAATATTTACCCGCTTTTGCTAAAATTAGAATTTTAGAAACGAGTTTTAGTGAATGTACAAATTTGATGTACAAGAGATGAGCCGAGTAAAATCTCCAAATGTACATATTATGAGAGACTTCTTTGGCAAAGCTTGCAATGATTTTTGAAATAATGAGCGCCATAGGAAAATTAATTAAAATCTTATGGGGCAACTTGTACAGGTAAGCTAGCTAGACCAAACAGATTTATGCAAAAAAGCCAAACTACTGAACGATAATTTTCTGAAAAAAAAATTTATAATAGCATACGATCGAATTAGAGTACAATCATAAACAAACGATCCTAAGATTTTGCTACATTCTCAGGGTAAAGCAGAATAGTCCTAAGAAATATACTATTCCTTTCACTTCCTAAGCAAAAGAGAATTAAGCATAAGAAGTTTTTGAAAATGTTAAATTTTAAATGAAAAATCAAAAAGATTCAAATTGATTTGAACAAAATATTCAAGAAATAAATTAAGAATGGCCAAATAAAATCATCCAGAGAGAAAGTGATCCGCATTCATAAACAACGCAAATTCACTTACAACTGCATATCTTCACTGGGATCCAACTGATAGTCTGCTTTTGTTGAAACATATCTTCCTTTCGAAACTGGAGTATGGTCAAGCTAAAGCAAACAAATACGAGATTTCAGCTCCCTGGGTGCCAGGCTCTTTTGAGACTCACAAGAAAAGAGAAGTATCGGAACTGAGAAGGTATGTAAATGGCACATTTCTAACTAAGCAAGCTACTCTACAGATCAAATACAGAAGATATATATTATATCTTATATTTTGAACGACGACCTGAAAAATGATAACAAACCTAGGCAAAACTTATGCTATAGGCATCATTACTCCTATTTGAATAAAGCATCAATGAGTCGAGGTCACGGGCTTCTTCTTTGTATAAAAGAACCTTTATTTCATCCAGTTACACTAATGAAGAAGTAACAGCGGTTGCATTTCCATTTGAATATCAATTTATATTCAAGAATCCTGGGAAAATGTCAATATTTATTAAACTTCAAAACGAAATGACATGATATTTTCCTATAAAAGAAAACTATTTCTGCCTTAGATTGGTACCCTTATGAAAAGAAAAACACAGAAGATTACTTCCTGAATTTGACAATTGCAATAACCTAATTACTACTACGTAACACGCATACTCTTCTTATAAAAACGAGTTTTCTCAGTTCACAACAGGGGTGTTGTGGCTCCTAGAAAAGGTTCTTGAGAAAATGATTATAAGGGGGCCCGCTCTATTGTATGACATCTCCAATCACAAACCACAGGTCGCTAAAAATGGTACCTACCTGGAAACCATACACCAACGAAAAATTACAAAGACACCAGTTTTATCATCTTTAAAGGTTCGTCTGCTTTATTTTATGAGGTGTATCCCCTTTTTTTAACCATAGTCTCTTTAAGACTCCAAAAAATGTGGAACAAACCCATTGCTGTACTTCACACTTAACACCAACTTAAGCGCGATAAAGCACTTACGTGCACGTGAAATTTTTTGCGGCCGTGCCTTTTAAATTAGCTTGAAATACCTTTCAGAATTTTTTTTGCAGTCATTTACCACGTTTTACAATTTTTAGGGCATACTTTTGTGCGTTTCGTTAAAGTTTAGTTCTTCAAATTGGAATTCCTAACTTTAAGAGGCCCCCTAGACCTCGAGGCCCTGGGGCAGTTTTCCCCTCCTTGTCCCCGTCTCAGCGGCTCTGTTCATATTCCACGAATCTCTTTCACAGGGGCCTGTTTGTATATGTTGACCTCTTCTAATTCTGAACTTTTAACTTGAGTCTACTTGTTAGCGAGGGGCTTTCTCGCCAAGGATTTTATTCAAACACTTTCCGGGGTTTTACAAACTCACTTTAAATGGGCCCACCGGGAAATTTCCCGATGTCCCGCCTAATCACAACGCCCCTGGTTCACAAACTTTAATACTATTCGGGCATTACACAATAAAATCTTTTTAAGACTCCAAAGGATTGGGATCGTCAAACCCCAATACTCTCTTCTGAAAATGATCATGCGTAATTCCAACAGCGCTTCGATCACTAATGTACAAAATCGTAATTAAAATAGTACATAGTTGATAAAAACACCCAAAATCAATCTCACCATTATATGAGGTGGGGCAGTTTCAGGCCTCTTAATGGTAGATTTCATGTCTTGAGTCGAGTCATATTTGTAATCTCTTAAATCGTTGGGTATTTCTGGAGCACCAATTCCTTCAAAACCATTGACAGTGAAGACTGTGTCCATGGTGTCAGATTCTTTCGAACTAGACATCTAGGAAAAACCAATTTGTGATGCGTCGTAACAGATAAGAATGCGATTAAGTTACTAAGCAAGGAAGTCTATTTGAACATTCAAATAATGCTACTAGGATGATGTGTCTGACTGGTGATAGTTGATACCAGTGAATGCGAACAGCTGTTGTCTGAAGTAAACATTGCATTGCTCTGGAGACATTTTTAAAAATCTCTATCGTCCCCTAAAAACAAAATTAAGAAAACAGCAAGGCCTATTTAAGTTTGGAACGTTGAAAATATCTTTGGTATGATTTCCTTAAAAAACCTTTCAAGATTTGCTACTTACAAGAATGCTAGTTCCGAGAAACTGCCTCAAAAGGGTTTTCAGAACCAATAGAGGTATTTAAATCGAGGTCTTGGCTTACCATATAGAATCAAACTATAGTTGGTAAAATAAGGCTCAAATTCACCCAAATTCGTGTGCACGGTATTTTTCTGCTTGAGCAATACATTGAACAGCTAAGAATTGGAAAACCAAGAAAAAAGAAAAAGAACAAGAGTATCATTATAACGCCCAATATACTGAATACATAAAAAGTTGACTTGTTTTACCCACAAAACGTAATTGGAGATTCACTCTCCTCTATCCCCTTTAGAAAGACTTATCCACATTGCGCCGCTATTGTAACAGTGCAACAGAAAAAGTATAGAAAATCAAATAAGGATCGTGTGCTCAAAAAAAGTCAGGTACATTCTCCATTTTTATGTGACAAATAGCTAAAAAACGTCTTCGTAAATTTATCCTTCTGGTTTCATATGTCAAGGAGTCTGAATCTATCAGTGTTTTAAGGGCTAGGTAATGACTTGCTTTTCGGAGCTAAGCACAGAGTTTACAATGTCAAGATGAATATATTTGAAGTTAATGAAGAAGGCTTTATTATCTTGTGAGCCAGTGAGCAAACTTTAGAAAAAGCAAACTTACGTCACGCGAGTCCAAATGCGAAAAAGAGGTTTGGGGTCTTTGATGTCTATAAGAGTTTCGCCCAACTTTTTCGTGACGCAATATTCCAGGTTTGACACCAGGGTCAATGGATGATGAAGGTCTATACTTAAGTGTCTTGGAAGAACCTTGCGAAGGACTGAAGTGCTGAAAAAAGATGCACATTATAACGTAAGACAGTTCTAGCTATGGAATGTAAAATGAAGTTTGATTGCCAATGCAGTTCAGCGTTTTGTACGACGAGTGAGCAAAAAAACAAATTAACATCGTTAAAGTGCGAGTTCGTACATGGAAGTTTAATATTATTACGAGCATCGATGAAGAGTTGTGCTCGAAACGTCACAACTTCTATGTACAAAGTCGTACTTCAACTATATTAGTTTGTTTTATATGTAAAGTAAAGGTTTGAAAGACACAGTTGACATTTTTACAAAGTCCCATGATCGCAGTGCTTTGCAAAAAAATACTAAATGTAAAAATCAGATTGATAAATCTCTGAAAAAAATGGTTAAATGAACCATAAAAGACAGAAATAGATAGCGAAATATAGAAAAGCTAACTAATTTACTAACGTAGCTAAATATCTCCTATAAACTTTAGATGATCAAATTAAAGGTTTGTCAGTTATTCTATTCAGTTTCTCGTATGTAATAAAACATTGTTATGTGGCTAGCTGACTTCTTGTAAGTCCAATTAAGAAGGTTTTCTTTCTAAAGGACATATTTTGACAATTGATCAATCGGTACAGTTTGTTCGATTTTGGACCATTTATAAGAAATTCGAAAAATAGGCTGCCTAGTTTCTTATAAGGAAAAAATGTTTTCTATCCTTGAAGATTACAGTTTCTTATAAATATATTTTTGCATGCGGGGATTAACTATATAGAATCTCAAAGCCTGAGGCAACTCGAAAAGGGAGCAGAAACGACGTTTGAATCATCTATGGAATTCTGTATAATTTCCATGAACCAACTCGATGTTTAAAAGCTGGCTTAAAGAGGGGGCGGGGGGCATTTTGAATGGCAAGGCTTTATTGAAATCTGATGTCACTCACCGATGCGCTAAGGGTTTCTCTTCTTTAGAAATAAAAACAGACAGTGGTGAAATGTGAAGCACGGTGGACCCCTAAATATCAGTATTAAATCGGAGTTTGATGTTTGGTTATTTAGTTGTACATAGCAAGACGTGATTACACAATACGTTTCACTTCAATACCAGGTACGAGTTTTACACAATGTTTATAAATGGAATGGAAGGGTAATAACCTGCTTGGTAATAACCTGCTAAGAAAAATATTTAATTTGTAGGGTAATACAAAAATAGTGAACATAATTTGTTTTCAATGATAAAAACCTTGTCTGTTCTGCACAGCTGTCTTTTATTTGTAACATACCACTGATATACTCTCTGTAAATCTTCGGATTGTCGTTGGGAATTTTTTATGCTAAGAAAGAGGGTTGGAAATTGAACTACGTCACAGCTTGCAAATTTAATTGGAAACGGATTTAACAGCGAACCTTTTTGCGTAAGAGGATAGAATTAAATGTCTACAGTAAAATCATTATCAAAATATTTACCGCAATTGTACAATACCAAAGTCATGAATAATGTACCTCGAATGGAATACGCTAGAAACTCTCGCTAAGAAAGCTTAGCTTGCTATTCCAGTTTTTGTAAGGATTAAAAAACAGCTTTAACAGCAAAAAACCACATCTCTTCAGCTCGCCTTGTATTGAAGAACAGTTTTCCTTTCAATTTTCGATCTTATCTGAAGCTTTAAAACTGGGTCAGATTTTGACAAGATTACCTTTATTTATACAATCAATAGCATGAATACTTAAGAACAGCAAAAACAGTTATTTCTCGTCGGAACATTCACGCTAATGAAATCGGATGATCATTGATAGGCCGAAATATTTCAAAATAGTCATTGATAGGCCGAAATATTTCAAAATAGTGAAAGACTTAACGTCTTCCTTCTGGGACCTCAAATGTTTATAACATACCAATTTTGTAATACTTAAGCTAAAAGGAAGCTTTTGACTTAAATCGACACGAGAAAATAAAAAACTATACCAACACAAACCTGGATATTTCAAGAAGCATCTTTGTTAGAACAGAGAAAAATGGTTTCTCATATGAGTCACCAGTATCATAGAGATAAGGCCTAGAAGAAAATACAAGACCTTGCAGTTTTAAAGTAACAAAGGAAGTAAACGATTTCCAAATAAACAACTTTAAAATCTTGACAGAGTCAGTGGGAGAGGAGGGTCAAGAGGTCAGGGGGCCATGTCCCCTCTTTTTGAAAGATAAAATATATAATTAAGCCAACATTGATCTAGATCAACCTGTGGATTGCAACAAACAAATTGAACCAAAATCCACAAGTAAAACAGCAGGAACAAAGAATTTGCAACAATGGGGGCTAAAGGGTAAGTGGACAAATTATTTTGTCCAAAGTTTAGAATTTGTGGTACAAGCATTGGAATCAGGGTACATGGGATGTTGTGATCAAATACTTTTTTGCCTAATAGGAAATAATTTTTGGTGGATTGATGCTCATTTATAAAATTGTAAACTATGTCCAATTTGCCATTAGAACTCTACATAGAAAGTTGCCACTTACAAAAGCTTAAAAAAGTGTAAGAGAATAGTACCGAGCCCTATGATGCCCTTTTTGCTTAATCATGAAAATATAGAAAAGTGAAAGTGATCTGAGAGGGCAGAAAACAGGTGTCAGGGGAGTCAAACATTTTTAGGTAACTGGCAAAAGTCCTCTTCCAAACAAGATTAAACCTCCCCATGTATCTATTTAGCTAATTTGGATTTGCAAGTTTGAAAAACGTTTTTATGGTGAAAGTAAATATGTTCACAGATTTTGGTTAACAAATAAACTTCTGTTTACCCTACCTCATGTCATTCTCTCTTTTTCTTATTCCATTGGACAATTCTCTTTTTTCCTCATCTTTAAACCTTTGTATATCTCTTATCATCTTTCTGTATTCATCATACACTACAAGCTATAAGAAGAAAATCATGACATTTAATTTTAAATAACAAATAACATTCACAAAACCAGCATTATAGGATATTAGATAAAGCCTTTATGACAGCCCTCATCAAGTTCTCCCCCACAGTGGTGGAAATTCATTTTTCAGGAGGGGGGGCAATGCCCACAAAAACAAGCAAATTTGCCAACAAATGCCATAATTTATCAACAAAAGCATGTCTGACAACTTAGCAAAACCTCAGGGCACTTGCCCCCAAACCCCACAATTTTTGTCACTGTTACCCCATGTTCAAATAACCAAAGATGGCATTTGCCATCCTTGGTTGCTATGAAATAAATAAAAAACACAAGCAACACCTTTTAGAGGTGCTAAAAATGTTTATTTCTGGTTTTGTACGAGATTAACCTAAAGATACATGGCACATATTAAAGTATTGAATAATTATAGTAATGATTATATTCATACCCTACACTAGTTATAACAATTTTCCAATAAATAGGGGCAAGGTCAGGGCCATTGCTAGATACTGTCATTTTTTCTCAAGTGGGATTGAGCCCTCATGCCTCCCTGTCGTGAGAGCCCCCTGGGTATGGTATACCATATTTAAGGGTTATATATATCTTATGCTTGCAGGGAGGGCAAATCAAGACCCTTTCAAGACATCTCCTGGAAAAAGAGCCTGCATAGCCGATACAAAACTGGTGGGTAGAAAGTAAAGAAATTCTACTGTTCCCCAGCCAGGTTACATCCCCCCTCTAAACCCATACTTGTGTATACTGATTCCATGTATTTGTTGAATCATTTGGGCTGATCTAATCATTTTATAAAGCGAAAATTAGGAGGGGTCCATAGTAAACAATGTAGGGTGATACAAATAACACAAACTTTATTTAGGTATGTAAAAAATTTTTTCGACTTTTGAGGGAAAGTGATCTATACATCTCTTTCATATTTTTCAATTTACTATTATATCGAAAGATTTTCAATATAGTAAGTTGAAAGATAATTTACTCTATGATTTTAAAAATCCAAATAGATGGGGCAGCATGATATGCTTTTGAAAGGTAGCTCTGCATTCTTCTAATCTGATTTGTTTCTTTTCAAAGAAGTACACCATTCCGTTGCCTAGTAAACAGAACCTACAATTTTTGACAATAGCTCTCGAGAAATCCATAAAGTTCAGTTAATAATGTATTTGCAAAGACAAATACCTTTGAATTTCGTAGAATTCTTAATGCTCTTCCTTGTCCTGAAAACGCAGAAGTGGGTTCTTCGACTGGCATTGCGTCTTCACAAGTAACAGGTAGGTAGGCCAAAAGGAAATGAGCAATCGCGTCAAGGAATCAAATGGTAAATCCACTTCATCAATCAGCGAAACGATCTATATACAGTCAACAGATTGAAAGAGAATCCTTGGAAAACATAACATTCCATTTAGTCATTTAACAGAAACTGATTATATTTCTCTCGAAAAAACTGGATTACATCGTTTGTTTATTACAGCAACGCCATATAATACTTAATCCACTTGGTCCTATTTGCTCACCGCTGTCTCTAAACATGCATTGAACGCAAATATGTCATATTTCTTAGGCAGTCTTATGGAAGACGCCCACCCAGTGGAGGCGCCAGAAATCTTCCGACAGAGGGGTTGGAGCTTCCGACAGGGGGGCTAGAATGACTAAAATAAGCAGTTTTCGTACGTTATTTTGTCAAATTTGCTCCGACAATAACCTAAAATTTCCTCCGATGGGGGGGCTAGATGCTTCCGACGGAGGGGCTGTAGCCCCGCCTAGCCCTCCCCTGGCGCCACCAATGCGCCCACCCTTATTTAGGAGTGTTGAGGCCGAGGTAAAAAATGTGCCATCCCTTAATCATTTTTAGTTTTATGTTTGTTATTCTCTCATTTGCCTTTTCTTTTTATTGGTACAGCTGAATTTTTTCGTGTTTATCTGATCATAACGTCAAAGTAATGTTGTCGAAAAATTCTTGCTATGACTTTTATGTATGATGGTTATCTGTATAAACTACCATTTCATTGTAACGTCACTTACATAACAAACTCTACACCTTACTAATAATAATAAAAATAACAAGACAAAATGCTTATGAAGTTTTCATTTTCAAGTTGTCTCGGAAGTTCTTCGTAGGTATGACTCCGTTCCACGAATGACACACGGCCGCATTGTCTTCACCCACGTTCAAAGATGACCGCAACGAAATCCCATAAACATGACGCCACTGCAACTTTCTGTCGTTGCAATGAGAAATCGAGTCGTGTACTCACTCTAGTGTCTCTAATAGACGGCCCCCCGTGTATTAATTTCAGAAGAATTTGCCCTCCCTCCTCCACCCGTCGCTTAATAGCACCCCCCCCCCTTCTATCAAATTTTACAAATCAAGTCATTTGATTTTCATTATTCGTTTCTTTCAATAGTTTTTTGTAAAATCTCAACCTTACAAAGAAAACCGATGATTTTTGACTTGGAAGTGTAAACTTAATTTAATTAAAGCTATAAAAATTAAAGCTGTAAATTTGATTTATCTTCGTATGATTGCAATTTTCTCTAAAACTGTGCTAGAAACTGAAACCAAACTTTGACAGGATATTCTAAACGGTACTCCGATTCTATCATCACCCCTTTCTATTGAAAACTGGTCGACATGAACACCTCCTTCTATTAGCACCCCCTCTATTGAAAATTGGTCGGGATGAACACCCCCTCCTATTACCTCCCCCTTCTATTAGAGACACTAGAGTACTCTCCGCTTCTGCATAAAAATTGCCATTTCCCGAGCAGTGGCGTACTCAAGGGGGGAAATAGGGGGGTCCGGACCCCCCACTTTTCTACAACATGATTCTCGAGATTTGTCCGAACGATGTAAAACGCATTGGAGGGGGGGATGTAGTATACTGTATGATTGTATCAATAACAATTGTAAAATACTTTGCTATTTACCGTAGCTAACATGAATCAAATAATGGGGGGAAATTTTGCAAAAAAGGGCGTGGTCCAAAAATATTTCTGGGGGCTTAGCCCCAGACCCCCCACAGCTGCAGCCCTGGGTACGCCACTGTTACCGAGCAATTGTCTTTCAAAAGCATTCTTTTAGTTACAGCACGCTGTAACCGGAGTGCCTGCCAGACAACCCCCATCAGTGATGCTCTACCACATAGTACATACATTTACCAAATTTAGATACATAAAACTTAAAAGAAAAACAGATTTAGAAACATTATTTTTATTAATTATCTAAGATTTATTACATTTCATTACATTTGGGGATGGATTCCCCCCCCCCCATCTATAAATTGTCCTATCTACGCCACTGGGTATACAGTTGAAGGTGAATTATGAAAAATAGAATTTTGACAGAAAGATAAAGGAATTGTTTAGAAAACTGCATTGTTGCTGCTAAATTGTAGCAAGCTTCAAACCTTGAAATATAAGATGCATTGTATAGTTTCTCTTGAACAGAATTTCTAACCGAACTCTCAATACTTTATAAAAAGTGGTTCAATTCAAACGCCCAATTATTTATTCAATTTTATCACTGTCTCTAAATATCTAAATATCTATATATTCATTAAGGAGTTTATAAAGCCAGTACATCAACTAAACTAAAATGTTATTATTATTTATTAAGTTTAGAATCCACATTACTTTGAACAGGAGGAGTTGAAACACTCCCACAGCAATGGCCATGGTAATTGCAGATCACTTTAATAGAGGGCTTCTATTCGGACACCAGCAAGTTTATCTTGTCAATAACTAGCAGGCAAAAGTTCTTGAACAATTAATTCTTTTAAGTATCTTCATATGTTACTATTAGCTACAGCAAACAATTATTATCAATAGCACCGATAGTTGAAAAGGTGTTTAAATGAGAGAGCATATATACCCTTTTTAATGAACTGCAGATTTTGAAGAGGAAGGATTTATAGTTGAAAATCCCCAAGACTTGGAAATATTCAAGAACATTAACAAAGAGTTACTTTGAAGTTTGCGTAATTTATTTATTTATAATAATCTAAAGTTATGAGTGTAGCAATAAAATAATATTTGGTATTTAGGTTCAGGGGCGTAGGAAGCTTTTGAAAGGTGCGAGGTAAAGAGCCCTCGAGCCACACCATTATTCCAAGAGCCACACCAAAGAATACAAAAATGTTCAGGTATTAGCTTTCTTGATCGTCAAGTTTGGCGAAGATAACCCCATTGCATTGGAGACATAGATAACTCCATTGCAGACAGAGACGGGCAAATGGGAGAGTCCGGGCAGGATAACGTAGAATGCGAGAACACTTGCTTTGTTTCATAACAAATGAATAGGGGGCTCTCTGTGGTCCTTTTTAATTTTATTTTTCTCATAAGGTAAAGGGTACGTTTTAAAACTTTGAGGAAATTTTTTCAACATTTCTAGAAAGTAGGGTGGTACGTGCCCCGATTGCCCCCGGTTCCTACGTCTCTTTTTGGATTCTTAATTAAAGGCTAGGGAGAACCGGTAAAATATTGCAAGGGGGCTGGTGGAAAAAACCTACCACGAGTTTGTGGCAAGAACCTACCACGAGAAATAGCGTAATATATCTAACTATAACCGCTTGGTTTGCAGGTTATTATGGTAAAATGCAGACTGTACTTGAGACCCCGATAAGGCAGCCTTTACCCGATACTTTAAAAGAAAGCGATAGTTAAACCATAGGGATCTACCCTGCCCGGGATGAAGAGAAGAAACTGTTTCATGTATAGCCAGCCAAAAAAAAGAGCGAGCCGCTCTGGCAAAGATGGAGTTGAACAAACCTGTTTAGGTAGCTGGATCATAATCATCAGGGCCGTCGAGAGACGGGCCGGGCCCCAGGGCTGGGACTGTCATGGGGCCCCACCGTCGAAGGCTGCAAAAACCTTTTTTGGATTACGCCCTTAGCAATGCAGTTAGATGGACTGTAAAAGGGATGAATTTTGAAATCAACGCCCCTGGAACACTTGAATTTGTATTTTAAGGCCTTTAACAGAACATGTAATCAGTGACTATATAAAAAAAATCATTAAAACAAATCAGTTTAAAAATCAGAATTAATTTTATGTTTAAAAAACTGCTTTTCTTGCTTTCCTCATGGCGGAATCCTTAATCTTTTCCCACAATCTTTTCCAGCTGTCGTTCGCTTCCCAATCATCAGGAGAAGCCAATTTTGATTTTGAACCATTATTAATAGTGTGCTCAAAGAACCTGCATGGCAAACAATAGAGTGCAGCCTTTGTAGGACTGAAAACAAGCCAGCTTCTTACTACCTCCCCATTTTGCTGCTTCACATTTAGGACCGTTGTTGGAAATTTGTGGCCGTCGCAATCTTTGGGAAACTCTGGAGAATGAGGCAAATGACCAGTTCTAACAACCTTTTCTAACTCCTTTTTCGTTGGAAATCCGGTCAATGTGCCGACATCAAAACTAGATGATCCACTATGAACAGTATCTTGATTTAATGACAAATCGGTAGTGCTTTCTCTACTTTCTGTGGTGTCATGGTCTACCGAAGCAGCCAAGCCGTCTGTGTCTTCTTCTTCTTCAGCAATGCTTTGAACAGAGCTTTCACCAGGTTTATTTAAAGTTGAATCACCTTCCTTGTCTCTTTTGTAAGCACCTACCTCAAACAATGTGCGAGAGGCCTTCTTTGCTTCTTTTTCTCGTATCTTTTTTACCTGCCTTTTCTGAGCACCAGACGTGTGCCTGTAAGATGACATCGCAGGGGTTGCTTGGATCGTGATCCCGTTTAGTGATTTTGATAAAGACTTTTATAGCGTTTGGATTTGTCTTGGTTCTTCGCATGTGCTTTCTCTCTGGTCTACACCGTGAATGGAAGATTTACTTTTACGTTTATAGGAAGTCCACACAAGGAATAACTAAAACATCTGACCTAAACATGGGCTCCGACAAAGGTTGAAAAGTGGGGGGCCAAGGAAAAATTTAACACCCAAAACAAAAGATTTTGAAAAAAACTCTATTGTTTTGCAAAAAAATGGGGGGGGGCAAGGCCCCCCTGACCCCCCTCCTTCGTTGGGGGCCCTGCTAAAAGTAGATATATGTAAGTGCAATCGAATTTTACGGCTTCCGGAGAAGTATATTATGATCGTATCGGCAATGTTTTAATTATAAACCATAACAAGAAAAGGCCCTCGTCATAGACCAGCTTGTTGATCCCATGTTGAAAGATTAAAGTTCGAATATCAATCGGGTCATGGGCCCACCCTGCCAATGCTGCTAATTAAAAACTCATAGCCAAAAATACATACCTTATTTTCTACGGGCCCCTCAAGGCCCCGGGCCCCCTGGTAACTACCCTGGTTACCCCCCCCTCTCGACGGTCCTGATAATCATAAGAACGTTCTTCTGACTATGGTTTGATAGACAAAGATAGAAAGTACATGGGGTAATTACCCGTAGAATTTGCTGATGAAATATAAGAACAAAGTTTTATCTTTAATCTAAAATAATCTTCAAGAACAGACAGATTGTTAATGAAGTGAAGACTAGTTCATAAAATAACAACTTGATGGCAAGAAGATAGAGCTATTGTAGTTGGATGAAGAACAATTGTAGAATGTATATACAAACTAAAGTACTCAACATCCTACTGTTCATTGTTTATTTTGAAATTCCTCAAAGCTGAACACTCCATTGCATCTATAAAAAGTACTTGAGCATACAATGGCTTTCTCTCTATGTCTGCATAATTTTTGTTTCATATTCCAAGCGGTTTCATCCCAGTTATCAAAGGGAAAGGGAGAAATACAGTGGTGATTCCACCCTTAGGTAGGACTTAATAATTTGCTCAATAAAAACCTGCTTAGCAATTTTATCATTAACAATTTCAATTTTAGGATACTTATTTTACATCAATATCTATCCTTGATTTCTTATCAAAACATATTCTTGAAAAAATATTAGCATTACAACAGAGACTAAAGGAGAAGACATGCTTTTTCTAATACAAAATTGAGAGATTTGCGTTTTCTAATATATTATTAAGGTCAGATTATTCAACAACTTTATTAGGCCCAATATGGGCTCATTCAAAATTGCCTGTGATAAATCTAAATAATGTGGTATATTTACATTAAATACTGTACATTCCCACAAAACATGTTATCCAGTTTCTTCTTATGAAACCCAAACTCTCTATTTTCCGTTTTCTGAAACTACTGTCAATCAAATCTCTTATAATGTGGTGAAATTATTGCATAAGGTAACTTAATATAACTTAATAATAGCTAAAAAGGCAAAGTCTTTAATTTTACACATGCCACATGCTCGATGTCATTGATTGCTCTTTTCCATCTCTTTAACTACACGTTCAAAAAGTGCTTGCTTTAATCTTGTTGTGATTTGACATCTACTTGAAATATCATTGACTATCTCTTGTGGAGTAGAATTCTGGAAAAGGTCCAAATAAAAAACTTAACACCAAATATGCTTTTTAAAGCATCACACAATGACACTGATTTAAAGTATCACACATATCACACTTGATAAAAATAAGAATGATTTTTAACATTCAATGCTATATAAGAGGTGACAGCCATGTCATGCTTTTACTACTGAAAACATCCAGCAGATAAAAAAATTACTCAAGTTGCATAACTGGGATACATGGTAACAAACAAACAAGAATGAAAAAAAATTATAAAAGGCTTTGAAAAAAGCAAACATTGTATGTGTATGTATATATGTGTATGTATGTATCATATCTTTAATGTACATAACAGGTCTAAGTAAAATACTTGTTTTCAGCCTGGTGTACAAAAAAGGGTAAAAGGCTAAATAAATTAAAATATGTACTGTAAGTATAAAAATTTCAATGCAAATGAAGAAAATATTAACAATTATAAAATCCATCCATAGTTGAAACTGTCCATTATAATCTTGTCCATCAAAAAGTTTTTACATGCCTTCTTAAAAATCTCTAAAGACAAAGAGTCCTTCAGTGCACATGGGAATGAGTTCCATGTTCTGGCACCGTAATAGGCAAAAGTCTTGTGAACTGATTTGGTCCTGTGAGTGTGTACCTTAGAAGTGCTTACAAACATCTCTTGTAGATACTGAGGTCACATTGCATGCTTGATTTTGAATCATACCTAAGATTTTCATCTGACACTTGTCAGTGAATAAAACATCAGAACATAGATAAAAACTTTACGCTAGGAAATATAAATACATAGTTTTGGATCAAAATAGCCAAGCACAATCAGGAGCACATGACTGTTGAGGTTGCATATTCAGTGCTGCTTGCCTATTGAAAATACTCCATAGGAAAACACTTGTTTTCACCATAGGAGTTTGTTCTAGCCATCCTGTTCTCTACAGCAAACTGCTTATGGCTCTGCCTTCAGGTCATCAATAATCATATGACAGAGACAGAACCAGTTAACAGTAATTTTTCACTGCAAATAAAATATTATACAGCAAACATCTGCATATAAGAACCTAGTGGATTAAGAACCTACAGGCTGAAATTATGAAATTAGACCCCTATTATATAGACAAAAACCTTTAGCCCCAGTAAGGATGCCAAAATTCTTGAAATTTGAATTTGAACAAAAGAAATTTGTGAAAGCCCTGCAACAAATAAGAATCAATTTAAGAACCTAAACAACCTCATTCTTCTATATATAAAAACCTAGCTAGGCTGACTTGCAAAATTTTAGGTTCTTATATGCGATGTTTACTGTTTACACACAAAAACAAATTTATGCTTATATATCTATATATAAAATATATAATTAAATACATAAGAAAACTTACATTAAAAACTGTCACTGTGACTGGATCACCAACCTTGGGTAGATATTCCATGTCAAATAATACACTGCCGTTAATTGAATCCACTTTTGAAGAATTAGAATCTACAATAAGAGTCATCAAGTGATGATGTCGCAAAAATCAATTTTCAGAATTTTTGAAAATTGTTCCCATAACCTGAAAGAGCATCATGAAATACCACTAAACCTGCAAAATCAGTTAAAGGTATTACCAATTGGCTGAGATATATAACCAGAAGAGCACGAGCTCTGGCCCCAACAAACCTCTGTAATTTGGTCTCAGTTCATAACTTTATGAACTGAGCCAAAATAATAGTAAATCCTCTAGAAAAACTTCAAATTTTCTAGTGGCCATAGCTCACCTGACTTTTGACAAATTTAACTGATTTTGCATATATGGGAATATTTTTTTATGACATCACACTTGTGAACGCTATTAAATACTGAAATTACACAATACCTTGTAGGCAATTTAAACTTTAGAAATATTTATTCAAAATGTAAACAATCCAATGAATTATGAAGGCTTTAACAAATAATGCAATATGACTACAACATGCTTTGAGCAAAAAAATTTCAAGGGCCTGAGTACATGGGAAGAGCAGGCACAGTCAAGAGAGGGGGCCAGTCCTGATTCCTGATTTTTATTTCTGTAAGTGAAAACATAGGCTAAAGAGATTAAAGTGAGCTCAGATGGCTTTAACCTTGCTGGAAAGAGGGGCCAGCCATTACAGCATTCAATCCCTGATCAGAGGTAGCCTTCTTGCCAGCAACAGACTACACAGCTACCATTGCAGGCCCTATCTGTATGTAGTCTTATTCTCAAATCATTAAATTATTTTTATAGGGATTGAATATTTGATTCAGATTTTTTAGTTTCTTTTTAGAAGCTAAAATGCAATCAAATGAAATGAAGATACAAACATATGCGAAGATCTCAGCAAAAATCATCTACCTCAAATAGGAGAGAAACCCTCTCGATGTATTCAGGTTCTAAAACAGTCTAAAATCCCTTTTCCAAATACAATCATACAATGATGCTGAAGAATTAACTTTAAATAATAATAGTAGAAAAAGCTTGTTATATTGCTACAAATTTTAGTCATCTAGCATTTAACATTGTAACTCTGTGTTTTCTAAACCAATGAATAATTTCTTGGGTTGACACCACACTAAAGAATTTTTTGCACACAGTTTTCTATCCTAATATAAGTATATAATTTAACTAATAATTGACAACAAAATACTTTCTAGTTTTTATATAGTCCCTCTTTCACTTTGAAATTCAAGACAGCCCAGATTGGAAACTTTGTTTCATGTTTCATGCTTAGTGTTACTACCTCCCAGAGATTTTGCGTGGCCAATATATGCAAAGCATCCAGCGTGCGCGGACAGCATCTTAAAAACTGCAGTTATTATGATTGGCATATGCGTTAGCCATAACTTACCTTACATCAACATGAAACAATTTTCTTTATACATACATCATTTCTGTTAAAAAGATAATATACCTTTAATACTTTGAGCCTCGTTATTGTTTTGGCTCCTTTTGCTCGGAGGGATATATGTTGGTCTTTCACTCGGGCATTGCCTTTGTTTTAACAGACCTTTTGACTTCAGATTCATGAAAGACTTTTGCTCTTCTTCATATGTGTCTCGATCGATTTGATTTTGAACAATAAATTTGTGGAAACCATGATTTTTGTCTAACTTAGGCGCGGAGGCCATGTTAATTTTTTATGACAACCTCGATTTGTTTGCACATGTAAACGAGACAAGACAATCTCGTATCACTGGACGTGTAATAAGTCCATAGAGATAGGATAATACTATCCTATTTCAATAGATAGGTCGAAACCGTAGAGCGTTGAAAAATAGAATAAAACCTTCTTCTGCATTCAAATCCTCCTCCTCTTATTTCCAATCTCTTAATTTATATACTCTTAATAATGATTACAGTTTACTTTTTGATTGGACCTGTTACAGAAGGAGAAGGGATATAGGAGACAAGGGCATCCAGGTTGGGAAACTGGCACTCGCTCGCAGCTCTCGCCACCAAAATGAGCCTCGCTCACACAAGAAGCAATAAATTTTTCCTTGCCATCAGCGCTCATTCACTTTACAAGGTGATCGTTTTGTACTTAAGTGACAGGTCCCTCAAAACTCTGTTTGGTTCCTCAGGTCCCTCAAAACTCAAAATTCTCATGCAATTCTATAGCAATCCCCTTTTTTGTACCATCTCCGTTGTTATTGCTTAACATTCTTTCCTTTTTTCATATGCCCAGGCTAACCTAAAAAGGATTATTTCACATTTTATACACAATTCTTCAGTGAATGACAACGTCTGTAGCAGTTTGTTTGTGAGGTTCAGAAACCGACATCGCGGAGGTTTATACCCACTCGATTTGCCAAAAACGTTTAAAATTAAGGAATAAACCTGACCAATCATCCTTTACTCCAGTTTATGCCCCCCCCCCCGCCATAATCTTTCTCAACACTGGCTGGTGCCTACCTAAGAGTGAATTAGGTCTGAAATTTCTTGAAAGTTGTGGTCAAAATTGTGAAATCAATTTCATTGGTCATTCTTTCTTTGCAAACAAGATTTTATGAAAAAATAACTAGTCAATGAACAGGAAAATTACTTACAAATTTGTCAGTAAATACCTGCAAGTGAGAATATAGTTTTGCTTGCACTGCCCTGTTTCCTTGATGCAATGCTGAATGAACGAATTCACCAAAATGCAATAGTGGAATTTCTAACTTCTGAATGACTAAGAGCAAAAAGATTATCTGCTTTGAATTCTCTAACAACTACAACTTTACACTTATCCTTCTTTTCCTTAACAATAAAGATATGGATAACCAAGATAAAATAAAAAAACTCTGATTCTCTTATTCTCTTATTTTATCTTGATTAAACTAATGTGACTTTGCGTAAGTAAAAACTAAAATTATTGTTATGCAACGCAATTCTGAACAAGTGGTAACAAGTAAAAAGAAGAGCAAGGCTGAAGGTGGTTTGTCACTTGCTGGTAATAACGTAAATCAATACTGCGTAAATTAAAATTGTAACCAAGGTAAAAGGATGAGTAATACTTATCCTTTGAACAGGACGAGTGTCTATGAAATGTTGGGAAAATAATGTTCCCATAACCCAACATGATTTTCTCCTTTTCGAGATTTTTGGAGAGGGTGAGACTATTTTTGCAAGAACATTTCAATTAATATTTACAAGAACGGTAGATGTAAATCCATATCTAACTTTGGCATTAAAAGCTGGGATGACATCCCACTTAAAATTTGCAACTAAAAGATAAAAAGGGGCTTTGGGTATAAAGAAGTTATTTCATCCACATCGGTGTAATTTATTGTTGTGTTTATTAGGTCATAGTTTGCAGAAGTCAGCTGCTAAACAAATTTGAAGTGGGGAGGTAATTGGCGAAACCACCTCTTATATTGCAAATGAGCTCCTTTGCTTGTTTGATGTTTGTGTTGCACCCTCGCTAAAGTGCCATTTTCCTTAGATAAATCTACTGAAAAATCTGTGGTGACAAAAGTGGATGTGGATGGCAATATCATAACCCGATTGTGAGATATGACCCGTAAAACTCGCCCTTCTTCAGATCCTAATCATTTAGCGAAAATGAAAAGCAACGTTTGCTTTGAATAACCAAAGGATTTCGTAATATCACAGGAAAGAAAAAGCGTTATTTTTCTTCTCAATCTGAACTGAATCTTTGAATAATACTCGCGTAGTTAGGATTTAAATTTCGGAAACATAACCACATATGTATTATAAACAGACACTATTCACCTTTCAATCAAACTTTCTTTGATTTACGGTCAACTTATAGAATTTTTATTTGCGCGTATGTTATTTGTTATACGCAAATCCCACACTGTACAGAAAAATCGAACTTGTTCTATTTCCTTATTTCCTAGAACAAAATTCACAATACTTCCCGGATGTGGTAAGATAATCTTTCATAGGGCTGCTGAACTTAAAAAAGACTGGGCCTAGCCCATAATCAATTTCATAGCAACATGGAACTTCAAGTTCAAGTCACTTCAAGATAGAGAAACCGTATCAAAAAGCCTGTAGAATCGTGGCATGAAGGGCTAAGAGGAATCGTTATACGTGGACCTCGTACAGAATTCTCACTTACAAACTCACTCGTCGTAAGTGCGATACCTTTGATTTTATTTGTGCATAGCGGCAGACAAAGGCGTTGCTTTTCACCGCACTTTCTTGGCGTCGATGGCGTTGATCGACAATGTCGATCGGCTTTTTACTGAAAATTGTGTTATTTTAAATCAAGAACATATCTATCCGCAAGAAGATAATATAGCTGTAACTTCAAGTTATGTTTTTTTGTAATAATGTTGGAGACCGTCTCTGCATGGTATTATTTCTGCATGGTATGGTCCAAGCCAATTTGCTCTATATTTTTCGAGGTGTCACTTATACCCATTCCCTGCCTGGGCTTGAACCTGTAACCAGGTAGTAGTGACAAACCCTTTTTCTCATTTTTCCTTCAAAATTGATTTATAATGCAACACATTGCGTTGCTTAGTTTTTACTCTCTTTGAGGGAAGCGTCTTATCAAATCTTGTCTCAGATAAAGGGTACAATTTTGAAGCAAAACAGTTTTTTGTTTCAGTTAACGCTGCCGATGATATGTTCCTGTCCTTTTGAAATGAGAAGAATGGGTCAGCTCTTATTACTGTCATGTTACCGGATAAAGATTTGCAACTAAAGTATCATTTCTAAGCAATATACCATATTAATGAAAAGGTGGTCACTACCCTTAGTCTGAGAGATGACTTCTCATCTCGATTCTTCTTTATTTTGATTTTATGAGTTTTGATTGATGTTGATTTTTTTATTTATTATGTCTGGTGTTAAAAATGTTTCCAAGCTGGCTGCTTTTTTGCGTGTCTGTATGGTGACCAAAGTTTATAATGCACTCAAATATTGGCTTTCTGCACTTGCACTTGATTCTAAATTGTTGCGTTTTTGGAGGAGAAAAGATTTTCCTCCCTATTGTATTCACTTAATTATATTTTCTTTTTTTAGAATTTTGCGCTCTATTCGCTGAACAGGCTTGAGGTGTTGAGTTCCGTTTTTAGGTGCGCTGAGAGCCCAGGTCTTGAATTGTCTAAGAGTGCGAATTTGATCGAATGAAATACAAGAGTGTCAATTTTAAGTCAATCTGACACGACGTTGATTGATTATAAGAACAAAGGGATTAACTATTGTTTCCAGTCCCCCTTTAATTTATCGCATTGTAAGAAATATGGCGGAGCGCTGGAATTGTGTTTAGGCTATTGTTCCAGCTATCGTTCTCGTGAACCAATCCACAACGAGACAGATTGCCTTTAATCATAACAAATCAGAAAGTTTTGTAACCATTTTACGCATCGAATTTGATTTGTACATAATTTCCATTTTTCATTTTTAATTTCTTTATACACAAAATCTTTTCAGCTTACAACTAAATACCAAATAAGAAAATAAATACCCTAGTTACATTAGTATAGTTTATATACAGTTAAAGCTAAATTATGCACAGTAATCTATCTTATAGCAGCTGCTCTTCCAGGGAGTCGTGTTTTATGTTGCGTTAAGCTCGTATAATAACTTTTAAATTGCTTTTTGAATTTACTTGTGTAAGTGTAGAGAGCTCTCGGATATTGATGGGAATATAGCAACCACTTGTGTTTCGCTTTAAACAGCTATATCTCTGCTTTTTCAGTTTGCATAAACGCTGACCCCTATTATGCAACCTCACATTTAATAAGATTAGAGTTTATTTTGTATTTTATCTGCTTTACTTGAAATAATCACATGCATATAAGGCTATAAAAATCCCGAAACTCTGAAAAAATCTTAAAAAATCTCTGCAAAATCTCCAAAAAATTTCAACGGAAATATTGGGATTTTTGATGTCCCAAAAATTTCTTCTAGTTTTATGGAAATGCTTTGCCCCTCTGTTTTATATAGTTGTGTGGTTCAATATATGGGTTAATTTTTACGAAGCGTTTTGTTCTGTAAATCTTAGCGTGATTTCATATTGTAGGGTCGTTCCTTAATGTGGGGTCGTTTCTTATTCTAGGGTCATTTCATATTGTGACGTGTTGTTTCATATATTTTTAAGTTAATTAATGTGTTGTAACGTGGTTTCAAAATCAAATTTTAGTCACTTTGTTTTACACTTCGCTCTTCCGTGTTTGTTAAACTCCTTCTCAAATATGTTTTTAGATGGCGCTTGAGTTCTTCGGAGGTTTGAGTCAGACAATTGTCGGTGGTATTGGAACCGCGATTACTTTTGGCTTAAATGATGACGTAATAAAGTGGACAAAAAAAGGCGCTGCCAAGGTAGTGGATTATGCAGATATAGCCTGGGGAAAAGACGGACAAATAACTAAATTTGCGGAAAGTTTACCAGGTAAGTAAATGATCTGATCACCATAGGTAGGTGGAGCCAGTGGTATAGTGCTTTTAAAATAACAAGGGGGCTTTTGCATGTTATATTCTTGTTTTATCACATATAGATCTTAGTCAGAGAGAAACAACTGTACACATCGATCAAATAATAACAACTGAACAGAACAATGGTTAGGATAAACAACAACAACATAATAAAATATCACAAGGATTACGACATAGGGTGTCAATGTTTAGACTATATTACATCACTTCCCCTTTTGAGAAGTTATTTGTTCATGTTATAATGTTCGATGGCAAAGCTTCGCCAAATCTTTCTGGTGGTCTTCTTAATCTTTGAGAACGACGATTTCCTGGACCATTAGCTCCAGTTCCAGTGTCTGTCTGTTTATTTCTATGTTCCTGAGAAGTACGTTGTTCTGCTACTTCGTTATCAACATCACTATCTGTTTCAGACTCTTTTGTGCGAATTACCGAATTGTTGAATCGTTTGAAGTGAGATACATTTCTCGTAACTCTGTGTTTCTGGCTGTTTTCTGCAGTTACTTGTGTTCCTTTCCTTTCAACAACCAAGTACGGTGTCTTATTAAACGAGATGTGATCTTGTTGCAGCGTTGTTGTGTAGCTAGAACTGTACCACCAACTGCTATACATGGGCTCCGACGCAGGTTGGAAAGTGGAGGGGCCAAGAGAAAGTGTAACAATTATAACAAAAGTTTTTTTAAAAAAGCTCTATTGCTCTGCAAAAATTGAGGGGGCCATGGCCCCCCCGTCCCCTTTACTGCGAAAGAGACCCGCTTTTAAAAAATGCACTCATCTGAACTTACACACTGTACCTCAAAAGTGATGTTGAGTTCATGGAAATTATTAGGCAGTATCCAGCCATATATGACAAGGCATCAAAAGATTTTATTAAAGATAATTGAAGATAAAAGAATAAAAGCAAATTTCTGGCAAATGGTTGCCGACATCTTTAATATGTCAACAGAGGACGCAGAGAGAAGGTACAAGACTATTCGAACAGCATTCAATAGATACCTTGCCAAACGTGAGGGAAGGACTGGATTTGGCTTGAACGATGTAGGCCAAATGGAATCAAAGTATAAAAATTTGCGTTGGTTGGTCACTTTAATTAGACCCAGGCCTAGTTCCAGCAATTTTCAAAGAAAAACTGTGACTACTAGCAATGATGAAGAATTTAAGCAAGATTTCTCAAAAAGGTGGCCCTTCAAATGGGAGTGCCTGTTCTGATGAATTGCTTCAAACAGAAATCGACGAAGAAGAACCCAATGCAGAAGGTAACAGCGTGGGTAATAAAGAAAATTAGCATGTGATGTAAAGCCAATGTGGGCTGGCAAAAAATTTTCAATGAAGAAAGAAGTGGAAAAAACCGACAAAGAAATTTTACTATTTTTATTTATCATAATTAAACACAAAACACCTATCAGCTACTAAGTCCAAAAGAACAGTAAATATTAATTTACATATAATGCTAGTCTTCCTAGGGATCGTGCTTCGGGAAATGTGGATGAAGATACTCGTTTACTGTCTGAGTATAGCACATAGACTTGAAATATTTGATGCAAGAACAAAGGCTATTGCAAGGTATTCAATAGAAAGAATACTTTTAGATTTGGAGTTTGGATTTACACAGATTGATCAAAACAGTATGTTTACACAAAGTACACCAAATTTATCCAAACGTTCCCTCGAAATTGTTCTTACCCACAATCTCCTTGGCTTAGATGAGTTTACAATATGCAAAAGAATCAGTTTTCGTTCCTTTAAAAGCATAATTATTAGCCTCAAGTGCGTAACAAGAAGAAGTTGACGATTTTATGCAGCCATGTTGATTGAAGTTTGGCAAAAAGTTTTACTGTATTTAGCTTTTAGGCGCGAAAAATACATGGAATCGAGGTAGAGCTATCCTAAATAGAAGCTGCAGCTGTGTCTAGAGCCATGGTCGTCGATTTGTTGAGCTAAATGTGAACTATAACATCGGCGACAGTTCGCGATAATCGGTGATCGTTCGCAGCAATCGGCGACAAATGTGAACCAGGCTTTATTGGTTCATCGGCGATGATCAGCGGCGTACAAAAACTGGTGTTCTCATCTATCGTAACCATCGCAAAGTCCTCATCAGCGAAGATCGCCGACATATGAGAAACAGGCTTTAACACCCAAAGGTAAATGATACCATTCAGCTAAAAGTATCCCTAGAGATATCGAACTCTACATTCTAAAACATCTCTCGTGAGATTAAAACCGATAAAACTTCCCTTACTAATGATAGCTGAATATCCCTTAAATTGATTTGTAGATAAGTCGAATTATTACAAAAGAGCTGTTAATTTTCTAAGATAGCTGTGTCATTTAACGAGTGAATCACTTGAAACCAAATTTAAACACTGTTTACATTTCAATTTTTAACTTGGGTTAGCGCTAACGCAAACTTGGATTCAACCTGGGTTAGTGTCTACACGCAAGCGTTTTGTTGTGAATACCGCTCATTGATTTGTTTCCAAATGTTTCAAATTTGATTTATTCACCTTCCTCTTGCACTCCTTTAGCTATCTGCTCGAAGAAAGGCCGTACAAGAAAGGCTGTTGTTAGACCCCTTCGTCCAGTTCATATATGTGATGATTTTGGCATCCCCCCACAGGGTCAGTGGAGGATTACCTATTTGGCCTAGACCCCCGGCCCAGAATCTAACCAGCCCTGCAAACATTTTGTGTGTCTTCAATGAAAGACTGTGCAGACGCTCCAACCTAAGATTATTTGAACGGGTTGGCTTTTTTATGAAGTTTTCTCACATCTAGTCGGGTCAGCTAAACCCGGCGTCGTGTAAATGTCTTCAATTTCTCCGTCCTTTCATCAAATGCTTTTTCCAGTTTCCTTTGACTCTTGTTGGGGAGATGAACGAGCGAAGCTCTTCTAATTTGTATGGCAACCCACTGTCCTAGGGTCAAACAACATGTTTGATATCAAGTTCAACAATATGATATTTTCCTATTTCCTCTCCCCGAAACACGCGTTCTCGACGATCATAAACTAAAAATGATTCAGATGCAGCTTGATATCAGAGCTTGACCTACCAAACTTGGGGGCTGGAGGGTCATTTCGTTAAATATTCCGACGAAGATATAGGAGAAGAAAATTCTTGCTGTTATTTCACCTACTGATGTACGATTTTTCCGACCAAACTAAGGATTTTGAGAACCAACTGACAATTTACCGACCAACTCATGACGATTTGGGGTGTCATACCCCTACACCCCTATTTAGCTGAGCCCCTGGCAAAATCACAATTACCTTAAATTCTAGTCTCAGGTAACGAAAATTGAGACATTTTTTGAATATTCTAGTGTCCTGCCTGCACTAAAATTAAGCCCTCTCTTCTGCGATGAGATGTAGCTTAATTCCATTTTAATCCTAGTTATTGGCTACGTTGCGTCAGCTGGCCATGGTATAGCGGCTGCTGTAACAGGAGACAAAAGAAACTTACAGAGGGCAAGGAGGGCATGCGCATCCTCTACTAACTCGACACTTGTTACCGCAGCTGCGGTCGGCGGCACTCTTCTTGGAGGACCTGCAGGTTAATAAATTCTTTTCTTAGATATACGTTTAAGCAAGATAAAATAAGAGTATAAAATAACTTCTCTTATTTTATCTTGGTTTAAGATATAAGCATTTCACAAGTTCAGGCTTGAAATGTAGAGGATAGTTAAGCAGGTGATTCATGGGAAAAACGTTTTTCACAAATCGTTATAGATTGGAAATTTTTAACCATTTGTAAAAACACTCAACATGTTTGCATGACTTGACTTATTTATTTTAAAAATTTCCCTTTGTTTTTAAGTAGTTTTTACCCTATTGATTAGAAGCATTCAATCGTCTGAATCAAAGTAGCTTTTGGGTCATCAATTTGAGCGCACCCACATCTAAAGTACGCATCGTTATCTAAGTCAATTAATCTACTTCGATTTCTTCTCGATCTTCTCTATGCGGCATCTGAAGCATTCATCTACATGCACTTTAACAATTGTAGGTACGGTTGGGGTAGTGGCCGGAGCATTTTCAGGAGGAGTTCTAGGAAGTGCTGCTGGGCACTGTGCAGAGCGAGGCATCAATCATGCAAATGACTACGCATTCCAGACGTCTGTTGGCACATTCAAAGACTTCAATGCAGGTAGTTTCATGGCAGAAGTATGCATCGATGGCACATTGAGTGCATTGAGTAGTGGAGTTAGCCAAACTATTGCTAAACAGGCTGCTAGAGCTGCTGTTGGTCCAAGCCTAAAAGCGTGTGGAGGTGGTGGAGCTAAAAGATTTGTCACAAAACGTTGTGTGGAGGCAGCAGTCCGTCAACCAATAATGTCTATTGCGGATAAAGGAGCAAATAAAGCTAGAGAAATGGCTACAGCTAGAACTATCTGTGCAACAAGCCGACACCGGGACACACGTTCTCAAAACTCTCTTCATCTTCAAAAACAGTCTTTCTAAAAGTTCCTTGGACAATAGCCTGTGCTACACAGATGCCGTCTTTTCAAGGCAATGACTAAGCAATGCAACCTGACTTTGAAATGTCAGCTGACGATCGTAAATACTTGTAGTCCTAACCTTCTAATTAGCAATGTTCAAGCGAAAGAACAAGCAGAAGATTAATCAATGAGAAGAAAGAAGTATTGTAAAAAGATTGTAAAATGACCTGTTTTTCAATAAAATGACATGATGCCGTTTTCTTGGAGTACAACCAACCATAACCAACGTAAGCAGATTCAATCAGGGCAATAACGGGCTAAATGTTTCATCGCTTATCTCCGGTTAACGACCGAATTTTAAAAATGGGGACGACAAGGTTTTAGATATACTCCTTTGCTATGCATAATTGTATGAAGCACTTCAATAATGACAATTTTCGCGTTCAGCGTTAACTTTTTATGGCGCCGGTTTTTCCCCACAGCTTTTGATAGGAGGTGCGAGCGTTACTGTTGCGGCTGATTCGGTGCCATTTTCTCTTCAGACTTTTATTGTCTTTGACGCTATACCATTGGCTGGTTTAAAATGTAAACAAACAGTCTGATTGGCTCAAAACATTTTTCATCCTTGTCGTATTGTATTGATCACAGTCAAAATTAATTTTATAAAGCTGAAATTGACGTGAGAAACTGGCGTTATGATTGTTGTAGAAGAAAAGTGGCTGTTGTATTGTTCATTTTCTTGAGCGTGAATTTAATCAGTGTTTTTTCCCTCGCTCTGATGCATGAAAAAAATTAAAGCAAGGCGCTGAAAACCACATTTCCTCTAATGAATGCTGCCCTCTATTGAGGGCAGCATTCATTAGATCTCTATTCCTCTAATGAGGAATAGCCCTCTATTCCTCTAATGAATGCTGCCCTCTATGGAGGGCCGCACCTTCAGCCAACCCTTTGAAAAAACGCCGCCCTCTTGATAAGCGCCGCCCATTATTGAACGCCGCATCTTAGAAAGCAGCCTTCATTAGAAAACACACCAAACAAGAAGTAACGAATCGATCATACGCTTACTATTCGAAAGCTGTGAAAGTTTTTATGTCATAGAGACGAGGACTCTGATGCAGACAGGGACCTTGACATTCCTTGACATTTCCATAACGTTCACACAACCTTCATTACGTGTTTTAGGGAAATGAAAACATTGATTAAAGTCTGTTTTATCTTTTTTCATCGCACTTTTCTTGTCATTTTTCATTTGCATTTGACAAACCTTTCATTTTGTATTGAACGCCGCCCTCTTTTGAACGTTGCATCCAAAATTTAGAGCTTGTTATAAACGCCGAGGCGTTCTTTAAAGGAAATAAGGTATCTAACTTGCTGTTTTCAGCTGAGAGCCAAAACCACTCAAGCGAAAATACTGGCAAAAAGACGATCCTGCGTAAGGGCTCAGTACGGGAAATTGCAAGACGGATGAGAATAGACCGTTTTTTAAAATCAGCATAATTTTTAGAGATAATTTATAGTGTGTCATATTCATTTCGAAGGTTTTGAACAATAAATTGTTTTGATAAACAGGGTTTTAATATTTTTAAATATTTTTTCTGCGGCGCTCGTAAAGGCACTGGCCTAGGAACTCAGAAATGCACAATAACTCTAGGACTCAAAATGGTAAATCTGAGTCTTTTGCAATCAACTTATTTTTCCTGCAAAAAATTAGGATAGAGACTTTTAATCAGGATAGATATTCAGTTGATTTCTACTAAAAACCACATAAAAAAAGTTTTTTATCAAAATTTTCTGAATTGATTTATTTCGTTGTCAGAAAAGAGAAAAGAGAAAGATTTAGAAGAAAGAGGTAACAGGCTTAAAACATTTTTCGGAAATATTAAAAACCATACTTGAAATAACGAAAAAGGAACAACGAAAATCCAAATTCTTGATTTTCAAGGTTTTAATCAGTGCATGAAGTTTGCATCTTTTCACGAATGCCACGATACCTTTGTTAACACTTTACAATACCCCTTCACACTTAGCATATTTGTTGTTATGCGCAAATATCTCCTATTCGTACCAAGTTTATCCCAATTTATCACATAAGCTTAGAATATGGTTTTCAAAGTATTCTTGATTTAAGTTTTTTCGAAGGTTGGTTGAAATGTATAAAAAATTCTTCATTACGATTCAAGACTTGAGATAGACAACATCGTCGTTGAAGATTGTTGCATTTCTTTTCTGTAGAATAAGTTATTCCATCTTTGAAAAGATTATAGCTAGTTCACTAATCGAGGAATGCCATTTTCCCAAAAAAATTTTGATTGACAGTGTCATTATTCCCGCAATAACGTTTAGCGTTCAAATTCCTTCAAGTTAGCCTCTTTCTGGGCCTAAATGTCTCCGTAAAGGGAGTGCGTTAAATGAATCCCCAAAATTGAATCTATTTAGATATCCTACCTACAGTACTGTATGCAAACAGTTTTTCTATATCCACAATTTTGCAAAGATTTTGAGCCAAAGTGGCGCCTAGTTGCCTCTTCTATAGTTAAATCTACAAGAAGGTAAAAATCTATAGGGCTCTGTGTTGGACCACCTTGATATCAAGATCACAATAAAACCTTTGGCATACTCAAAGCTTAGATACTGTTACGAGCAGGCTCACTAAAGCCTAAACGATACTACGACCAAACCTTATTTACTTCCATGACGAGAGTTCCATAAATGTTTAGTAATAAATAAACTATTTACACATGATTTCATACCTCAAATTCAAACCTGAAATTTCGATACACACTACTAATAGAGTTTCAAAAAATCCAAACCAGTAATTTTACAGCATGTTTATTCTTAGAAACATTAATGCCTCGACAGTAGAACGCTCTACATAGGCCCATTTGTATCTTTTGAATGTAGTCCACCCAAATAACTGAAGACAAATAGCAAATACTGATTGGCCATAATTTATGCTTGGTCATTTGGCCTAAAAGACACTCGAATCGACCAAAGGTGTTGTTTTGTCTTGGTTGCTGTCAACATTCTAAACGAGGCATTGTGAATAGGATGGAAGCAACAAGCATTGTTAGTATAATCAAGCATTGTGGCATGACATGATTCACTCCACCACACTGACTGTTGTTTTCCTAAAAGAGAACAGATTCATAAAATATGTGCAAAAACTCAAATAATGTTTCTGATCAAATTAAATAATTACATTGCCAATTTTTATCTAATGAGTACTGTGTGAATGTGACATCAACTTCGGATTCATTCAATATAGAACCCTGTGGGAAAGTTTAAGTGTCAGGGAAGATTTCTTCAGGTAGCTGACAGATATTTTTGACAGTGCCCTGCCTGCTTATGTATCTATCAATCATTCGCTCACTAACTCTGCTTTTACAGAAAACCATTGGTTTCTCTTTTTGCCCTGACCAGTGGCGGCGCCAAGGGGTGGTATGGGGGGTAATTACCCCCCTACTTTTCTGAAAATATGGTCTACATGTTTCTTCCAAAAATGGATTAAAAAACGCTGGGTAGGGGTAGATCTAATTTCCTAAGGAAAGTTAACTTGGTACAAATCACTCAAACGAGACAAATCACTGGCTCTGGCTCGGCGTCTTGTAAAAATTGGAAACCTTCTAGTAGTACATCTTTGCCATGTAAAACACATAAGGCAAAGATGAAATAAATTAAATTGTTGATTTAGCCGAGACTGTTTATTCTCCAAGGCACCACGATAATATTGTCAAGCTCCTTACCAGACTTGACAAGTATAACAATATACTCAATACACAAAATGTTGTTTCAAATTCCACAAAGTGGTAAAAAGGTTATAGGCAGAAAACAAAATGACAGTGGCGGTTATTTGGGGGGCGAGGGGACAGTTCAGAAGTCGGCAAAATTACCATTCGGCAATATTTGGTATTTGCTATTTTTTCATTTTCAAAAAAATTTCTAAAATTAATACTTTAGTCATTTGGGGCCGTGTTTCCAACAGCACTCAATTCCAAAGAAAGCAAAGTAGAATCGATATGGAGGATAGGACAAATATATTGTCAGAGAATTCAGATTTTAACGCAAAATGCCTAAGCTCCTTCTTGTATTTAGAAAAAGCCACCAAAATCAATGAGAAAGGAGAAGAGGAAGAGTTAATTGTGAAGCAATGTACATGTATGAAACCGGACTGTGTAAGGCCTCTAATTTTCATAGAGCCTATCAAATACATTTGCTAAAACAACCAATGCTGAGGGGTCTTTCTCAAAACTAAAAACGAACAAGATTGGTCAGCAACAACTCAAGGGGCTATAGCTTCTCTCAACTTAAACCAAATTGAGGCAAAAGAATCAAAATTGTTTAAACAGCTTGCCTCGTGGAACGTTAGAAGTTTATAACTCTTTGCAAAAAATAGACTCTTTTGCAAACATGTCAGAAAAGAGGCTGAAATTGAAATAATTCAAATAAAGACTGAAGTAAGGGATATCTCATCAAGTTCATTATGAGTTAACTAGTTATTCTAAGTTTGCATCAAGTTTGTGGTGGAAGGTTTAGCTGAAGAGAAGGGCAGTCAGAGGAAGGTTTACTTTTGCTGGACCATGAAAGTCATCACATCACATTTTGGCAATAGTTCAAACTAACTTGAGCCACACCATTTACCATGAGCCACACAATCTACCATGTAACAGTCGGCAAATTTCGCACTGTTGCCCCTCCTGAAATTTTATGAAAAACCGCCACTGCAAAACGATCATCTCAAGACCTTTTGATACACTAAAGTTTACGTCAAGATAATTAGTTTTGATGCTACCGGCCACATGAAAACGGCTTTCTCACATTTAAGTTTGGCAGGGACTTGGGGGCCAAAGGACAATGGGTGTAAATGGCTTTTGAAGTTTTCGAAAATTGCTAACAAATTTTGATTGGGCCAGAATAAGGCCTTTTCTTTTTTTTGAAAAAGCGTTTCCGTTTAGGTCTGCTTGACAATCATTGTCAATTTCTTCATGACTTCCTCTACTTACATTTTATGCTAAAAGGCAATCTGTCACGACGTTGATTGATTATAAGAACAAAGGGATTTTTTATTGTTTCCAGTCCCCTTTAATTTATCGCATTGTAAAAAATATGGCGGAGCGCTGGAATTGTGTTTAGGCTATTGTTCCAGCTATTGTTCTCGTTAACCAATCCACAACGAGACAGATTGCCTTTAACTTATCGTTTTCATGTAAACTTAAGGAATAAACATATGCGTAATTGCGTTTTTATTCGAATCACAGGTGCATACTCGTTTATTCGAATTACAGTCACTGGTGCATACTCGCCCTTTTTTACGTTCTCGACATATCTCTCAATTGCGTCACAATAAGAAGATGTCCATTTCCATTGAACCCCCAGTAGGGAATCCCTAAAGGATCCCCTGTGTGAAGACTCTAATAATTTGCTTTCTGTAAACATTGTAAAGCAGTACTTACATTTTTAGGTGGATAACAAAATCTTGGTCTCTGCCGCACCTTTGTAACATTGGATGGTTTTATGTAAATTGCCTCTTTGTAGATAAGTGAAAGTGTTAAGGAAGTTAAACTTTTATATTAAATATTTTTTCATACACATTGGAAGATTTGAAATTAAACCAAAGTATGACGACTGTCACCAGCAAACGTATACATTAGTTTACGTTTCATAAGGTTTTACAGTACGTATTTATAAATGAGTTATTTATACATGTAAGCTGTTTCGTTGAAAAAAGGGTTACTTGGCTCGTCAGCTCCTGTGGCCTTCTCCAGAGAAGAAACTCCATGGAGTATAAAAATAGCTTAACAACTTTTATCAATTAAATCATTCATGACGAGTACAAAAGAAATGAAGTAGTTTTCGCGAAGATTAATTTAAATGGGAACTTAAATGAAGTTGAATCGAGTTTCATCTACAGTGCAGATTTTGTAGAAAAGAGTACCGAACTGCTTTGCATAATAGAAAAGGATATTCTCTTTGGCACGACCGGGTATTCCCGGTAAATCACTATCATTTATGCTACTTGACTCGCATTTGCCGCAAGTGCTGTCAACGGCTAATAGAAATAAGTTTGTCTTTGGCACTCTTGATACGGCAAATGTTCTGTAAAAGGGGATGGAAGAAGTGTACATAAGACAGAGCGTTGTAATAAACATGTTGCATATGGAGTATTCATTTAACGATACGAGCAATGATTGTCACTCTGTCAGTCGGGTTACATCCTGATACAAAAGTGACATTCTCAAAACCTTGAAACTTTGCTGATAATATGGCATGTCAGAGCCCCTACCCCACTCTCTTTTTGCTAAAGTATGATGGCAAGGTTGTGGCATTAAAGATAATGGTGGCAATAATTCCATAAGACCTTGCCAACTTGTCTAGAGCCCCCCCCCCCAGCCCAAAATACTACAACATCCCTAAATAAGGCACTACAAAGCCCCTGTAAAAGCTTTAGTTGTCAGTCTAAGAAAAAGGGAGCACATGATTAGGGCTCGCATAAACCCCAACTCAATTGCCATGTATCTAGTTCTTCTTAAATTTTGGCTTTATGTACTTTGTTTATTGTTCACTCCTTTGTAAAACTCCAATGCTATCTTTCTGTAACAACCCCAGTATATTTTGAATTTTTAAAATTCGAAGTACATTAGGTTTGCAATACAAAATCTTTGGCTTATGAACAATAATGGAACGATACACAATACAATACTACTGTATTTCCAATATATGTTTATTCAAGATACTAGTCAAGACAACGACAAGAAATGCAAACAAGTCTTAAGAAATCCATGACAAGTTATTACGATTCGTAAGTATAATTTCGTTATCTTTTGCCAATTATAGACTAAACGATATTTGATGGGGAACGAAAAGCAAATGTTTTTGGAATGTATTTGAAAAAAGTGGACGTAAATTCTCACCTACTGCAATAGTCTTGATTGCAAGTAGCATTACCTGCGCAGAAGCAAAAGTTAACTTTGAGTTTATTGAGTAAGGCTCTAAGATTAGACGTTACGTTAAGATTAGACGTGAAGTAGGGCTCATTAAGATCCATGAAGTTCCCTAGACCAATTAATGAAGCTCCCTAGACCTCGAAGCCATGGGTCAGCTTTCTCCCCCTCCCATTCCCCCTCCCCTTCCCACTCCCCCTTCCACTCCTCCTCCCCTTCCCCACTCCCCCTTCCATTCACCCTCCCCTTTCCACTCCCCTTTCCCCTCCCCTTCCCACTCAACAAATTGTTATATAGATTTTTTCATCATTATATATAATTTCAAATTATGACAACCTTGCATTTGTTAAAGTGGAAGAAATAGAAAAAGGGGAAAAATGAAATAGATGGGAATTGAAGGCTACGTAGAAGGTGATTGCAATGGTACAACTTGGCAAGTGAAGAAAAGGCCATCCAAAGAGAAGGTTGTAGACCAGGCGGAGAATGGGGGTAGGGTCCCCCCTCGGGGAAGTAATTCTAATTAGGTGGGTTTGAGTAATTTTGGGGTGCTGATTCCGAAAATCGATGTTATACGGGCAAGTTGGGGGGCTTTCAGCCTCTATTCCATACCAAAGTCTCGTTTTCAATCAAAATAGAGCAAGTTGCTTTTTAAGGGTCAACCCTTCGGTTAAGTATCTAAAATTCATTGGATCTAGATAATTTTAGAATGCTGATTCTAAAATTCGATATTATAAGTACGTATAAGGAGGCGTTTGGCCTCAATTCCTTGTTTAAATCTCGTTTTCACGCAAAAGGACAAAAGTGGCTTGATAAGATTCCTCCCAATTAAGAAATTTTTCCAAATTTAGCGCAATAGGGTTATTGTGGTGTACTGATTCTAAAAAATAATGTTTTGAGGCCTTTTGGGGGTCTTTTTGGCTCCACTTCTAACAAAGTATCGTACATTGCATCACATTACAGTACACCAAATTGTAACACCTAATCTGAAAGCAAATGAAACTGCAATGCCTGTGATTCATGTTTGTTGTTGGTATGTCTCAAGATCCTCAGATGGTTTTGTGAAATGGTGATTGCGATCAACATTTCTGCTAAATGACATCTAAAAGAACTTGTATCGTTTACTATGAATCAATAAGCAAGTCCGAAAATCTCGTTAAAGGAAGCTTTTTAATCTTAATCATTGATTGGGTAAAGCGTAATTCACCAAAACCTTAGTGAAGAGAATTATCACAGAGAACAATGCGAGAACCTTGCACAACATTTTGAACATGATGAGTTATTCTACGATCAAGGATGCTATCAGAGATTCACTTATGCAAAAGCATTGACGAGGAGAAAGTTAATGGAAGGCGAAGAGACTGAAACAAGAAGCGAAGTTTACACGTGGAGAAAACCGGGCCAAGGAGGCTTTTTCCAGACATTTGTATGATATGTAAGAAGAAGGTTTCAAAAGTAAATGCTATTCCACAGTCGCTATCTAAGATTGTAACAGAAGCTGGTGAGAGTACTTTGAAATAATCTGCAAAGGTTAGAGACGACTATGACATGATTATTGCAGTTTCAGAAACCAATAAAAAAATGCTATTTAGATTACACCAAGATTATTCGACAAAAAGCCTCTACAGTAACATCTACTGACGACGACGATGAAACATTTCGTAACTTTGATGCAGTACCGTCGTTGATTGAAAATGATATTCTTGAAGGTCAGCAGTGCTTGTCAATGGAGACCATCATTGTAGAGTACAATGAAACAATTGGAAAGCAAACAGACCCGATATAAGCTAAAAGAGCTTTCGAAGCTATATGGAGATAATAAGTAAGGTATGTCTTCATGCTCCAATACTATCCAAAAAATCCGGCTTCCTTCAAGAGTTCATGGTAAAAAGAGCTGCTTTTATCTTGCGTGAACTGATATTTATATTCATCAATGATAGATTGCCTCTTTCTTGGCCTCCAACTGTTGAAAGCTTTGGATCTAGAGAAGCATCACCAAGTCCCGAATTGTTGGAAGTGTTTTTTAAAGCGTTACTATCATTTAAAGAAAGCCATCACAATTCTAGTGAAAGAGTTAATCGTTTTGCTGGTTCACTTAACCAAGATGTTGTGCATACGGTATCAAAGGGAAAGTTCTTGACTCCAAAGCATGCTTCACATTCTTACTGGTCAAAAGCAGCCAATCACAGTTTTGGCCAGATTGAGCCATTGCATAACGTTGCAGTCCAGACATGATAGTTCCTTGCAATTTTATTAATTTTCTACAGAATGGAGAAAACAGAACCATGCACATTAATTCAAAGAGCGATAAATAAAGCCAAAAGTTAGTTACAAGGAAAGACCGTCCTCTTTTCCAACGAAAACAATTGCACTAAAGTGACGGAAGATGAAGTTGTCATAGATGAAAGAATGAAGAGCAATCACGAAGAAGCATATACAAAGCTGATTGCTTTAGTGAAAGCAGCAAACCTAAGGAATGGGGATTCTGTCAGATCACCTTCCTTCCGGGGATATCAATGTCCTATCCCTCTTTGTTGACCTTGATTTTGCGGGAATTCAAGTATTGATTGATAACGGAACAGGTCTAAATAGGAAAATTGTAATTATAGCGTCTTCAACACTGTGACATTAAGAAACGAGGAGAGCACTAATCGGTCTTCTTGCTTTTTCAGGAAAAGACTATGTTTGTATTTTTTTGAAAAGGGAAAATAGCTTTTTAGAGACAAATGGCAAAAAGATAGATTACCTAAATATATTTACGAATCTGGGGACCACGCTTCAAGTACCCGAAAAAGTTGAGAAGGGATTGGAAAAGTTTATATACGTATTTTATGGAAACGAAAGGATGCAAACGGTAAACGACGTGAGGAAGAAATGTTTTTGCAGAGTTTACGAATGAAAAGAAAATAACCGATTTAAGCTTGCTGCCACCTTGAATTTAAAGCTCAGAATCAGCGATCAAATCGCTTAATGGTGGATATGGACAACCCAGCTAATCATGGATGGGATGAAAGCTGATCAGTTGTTTGGAGTGATGTATGCTACCCAGCTGATGTCGCAGAGCTGCTGAATAACGAAATTGTGTCTACCGATGATAACGACAGGGCAAGTCTAATTGACGGCAATGGTAGAGAAAACGATTTTAATGAATATATCATTGATTTGTACAATGCATCATCATAATAAATTCACAAAATATACATTTTCTATACATAGATTGGAGGAAACTAGTTTGATAGATTGATAGAGCTAATGCTCAAAACTGTTTTTTGAATACGAGACTTTGTTATGAATTGGAGCCAAAAAGACCCCCAAAAGACCTTAAAACATTATTTTTAGAATCAGTACACCGTAATTACCCTATTGCGCTAAATTTGGAAAACTTTCTTTATTGGGAGGAATCTTATCAAGCCGCTTCTGTCCTTTTGCGTGAAAACGAGATTTAAACAAGGAATTGAGGCCAAACGCCTCCTTATACGTACTTATAATATCGAATTTTGGAATCAGCATTCTAAAATTATCTAGATCCAATGAATTTTAGATACTTCACCGAAGGGTTGACCCTTAAAAAGCAACTTGCTCTATTTTGATTGAAAACGAGACTTTGGTATGAAAAAGAGGCTGAAGGCCCCCCAACTTGCCCGTATAACATCGATTTTCGGAATCAGCACCCCAAAATTACTCAAACCCACCTAATTAGAATTACTTCCCCGAGGGGGGACCCTACCCCCATTCTCCGCCTGGTCTATTGGTTATTAGCACGAAGAAGGGTAAATAAATGCTGGGATAGCACGGTCGGTAAGACGGAGCAGAGAGGGCAAATTCGTCTCACGGAGGGCAAATCCGTATCAGGGAGGATAAATCCATATCAGGGAGGATAAATCCATATCAGAGAGGATAAATCCATATCAGGGAGGATAAATCCGTATCAGGGAGGATAAATCCATATCAGGGAGGATAAATCCATATCAGGGAGGGTAAATCCGTATCAAGGAGGATAAATCCGTATCAGGGAGGGTAAATCCATATCAGAGAGGATAAATCCATATCAGGGAGGATAAATCCATATCAGGGAGGATAAATCCATATCAGGGAGGATAAATCCGTATCAGGGAGGATAAATCCATATCAGGGAGGATAAATCCGTATCAGGGAGGATAAATCCGTATCAGGGAGGAAAAATCCATATCAGGGAGGATAAATCCATATCAGGGAGGATAAATCCGTATCAGGGAGGATAAATCCGTATCAGGGAGGATAAATCCGTATCAGGGAGGATAAATCCGTATCAGAGAGGATAAATCCATATCAGGGAGGATAAATCCATATCAGGGAGGATAAATCCGTATCAGGGAGGATAAATCCGTATCAGGGAGGATAAATCCGTATCAGGGAGGGTAAATCCATATCAGGGAGGATAAATCCATATCAGGGAGGATAAATCCATATCAGGGAGGATAAATCCGTATCAGGGAGGAAAAATCCATATCAGGGAGGATAAATCCATATCAGAGAGGATAAATCCATATCAGGGAGGATAAATCCATATCAGGGAGGATAAATCCATATCAGGGAGGATAAATCCATATCAGGGAGGATAAATCCATATCAGGGAGGATAAATCCATATCAGGGAGGATAAATCCATATCAGGGAGGATAAATCCGTATCAGGGAGGATAAATCCGTATCAGGGAGGAAAAATCCGTATCAGGGAGAGTAAATCCGTATCAGGGAGGATAAATCCGTATCAGGGAGGATAAATCCGTATCAGGGAGGATAAATCCGTATCAGGGAGGATAAATCCGTATCAGGGAGGATAAATCCGTATCAGAGAGGATAAATCCATATCAGGGAGGATAAATCCATATCAGGGAGGATAAATCCGTATCAGGGAGGATAAATCCGTATCAGGGAGGATAAATCCGTATCAGGGAGGGTAAATCCATATCAGGGAGGATAAATCCATATCAGGGAGGATAAATCCATATCAAGGAGGATAAATCCATATCAGGGAGGGCAAATTCGTCTCACGGAGGGCAAATCCGTATCAGAGAGGATAAATCCATATCAGGGAGGATAAATCCATATCAGGGAGGGTAAATCCGTATCAGGGAGGGTAAATCCGTATCAGGGATAACACCAGCAGGGGCTAGTAGCCAATGGCGTAGCTCGACCGACTAGGCTGGGGGGGGGGTGGAGAATCGTCAATATTTAAATTTAATGACAAAGGTGCAGATGATTAAAATTAGGTACTATCTCATCACCGATTGACGATATTACTGACAAAATAAGGATTATGTGGACTGACTGAAGATTGACAGACCAACTCATGATGATTTGAGGGGTCTTTCACACCTCCCATAAACCCCGCTAGCTACAACCCTACTAGTAGCCATGCGAAAAAGAAAATTAAACTACATTCTCGCATTTAATGGATGTTACTTACCTTTATACGAAAGTCGAGTGTTTTTCAGATCAGCAAGGTACATAACAGTATCTTTGACGCAGTTAATGTACTTAACATCTCCTTCGTTTGCCATTGCTTTGTAGCGAAAAAAATTAAAAAGTTGTAGCAATTTAACAGTTTTTTTGATTAGTGTAAACAGTTTAAAATAACGGGAAGAATCTTTCAGATTGCAATGATCAAATTTCAATGCCAGTTAAACGTTAATACGACTTTCTACATTAGTAGAAAGAATTGCAGAGAAGTCCCTTCATGAGATTTTCTATTTATCTCGTGTACAAGGCATAAATTAAAACAATGGTCCGACAATTGATTTCCTTCTCACAGAAAACACTCCCCTATTAGTACTGTTATCTAAAGTAAAGTTCATCCAGCCAATATTTGGAATTTTTTTGAGATAAAATGTATCTTCTACCAATTACACATGAGAATTTAACTAGTGTGACATTTCTAGTAACACCTTTAGACTCGTTTGCTTTAATGGGGCATACAAAGTGGAACCTCTTTTAATGGTGTCTAGATTCCATTTCATTTTACAGGTATGATATGTCATTGAAAAGGGTTGAATTATTAAACAGTGTGTTGTATTACCTTCACGTATCTGGCCATATCCAAATAAGCTATGAAAAACAATTAGCAAGGATAAGAAAAAAATTCTAAACTTCAAATTTGTTAACATATTAACGAAATTTTTCATAGTTGCTTCAGTTGAATTTTTCTAATACTTACTTTCTTTGAAATCAAATGACTCAATTTTAAATGTGAAGTTTATAGATAACGTTCATTTAACAACATACAATATCTCTTAACAAGCATTCCTTCTTGAAAAGCTTCACTCTGTATAAATATACGCTCTTACCTATATAGTGTGAGTCTTGACATCATACTAAAATAGAATTGAAAGAAAACTAGTTTGATATGCTCAAAATATCTTAAAATACATGATTTTGTTTTATTTCGGAGAATTTTAATCTCGAACAGAGCTACATTAAGAACTTCAAGTCTCCAAGAAAAAGTTATTAAATAAATTATGCAATGTAAAGTCGTCTAAGGAAAGAAATCCAAGTATCACCAAATGTTTTTTTCTGAAGATTACACAAAACTCTAGTAATTTTATGGACTATGATCACAATGTTGTAATGTTGTGTAGAATATTTTCTTATAAAATATCTTAGAACCAAGCGTGTTGTAAGAAAAAATGCAGTAAATTATTGAAAAATAGGAGCACTAACGCTATTGCGGTGGCTGCAAACCAAGATACAAAGGTCGTGATTGAAGTGAAAATCTGAAAGAAGTATATTTTGGTTAGAGCTATGAAGATACCAGTGGTATACAGATATATGGAGATGACAATAATAAATTCATCGATGATTACTTTTAACCATTGGTTGATAAAAATCAAGAATCTACGCTACTTCCATCACCAGTCTTAAATAATCGTGTAATAAGCATTTAGAGTTAGACATATTGACAGTTTGTTACTTTCTAGTTAATAGTTTCTAACTCACACTAAGTGTCTAGAATACGCGATCTGTAATTTACAAAGAGAGATTTAAAAATAGATCAAAGTATAAATGTAGCAGTAGCGTACGTTTGTTACCACCCCAATGGCGCATTCTTCATATTTCATTTCATGTGGAACTTTCTCATGAGGAGCTAAGTCATAACTATGAGCATAACTAAGAGCATTCAACAATAAGGTTTCTCTAAAGGGTAGGGAATTTATACTGCAGCGCTGAAAAATCACAGAGTGGAGCTTGCATAGTTCCTTAGTACGATATTTATCTTAAAAAATCCCACGTGTTGCTTGGATTAAGATGATCGATCGAGATTTACATTTCAACCTTAAAATTTTGTAGGCTCTTTCTTGCATTGTTTTTGCTTCATCATTATCTAAAAGTTCCTCGAAGGCTGACTCATAATTTTTACATAAAGGTCTAAGTGCGCATTTGTGGGTCCTATCAAAATCATCAACTATGCTACAAATCAAGCAGAGCAGCTCAAGCTTCAGCTTGCATTGAATGAGCCTGTAACTTACTGGTAGAAGCTTGGAAGCACTGCTGCCTTCTCCTTCAATGAGTTTGCAAGACGCCTGATAATCCGGTAGTTTGATCCTAATAAAAAATTTATGAAAATATAAAAGCATCTTCTCGGTTATCACAAAATTCAATCAAGCTTTGATAATGATTGAGTTCTTGTTTAGATGTATTCTTTTTCATGCTAACCTTTCCTTGTCTATGAAGTGTGTGAATTAAAATGTCCGTTCTAGAACACATCATAGTAACGGACGCCTCCTTACAACGGACAGTCCCCAAAAGCTGGAATCTCTTAACAACACTTCCTTACAGCGATAACATCCTTTCAGCGGAAAAATCCTAAAACCGGACACATCCTATCAACTGACAGCTCCTAACAATGGACATCTCCTAACAACCAAAGGTAACATACTTACAGCGGACACATTGTAAAAACCAATAATGCTGAAAACTAATACTTCCTTTCAACAAACACATCCTATCACCGGACACAACACAAACACATCCTTTCATCGGACACTTCATTACAACGGACAATTAATTACAACGGACACTTAATTACAACAGCAGAATTCCTATCACAACAACGGATACTTCTTGTTCATCACCTAGCAACGGACAATAGACATTTCCTAACTGCGAAGACTTTATAACAACGGACGTCTTCTAACACAGACACTTCCAAGTAAAAAACAGGTGATTTCCCAATCTTTTTTCCATTGCTAGTCACTAACTATTGGTCCCATAGGTTACTACTTTTCCATCAGTTTCGTTAAGTATGGATTTTTTCTTGCTTAAAAATTGCTTGGATAAAATTACAACTTCAATCTATTTTTGCCAAGTCACGAGACCTAAAAGCTTATACAGCCATTTTGTTTTAAAAAAAAAGCTTATTGTACATTCTAAGGCAGTCGTTATGACTTACACATTGTAAACACCGATTTGCGATGCCGTCTCATTTGCTATGAGTTTTGCCATCACTTTTGAGTCGACTATTCCAAAGAATTTCCCCACCTGTTGTTGGAAGAAGAATTGATGAAAGTGTACACTGTTCTTTAGACTATGACACAGCAGATATCAACAAGGACACAAAAGAGTTTTGTTCAAATTTTCCTAAAACCTGACTTGTCAATAACTTCTCTTCTCAAGTTAAACTTCTTAAGTTAAATTCGATGGCTGTCAGGAAGGTATAATTGACGGAAAAAGAGACAGGGAAAGACAAAGAGGAACATGGGGAGACGATGTCAAGGAATGGAGCGGGTGTGAGAGCATTGGGAGAGCTAAACGATATTCTGAGGATAGGGATAGATGGAGGGTCATGGTAGCCAACCTTCTGATAGAAGATGGTACCTGATGATGATGATATCAATTTAAGACTAAGAGTGTTGTGTGGTTTACATTATCTTGCTCATTAAACGCAAAAAGAAAAATTAAAAATTCGTAAAGCTTACGTCACTTGGTTCATTGGAGCCAATAATAAAACCGTTTTCATCCAACAAATAGCAATAGAGTCCCTCTATCTGAAATAAACAAAACGTTTCACCAAAAGATAGCTTTTATTTATAAATCTCCGCTTATCATTGTTTTTTACTTTTCTACCAGGAAAACTTGAGGAAGAAATAATTTACGTTGCTTTGACAGTTGTGCAAGAACAATTGGAAGTGAACAACAGGGCCAGAAATCGAACAGTATTAGGGAATAAATAATGGTCGCACGTCCCTTTACGTTCTTGTCCTCGAGAAGGAACCTCACTAAAAGACAATGCAAGAATTTGATTAGTTTGATTTGAAATTTCATTTCTAACTTTAACTCCTATTTATTGCCTTCCTGCATTTTACACTTCATTTGGCTTTATAATAGACAAACATGCCCCCGCTAATTCCAGCACCCTATCCTCCCGCATTTTTATTTTGGTGGATTAACCAGCCCCCAACCCCCCCCCCCCCTCTATTTGGGATCGAAGAGTAGCAAACAATTTTAAGTATAAAAATTTAGAAACAAACTCGAAGGCAATGAACATTGTAAAAAACTGAAGATTATATGTAGTGAAATTGGATAAACATAAAACCTTATTTTTCTGAGTTCTATCACAAGTAAGTCTTGTATCACAATGTACCCCTCCTGGGCACCACAATGTCTGTTTGACAAAATATTTCTCTGCAAATATTGAATAATTTGCTTCCAGTCCAGTAACTGAAAAAATAATCTACATTGAAGAAAACTCTAAAAAGGATTTTTGAACAAATACATTTTTAATACACATAAGGCATTATGTATTTCCTTCAATCTATTCAGTAGCATCTTTTATGTTAAATGATTAACAGCCAACTAATATTTTTATTATCATTACGACTGCAAGTAGAGGATACAATATCATTTTAAAGAAAGACATCGTGAAATTACTGTTTACCGGTCAGTCATAAAGTGCTGAATACCGTATAGGCAGAGCTGCACACGCTATTTAGTGTATAGAAAAGGATTGTTTCAAGTTGCTACTCCGAGTTTCACGCTTAGTGCAATCGTCAGGCGACTGTTCACCATTCTGTTCTATACACCAAATAGCGAAGAAATACTTCAAAATTCCTCTCACCAGCCACAGTGATCTTTTGTTTCTTCAGGTTGATTGGAGCGTAGATTGACAAAATATTTTTGTAAACACCCTTTCCTGAAAACATGAAAAACAGAAAAAAGTAAACTTATCCAGTCCACATCAGGTTATCTCGTCTTAATCTGGAATGTCTCCTTTTAATAGAAAGACTTCGAAAGGTTTCTTTCTTGCAGTTTGTTTCATGGTAAGGAATTTTTAAAAAGATGTTTGTAACAAACATGATGATTTGTGTCTCGTTTTCGTACTTGTCATTTGTTTTACTCAAAACTTGTGCTCCACTTTCCGGAAAAAAATATATAAGTCAAAAGAAAAAATGTTTTTTTGAATCGCTTAATGTTTTTAATTTAAAAAAATAGCTAACTGTGGTCGGTATCCCTGAACTGAGCAGTAAATGTAGATATAGCTAGGCCATCTCACCTGTGTAAGGTGGGACAGAAAGGGTAAGAACGCTGCCCGGTTGTCTAACTGCGCGTCCGTAATATGTTGGGTCCGGGTTTAAATTCACAGAAGAGTTTGCATCCTTTGAACCAACTTCTGCAAGCGGAAGTCTGTGAAATATACAAAAGTTTTACATCTAAGGCGATGAAAGAGAATATCATATAAACGAATTAAATGAAAAAATAATTTCAAATTGTTATCTTTGTGATTTTTAATAAATGCACTAAGCACATAACAACTGTTACAGTAAATAAGGTGTGTTTATTGTATAAAGGAGTTTGCTGTATATTTAAATTGTTTAGGTACTGTAAATGAATTTTTAAAAGTTATAGAAAACCATTTGAAATATCATACTGTGAATCAGAAGTTCTGATTATTCCAAAGTGGGTTCTTAGAAACACATGATAAACTTCGTGCCTGGAAGGAAAAATTGAAAAATTTGAAAAGAGAAGTAGTGCCGCTGTACTCTAAGCTCTGCTTGGCCCTTGAATTGTGCCATTCAATGAATCGTCAATTGAGGACCATGCATGGACTAGCCTACAGCGCTTCATACAAAGTTGAATTCCCAGCGAAATGGAACCATCATCTGTCTAAGGTCTCCAATACTAAATTACAACCTAATGGCTCTTACTGCTCTGTGGCGTCAGCAAACAAAGAATTGGAGGATACCCCCAACCTTTGCCAAAAATGGTTCATTTTATTTATCCTAAAATTGATAGAAAGGTATTTGGCAGGGGCCAGTCAAGTTTACAAATAAAAAGAAGCATTAGACTAAAACTAATCATAGTTTTTGTAATATAAAAAGACAACATGTTCCAAAAAGTATTTTGATGCTACGTAAATCAACCCTTTCCCCTTCAGTCTGCAAGAGTTGGTGCCACCCTCATTTCATCTAAATAAAAAGTGCAAATTTGTACAGACTTTCCTCGAAAATTGAGCATTGGAGGTAGGAAGTGAATATTTGGTCTCAAGCAAATACTAAAGTTAAAAAACTAAAGTGAAAATTTCTCCACAACTGCCAGCTCAAGCTACGTGGTTTAAGGCCAAAATGAACGATTTTAAAGCTGCGTACTCTTGTCTGCTTTCTTGGCTGCTCTTCCAAACCATTGACATATTCTGTGTCACGTTGGCGTCTATTAATAACCCTCCAAGCATCCTTTGATCACCTGTGACGTCAGAAGGCAAAATTTAACGAAATTTTTCTTAGTAGTTGCAATAACATGTCTGACAGTATCTTCAAGTAATTTTGCATAAAAGCGTCGAATAATTCTGCATCAAAGTTATCCTGAATCTCTTTTGGCCTTCATTTTGAAATCAGGCTAATACATGAATCCTGTAGTTTATTTCTCACTGCTAAAAAATGGTCAATTTATACATTTGTATTCAATGACAATTCAAAAACTTTCTCGCAATCAAAATTATCCCAAAAATCAGAAGATGCAGATCAGTTAATCACATACAATTGAATGCCATCTGAATAGCCTTTGAATCTAATCTAAACAATCAATATGATCAATTGCACCAATCAAGTGTAATCGACCGAAGGCAATCAAATCATAACTTAAAAACAGTCATGAGAAATTATGAGAAGCTTTTCTGCAATTATTTTGGGTTGTCAATCAAAACAAAGGACTGTCTGATCGAAATGTTTTTGCTTGTACAAGCGCAAAAGATAGTAGAAAAGAAGGGTACGTAAAAATACATACATGATATTTTTTGTCCATTAATCCCTTTCTCCAGCAAAGCAATCAATGAACTTTTTAGGTTTTTATGGTTCCAAACTTTCGAGCAGTATGGCCTACGGCAAAGGTTATAGAAAAACATTTTTTGCGCTGAAAGGGGTTGGAAAAAAGTAAATCCGATTTTCCACTCCCTCTGTTTTGCTCTTTTTAACTTCAACAAGCAACAACAGCAAATATTGAACCTAGAATTCTCCCTGTGATGAGAAATGATGCCAAAAACAGCAGCTCAACCTTAAATCGTATTTGTGGCAAGAACAGTCAAATTCTGTCAAAATGTTCCGTGAAAAGATTTACTTACGTTTTCAGAAAGAAATATAATGATTCTTGTTTATTTAAAGATAATGCGTTTTGACGTTGACAACAGTGCAATTCCTGCTGATTTGAAAGAGGAAATTCAGCGTTAATGAAGAAAAGCTATGCTATCAAAACGCTGGTTCAGAGCTAAGCCCTCTATCAAGTTCTTATACCTCTCCCTCTTGAAATATTGCAATTGAACTTAATCCTTACTTTCCTGAAGTAATGAGAAAACAAGTAAGCAAAACATACCATCCTTTGATTTTTTCAACGGTCTCTAAAGCCGCTTTCCCTAAAAGAACAAAACCTAAGTTCAAATTAACAAAAACTTTGGGACAAAACATCGGTCTTGAGGGCTTATTCTTAACTTCAGAGATTTGAGACTTAGTAACTTGCTCGATTTCAAGATTATTGGAAAAACTCACCATCTTCATATGAAATTTTTGGTTTTACTATGCTGTATCCGTATTCTGGTGACGTCATTCCAATACTTAAAGAAGAAAGAAACGTTCTTAAAAAGCCTATCAAACAAATAGAAAAAGAGCTTGAAACAGGTAAACTTTAGAGCAAATTGTCGCTTCACTATTTCGACTTCACATTTTCTTTATTATATTGCTGAAGAGGTAATTAAAGTTATTCGAGGGTGTGATGAACGCAAAATAAACAATCAAAATTTATATAAATCCACTGGTTATGCACACAAGTGCTTCAGAATCCTGTCACTCAGTTACTGCAAAAACCTTGAGTGTTCTAATCTTTTCCAAGTGTTTTATGCAAGATATACAACAAGACATTTTCTTGAAAATGTCGTCCATTGGAGACACTTTGCCAAAGACAAGAGGAATGCTTGGTGAATCAGCCGCTTAATTTCCAAGTAATTAAGATACTGTGAATGTAGTTTATCAAAATCTAATGAAAAATTTTTCACAGAAATGTCAAGTTTTTCGTTTCCCAGAAAAATAGACAAAATCAGCATTAAACCTTAACTTAACCGAAACCGAAACTTAACTTGCTATGTTTTCATTGCAACTCTTTAGGTTAACAAAGGTGAAATTTAGAATGAAGTATTTTTGGACGGAAGTCAAATAAATAGATGTCCAACGAGGACTAAGTTACTTTAAAAAGCAATATTTGGTCTTCCATGAAGTTTCTTATAAGGGACGTTTATGGAGATATCTAAGTTCCTCAAATAGGTATAAAAGGCAGTATTCTAACAGAAATGCTATCAAAGGCTCCAGCTTTAGGAAAGGGAGAAATGAAGGGAATTTTCAAAATGCTTGTTTCCTGATTTAATGGCGATGTCTTGACGCTTTTCGATGGTCATTTAATTTTCTCATTGCTTGGAATATACAATAGGCCTTATTTTACTTATCCAATCGGCAACGTAAGACTAATTCTTAATGTTTTTCTCAATCATAAAGGCACTGCAGTGCCTATTTTCAACTCTGAACGGTTGACTGACGGGGCATGATGCCTTAAACAAGGACAAATAAATATTTTAATTTTCTTGTCTAAAGAAGAGGATAAAAAAATGTAGTGATAAAAAAAACACCTGAACGGGCTGCTGTGAGTTTTGAAGTAATGATACTCCATGCGATGTCGAGAAACTCTCAGCTGAAACAGAGAAAAATGACAAAATGATGAAGTAAAGCAGAAGATCACGTAAAATATCTAGGTACCTTTAAAAATGGTCAGCAGGCACAACACAAAAGACAAAACGACAGTCTATATTATTAGAAATGAACTTGTTTGTGCTCCAAAGAATTAAAAAAATATTTATCTTGTTTTTGCTCCAAAGAAATCTTTACCACAAGATCTTAAAAGCCTGACAAACGACCCTACTATAACTTGTCTCTCTTATTCAAATTATACTTCTTAATAAAGTTGGGTGTATATTTCCAATAAACCAACATAATGATTTGTTAGTGATAATTGACAGATTTTTCACATAGGAGAAAATATTTCATTCTTTTTTACAGGTGATTGTTTTCATCGCTGACGGAGATTTCCCACTTTTTCGTGCTATCTTGTGGTTATCAAATATTCAGATTCCTCGTGGAGCCAATGTTGGAAATTTTTATCGCTCTCTGTTACATGTGGGCCGGATATAGAATTTTTTTGGATAGGATGGAGCAGCCTCTTTGTGTCTACTCATACCATAATATTATAGTATTAATTATGATATTATAGGAGCTCTAGGTTAACAGGTCCTTGATTGATGGCAGCAAATTATTTTGCTGAGCAAGTCTACCTGTATAAACATGGTTTTTTATTATCATTACCCAATTCTGTTCAATGACGACATTTTAAAAATGAATTAGCCGAGAATATAGATACAAAAATTTGTCGACCTTCCTCCAAACATGCAATCGGTGATCTGAAATTCATTATAAGAGAATGCAAAATACTGATAAAATCTTCTGTACCAGACAAAAACATTTATCAAGAGGTCTTCCTATGTTTTTTAGCTCTACCGCAGCATTAGGCCTCGTACAAAGTTTTTTAAGCATAAATTTTCCTGACACACTTCAATATATCCTCAGAGATTTTCTTTCTTTCATTTCATGGTTGAAAATGCGTGAGAAAATGCATTTACTTACATCATCAGCAGTTTTGATGTACGCTTCAAAGGTCTTCGCTCCCTTAGGATCCAAAATCATACTCTCCCTAAGCTAAAATTGAGTAGATGTAAGTTTAAATCATCAAAGGCTAAATCTCTACTTTATTTATCTTTTGCTAAGGCTTGGCGACTGAATTATGTTTAGAATATAAAGTATCAAATTTCATTTTGTACTGGGGCGTCCTTCAGAAAAAAAGTTTGTATGAAGTACCATTCTGTACATCCATCTGATGCACAATATGCGCAAAGCATGAAACAATACAGTATTATATCCATTTGTGTTACCTGCGTCAAATATTTTCAAACTTCATCGAATAAATTAATATATTATCCTTAAAAATTTGCTTGTGAAACTGAAATGACAATGTTGTCAACTTACTTCTGCTACATCACTTTGGTTGTGAACAGCATACTCAAGTTGATCGATGTCCATGTTTGGTTGGGGCCATAGTTTTCCAAGCTACGGATGGCAGAGAAGAACATTGTAAAAAAATTCTTTAACCATGGTTGGCAGCGGAAAGAATTAAATCGCATCTCTGCTAGGCTTTAGGACCTCTTTGACAACAGTGTATAATTTCTAGTAATGTCGCTTGTTGCAGGCTCCAGCCCTGCCCTAACCTTGTCACTCACTCACATGTCCCCTCGCTATATTTAAAATCCTCTTCTGCACTCACTGTATCATTTCCGTTGCATATGGATCAAGGATTGGTGTAATACTTTTACAGTAGAGGCAGTCACAAAATTGTCCTTGATTTTTAATCGTTGCATACACTTTCAAAGGAAAACTGTTAAGACACTAAAATATGAAGTTTTAAAAACTTTCTAGTGATACTTGATACATAACCAAGGAGTCATAGCAGGGGAAGCACTTTGTGTACAATACCTTGAATGTCAAGCAAGGGAATGTGTATCCAATCAACGTATGACTGTTGTTATTGATAAAAATCTACTTTAAAAAAGCTACCGCGACTCTATTTTCTTCAAACTTTGACAAACTTACAATAAAGCCTATCAATGCAGAAATTTCAATAAATGAGGCAAACATTTAGACAGGAATTAATGTACAAAGATGCTACCAAATTGTATAGGGACTTGCAATAAATCCAGTTAAGACAAGTACTCACTTTAACTTCGTTGATTCCTGGGTGAATTAGAATTAACCCATTATTATCAAATGCAAACACATATCCATTATGTCCAATCTGAAAGATAAAGGCACAGAAACAGTCAATGAAATATGTCAAAGTCTAGTTCCAGCAAGCTATGCCGTATATGTTTTCAATATGATGTTGCCTTTAAATGTAATTAATTATTCGATGCCCAACGACCATTCGAATAAGGCATTCAATGAATCGACCAATTGGGCTGCTATCAAACGAGTCACCACAGCCTTCATTATTTTAGCAAATCTCTTAATCTCAAGTCTAATGATGTCACAGGAGCTGCTGATAATATGGTCTGCTTTAGTACTATGCAGTGTCTCGTTGACCTACATCCATATGTAATTGGGAGATATATTGCTTAAATGCCTACATTTATCTTGAAGAGAAGTTAAGTAGCAAAGAAGATATATTATCAAACCGCTTGTGAACGTAATTAAATTAGGCAACTACAATACATTTAGTATGAGCTGTGTTTGCATAAACATGTTTTTTAAAAAAAGGCAATAAAAGAATATGCTGAGATCACTCGGTAAAGGCAAGAAAAACCAAAGAAAATTGATAAAATGAATGGAATGGTTAAACAAGCCAAATGAATGACAAAGATAAAGATAACAAATACATTAAACCTACCAATGGATAGTTGATAAATTCATTCATATCCTTGACTGGAACATCAGTAGCCATGACACCAAGAAGCTGCGAATCCTAAAAGATTATGACAATTTTAGCCATGCATTTATGCCAGAGCGTTCAAATTGTCGATGTATATGCTTTGAAAATAAATAAGCAATTAAAAGCTTCCAAGATCTCTTTGACTGGAAGAACAGAAAGAGCTGAAAGGTACCTGATTATCTTGTTATTGTGTCTTCAATATTAAAACGGAAAGAAAGTGCGCTATTTTATACCCTCTAGGCTACTTGTGAATAGCTAGGAAGACACGTGAAGAGCCAACCTATTTTCGCTACATATCAGCATGAAGCTCAATTAAACATAACATAGTACTACAGTTTATAAGTCATATGTTACAAGTATATAGGGGCGAAAACGAAAAGCTCTTACCGTCGTATTAGAATTTCGAAACACTGGAGTCGATCCAGTTGACACAAGTCCACTTCCCTAGAAATGAGGCAGTTGAGGAAATCAATCCTATGGAATTGTTGACAATAAGGGTTTCAGCTTATCGAGAAGGCAGTAAAAACAAATGTTTTGATTTAGATTGACTCATCAAAATTCTGTCGCAGGACAGAACATTGGTTGATGTTCTTCAATATTTTTTACTCACCGTCGCATCTACGAAGACGCTTGTAAACATGGTTGGTTTCACCTTTTCGACGCCGACAGGACGACTTAGCACTCTGATGTACGACTGCCAAAGAAACAAACACATTTAGAGCTTTTCAGAACACTATGGAATAGAATATTCCATATCAATAAATATTCTAAATTTCAAAATACTCTCATCAGATATGTCTTAAGCTAACAATGATCACAAATGCACTCAAATCGGTTAGAATCTTTTTAAAAACATGCAGTAAATGTCTCTGTAGCATTAGGTACGTGGCCACCAAGGTAACTAGGCAACACGGCCGTTCTAGAGGTCTCCCTGCAAACGTTCATACTGCCTGTGGTACTTTCACAAATTTTCTTTAAAAGACGTCTACAGCCAGGTGCAAGTTGAAGTTAGCTTGAGAAAAAGTTTGATCCGTTCTTGTTTCCCCAATCATCAATCAATAGCAACTTGCATATCAAGAAATGAGCGTTGTGTTTCCCTAAAGATCCTTTTATTGGTTTTTGTCACTCAATGGTTACATCTTGCTTATATTTGGCATTTTAGAGATTGCCAGCTTTGTAAAGACAAAATCCCTCTGTCAAAAAGCAAATATAAGATTTCATTGATAAATGATTCCATTACAATACTTATGTAAGAATTGATGTAAATACCGTGACTGTTTCCCAGACGGTGCCAACACTCGGAATTCTAAGAAAATATCCTGATAGAGCAATAAATAAGAACAAAGGTGAAATATATTGGTTGGAAATTTCTGCTTGATACAATTATTGAAGAATTGGATGAATGTTGAAAGAAATTGATGGCTTGCAGTGGATTGACAAGCTGTGCCAGAAGTTGTTGATTATAAAGTAGCTATATGGATTGAACTTATTTGGAAATTGAAAATGCGTTATATTAAAGTTACTGGGATAATTTTGAAGTTTTTTGTAAACGAGAATTGTTTGGTTATATATATGGACAAAGGGGTCTGTATTATGCACGCATACCCCTTGAATCACTTCATATATTTCATTTAAGTATATGCATCTGTACTTGTATATTCGTGATTTATATATATATATATATAAATATTATGCCTTTAATTGCTGTTTTTACAATTTTGCACTTTTTGCATTATTATCTTATACCTCTGCAGCTACATTTCGATCAGGCTTTCATGCTTTAAGACAAATAAACATTGAAAACCAAAGCAGAATAACACGTTCAGCTACCTCTATTCTTGCATGCCATATCCTTAAGCTCCTCCACCCTGTACTGAGGTGGCCCAATCACAAAAGTGAACACTCTGATCTAAAACAAAACAGAATGAGGTACAAATGCTTGGCCTGAAAATTGTAATATTCCATAATATCATTATTATATCTATATAAATTGTTTCCTTAGTTATGCACATGACTTCACAATCACCGATCACTTTCAAAAAATTTGTTAACCTAGATGGAATCAATCTCAAATGTTCTTCCATTTAGAAAATATAGCATGAGATTAAATATTTTTTACCTTTTTATCTGGATTGTATTTTTCAAAAATCTCCTTTTCGTAACTCGCAGATCCGTCTGAAAGTATCAAAAGTGCTTGCTGACACTGAGTTCCTTCATTTCTTTCTCTTGCCTAGAAAATTTTCAAATATTACTGACATTACTTCCATAATACAATCTCATATTAAACAGTTCAATTAAAGGTTTCAATAATTTTTAAACGGAACATTTCATATAAGGTTTTCCAAGAATAAAGTTGCTGCGAATATCAATCTAAAAAATAATACATTACAAAAAATACAGAAACTAAACTTTGGGAAATTTTTAAGGCAATCTACAGATTTAGTAAACTTCCGATAACTTGAACTCCCATTTGCCAAACGCCCGATTACTCTAACATTCGTTAAGTCGAACTGATACTTTCATTTGAAAACCCCACCAATAACTCTAACATTCTCTATGTCGAACCATTTCATTGGTCCCTTGGATGTTCAAGTTATCGGGAGTTTAGTGTACTACAACGGCTTGAGCCATCTGCGAATAACTTGCAAATCAATCAAATTGAGAATCAATTATTTTGTGAATGGTATTAAGATAACTGATTTATCAAATTTTCATTGACAAATGGCTTAAATCTCTTTAGTATCTGTCGATTGCCTGTAAACGTTGCGAGCATGATTAAAAAGTAGCAAAAAATTGGGTTTAACAAATTATCATTAATTGAGGAGATACTCAAAGTACGCTAGATTTCGCTTCTTTGGGTTTTACAAACAACTGAAAATATTACAAAATAGTCTGATGAAGATTTAATCAAGTGATTCTCACAAGAATAAAAGGAAATTAAGTACATTTTTTAGGAGAGTGAATGCCATTTCCAGCCCTTGTTTCCAATCAGCCGTGCTTGTTGCCACCCACTGTTTCAGTTGGTGTTTAATGAACTGAAAAAAAGAAATCAGTGATTACACATGATTGTTTCCTACCATCATACGTGTCAAACCACCTCCCGTAGCAGAAGGGTTTATCCAAATGACAGCTCTTTCCATGTTCTCTATTTTTCTATTTAGTCACACTTTTCATTGATCCTAAGATTAACTAAAGCTCAGTTTAGGCCAGGTGCTGTTTCTGTTGCAGTAATCGTAGTAGAACCTCTTGTTTTTCACAGATATTTATTATCTGGTAAAGGAATTCCACTTGCACCTCGTGATTGTGTTATGTCGTTTTGGTATATAGGAAACTTTTCATTATCGATTCAACTTAAACTACAGTTATAACTTTTACTATTACAAATGCAATTGGCTAGCCTGGATTTACAAAGAAAAAACTATTACAAACACAAAAAAGAAATTAAGAAAAAATGAGCAAGTTTGTTTGTCATTTGTCTGTTTTGGAAGTTGTAGAAATCATTAGAATTGAAAAAGTTCAGGATTATTCCAAGATTTATTTCTTCGGCAGAAGATGTAATAGGTAGTAAGGATAGTTAAGTTGGATAGTTTTGAGATTATGAAACGAAGATGATTTGGCTTATATCTAGAGCGTTGCGCATGTCGAAGAAAGAAGAGCCGGGAAGATGAAAGACCAAAGATACTCAAAGAACTGACAGAAAGATTGACAAACATAATAGAAGAATAGGCTGAGCTTAGGTTATGAACGGGTGGCAAATATTTGTGTCTTTTCTATTTCTATTTCTTGATGTTTCTTATGTTTGAGCTTAAAACCCTTTTTACACTGTGCCGGATAAATTTTATCCGCATCAAAATAAGTTCAGATAGATATCGCGTTTACACTAGACCCACGCTATCCGCACGAATTTGAGAGCGGCCATCCGAACAAAATTATAGTTCACCTAGGAAAGTGGATTAAATTAGTTCGGATAGCTATGTGGCACAGTGTAAACGGGGTCTAAAACCGTGCTGTTCCACGAGTTGATTTGGATAAATCAATTCTAAGGTGATTTTTAGAAGATAATCGGAGTACCTCCTTATTTCTCCTTGTCGCTTGTATGAGCTTCAACCCATGGTCTTCGCAGCAAATCAGTTTGCTTTCATTGTTGAACTACGATCGAATAATCCGATTTTAATCTCCAAAAGCTCATAATCATCGGGGCTAAGAAGCGTAGAGACCAAGCAGGGGTATTGTGGCTAGGTGGGACACAGGGAAATTTCAAGGTGGGCCACTTTAAAGTGAGTTTTCTAAACCCCGGAAAATATTTGATATAAACAAAATCCTTGGTGAGAATACCCCTCACTTACATGTACACTCAAGTTAACAGTTCAGAATTAGAATAGGTCAACATATACAAACAGGCCCCTGTGAAAGAAATGTATGGAATATCAACATGCCGCCGAGAGGGCCACAAGGAGGACCAAACTGCTCCAGGGCCTCGAGGTCTAGAAGGCCTCGTAAAGCAGGGAATTCCAATTTAGGAACTGAATTTTAATAAAACGCAAGAAGTGTGCCTAAACATTGTAAAATGTGGTAAACGACTGCAAAAAACATTCTAAAATGTACTTCAAGCTTATTCAAAGGGCATGGCTTCAAAAACTTTTTCTGCTCACTTCGCTCACAAACTACGGCTAGAGAAAGGGGGATACACCTCAACAAATATAGCGGAAAAACCTTTAAAAATGATAAAAACTTGCGTCTTTGAAATTTTTCATAGTTCATAGTTTCCAGGTAGGTACCATTTTGGCGACCTGTGGTTTGTGATTGGAGATGTCGTACAATAGAGCGGCCCCCTTATGTTCATTTTCTGAAGACACTTTTCTAGGAGCTACAATGCCCCTGGGACCATGAAAACCTTTCAATTCTCCTTATACATACCAAAACAACGTGGAAGAAATCGTTTGTCGAAAGCGTATCGACGATTACATTGGAAGCCAACTTTGCAATCTGGGTTCTTAAACCGAGAAGGCTGCCAGACCTATGAAACAGAACAGAAGAAATGGTGGGCTAGCACAAGTTCAACTGCGTTTGGCGTTACACTTTGTACACGTTGTATCAAAACACTTAGTATTGCAACAATATAAATTTCCATCACCAGCAGAATCTATTATTCTAAAAGCACAGAGCTAAAAGCAAAGGATTAGAAACTTTTTTAAGTAATGGATACATCTAAGAACAACACTAATACCTTAAAAAGCACTAAGAATTTGTTAATGTGATATAAGCTTATAAGGTTTCTACCTTTTCATAAGAATTATCACAGTGCTGCTTTTGAAACTGGTAACAACTGTAGAAATTTGTATCAAGTTTTAACTCTTTAACTTTTTGCGTACTTCTTCATCTTTTTAATAAAAAATCACAATTCTTTACCTCTCTAATTAAAAATTACAATATGTTTATTAAGACCTTGACCCTGGGAGACAATTTTCTACTTTTGCTGTTTGGCAGAAAAATCCTTTCTTGTTCCAGAAAATCATAACGACACGTTAAAAGATCACTGCAATGTTCACTGAGAAAATTAAAAAAAATTTCCCTTCTTTATCACACAAGGATTTTCCTTAATCTTTTTCAAAACCAAAAGTTGCAACAGATTAAGTTGCCCAAGTGAAGAAAAAATCCTACAAGGTGTTCTCAAAAACAAATAAAGTAGAAAGTACTTCTTACAGATTGTAACAGAGGGTAGATAAAACAAAAATGTTTAAAGGAAAACAAAGAATACCAAAAAGATATTTCTACCTGTCGATTAGTATCACGACATCTTTTGGAGAACTTGCTCCCTGTATGTACCTTCAAAAGCGAAACTTACGTAAGTAGGTGCAAAATTCACAAAAGCATTAGTAGCACTTGAAATTTGTTGAAAAATTTTAATAGCTGAAATTTTATGCAAAACATTATCTCTAAAAAAAGAAATTAACAACCGGAGAAGTTTACCGTACAGGAGATCGTTGTGTGCACCTGTATTGAAAGTTGGATGTATCTACAAAGTTGTAAAGAAAATAGTTCACCACAAATAGTTAGTTGTTAATATAGTGCTAGCTCAAGCTAATTTTTGACTACAAATGCCTCACCATGGTCTTCTACGAGCATCGTAGAGGTCTGGCTTTCCAGGCGTAACAGGCCATCCTCTTCCTAAAAAGTTACAATCTCATTAATTGTCAAGGAGAAATAAGTAATAAAAAACAACATTTAATTTATGAGTTGGACTTCAAATGTTTGATTGTGACTAAAAAGGAATACTACATCAATATTTTGGATCGTAACAAATACTAGCTATAGTTGTAAAGAGTCAACAGAAATTGACTGACTTCTTGAAAGGACAAACGGCTTGCCTTTTCCTTCCCCCTTTTATTCAGTCATTCAGGAGTAGCGATTATTTATATGTAGGAGGCTGTTCATTAAACAGGACTTTATGGATATTCCTTCTTTTAACAATTTTTCATTTTCTGAGATTCAAATTACTGGTTTGTGCTGCAATTGAAATAGATGAATTTAAGAACTGTCTGTATTAGATTTAAACCCTCAAGGCTACCTGGATATTGGCGATGAATTCCTTCTGCACTTCCAAAGTACTGCCATGATAAGTCCGGAAACATCTCAAAATTGTCTACAAACACTTTGTTAAGGTTCTTAGTCCATTTGATGTCCCTGGCAACTTTCGGAGCTGGCAAAACAAGCAAATAGATTAGCAACTACTACGCTAGTTAAGAAAGTCAACAATATTCATTCTGAAAAAATCTAGCTTGTCACCTGATTAAGAAAATTACCAATAGGTAACAATCAAAAGTTCTTATAAGGAGTAGTGGTAGCAAGAGGATCAAGGAGAATTCACTCCCCTTCCCCCTCCCCCCTCCCAAAAAGAATTCAGCTAAAAGAGCCCTTCCTTTAGCAGGGAGCCAATCTCTCACGTTTCCCCAAATAACGTCGTCAATTCTTGGATTTATGATCATGGAAAAGTTCATAGAAACATTTTGCCTTCTGACTTTGCAAAGTAGATAGGTTAAAAAGTACAATAAGAAGCAACTTAAAGGGCACCAATCTTTTCTTGGACTATATGCCTTAAAAATCGCTCTAAATGCATGCAATACTGTTTATATTTTTCTATTGTCACGTGCAGGCATTTATGAAGAATAGGTTGGCCATCTTGGCGCACCACTTTTTCATCGATGTCTAGCCAAATCAAAAATATGGCTAAAATCGTCTTTCCAAAGAAAATATATTATCAAATTGCAATTTCTTCATTATTACGTTCGATTGGTTAATTTTTCTTACAAATAGCAATTTTAATAGACAATAGACAATAGATAATTGTGACAATTGATTAGCAAAGTGTTCTACTGTAAAACATTTTTGCCATGTGATTCATAAGCGTTTTTTTATGATAATGTTATTCACTCACACTTACGTAAATGCTGTAAAAATTAAACAAATAGAAAGAAGATCTGAAAATTATTTGAAGCGCTTTGTGTAATTTAGACAAATACAATAGGTAATTTCATGTGAAGCATAGTTCAGCATACCACTATGCAAGCAAATTGTCTACCTTCGTTTTAGGCTGTTTATGCATAATCATTTGCTTAAAGGTAAAATGAAATATCTTAACTAAAACTCTTGGAAATCTTAGAATGCATCTCGGGCGTTAACAATTCTTTGTGCTCAGTTATTTGGAAATCGTCACAAAAAGACAGATATTATAAAGAGTTTTACAACCAGTTGAAGTTTATAAGGACACGAGAAAATCTAGCCTTCTAGCACAACCTATACAAAACGCTAGTTTATAAAGCGCAAGATGGTGGTTCTTAAACTTCTTCTTAAAATTTCATCAGTACTTACATCTGTCATAAACTTCAGTTGGAATATGTACAACACTGGCTGATGTATTGATAGGCACTCCAAAATGTGAATCATACATTAACTTCAAGGTGCCATCAAGATTTTTGGCAGCATAGTAGTTTAATTCCTGAAAAGGTAACATAGAATGTTAACGCTATAAGCACAAAAATGTAGAGAGTTTCTCTATTTTTCTTAAGCCATGAATATGAACATCGTTGTCTAAAGATAGCAATATTTTTTAATTTACAGACCGAGAGCAATTAAATATTATGGCCCCGATAGAAGAATGACAGGTCACTATTCTTCATCTTTTTCTTCTTCTTCTTTTTTGCCCTCTATACTGAAATTAGTAAGCACAATCTTAGATTTTGATGTGCATGGCTTCTTTTCATTTTAGATATTTTCATGTGATTGTATTTAATTTTGCGAAACACTTTTTTCACATTTGTGAATTAGGATGTTTTCTTCATTTTCTCGGCCTTCTACAACTTGAATCTTCTTTATGAACTCGTTTAATACTTCTGTGTTGTTGCTTTGAATGAATTCTACATACTGCATTGTTTGTCCATATTGGATGAATTTTCTTGAGGCTTCATGTGATAAAAACAATGAAAACAATAAAAACAGTCAACAGAATGACGTCACAAAATGTTGACTGAACCACAGGCTCCCTGCCTCGCAGTGTCTACAGTACTAAGCAGAACAAAAAAGGAATACCTCTTCCGAATCTCTGAAGTTCTCTTCTGCTCTTTCTGCTTTCTCGGCCAAAATCTGAAGAAATAATAGCAAAGTTTAGAAATTTGCGTATTTCATTGAGGTAAAACAAATAGGCATTAAAAAATTTTATAAAAGGTTTTCAAATTTGCACCCATAGTTTTTGACAATGTCAACATTTCCATAATAGGACAAGTATGAGTTTAGTTGAAATGTATTCGTTTCAAAGGATATTATAAATAAGCTGCCTTGAATACGTGAACAAGTAATGAACAAGCAATTATGAGGTAATACTACCCGAAGTGCTCTGTTTTTCCAACTGAAAAATTGTTCCATCTTTTGGGCCAATTCAGCTGCGAGTTCACTGCCATTAACTCTTTCAATTTCCAAATCATATGACTCATAACTCTGTAAAGCAGAGAGTCTGTAGGGTTAAAACTTATCTTTGACGTCAAATTTTGACCATGTTGTTTTTGAGGTAATTAATACATTGCAGAAATTTTCTTTTTTAGCTTTCCTCAACTGGAGATAAAACATAAGCTTGTTTCTTTGTCATGCTCCTCTATGGACCTAGCCTTTATATTAGAGGATCTAGGTTTGGTCTTGAAAACTTAGGCGGATTTTGGCATACAAAGCCCTCGAGCAAGTGCTAACGATAATTTCAAGATTGATTATGTTACGAAAGATCGTAACAAGGACAAAGTTGCGAAAATCAGTACAGAGCTCGTGCGAAAGATGTTCCACAGTAATTTTTATTGAGCTTCTTGTATCTTTTGTTCGAAAATAAGTTGTTAACTGACCAAACAGTTTTATAAAATTAATATAAAAGATGGAGGCTATGAGCTACTCATCGAAACGCATCATCTTTGAAAAGCTCTTAAATTCAATAGTCATTTTGAGGGAAAAATCATTTAATTTTTACCTTGGCCAAAGTTGAAACGCCCATCATTTCCTCTGCAAATTTTACAGTCTCATCACCAATGCGACTTGCCCAATATTCTATGCTGAAAGATACGAGAAAGTGAAATCACAAACTTTTTCAAGCAAAATACACTGCTACCAGAGAACGAAAAGACTGTTTGTCTAAATTCATACAAATAGATAGTTTGTCAATAGATGTAAACTAAAAGGCCATAGTGTACTTTAATATTTAGTAAACTAAAGCTTTTCGTCTGACACTCTTCAGAGTTTAAAGCGTCAGAACGTAGATCGAAAACTCTACGCTAGGAAATATATTGAGCCATGTGCTCGTGTTTCTGATTGGCCTATTTCGATCCACAACTGGGTATATATATTTCCTAGCATAGAGTTTTCGATCTATGTTCTGACGTTTTAAACTCTGAAGAGTGTCAGACGAAATATTTTAGTTTACTAAATGTTTGCTTTTTTCAAAGCCATTTACAAGTCTTGTACCACCAAAAGATTGTTTAATATTTAATAATACCTTGCATGCTTCAAAACTAAGGATACCTTGCAGGCTTCCATATCAGAGAGCTCTCTACACTTAGTAAATTCAAAAAGCAATTGAAAAGTTATTATACGAGCTGAACACAACATAAAACACGACTCTTTGGAAGAGCAGCTGCTATAAGATAGATTACTGTGCATAATTTAGCTTTAACTGTATATAAATTATATCAATGTAACTACGGTATTTAATTTCTTATTTGGTATTTAGTTGTAAGCTGAAGGGATTTTTGTGTATAAAGAATTTAAAATGAAATGAAAAAACAGTTTAAAGTTTCCAAAAATTATACAAAAATAGACTTTTTCTTTAGTGCATTTCTTTTTTTAAATTCTTATGTTGATCCAAAAGATAAACCAGTCTAATTTCCCCATTAATCTCATTTTACAATAAGAAAGAAAAATAAAAATACTTTCAACAAAACCAAATCTATCTTTTGCTGTTCATTTATTTTATATTAAAGAAATTCCATAATGTGGCAACCAAAGCCATGTTTAAGATTTATGCTTTGTGAATTGTTTATCCTTTCATTAATCAAGAGAAAAGATAAAGCCGATTGATTACAAGAAGACTAATTCCCTTTTTGTACATATAGTTGCATTAAAAAGACGCTTCCTTAATCCTACATTCGGCATTCTAGTACCTATTAAGGGTGATATCTTGCTTGGTCAGATTAAGACTGCTAAACTTTCTCTATATAATCAGACATATTTAACTATGGATCACAGCAAGGTCAGTTCAATAGCAGCTTCTAAATACTGCTAACTCCGAGAAGCAATATAATACGTGGGTTTTCTCAAAAACCAGTTTGATTGCTCAATGATTTCTCTCGTTTCTGAGCATAAAAGAACAGAAAACTCTCACAGAAATATTTTTTACCTTAATAGTTTTGCAAAACTGTTACTCGGCAGGAAAATGCTTTAGATTGGAAAAATAGCTAGCTAAAAATTATGTTAAGTATGGATTCATACGGTTGAAGTCAGCCAGATATGGAGATCTAGCAGCTTAAACTGTATTTGTGCTTCTTGATAAGACTCTTATTGCTGAATGACAACGACTTAACACAGATGGTGAAATACTGGCTATTTTATCAATTAATTAAATCCAATGCTTAATTCCTTCAAAAGAAAAACAAACAACCCTCCTCTTTCAATATGCGATGATGTCAACAGGAAAGAATGACTCACGCTAGCAATTAGGAACCTGATAACACATTTGTCCGAACCTTGACTAGATTTTTGGCCTAAGATGAAACTGCAGCATTGGACAATTACTTGATCATTCTCAGAAAGAAGGATTGGCTGGCAGCCAGGTCTGAAGATGACCCATTGTCAAATAAAGGACTAACTTTAGGATTACTTAACAAAAAACATAAACGAAAACTTGATTTGAAATCTCTGAATTTCTGAAAGGTGTGCAAACACAGTCAGGCTGAATGCAAAGACATTTGTCTAATTAAGGTTTATTTCTTCAATGCGTTTCATGATGAACAATAAAAAGCAACTCGGTCAGTAAAATTTATCGTTCTACATTTATCACCCAATTCAAAATTACCCGAAAGATTCCTAGCTTGTTCAAGCAGGAGAGCAGAAAAACATTAAAGCAAGCTACGAAGTTTTCTTTGGAAATAAGAACAGTTAGTGGCTCTATCAGTTAGCTTTATCGTGCTGCTTTCTAGAACAAGATTCAGAATTTTCATGCGCAGGTAAATAATCTCTTTTGACTTAGACGAGCAGTGAAAAGGTCTTTATAAATGAAGTTCGAATAGTTGTATTCCGTAGAGAGAAAATACTCCACGTCGACCACGCCACTGGGAGGTGCCTTGAATTTAGATCAAAGGACTTCTGGCTGCATTATCGCTAATAAACATTATTATTAGGTGTCCAAGTCGACGGCTGGAGGAACCTCTTTGTTCTAGTTGTCCTAATAGAATTAGCCATTTGAATCAAGAAAGACAGCTGTTTTGGCTCAAGGGGGCTGCTTTATTTTTAAATTCAATCTTATTCTCTTTGAGAAAGGCCGGTGCTAGTGTCTGGGTTCGTCCATTATAAGCAAAATGCAGCGTACATTACGCTGGTGATGATAGTAAGAGTGATAACAAAATCACATGATTTTCGAATATGGAAGCGTGTCTTCGTTTCTTGACGGATTATCAATCGGCTTTCTGATGCTTGTATCAAATTTTGCACGATTTTTAGGATAAACGAAAAAAACAGCAAACAAATATTAACTTGAATTAAGAAAACTTTTTGCTGCTACGATATATACTATTGCAGACAGTGAAGCAAGTTAAATTTGCATACATCAAGCCAAGAAGACATCTGTTATTAAAGAAAATCAACGATTGGAGAAAGATTGAGATAATTTTTTCCTATTATACTTAGTGTCCGGCAATTAAACTATTTAACTATCGATCACAAATTGGAAATGTAATAGGATAAATTTTATTAGAATTGACGAACAAAATGGACTATGTTATAACCGAAGAAAAAACGAAAATAAACAAAAACAAGTGTTCTTTTTCTTTTAACAAGTTTTAAAAGCATTCTCGGTTTCTTTTACTAGTCGGCCTTTAATCAAAATCGGCTTCTTTTGAAGAAATTTTTATCAAATAAGAAGAACGGTACTTAATAAAAAATTAAGAACACCGTGGAAAGAATTATTAGGTCAGTTTAAAGAGTATCGATATTAGCATTATTTTTTAAACGATCGACAGGAAATAGATTTGAAATTATAATACTGAGCATATGGAAGAGGAAAGTGGTCTTAATCTTCAATGCGAGAAGATCAAATTTCAACAGAGCTCATCAATATTAATTGCAAGATTTGGCTGCCGTGCTACAAGCATAGACTAGAAACTCTTATCAACCTGCCTCGACTAAATTTTCAAACTCAGTGTGATTATAATATTTTTTAAGGAAATAAATCAAATTTCAGGTATTACTGTTCGATCTTTTTTATCACTATGTAGATGACAAAATAGCAATAAGAATTCTACCTGAAAGACATTATGAAGGCAGAGCTTAGTTAGACTGAAAACAGCAAGAATTGCACAGTGACGTTTAGTGATAATATAGATATGACATCCATGTTAAATTTCTTGCCATATCTAATATTTAAAATAATGATTTACGGTCATTAACTCATTTCGGTAACGCCACATGCATAGTTGTTAGCACAAGAACCACACACCAAAAGCTTTTGCAGAAACCTATTCTCTTCGCAAATTTTTGTAAATAATGATAAAAGATTCTTGCTTCTTCTTCGCATAAGTTCCATGTCAAGTTAAACTACAGATATAAACATTCTTTATAGAAAGAAATGCAACTGAACAGCTTATAGACAGTCAGCAAAAATATTTCAATTGAATTCTTTTAGAATAAAGGAAGAATGTTAAATGGATTGAAATTAAGTTCCTTGCGAATTGAGTTTCTAGAGATGACAACTACAATAATGTCAGTAGGATGAAAGCATGTAATTAATTTATTATGCTTGTTGGAAAATAGATGTTAAGTTAAATTGCCTAAAGCAAAACGGAACGCAAAATCAGTTTAAACAAGAAACACAAACGTATTTATGTCTACTTTGTTTGCATTCTATTGCTATCTATCAACATCATCACAGCGTTGTGACTGTATCAATCTACAACAGGTAAAAATGAACTTACGTTTCCAAAGAAACTGTTCCTTTTTCTGAGCTGCTCTGTCTCCAGTTCGTCGTGAAAACAATAAGCATCACCAAAACGTTCAACGGCCTAACTGCATGTGATATATCCGCCATTTTCCAGAGGTTCGTAAAACTTTGGGTTGATTTTCAACTGGCCAGCTGCTTTTCTTCAGAGCGTGAAGGCACACTATAGCGCTCACAGTTGACGCGCACAACTAACTCACAGAAAACACCTGGCTTTTTATCAAAATCAACATAAGTGTGATCAATAATTGCTTGATCAAAACAAAGTTATTTCGATAAAACGAGCATGTGTACTGACATTCCTTGCGCATAACGGTATAGAACCTATTGCGCCTAAAAAGCGTATTAGAAAGGCTTTTAAGAAAGTAGCTTGAATGGTAGGGTTTCCGTGGCGCACAATATAAATATGCTTCTTGACGGCACTTTTATAGTGGTAAATGCAAATAGACCATCAATGAGTGTACTAATTAAGATTACAGGATTACATCATTTATGTATATCATTTAAGTATTTTTCCATGCATTTACCTAAGAAATCTCGTTATTGAATTATGAAAGACCGATCTTTCACAAAAGCCTTTACTTACTTTCCCAGCATTCCGGCTTTTATCTTCCTATTTATTCACCATTTTCGTCCTCGTGTTTCTCGGTAGAAATGCTTGCGAGAAAGGACTAGTGTTGAGTGAGGCAGACTCATGAAGAATAAAAATGTATTCTTCTTACGCAAGTTTGCGATAAACATTTGCATGGTTTTATGTTGTCACTTGACGAAAATCGGGACACTAGGCTCACAAGCCATGTATATGATATCTGCCCTCAAGGTGAATTTTAGTATGGTATGCTCTCAAAGTTTCTCAAAGCAAACTTTGCTGATCAAGACGACTCTGCCCTGCATGAATTCTAAGAAATGATACACAAGTTGCCTTACAATTTTAAAATGAGTGTCTGAGGACTTAGTAAAGAATTTATTTAAGGATTTTAAACCGATTTGCGATCTGAAAAATTAACTATGATGAATATTCAAAGCTTTTCGTAATTCTTAGACATGATTAACTTTGGTGAATTCAAGTTGCAAGCAATACTACATGGTTGGAAAACGTCACCTTATCAAAGTTAGTACATCAGGAGGTATAGGGGATTAATCCACCTCCCACAAACTCTACTCGTTTATCACAGGCTTGATAACGGAATTTTGCCGTTCAAAACTCTTTGAAGAAGTTTTCATTTATAATCTGTTATTTGTTGATTTTCATTTGAAGCGTCACCTTAGGCGCAGTGACTGACAGTACATTGATATTTCACACACATCAATTACCATTCAATTACAAGCGCGTACATAAATGTACTCATATACCTGTTGAACTATATTATCACCTGGAAGTAGGAAAATTAAAATACAGTCTTTTTCATTATAGAGTCTTTGTTAGCAAAACATTTATTGACACAACCGTTGATTTTCAAGCCAAAACAACGAAAAATTATTTCACTATCTACCTATCGTGTGTCCCAACACTAACGGAGAAAACTAAGTCAGTTGGGTTCTTGGAAAGGAAATCAAGAACGTTCAAAGCATGAATAGAAGCTTTCAGACTACACTGTTTGCTGCATTCTGACCCTTTCCCTGAATTTGCTTAGCTCACTCTGGGTCTCCATCTGGGTTTATCTAAAGTTCTGCAAGTTATTTGATTCTCTGAAATTTTCGAAGGAGCTCCCCTTGACCAGTTATTTCAAATTGCCTTATAACTGCTACATTTCAAACTTATGACGTCAGTTGTTTTTGGAGCACTTTATTGGATGCTTCAATACATTTTAATCGCGATTGTTGCAGTACTCTGTATTGAATATATGCTTGAGCACCTCGTTTACAGTAGTTTGTTTAAATCTGCCACTCTCAAGTTGATTAAAACGATTACTTTCTCTTTGCTTTTTGTCATATATCTCTTCAGTCACAAAGGTTCTAACTAACCAGCCTGAGCCCTTCCTCAAACTTTTCCTTCTTGAAAATACTAGACTGTAAATGCTTTTTAACTTCTCTTAAGTTTGGTTTAGTGCTACGTTTTCACAACTGTCTTTCAATTTTTCTGGCTGTCTTTCAAAAAACATCAATTTCAAGTTAATTATTTTGAATTATTGGTTACCCAGCATGAAAGTTTCTCATTTCTAACACAATCAAAGTATTTAGATTAAAAAGTGTAATATTTGTATTTGTATTTTGTATTTGTATTTGTTGCTACCTAACATCCGAAGGTAGTTTTTAGTACACTTAGAAGCTATGCTTATCGTGCAGTGTCCTGGTCCTTCCTTTCCATGTGACCACACCTCGTGATTCCTACGCCTGGAATATTTACTTTCACCAACATATACTGAGCACATAACTATACTGCGACTATGTTTTTGTTGGCGAAGGCTTGTTACAACAAGTTGTTTATCATATGCAAACTTATCCCTGAACCCCTTAATACTGCAGCAGCCACAACAGAACACATAATTAATATCTCCTTTGTAGTTATGCGAGAATGGCTGCCAAAATTAATTATAAATCTTTATGAAATAAATTATTGAATTATCTAATTATCATATCATATACCATTTAGCATTTCATAAACGGTTTGAAAAGTACAAACATCCATCTCATCTTTAATGCAGCTGTAGACATCCTCTGCCAATTTTTTCTGGACTTTATCTTGTGAAATTAGCAGCTCTCCGAATAAGTATATCCCCATACCCTATTAGACGGAAGATAACATTGCTTTAAAGGGCAGTCGAAAACCTTGAGAAATACAGTCAAACCGTTTGAGAAAAGCTATAGTTTTAGAGGCTATGTAACAAACAAATGATTAGAATAATCCATAATATGAATTTGAGAATCTGTTAATAATACGAATTTGATAATATTAATTTGACACTGTTACCAATGTGAAAAGCTCCCTTTTTGACATTAAAAAATGATAGGCCATAATTATTGGGTTCAGTTTGCATATTTCGATATTTCCGTCACTTAAACCAGATTTTATGACCAACTGAGGCTAAAATACGCGGCTCAAATCTATTGAGCTTATATAACCCTGCCTGAACAGGATAAACCCCATTTGACACTATGTTTACACGAAAAGAAATCGAAACAAAACCGAAAGATGGCGCAGACTTAGTTACAAACTTTCTGGTTTTTTATAGACGATACAACTTTTTGTTTATTTTTTTCCTTAAACACATCCTATTGTCACAACGCTTCCTTGATCGATGAAAACAGTCCACGCGAAAGAAAATAAAGTCGCAATGCCAAACAGACAATTATACAAATATAAATGCATCAGCTGGGTCAATGCAAACGCAAGGCCCAATTCTAAAGAAAATTGAACATGTTTTTCAAAGTTTCCCAGCAAAACATGGTCTTCGAATGCCCACGTAAAATGACGGGTTTTTTGTTTTATACGACCCAGGCGATGGGAAACCTGACTAAATTGATAAGAAAAGTGATGATATGTTTTATCATGCACAACTCTGGGTACACTGACATGATTCAATATTTTATCAATGTTAATAAGACACCGTACCGTCACCTGTCAGAAAGGAAAGAACAGTTTGCAAGAACTTGCTATAGTTGAGCTAGTTCATTGCAAGTAAATCAGCCAAGGATTAGGTCATTGTAAAAACCATCAAAAAATGTCATAATTATGCCATCGGGCAGAAGTTTCAAAGAAGATGTAAGCCAAACAGTAAGGCTAAAACATGGAAAAGCTCAGTACATAATCCTTTGTTTTCAAACATCGTGCAATGAGCTTATGTAAGTTTGGTATCACAACCAGAAAGATTTAAGGGAAATTAATTTTTAATTAGCTGACGACCTTACCTGATCTTCAATCAAAAACCGTCTGACTTGTCCGTATTCTTTTGTATACCTAAGAAGAAAGAATGCAATAAAAAGCCCAATTACATTGTATCATCATCAAGTCACAGAATATAAATTGTTTGCCGAGTTTATTCGTGGTTTCTTTCAATTCTTGAACGATTTTAATAATTCATTTGACTATAGTCTTGCTTTAGAGGCAGGAGTCAATTAAACACGGGCAAGGATAATAATTGATTGAAAGGTATTGAATTAGGGAACGCAAGAAAACAAAGAATCTTGAGACTAATGGCGGTAGTAGGTAACAATAGGCCTGATTAGCATGTGTTATATTCGCATAAATTACCAAATTCAGCATTTTTAGAGCTGCATAACTTAATTGGCACTACCACACTGAGTTGAAAGTTCCCCATTCCTAGACTATTCAAGGAGAAATACTGCATAACTTAATTGGCACTACCACACTGAGTTGAAAATTTCCCATTCCTAGACTATTCAAGGAGAAATACCAAAACTAAATATAAGCTGACAAGAAAAAGCTTCTCGACAGAATACAGCTAGCAAGGGAACCTGTATATCAAATGTCTGAAAGCGTCTAATGAATAACCATTATGTTAGAAATATATATCATTGATAGAATGAAAACCCTCACAATCCACATTGAATTAGACAGCATAAATGAAAATTAAATAAGGAAATTGCGAAAGATGTATTTCCATCTAACGGCAGGGGGTAACCAAATTGATGAAAATGACGTTGATTTTAAATCACCTGTGCTTTACAATTAGCTCACACCAACGATGTCGAATCTAAAAATGACATTAATATGAATTACTGACTTTCTTAATATTTTATTAATTGTACTATTTCTTTTGCAAATATTGGTTTCATACGCCACTGAAGAACAGCCAAGCAACTGAAATCTTATTTTTCAACTAAGGGCTAAGCATTGGTAAACCATTATTTAGCTCATTTTTAAATGCACCATATCAAAAAGATTCGATCTTATATTTCAATTCAAATTAGCATTTATCCTGGGCCTTTTGATGAGGAAGAAATAAGCAAACGCTATTTTTGCACACCATGATGTAGAGTCTTCAATGTTTTTATTATGTTCACGATGTTTTTTATGGATAATAACAAAAGAAAATAATGTTCTCTTACGAACAGAGAAATGGAACAAACTGACCCAATATTTACACTCTTAATAGTAAAGTAATATTTTCCTCAGCTGAAAGTTATATAAACAAGTTAAGCGTTTTTCCTTCTAGTTATTCAAAAATGGTGTGTTGTCATTGCCAATATATAACAACTCTAATTATTAAATGTTTGAACTGAAAAACTCTTATATTTCAAATTTTTAATTGAAAATAAGGAAGGCGATAAATAATAATTGCATCAAGTAAGCAAACAACATGAAAGCAAGCGTAATTCGACTGATAGTAACGATTGGAGAAAAAGCTTGACGAGAAAATCAGATTGTGAACCCTACCTCGGCATTACAACAATTCAATGAGTATGTTTGTTGAAGGTCTTTCAGTGTTTGATTTGCCAGTGTTTTTCTCTCCAAAAGTCTTTCTAGTAGCAGGATTATCGCATCTGCAGTCTACAATAATTCAAGAAATTTTAAACTTCAATGTTTGACTTCCTATGAAAAACACGGAAGTTTTTTTCTCGAAGCAATTAGTTAAACGTCGATTCTTGATCAGACCAAGCAAGATTCATATAGTATTTCATTAATCTGGTCTAATGTATGCAGCAAAATATTGTCTACTAGCCATTTGAAATCTACTTTTAATTCTGATTTTTGAATTGCTAGCTATTGACATTTAAGTACTTATTTCAAATTGCTAGACGTTAGAACTAACGTAGTGAGGTCTGAAAATTTATTCCTGATAAAATATACATTGCTTAACATAAAGGACTTGAGAGCTAACGATGCTAACATTATTAATAAAAACTCCAGAAATACTTTATCAACAGATCGTGCAGATCGTACTCTCTCGGAAATCATTTCCCTGGTTTTGAAAGGGGCCATAAACTCATCAGGTAACATTTTTAGACACCTACCCCCCATTTATCAAAATACCTACCTGAGATCTCATAAAAACTGTCACAGAGAAGCTTATAACTATCAACATTAGGAGAAAACTGAACAGCATCAAACTTTAATGCTATGAAGCGCATCAGTAAACTTTCCCGCCAGAAATTGAGCACGTGACATTGGAAACATAACATTCGTGTGTTTAAATTGGCCAGATGTATATCAAAAAGTTACTCAAAAGATTCCTGAATTATTTTTGTAAGTTTAGTATGTGAAAAGTATATCCTATAAACATATCTTTGTGAAAATCGTAGAGATTATAGTCAATTAAGTAAACGATAAATTCTCGCAGTAAATGTCATAATAATGTCATGTGTAGGAGCAAGTGAGATTGTACCAATGCTGGTTCGTTCATCAGCTTTAGCGAAACTTTTCTCCTCTTCATCTTCAGTGTTTTGCATCTTTTATTTCCGGTATCATGCCTTTTCCAATCTTGGAACTAAAAAAATGTCGAATCAGTTGACGAAAACGATAAACAAGCATGGATTTAATTTGGGAGGCTTTGACGCAAAGTGAATATTGCTGGTAACAAAATTTCTTGCTATGATTTGTAACATTGTAAGCTACGTATCTAAAATTAGCTCTAGAATTCATCAGGATCTGCCGAGAATACATCATTTTTAACTGATTTTTTTGGTTATTCGAAGAAATTTAGTTAAAAACCAGAGAAAAAAGAGCAGAGAAAAAAGGAAAAATGACCAAATAAAGCTTAAGAGATACTTTCAAAAATATTTTCCAATGTGCTCAACAACAAGCTGCGGAAAATATGACACAATGAATCAAGTAACAAACCTTTTCGTTTACTTGCAGTACATAAAACCCTGGACTTCTGGCAAGCATGTCTTCGGTATCCTAAATTAAAGAGGTAGATCACTACACTGGTGTTAAATACTTGCGATGTAACAGCAGACAGTAACTGACAGCATAATATGGTGATTTAGTTGCAATACTGCATTGAAATGATCACCTCACAAATTAGGTAATATGAAATCAGGCATTAAAAAACTACCAGTTAACAGGATTAGCTACAAAAAAAGAAAGCGAAAATGATCCAGAGGTCGGAGGAGGAAAGGAAATTTGAAAATTATACTGATAATTTTGATAATTTAAGAGAATTATACTTGATTATTGAAAGCAACGGTTGATGGAGATAACCTTTCACTATTTTATACATTTTAGAAACATAAATTTTATGTCGTGGAAAGATAACAGGGCCAAGTATAAAGAAATATATGATTTATTGGACACGTCTTAAAACGTGATACAAAAACACTCAATAGAAATTTTCAAAAGCACCTTGATGAAGCAAATGTTCTAATTATCATTGAAAGTTTGAACTGAAAATCGAAACAAAAAGGCATTGATCACCTTCGGCATTCCAACAGTTTCCAACCATTCTTTCATAAGACGCTCTTTTTCTGCCCTAGAATGAGAACAAAAACTCATTTCGTTTCTAGAAAAATACCAGAGCTTACTTGAGTCTAATCAAAGATGAATAAATATTTTGCGAAATTTTTATTGAGATAGCATTTAAAGCATATGGTTTGTATTTATATCAACGCTACATTAAATGGCGCTACATTACAGCCCAGTACATTACGCTGATTACATAACATAACGTAACATTATATTTCATCTCATTATTTTACATTACAGTGCATTATATTGCGTTACAATATAGTACATTACGTTAGACTAAGGCTAAGCTATATCATATTACGTTACGCTACAGTATGTTGCATTACATTACATTACGATACCTTGCAGCCTATTACATTGCTTTACATTACACAACGTTACATTGTGTTGCATTACATTACATTTCGTTAAATTGCAGCATATCACACTACGTTAAAGTATGTTGCATTACATTACATTACGTTAACTTGCAGCCTATTACATTACGTTACATTACACTACGTTACGTTATGTTGCATTACATTACATTACATTACGTTACCTTGCAGCCTATTACATTACGTTACATTACACTACGTTACGTTATGTTGCATTACATTACATTACATTACGTTACCTTGCAGCCTATTACATTACGTTACATTACACTACGTTACGTTATGTTGCATTACATTACATTACATTACGTTACCTTGCAGCCTATTACATTACGTTACATTACACTACGTTACAGTATGTTGCATTACATTACATTACATTACGTTACCTTGCAGCCTATTACATTACGTTACATTACACTACGTTACAGTATGTTGCATTACATTACATTACATTACGTTACCTTGCAGCCTATTACATTACGTTACATTACACTACGTTACAGTATGTTGCATTACATTACATTACATTACATTACATTACATTACATTACATTACATTACATTACATTACATTACATTACATTACATTACATTACATTACATTACATTACATTACATTACATTACATTACATTACATTACATTACATTACATTACATTACATTAAATTGCAGCATATTACTCTACGTCACATTACACTACGTAATATTATGTTATTTTTTTTCTTTTCATAAACAATAACAGCCCCTTAACATATAATGCAACGCAATAATTATTAATAAGAATAACACAACGAACTAGAAAAATGAATCATTCCAACGGCATCGGTGTTGATTGAAAATCTCTGGCTTTGTAGGCTAATCTCAGAAAAATGGCAAGGTTTGCAAGCTGCTCAATTGAGTCTGACGACATGATGTTGCTAGAAGTTTGTTTATTCCTGACTCTAAGAAACCGTTTATTGATGTATTTTTGTCTCAAAGTTTCATAAGCTGGGCAGATTAATAAAAAATGGAGTTCATCCTCAATTGCGTTTTGCTACATTTTTGCAAATTTTCTCTTCTCTTGCTAATCTGTTTTGATAACGTCCCAATTCTATTGCTAAATGGTCACTGGAAATATGAAACTTCCTTTCGGGGAAATTTGGCAGACTAAGGTATTTTCCAGGGTTCAGCTAATTATGATATATTACATTACATTACGTTACAATATAGTGTATTACATTAGATTAAGTTATATTATATTTCATTATTTTACAGTATGTTACAAAACACTACGTTAAGTTAGAGAATATGATACTATAGTATATTATGTCACATTAAATTACATCACTTTAAATTACGTTACATGATGCATCGAGCTTGCGTAAGAACTGAGGAAGATATTTCAATTGCCAACAAAGGCTTGAAGCATACATAAAAATGCAAACTAAAATGCCTCACTGATTTATCTTGAATTCATCTGCAAACATGCTGAAAAACATCTGTCAAAAAAATAATATTTCATTTTCAGAAACAATGCTTTATCTACAAAAACACATCGTACAATGCATATTTTGCAAAAATCAAGTGAGTCAAGGATGAAACGACATACAAGAATGAAGTGCTTTCAGATAATGGAAATGATTAATTTTCTTCCTAATGTATGCCTAGCACACCGTTTTTTGTACTGCTGTTAGACAAACTACTTCTCAGGTCAAGCCGGATATTGAAAAAAGCTCAAACAAAGATGATTCTAATACAATCATTAGGAAGTTTAAAAAATACAAATTTTCAAAATATGAATACAATTTACACCGTCTATAGTAATTGATTGGTTTTATCCATTAGTTTTTTGTTCATGTCGAAAGTTTTAATCATCTTCATAATGAGACTTCCCATTTCTTAAGATAGTTTATTAAACAAAAGATGAAAGCATGGCTAACTTACTTCTGACGAGACAAGACATTCTCGGTACCTCCTGATGTATTTTACAAGAAATTTATCAAAATCATCTTGTCCAACCATTTCAGTCAAATGATACAAAAGGAAGTAGCCCTTGAAACGATAAAAGGGTACAACAAAATCATCATTTCCTCTTGATTAATGTACTTAAAAAGGATATCAACAAAGAATTTACACACTACCATGGGTAGGAAAGAAAATAGATCGGAGAACATTTAGATTAAAATTGAGGTCGAATCAATTGATTGTGTTGCGAACAAAACTAAACGTAAACCCATAATTAGCACCCTTTCCGTCTTCCAAAAAGTGCAAGCTTAAAAAGTTAAAAAATTAAATAAACACCCACCTTTAATGAGTGCCTTATCTCACAAAAGGAAGATTTAATGTTTTTAATATAATGTCAAACCTTTTGTATTAATGAGCGCCACCTAAGACAGCCGAGCGCTCATTGAATATATGATACACCCGCCTGGGATCAGAACTACTGGAAAATATGAAGAGGCTTCCGTTATCTGGGGACTGCTTCTACAAGGCTTTGACTACCTGCGATGTCCGTTATAGATATGCGATTGTTAATGGAGGGTACACAGAAATAGGAACTTGTCTGTTCTTAATTCAAAAACCCTTTGCTTAGCATTCATCCGTTCCAAAACCCCAAAAGTCCTGCTCCAGTGCTAATCTTATCTAAAAATATTGTCTAGAATCCACCTACTTTCATATAATGAACTTGGGTCCATTTTCTAGATGGAATTAAGGCGCCTCTAAAAACAGTGTGTGGACTGGGTTCATCTTGGCTTCCGTTCGTAATGCTTCTATTTACAGCTTCAACGGCTAAAGCGAAATCAATACAAGATGATAAATAGCAGAAAAAGCTTGAGAGAGTGAATAAGGCCACCAGATACCCTAGCGTTGGAGTACTACGTCGAACAATTAGTACAGAAAACTACGCATGAGTCGATTTTTCAACACAGACAGTAGATATAAAGGAACCATTGCGCCATGAGTTATGGCAGTAGGTCTTTAAACAATCGCAGTTGTCTGCAAGCTGAATGGACTTGAGAGCTGAATTTTAAATCGAGATAGCCAAAACTCAGCCCAAAACGATTTAAATATTCTTATGAACAGATAAAACAAAACTAGGCATTTAACTCGATTTCGAAATAAGAGAATCTTAGCAAGATTATGTGTAGTTAACTAACTGCTACCCGATTTTTCCGAGGTCAATGATAGCAGAATTCAAGCCACAGAACAAATGAAGCAAGTTAAGAAATTAATTTTCTCTACTGTGCAGCAAAAAAAGAATTCGATTACAGTGTTGGTTTTACCGGCTTTAAATTCAAAGAAATAAAAACAAACGTGGAATGAATATTTTACAGTAGATGTTTGGCGCTGACCAAATGAAATTCTTTAGTATACAAATACAACGGAACTCTTTCATCTCTAGCGTATTGGGTGTCTAGCTGTGTGCTTGGTTTGTTAATGTTTCTTATCTTATAAATGAAACCAAGAAATAGCAAGAGGACTAAATAGAGAATATGAAATAAATCTTGGAACTGTTACCTGAGATATAACCGGTTGATGATGGGCGTGGCCTAGGTGAAAATACTTTTATATAAACATACCAGCAAACATGTTTAAAAAGGTAGATAAGAAATACAAAAGATGCAACTTGGATGGAAGTAAGGAATCGTCTCGGCAGATTTTATGCGTTTGGTGACCCTGACTACATTTATTAGTTGCTTATTTTTTTACTTTTTTTATTGATTATGTTAGGGAAGGTAAAGATGGCGGTGTATAGTTTGTCATTAACCAACGGCTTGTCACCCGAATTTTCACAATATTCATTTACCGGTTTGCAGATGCTAGTGAAAGCAAGACACCGGCATTTCTTTTATCGAAAAGGGCTGGTTTATTTAGCAGAGGGGTTTCAAACTTAACTACATATAAAGAAGTATTGTTAATTAGAGATCCTCTCGACAATGTCTGATTACGATGGCTTACAATCATACCTTTGTGATGAAGGTGCCATTGACGTCAACAGATTTTAGTAACAAAAGTATGTCATGCGCAGAAGGGCTAGATAATTAATATTAAATGCCTTCATTAAGTAAAAAGGGCTAAAGGGAGTTAGTGTCAGGCACTTCAAAGAAAGCACTACTGTAATATTCCAAGTCCCGTATCAAGTAGAACTGGAGTAAAAAATGATTTATTTTCTTGCTTGCAGCGAAAGATGAATTAAACTATCCAGCATCACTAGAGACAATGGACTTGTATCATAAATATGGGTTAATGGATGGCCAAAGTGCGATTTTGGGTAAAAATATAAAGAGAAAAATTGTCTTTCGAGGGATCTAACATGACTAATTGGTCAAACCAAAAAAAACCAATTATAAGGGTCAATTATTAACATAATGAAATAATTAATGCTGATACAAGTAAATCTTTGTAATAAAATATTAACACTGTTGTCTCACCTCAAAGTTTTAAGGTTCTCTTCTGCCTGAGAAAGTTCAGCTTGCAATGAACGATATCTGATAGATTGACGAAGTCGCATGCGATTGATGCATTCGTTTGCTGGCAACTGATGAGGAATAAACAGTCGAACATTGAATAATGATCAGATTAATTGAAGCTTAAACTTGAATCTTATCAGGCCACGACAAGAATACCAATTTCAACTTGTCAATTCCTGGTATCAAAATTTTAGACTTATAAAGAGGAATCTCCTGAATTCAACGTCATTTTGTTTTTACAATAACACAACTGCACAGCATTCAAAATCTTCTTAAAGGCACTAGGTTCTTGATTTGTTGAGACAAATAGTATCCAGGGTATAGTTGTTATGATTTTTTCTAGTAAAATCCTGTGGCACTTTTCTTCAGCTCAGGATACCCAATCCTCTGCATGTCAATCTAGAGGCATCCTTTTTCAAACTAAAGTCACTTGATCTTTTTTGCTTGCACGAAAGTATACAATAGAATGATTGCTTGGATTCTTGCTTCACCCTTGTTGTCCGTGCAAATGCTTACCGGAAGTCATTTTCCGGGAAATCTAGAAACTTTTCCGTGGATATCAATAGATACTCAAGACATTGAATATAAAAGACCGACTCTCAATTTGAAATAATCATAAATATTAAAGCAATTAAATTGAAATCATCAAGATATGGTAAGTCAAAGATGATGGATAAACTCAAAAGTTCCCCTGAATCCATGCCAGATTTGCTAAAATAAGAATTCTTTAAGAATGTCTTAAGGCTCAAAATGAAAATTTGTTAAGAATATCGAGTCTGGAAAAAATTTATAGCATTCTTATACAAAACATAACGTATTAGATTTACCATTTCAGCTTTTGCTTGAATTCTCTCTTCAGAATAAGTGGCAAACCCCTCACTGAGCCATTCTTCAGTCCAGTCTTTCACCCCAACGAGAAGGCCAAACCAGGCATGTGAGATTTCATGAGCTATTCGTATTGACATGCTTCGATCACCACAAAGAAGAGATTGAGACAGAAATGCAACATTTGGGCTAATAATGAAAGGCAAATTGTGAGCATGCGACAACGTACATACTTATATGTGGATAAAAATACACCCAATGATGTTGAGATTTAAGCTTCATAATAATACTATAATTTGGTTAGATATTCTAACCAAACATCACTTGAAATAAGGTTAGGATGGGTAACGACAAATTGGAATTGTAAAAACACAAAAAACCATGAAAAACATTAAAACACAAGGCTATGATAAGACGGAATAAACAAAACTATTCTACAGTTGAACAAAAAGTGATTCATAATGACAGCAAAAAGGTGCATCTGAAAAATTAGAAAAGCCCCATGAGACATTCACTGAGAAGAATACAGTGAAGACTTTACAGAATGAAGTTATGGTCGGTATCTGCTTGTTAACAAAAGAAGATGATAGAGAACACATGTAATAAACATTTTTGTTAATTTAATTCTATTTTCACATCAGAGTTCTCTGATTAGCAAACGATCAGCTATTTCATATTCAATAGTAATTATTTGGGAAAGCATTCTTCCACTTTAACGTCCCCTCTCAAGCTCAAGTAGATTGGTTTTCATAGTATTGAGAAAAACATTCCAAATGCATTTTCATTAATTCAGAGGGAACTGACAACAAACCTTTCAAGCCCCATACAAGCGAAGCATCTGGGCATCAATACAAGGTCCAGTCTACTGAAAGGGTATTCCCCGAGCAAGCCAGAAGCAGCAGTGAGATAATCGCAAGCCAAGTCTTGAAATTCATTAGCAAACCTGCCAATCAACGATTTGGGAGCATACATCGAAACCGGGACAACTTTCCCCGACAGCCCGGTACAAACATCGACTGAGATTTGAGATTTGTCGTACGACCCAATTGCAATTGCCAACGTGGAACAAGGCAGTGGCATGGACATTTCATAGTAGAACAGGCCTTTGAAAAAGTTTTTAGCTAGTTAAAGTATTGGCTTTCAGTTATGAAAACTTTAATTTTAGATATTACAGAATACTGAAATCACGGCTATCCGGTATGACAAATCACGGCGGTCTGGTATGTCCGGTATTCAAAGCTTCTAGTAAACCGCAAGGGGCTCGGTTCAGGATGCAGTTGGGAAAAATTGAAGCATTAATTACTTTGTTATCAAATCATTTCCAATGTTATCAAGTTTCTTGATATTTTGCTACAAATCAGTCCTTATGCATAAAAGCAGCAACTCTGATAGAAACTTAAATTTGAGAGTATTTACATGCAAGTTAAGTTTGTCTCGAATACTTGACGAATCTTCCTATTTGCAAAAGCCTGTGTGTTCGATGATTTTTTCGTTTATTTTCTCCGCTTTTGCCAGATCGTCCATTCCCACAGTCTGTTTGTCAAGGTTAGTAATACTATGGATCTTGCAATCATATGCATATACTTTTGAGTTATTGATGTTTATTTATGATCTTTTTTGGCTAGTTTTTTATGATCTTTTTAAGATTCTTGATGCAAACGCAATTTTGCTAAAGAGTCATGAGAAATGAAATTGGCATTCATTGATTTAAAGATTAAGCCAAAATGTAAGTAGAAAGTTATTTAATCAAAAAACTAATTAGTTTATAAGAGCCCAAATTTATCGTATTCGTGGAAACTGTTTGTTTTTAGAATTACAAAGACATTTCTCTATCGATTTTCACTCCACTGAGAAAAAGTAGAGAACATATTGTACAATAGGTTTTCATTGTGAAAACATTTAGCAAAACATAACATACTTATTTCATTTTTGCTAATGTATTTACCTTGCTCGACAAAATGTTTTCTCAAAAGAGCCTCTTTACAAAGATACCGGTCACCACTTGTCAACACCGTTGCGCCATTTTTGACATTGAAATAAGCTTGCCAGGTTGACATTGCGACGGGCGGCTCTTGACATGGCATTAACGAGCGGTTGTTGATGTAAGCACCTGGTGTGAAAACTGCATCACTGGCAAAAATAAGAGTTAAGAACACAATAACAACATGAAAACAGCTGATGATAAAATAAAAAAAAGGTCAACATAAGCCAACATAAATCTTTTATTATTCGAATGATTTTTCGTGAACAGAAATTTTAATCAAAGATAAAGTTGAAGCCTACAACATTAAAGAGGGTAGATATTGAAAAAAAGGGATACTAGGGTACTAGGCTGCTAAATTTTCATTGAGCTTCCAAAATTTATTCGTTTAAAAATCAAATTGTCTGGATAGTTTTGATAAATGGCCATGTAACAGCTTTCCGGTTGCTAGCCTCGTGTCAAAGAGTTGTGCAGGTTTTGCAAACCCCAATAAGGCAGAAGTGGATATGACGGCACATCTGATATAGAGGTAGCTAATTCACACTGAAGAACAGTCAATTTTTTCCAGCATTTGCCATGCCCCTTGTCACCAATGCAACATTGTTTGTATACAAACGGAAGTTAACGAAAGTTAATCTTAACAAAAGATATTAGGAATTGAAAAAACGTGTTTGCAGTACGAAACATTCAGAACTTGAATTTTCAATAATCATCGACATTGCTTGATACAGGTACAACTTTTCGACAAGGTACAAACTTTGGCACGTACCATGTTCAAGAGCCCGAAACATGTTGGGGTGTACCAGGTTCAGAAACCCGAAACACGTTTGAATCGCCTTTCCAAATGTTACGAATGAGACCTAATCTCCACTAGAAATACGTATGTTCTCTTTTAGTAGGCCTTCAGAAGCGCAATTTTGCTTGAGAGGGGTGCTTCATTAAATGATTTTTAAGCTACAATAATTTCAAAAATATTGTGTTTCCGTACATTGTCTTAGCGGAACATCTTTTACCAAATTCCAATATAAAAGAGTCTGTTTTGTTGCCTTCTCTCAAGTCAGTCTAAGTTTAAGTTCAAATAGATTCGATAAATCTCTTCCGAGAAAACCTAGATGATGTTTTACTCCAGTGGAAGGCTCTATAAATGACACCTTTGTGTCGATACAATAACCTAACAGTTACTGCGATACCAAGCATTCTGAGTAAAACAAAAATTAGCTCTTTATAAGTCGCTTACTTCCCATCTTGATCCTTAGCCCACATAATCGATTGTCCCTCAGGGTTCGTATGGTATCTGATTTTAACACATTCAGGCCAAATGTTTGCATCTTCACCTTCTTTCCAAACTCTTATGCACCATCCATGAATAGAATAAGATAATTTCTTCATCTTTAATAACGATTTTTTGCCATGCGATTTCCTCAAATCTAGCAAAAACCTGCAGTGCTTACAACTTAAAAAGTCATCTTCCGACTCAAAAGAATTTCCATTTCCTTCACTGCAAGTTTCGCTGCAATATTTGTCGTCAGAGCAGTTTGATGGTTCTGGACCTTTTGAACTTCCTGAAGTATGCTGCTCAAGTGATTGATCAAGTGATTGTTTGATTCCTGCACAGCAACACTTCTGCTCATGAAAATGTATTTCTAAATCATCAGGTATAGTGATCTCCTCTGCAGCTTCAACAGTCACCATAGTACTGTCAAGGCACATTTGAAAATTGCATTCATCCACATCCACTCTGGCCGGCTTTAAAAACAATACTATTGTTCCAGCGATTACCTTTGCCTGAAAATCGACATCAAGATCTAAAATGTAATGCGTAACCAAAACGTCATCAACGTTTGCCATTAGAGGGAGGTCTCTCGATTGACTCCAGCTTTCTGTTGCAATAGGCTTGTACGCATTGACTGCTACTTCTTTGTCAATCCCAGCTAAGGTTTTGTCTCCTGGTGACAAAAACGATGCTTTATTTAGGCTTTCACCATACAAATCATTGTGTTCTAAGTCCAGGTCTGAACACGATGGATCTGATTTTGCTTCAAGACTATCTTTTATCCTCAAGTCACCTACAAAATTACTTGTTATAGTTTTCTTTTCACCTACTTCAGAAGCAATTTTGGTTGATTCGTCTCTACAAGGCTTTTGTAGAAATTCCATCTCAACCTTTTGCAGTTTCAAAGACGAAAAATTTTCTGAACCAGTATCAATGCTGTCTTTCATAGACATTTCATCATAGCCGACATTACACGAAGAAAGAGAGCTATAGCTTTCCGCATTAGCCGAGCCAGTATTAAATAAGAGGCTTCTCGCATCAACCTTTGACTCACTATCTGACTCATCGTGCTTTCTTTTCTGGCGGTTTCTATTGCTTTGCTCTGCTTGAGCATAGAAGGGTGCTTTAGTTTCAATTTCCATAGAGGGAGATACATGACAAATCTTTGAACCTGAGTTGTTTCTGCTATCATAAGAATGAGAGTAGTCTCGATTGCACAATTGCGCATCTAGAGGCTCCATTGCTGCTTCAGGTACCTCAGGTATCAAGTCATGATTTTGTTGTGTTCCTTTTTCAGTTGGCTTCCCTAAGGGAAAATGAAATCCAGAATCCTTGGCTTTCTGGTCAGATACCCGAACCTCGCTTTCATTTGGTTTGCATGAGCAGCGAGTTTTTAACAGAGATATGATACTGAGGTCGCATTTCATACTCAGTCCAGATAAAACAAAACTCGCTTCCATATAAACATCAACCAATGTCCACTTAGAAGGAGTTTTTTTGGTTCCTGTTGAGAAAGCGAATTCGAAAGGATAAGCAGACCAAAGCTGAAAAAGATCTCATAAAACTTCTTAGGGTTTTGACCCTCACTGGAAATTTTGAAGAGATTGCTTCGTTAATAAAACTATATTTGGTCTTAAGGCCATTGCTAATAGACTTATTGAGATTTAAGTTAATGGACTAACGAAAATTGAAATTTATTTTGAAAAGCCTGTTAGCAAAAAGTGATTTTTTCTAACTTAGTTGCAAAATAAATAAATCTTCATATGATCTCAAAATTTAAGCTGTTCAATTTCTGAGCTAGGGCCTGTCTTTGCCAAACATGAGTAATTAAAAAACATTTTTGCTCTCCTTAACTATCAATTTTATATCCACAACCCATGCTGGTACAAATTTTTAGCTTATTTGTGATTTGCAAAATAATCATACTTGCGAATTATTTTGCAAGCTAAAGCTTAATGAATTCCTATTTTATAGTATTAGAATTTAAAATTCGGGGTCAAGTAAATAGCAAAAAATACCTAGTAAACAATTCAAGACATGCTTCAAGCAAGAAACTTAGAAAGATACTACGCTAATGGTTTCTAACGAAGAAATTTGGGCATATTTACCGTTACCATGAGGTTCTTCCTTCTTTAATCTACGAAGGCCATTCTCCCCTATAGCCAAATGCACTATATACAACAATAATGGGTATCTTTCAACGTAAGTTGCAGTTGTGTTCAGCAGCCCAGTAATTGGAAAGGAAGTCTCTTTTGTCCCACTACAAGAGTGGCATTCAGTAAAAGCCTTTTTGGAAAAACAGTTTGACAAAGCCTTCCAAGTTAGCAGTGTCATATTTTGGAAATGCAGTCCATAGACTTCCCAATGATGTCTACAGCAAAAATCTTTTATATGCCTTGCAATAGAAGTTGAGATCTTTGCAAAACTTGTTCCAATAAAAACAAAGAAGAGTTCCCGAGAACTGTCACTAATTCTTTCCTTTATTCTAGTCTCTAGCTGCTGATTGTATGATGTTGTGTCGTCTTTGCATTCTTTAAGAGAAATCTGTGAAAAACTTGCATTGAAGTCTGCCGATTTTCTTACTCTGAGATTTTTTACTATAGCATCTGAAAGCAGTTGATCTTCAAGAGATCCAGAAGACATCGTAACCAATATGACATGAACTGGGGAAAAGACAATTCCAGGGGGTGTTACCTGAAGAAGACCAAAGGGAGAACTCCTTTTACAGTTATTGTTAACAAATTGCTGATATAACTAATAATAAATGAAATAATTGTAAAAAAAGAATGAAATTAAATCTAGGACAAGAATATTTTGTGCCTGAAAGTCTATGAATATGAAAAACATTTAATGAGATAGTTATAATGAAAATTTAACAGTTTCTTGAAAATTTGATTGGTTCTTGTATGTAAAGGGACATTTTTACATTTTTAGATTTGACAAGGGACACTCTAAATTTTTGTTTGTTTCTTGTTTCGAGTTTGATGGCTATGCCTGGAAACATTCCGACGGCGTAGAATATCGTTAGGACTATGCAAACGATCTTTTGATGGTACAAAACTTGAAAATGGCTTTGAAAAATGCAAACATTTGAGTAAACTAAAGTTTCGTCTGACACTCTTCAGAGTTTAAAGGCAATCTGTCTCGTTGTGGATTGGTTAACGAGAGCAATAGCTGGAACAATAGCCTAAACACGATTCCAGCGCTCCGCCATTTTTTTACAATGCGATAAATTAAAGGGGGACTGGAAACAATAAAAATCCCTTTGTTCCTATAACCAATCAACGTCGTGACAGATTGCCGTTAAAACGTCAGAACATAGATCGAAAACTCTACGCTAGGGGGCAAAAGGAGTTCGTTTTCACCTTAGGACTCCACTGGTAACATTCTCAATAGGCAAGCGGCACTGATTGGTCAACCTCAACAGTCATGTGCTCGCGTTTCTGATTGGCCTATTTCGATCCACAACTGGGTATATATATTTCCTAGCGTAGAGTTTTCGTTTTAGACTCTGAAGAGTGTCAGACGAAAAGCTTTAGATAACTCAAATGTTTGCGTTTTCAAAGCCAATTTCAAGTATCGTTAGGGCACAACATTTTCGACCTACGAGCCGTCTGTCTGAATTGTTTCTGAATGAGGATCAACGCATTATCTGCACATTTGCTGATTGAAAATCTTTGAAGGCCTTCGTTCACATAAAAAGCTCGTTCAAGCCAAAATCAAAGTCACTTTCACACGTCAGTAAAATTATCCAACTTTCAGTTGCATTGGATCACAAGAAGAATATACCGATTTAGAAATTACTGCGGCGGTCAAAAACATCCAACGGAAAATATAAATCAACATACCCGGTCTTCTGTAGCAGAAATCTTTACTGCATTTTCAACATATTTCATATCCATAATTGTTAGTCCCATTTCTTTTGCAAGATCCGGCCAATCGGTATCGACGGCTCTACGAATAGCTATCTCAAAGCTTGATTTCAAACCTTTGTTTTGGTTTTTTAGTACGGATAAAAGCAGATACAAATCAGCAACTTGTGAGCCAGTTTCATAAACCTCTTTTGTACTTCCGGATAGTATACAGTTCAAGTGCTTCTTATACCAAGAGTACGGAACAGGCCAATCCTAAAATCAAAAATGCTACATAGAACATTGTGCTTATAATTGCCAGGAAAACAGATGAAATTTAAATTACGCTGGCTGGGAATATAGCAAATGGTCTCTTCAATATTGTAAAAAAGTAGAAACAAATTAAATTTTACTTCATGCAAAACGTACTCACGCAGTGTTTATGAAAAATGTACTTCGTGGTTGTAGTACACATTACTACAAATTCAAAGGCTACGTTTTAAATTCAAAAATTCAAGGTAATGTTGAAAATGATGGGAACCAAGGGGCCCTGAAATAAACACTATTTCAAAAAAGAAATTTGATGGCTTGTCCTCTACCAATTTTTCGAGCAATTTGGCAAAATTTCTTTCGAAAAATTTCCCAAAAGTCTTACATCAAAAATAAGTTTATCGAAACAAGCAAAAATAAGAAGAAAAAGAGTACTTTTGAGTTTATTGATACTTGAAAATTTTAAAATTCTGTTATGTCAAGCTATTTTCTGTCAGCAATTTAGCTTGAAAGTGTCCTTAAAATTTTGAATAATGATCTGTTGATAGATCTGGCTGGAACAAATACACTAGTTTTCTCTCAAGAGCCCATTAAAGCTGTTTCTACAAAGCCAACAATACAAGAATATATTTTGCTCACCGTCAAGGAATCATCGAGTTTCAAAGTGAAACAAGACGAAATATGAATGATTTTAAGCAGAGAACCAAGAACATCATGACATGTGCGAACGAAATCGTGCAAAGAGCAGAATTCTTCAAACTTCCCACTCAAACTAATGCCAGTGGGCGTACAAGAAAACACCTATCAAAATCAAAGACGTTAAAATCAATGAAGATTGCAAATAAAGGTAAAACTTTTTAAAATCTACAGTTCTGCCCCTCCCCCTTTTTCTATAAAAATTTCGTCGAAGAGCTTACAGTCCGACAGGAATCAACTGAAAGCTTTGAAAAAACTTATAAAAGCATTGCTTGAAAGATAAGGAGTAAATACCGTTGAAAATCTTTGAGAAAATTATTTTGATAATAGTCATATAAACTTTCATGTATCAATTTTTGCTAAGAATATTTCTGTGACTTTTTTCAACTATTTTTCATTCAAACTTCATCTCCTTACATTGAAATTTGGTGAAATCCAGTCAGAGTATAAAATATACATAATTACCCTATTTATTCAACTGCATTTAAAAGAAGAACAGTATGAGGCCTCTGCCACAGAGGTAACATTACAGCTACATTTGTAAAATTTATAAAGTGAATGACGGGCCTTCTAATGAACATTGTGCTGCACACTGCCTAAGAGCCTATCTTGACAGAGCTACAGCCAACGTAAGTAGAATAGAACATACCTGGCCTTGATTGCTGGAATGGCAGCTCAAAATCACCATAACTTCAGCTGGACAAAGCAAACAAATGACAGCTTATAACAACACAAAATAAACCATCAAAGTAAAGGAAAGACCTTTTAATTAATTAAAAATATATATTGAAAAAGAAAAAGTAGCTTCAATTCAATTGGCTCGTAAAGGTTAAATACGATAGAGAAAAGGTGCACTTTCTCAACTAGAAAAAAGTTCATAAGTATAATTATGATTTACTTACTGTTACTGGATGTCTGTTTAATTGCAGAAAGTCTTGATACACATTCTAGTAGCTCTTTTCTGCTGCCAAATGATAATGTAATCAGGCAAATAGACTGGCCTAAGAAAGATAGAAAAGTGATACATCAACAAAGCACTCATTATAGCATAGGTAGAGACATATAAATGATGGTATGTCATTCCATTACAATTGCTGTTCTTTACTTCTCTTGACTACCAAAATAAAAACCTATCAGGATATTTATGAGAACCTAAAATATTGATATTGGAAGATGAAAGAAAAGATGATAAAACCTTGTACTGTGTAAGGGAGCAAGTAAACTTCCTATCTTCCAACCATTCCGTAGAATATTGAAAAATAATACCCACAGAGCATAAAAAATAAATAGGGCAAGCAAGACCAGATATAGCTTGTGGTCGTTGTTTGAATTTGATAACACTGTTGATAAAAGCCGGCAGGGATATGATATAGCTAGAATTTGAATAACACCTAGCAGATTACTTATTACTGATAAATCTTTCATTTCTGACCTTTTCGAAATGTCAGCTTCTGACCATCATTTTATTTATATTATCATGCTGGCTCATCGGCTAATCTCATATGTGGACCATTAAAAAGCTTACAATCAGCATGGTCAACCGTACCACGATTCCCCCTTCGTTTCTTTGTCAACAGTTTTATTCATTTAAAAATCGTGATGCCATATTTTGTGCATGAGAATTTTTTTGAATTTATGCATATCTTCTATAAGGATTGACTAGGAAATTCATTTTCAAGCAGCGATAGTGAGCTACCCACGACTTCCAAATGATTACCTGTATGACTGTTTATTGACGAGTTGTTTAGAAGTATGATGTGTTTTATCAATTGTTTGTTGTTTAATGCTAAATTGCAGCTCATCACCTTTCGGAACCTAAGGTGTGTTGCAAAGGTAGAAAATTTGACTGTTGTATGGTGTAATGAATGTACAGGTTTGGCTCTCTAGTGTCAAGTGATTCAAAACACCCAACTCTTCCAGTTTTCTTAGTCTAGATTTTGAAAATTTTGTGATTTTCTCATATTTATTGATGATCACATTTTATTGACTTCCTTTCAAAAACGGGTGTCTTAAAGGTTTCCATATTTGCTGTAACTTGTTTTCTTAGGGCTAGAAACAGTTATAAAGATGATGTCAATGGACTGTTAGACTTACTTGTAGCCTGTCTTTAGACTGTCAAAGGGCTGAAAAAATTTTTGATGTGAAAACTGATGTTGAAAATACAGGTACTAGTGGAAATAAAGAAGCACTATGGAAAATTTGGACAAGCAGAAACATGTGGACTCTATGATGCATTTGTCTTCAAGAAAAAGTGCCTTAGCTGGTGAATGAACGATTGTTTGTGTTTAATGTCATTTTCCAGAACATCTCCATGAAAAACGGAGTCACTTAATTTAGAAGATAAAACCTGATATTGCTGAACACATACACGCTTTGCTTAAAGACATATTGCCTAAAAGCATAGCCTAAAAGCAGCTTAAAGGATGTGGCAAAAGGTGATAGACAGCAAATATATTTCCAATAGAAGATTGGGAGGCTACTTCATAGCAACTATGGATAACAACGCTAATGAATGATTGACTATGTAAGATGTTTAAAATGCTGCGCGCAAATCATTTTTCAAAAATCAGATCGTTTCTTGTAAGACATCATAACAGCAAGGGATTTCGGTATCTAAAACCTTAAAATAATGAAGAAAATGCCAATTCCATTGTTATATGGAGAAATAAGTAGAAAATCATATTTTAAGATGTACATCATATTCTGACCAATGACTACCCATGTTTCGGATTAAGAGAGATAGATGGAAAAAATACAGAGCTATGCAGCAAACTTTATAGGCAAGAGGCTTTGAAAGGAAATATTTTCATAAAAATTTCCTCAATTGAGTAATGAGATCTTCATAAACTTTATAGTAGAAAAATTTTTCAAAAATAATAATTTCTGCAAAAATCTTTCCTCCTGGATTTTTCGCCTTGTGGTGAAAACTTGTTTAAAAGTGCTCTGAACAAGATTCATATATCATATATCATAATTCTTAGGATAATGAATTTTGTAAATTGAATCTCTAATTAGATATAGCTTATAAGAAAAATGAAACATACCATTTTCTACAGATGCAGCATTTACAAATGCCTGGATCCACAAACCAAGCTCTGCCTGGTGATCTCGTAAATTAAGGCAAACTATTATCTAAAAATCAAAAGCAATACTTCTAAATGTTATCATTCATTAGCAAAATAATGTTGGGGTCCTATCATGGTCAAAACAATCTAAGCAATTAAAATCAACCATACTAACTCTACAAAACAAAATATATTGCCAATGTTTATCAACTGCTAAATTTAGCAAAAGATTTGAAGGAGCATATGATTTGAAGGAAGAATGGGTGCAGACAGTTGGGCATCTTCAAATGTTGGTATAAAACCCCAATAATTCCACACTGGGACCTGGCTGGTAACTAACAAAACACTCCTACTCACTGTTCTATTTTCCCTGGTTAAAGCCATTTAAGGGACATATACTTTTCAAAGGGAGGGCTGTTATCACACAATTTAATTCCAAAATAGCAATGGAAAACAACTGAAAGTAATAGAAAATATAAAATTGTGCTTTAGAATGCTAACCATTGAAAACCTGTGCAGTTCATGTGGCTTGATTAGAAGATCCACATTGCTTTCACAAAGTTTTCTATCCAGACACTTGTTGGTTTCTTCATACTCTTTAATGTAATGAAAGATTTCCTGGCCCACATGCTGCTCCAATATCTTCACATTCTTTGGAGTATTAAGGAGCCATTCTTTGCAAGAAATGCATGACGTTATCTCCCGGAATCCCAATCAAAAGTTTGCATCATACAGAAGGCATATCATGCATTGAACATAAAACTTATTATAAATTCACAATCCGTTAACTGGGCTTAAGATTAGAGTATGCACTTAAAGGGCCTAATAACAAAGCATTGAAGTGTTAACACATAGGTTGGAGAAACAGAGTTTAAATCGAAACAGATATGACATCATGTCTAAAAATTGAGCACCAAGATGGAGCAAAAAGTAGTGTACAGCCTAAGAAATAAACCTATGGGATATTTATAACATGCTAAACTTTTGTCAATTCATACTTTAATAATTATTAAATCTTAACTCAAAAAGAAAAACCTTACATATTTATAACGAAGAAAAATTAAACAGTATATATTTTACCTGGTTCTTTGTTAAGGTCCTTGCCATGCTTTTTACATTTGTGAAAATCACATCTTATAAAACGATCATCACTTGATGTTTCACAAGCAAATACAGTGCTTGAATATCTATAATTACTTTCCATCTGAAAAAGAAGTCATAATTTTTTCTTTTTAGAAGTTCACTGCCCCCTTTTTGTGGTTAAATTCTTCAAAGTAAAGCAAGTATGTATAACTTTTTGCTGAGATAATTGGCCCCCTATTGCTCTTTCATATTTAGTGAGAAGGTATCATTTTGCCTAGAAGGCTTCTGTGTTTCTTATATACACCAATCACTAAAAAACAACTGTGACAGGATGATGATTATCATCAATCATGATCATCAATCAATAAATCAATCATGATCATTCATCTATCATAATCAAAATCTTGTATAAAACTTTGAATGTCAAAATGCAGTCAGGTAATTGGGAGGCAAAACACCTTGGATGTTCCAGTGTGAAACTTTTCAAATTTCAGACAAATTACAATCACTCAACATTAAGATATTAATCATTTTATATTGAAATTGTTGTGTTTTCAGCAACAACTTGAAGCCTGTATTACTGTATAGTGTACAAATTTGGTACAAACAGCAAAAAGTGATATGCATAGCCTGTATTCTTTGCCAAAGATCTAATCCAACTTGGAAGTTATAGAAAGCTTTATTCAGAAACAATAAAAGGCCACACAGAGACAAAAGCATGGCACGAAATAACAGGCCTGTTTATCTAATCTCTAGCTTAGCCTGGTAAGTATGAGATCTAAATTTAATTTTGAGCAGCTTTTTAAGACAACAAGGTATGTAAATTTTGAGAACCCAGTGGCCCCCAACGAAAATCTACATGTTTTTCTGGCCCTGGCCTATAGGATATGCATAGCTCCCAAGTTACCCGCGATTTACCTGCACAAAATCTTCAATTGCTAAACCCGCCTTGGTTTAACACCGAAAATTAGTAAAATTCTACTTTTGCTATTGTTTTTCACAACATTTTGTGCCTTTACCGCGCTGCTGACCCTCTAATGATTTCTAAAAAGTTGAGAGCTTTAGTTATGCAAAGAAGCCGTGATAAGCAATTTCCTTGGCAAAATTAAAAAACGTGAAAAGGGAGTTACATTCCTACCAGATTTTATGCTCTGGTTATGGTCTTCTTAGCATAAAGTTTCCTTTTTCGCCTGTGAACCCAAGGCACACTTCACAATTCAGCAGCCATTTCCCTTAGATTGTTGTTGATGTTACGTGCTGAATCAGCACTTCGTGACAGAGACCCATTGAAATGATTTCTTTCAATCCAAACGTTCGTATATAGATAGAGGTATTGTATTTTGAAACAGAATCAAACAGTTAAGGTGGAGGAAATATGAAAATTCGTAGTAGCATTTGATACAAAAAACCTTTCCAAATTTTTTCTATGAAAACTTTTTTAGTAGAACTCAGTTCGACTATGAAGCAGAGACTTAAAGGTGACATAAGAAATACTATTATTGCTTTCGATGCCTTCATCAGCAGTGAAAATTAAAGAGGGCTTGGAAAGTTTACCTTAAAACTCAGATGTTTTGTATAAGTTATAGAAAGGAAAAGGCCAGTCTAACAAAAAACTCAGAAAATACACTGTGTATGCCCCATTACTCAAAGAGCTCAGTGGAAACCAAATTTTCTTCAAGACCTTAATTAGCTTTGCCGAGCTACTCCAACATACAAGCATCAACTTTTTATGAGTTTCTGTAGTTTATTTTCAAATCGAGTATTCTGTAGTTTATTTATGAGTTTCAACCTGGCGCAACTCGATTATAATTTTAAAATCATACTGGATACGAATCTTACTGTACTGTGACTCATCTTGAATAACGATTCTTTACCAACAATAAATGAAAAATTCAATATAATTCAACTGAATAATAGTAAAATGAGCGTTTAAAATAAGTAAATTTACATTTCATTTACATTTTGCTTTATAGCTGTGGATTCTATTTTTATTAGCTATTAATTTGCTTCTTTCTTCTTTCCGCTCTCTATCATATTAACTTGCTATAAAACCTATCTCTGCATACGCCGAACTTCCCTACTCGTTTCTATCATTGTGCGCTGTCATCCTGTCACCAATTTTCGAATCCCCTTCCTCCCAACCGTAAATTGTTTAAAAAAATATCGACTAGATTGTTGCAAAAAACTTTCATTGTTATGGCAAACCATTTCGACTGAACAATCGCTATACCATCCACTTCTTGACTGATCGATCAATAACTGACGAATGTCTTCCGAAGAAGTCTTGTCTTACACTTGTATCTCCAGGGGCGCAACTACGGGGGGGGTCCTGGGGGTCCAGACCCCGGCCCTTTTTCTCAAAAGGGTAAAAGTGCCCTTTTTCCTGGAAAATTGCTTGAATATTTTAACTATTACGCTAAAATGGTTGGTCATACAGTAAATGACACACTACGGAGATGTAATGGACCTCGCAGGAATACAGATAAATTATTTAGTCGAACTTTCGCGCACTTGTTGGGTCGAACGTCATCATGTTGCAGTAATAGAGTATATCTTCAAGCCCCAACTCTACAGCGTGTTTTATGATGCGCTACGCACTGGCTTTGAAGAAGAATGGTTCTGGGACTCAAAAACCAAAATAAAGGCACAGGATTTTGAACGGGATAGAGCCTCTACGACCTCTGGTAAAAAGTTACAAGAATAAAAACCAAGACATTTTTCAAGCCTGTCACATAGTTGACAGGGTCATAGAAGACCTTTGCATGAAACGAGCGAATGCAGGGAAATATTTTCGGACTGGTATTAGTAAGCAGTAAATATGACACAAAAAGTTGATGTTCAGCTGTTCCGTTCCTTGTCAGTATTACAAATCAGCTCAAGGCAAGACTTGGAGACAGAAACAAGCTGAAGGCAAGGCTCGTGGAACTGTTCAACCTCCTCCAATCTGTAGTGCGAAGCAAAGAATTCAATAATAATATTTTAAAGCGCAAAATGTCTTCGGATATGGAAGATGATGGGCTGCTATTCAAAAGTGAGCTGGCGCTGGGAAAAGGAGATGACAGCAGGGTCGCCGAGAGGGGGACAAAGGGGCAAATTGCCCTAGGGCCTCGAGGTCTAGGGAGCCTCACAAAGCAATGAATTCTGTTTTTAAATGGAATTTATTAAAAGTAACAAAATTACAATTAAAAAGTAAAACATCTTAAACGAATTAGTGAATTTAAGCTATTTGCAAGGGTATGGTGGCAAAATTTTTGCTCGCTTCGCTCGCAAGAGGCATTGTTTTTTCCATTTCCCCCCTCCTTCGGGCCTCCTAAACTTCATCACACCTCACCACAAAATAAACCGTACACCACAAACTTTTCTCTATTGATCAGTTTCCCTTGCCTGGCGTACAATATTTACAGATTTACTAACTGCTCATATTTTCGGTGTACCTAAACAAATGCCCCGGTGGACCTTTAATGAAGTTTAATTAGTGCCCTTTTTGTGTCTTGGACCCCTGCCCTCTGAAATTTCTGGTTGCGCGCCTGATCTCTCTTGCTTTATAATTATGAATAGCTTTAAAAGGAAAGAAAATCAACCCTGCGAGAATTCCTTTTTGCTTGAGTGGCTCTGTTCTGTGTAATTCTGAGAAAAAATCTGACTAACTGTTGGCGTTGTCGAGGATCATTTCGATTGATTCCCTTTACTGTTAATCTATAGGTCAAACGTAAATGGTGTTTTTGGTTCATTCTGAATCCATTTTATAATGCGCTCAAATCCAAAGTTTGTTCCAAAATGCAAAAGTGATCATACAAGCACTAAAAAGTAAAACAAGAATTCAAATGCTTAGTTGCCCAGTTTACTTTATAATCTGACTTATTCTACTGTCTATACGGCACTGGCAGTCTGTCAAAAAGCCCCTCTTCAAGCTCAAATGGTGTCCCATTATCCTTTGCTCTGTAACATCCAGTAGAGTTGTGCAAAGAGACAGCCATATTAGATGAAAATCGTAATAATAATGTATACATTTATGAAGAATACATTAAGCTTTTCTTCAGGCTTTTCTAAATTTCATAGCATGGCTTAAATGAACAAACAAGAGTGTCAACCAAAGCGAATTCTATGCACAGGAAATAGCAACATTAGTTTTTTTGCTAAGCTTTGTGAAAGATGTGTGCAGCAACTGATTTGGGTAGCACAATTACCAAAAGAGAATTAAAAAGCCTTCCATTTGATTTTGAAAACAGATATAAGGTAAAAACAAATTTGCATTCAAATATTGCCTAGCCAATTTCTCTGAGTGAACCACCAAACAAATAACAATAAAGAAACTTTCTGTTAGAAAATGTTATTGCTTGAGTTTTTACATACAGAAATGCCCATTAAAATGGATGCGAAAGAAAAATTAAAATTAGATCAATAAAATATTTTGTCAGTATGACAGCTTACAGGCACAATGATTTAACTAATTTGTCTTATCAACATTTGTTTGCCACAGTTTATAAAGCAACACAGTCCATTATTACAAACTGCCTCTGTAACAAAATATTTTGTGACATGAAACAGTTTCCTGTCTTTCTGCAACTATCTGTCTGCTCAAATGAAAACCCTATCTTCTTTAGTTGATGTATTGTGATAGCCATCTGAACCCTAAAACATAAAAACATTAAACCATTTAATCTACAACAAAAGACCCTCAAGGCATATATCAGCATTCATTAATAATGATAACCAAAGACTTTAAGACACAAATATGAAACCAAATAAGCCTTTCTATGGCAAAACTTGGAGATGGTATGGAAAGCAGAGACATTTTAGGTCCTATTTTGTCATATAAGCTCCTCACAGTACAAACATAGGGTAATGACCAAAGGTAATCATAAATTCAGCCCTGTGTTTTAGAAATTTGGACTACCTCAAAGGTGCTCAAACTTGACCAAATTTACACTCTCTGAGAAAAGAACTCTTCTAGGCTGTGATAACTCACAAATATATTTTTCCATAAATGATATGTCACGGAAAGTCTTCAAAAAGGGTGAACAGAATACTACCATCCAGGGTACTGTTGATTAACTGCTTGGTTCAGATTGCAATTACTTGGGGAAAATAAAACAGTACCCTCGGAATGGTAGTAACTCTTTAAGTTAGAACTTGGGGATACATATTAATAAGATGTCCTTAATAATTAATAAATTAAGTAAAGAGAGTAGCATGCAGTCAAAAAACAGACTTAACAAAGTGCAGTTGAATGATTTATGCATATTAATAGGTATAAGTTCATGAATCAAAATCCATTACCTTCACCATATCCTTGTCTTTTCAAAACAGAGCACATAAACAGTTCTATTGGTCGAGCTGAGAGATCTTTTCTAGAGACAGTTCCCTGAAACATAACGGAAAAATCAAATGAAATAAAATTGTCCATTAAAAAATTTATTGCTTTGATAAATCAATAGGTTAGTTAATATTGTTGGTAAATCGGTTGAAGAATTACCAATGTACTCAAAATGATGATAACAGCCCCAACTAAAGCAAAACATTGGTTCAAACCTAAATTTAGGTATAGCATTTTATAACAACAGGTTTTTGCAAGATACAACACAGTTGCATCAAGATCACATTGAGAGTGAAACTCTGTGTTGCAACTTACAACAGTTCTGTTCCACAGACCAAAGTATGTACAGCCCTGTTTATAAGGAGACTAGTAACCAGTAATTTATTCAAATATATTATATTTCAAATTTCAGACATACTGTAGGTAAATTTGATGAGCTGTAGCCTATATGATTAGGAAAAAGTTAGTTGCAGTCAATGCTAACTCAGCATCCAGAGGGCTACTAGTGAGGTAATACGACAAACATATTGCAAGAAGAAAACACAGGTCTTAAAATCACTTAAGGGTACAAAAGAAAATCTATTTTTCTTCAAGATTACTGTGACTTGTAATCTCTTTTATTCTGCTAACAATGTCTCGTACATATGCCTTTTAAGTTCTGTACTTTGCAGTGATTTTGAAGTGACTAAAATAATAACTTAATACCTGATATATGAAATTAATTTTCTGAACTTACTTTTCCAGTAGTTAATCCAAATAGTCCAAAATATTGCCTAATGTAATCTTCGCCAAGTGCACCTGCTGCATCAATTTTGTTACCAAGAATCATTACTGGTACATCAGCTAACTGTTCATCAGCTAACAAACTCTGGAAGTTGGCAAATAAAAGGGAGTCAGTCTAATAAAATATTAGAGCCGCAGTCCCTGATTTTTTTAGCTTTTTGAGTTAAAAATTTTTTTTTTAATTGGGACAAGCCTTAGAGCAAAAATGAAAAACATGTAGCTTTCAAATGCCTCAAAAGAAGCACAACATTACTGCCTAGATAAGGGCTGTGTCGCAGCTCATCTCATGTCACAAAACAAAAGTTAAATAAATTTTCTCAGTTCAAAACTAAGTACTAAATAGAAAATCCAGCCAAAATCAAGAAGGATATTTTGCCAATGTTTATCGCAAGAACTATTTGCATTGTGCTGGCCTTTTTGCTTGATGCCAGCGATCACATAAATCATCCTTTGTCATCCAAACGAGTCAAATAGATGATACAAAACTGGTATAAGAAATAGGAAGCATAAGTAGGGAGATCAACTATTCTTCAACTGAGAATCCATTGTCAATGTTTAGAGAAACAATATTCACTTAGTACTTGAACTACATTAGCCCTGGGAACATCAGCAAGGATGGCTCAGTTGTAAGAGGCGCTGACCACAAACCCAAAGGTCCATGGTTCGAGTCCCTGGCAGGACCAAACTTTCATCCAGAGTGAGGAGAGTTGTCAGCTCTCTGTAATTCCAGGCCTTTGGCCTTTCTTAGGGAAAGTCCTGTTATTGACTGGAATGAATTACATTTTTTCCAAAGTTGTGGGTATCTGACATCAGCCCTGGCCGTTTGAGGCGGGCGATCGCCAGCGGGCACCTCCACGCTCGCTTTTGGTAAGCAAGGCAAGCTATTCATCGCTCGCTGCAATGTCAGTTCGCACGTTAATCGCCTGCCTTGGTCTTCCTTTCATTTTTCGACACCTCTTGAAGTAAAACTAAAATATTGATAGGAACTTGATCCCCTATGTTTTGACTTAGAAATAATGTTTTAATCTCTCAGGAAGTCATCTACTCCTGTAAACTCGTTAACTACTTAACAAGTCAGGCGAAAAACAAAAAGTCAGTAAATGCAATAGGGAAGAAAATCCTTTGAATGGTTTCATTTCAACCAGAATGCTATTTCAAAGGCCAATTGAGTGTTCCTAACACGTGAAACCTCAATCATTTCAACATGGCGAGTAACCAGAAAGGATCAACTGTTGAGCTAAGAACTTTCGAAAAATACGACAACTGGGCTGCTCTTGGAAGAAAAATTGAGGAGATAGATGGAAAGAAGATGGTGACAATCGTTTGGTGCAAACTTTGTGCTAAAGATAAAGCTTCTATTTTCTTGAACCCGCTGTGCAAAGGCATTGCAAAGGCGGCTGTTGAAGCCAACATCAATGAAACAAATTTGGAATGTTGTTGATTTGTGATTATATGAAACTATCATTTTATTTTTGTCGGAGAATCGCCATCTTGTTTGTAAACTTAGCTGTTAAAGAATTTTGTTTATTCATATACTTTTATTGAAGATTTTCAAGAGACTAAAAAATGCCCGCCTGACTTTAACGAGGAGAGCGATGTACCGCGCGCCTGCTAAAATGCTCACGGCCAGGCCAGTGACATTATTTATCAAGAAATCACATTTAAAAAACATATTAATTTATTTGTGGATGTAAATTTGTTTATGGGCCCCTTTACCTGGAAAGGTCGCTTGTGCAAGAGCATAAACAACATAAACATAAAAAACAACAATGATCAATTCAGATATTTTACAGTTTGAAACCTTAATAGGTCAATTTAAATCACTATAAACCTACAACTTGTGAAAATAAAAAAGTTTGACCAAAAACTTACATCAAATTCTACTTTTGACTCTGGTAACCTTTTATGATCAGCTGTATCAATAATAAAAACAATGCCATCAACTGCTGGGAAGTATGATTTCCACAATCTCCTTGCTAAAAATATGAGCATAGGCTTTACAATACAGCAAAAACAAAATAGCATGAATCAGAAAAATATAAAAAGAATTTTATTTTGTAACAACTGTTTAATTTTTTGTGACAGCTAATTTTCAACAAACAAAAGGAGTTTTTAACTTTAAGGAAGGTAACTGCACTTAGTTTGAGGTTATGTTAAATTCTATATGTTTGATTATAAAAGATTCATTCAAAAAAAGATATGATAAAGCTGTTAAACAATTGGAAATAATTTACAAACATGCTTTCCTAAATTGTTTTAGGCTACAAGGCAGTAGCAGCCTATCTTCACATTAGAAATGCAATTATCTTGTTGATCTACTTATCATGACAATAGACTTATTATCGATATAAATTTGATACTACAAGCTTAGAGGTTTTTGGAACTAGAACACACACAATAAAATGCTACTAAATATCATCAGTGTAACTTGGGCCTATCTTACCTTGCTTGTGTCCACCCAAATCAAAAGTAGTGAAATTCATTCCACCAAGTGCAAGCTCTTCAGTAGCTGTAAAAATTAAGTTGGATTTGGATCTTGAAATGAGTTTTGTAAGCAAGATTAATTCTAAAACATTTATGATGACGCTAGAAATTTGAAAAAGTTTTCTAAAGTAGCAAAGTTTTCAGGCTAAATTATTTGAGGGATTAGAACTACATGATTGCTATGCATGATGATAATTCAGTTTTTTAGTTTAATTTCATTATTTAAAATATTGCTGCTTACAATTTCAAGTGACTACATTATTATAAAAGATACAGAATAGAATACAGACAGAGAAAAGAAACAGAATAGAAACTATCAAATACAACAAAGTAATAAAAAAATCAAACAGAAGCAAAATTTTGTAGGGGAAATATTTCTAAAGCAGCTTTCTCAGTTTGTAACTGAAGATGCACAAATTGTTAGGTTATCAAAAAGGATCAAGTAATCATACTTGGGTGAAGTGTTGGTACAGGTTGGGCTAATCTGTTACCCTTCAGCATGTGAAGTAATGTTGTTTTACCAGCATTGTCAAGTCCAAGGAAAACCAGTTTTCCAGATTTGTTCATAAGCCCTGCAATTTAAAAATTTTAAGAGTTGTTTTTATTATCATAAGATCACATATTGACCTGTAATTAAATAAAAATTCAAAACTTAACAAATATATTTTTGAACAAATTGTTTGCTATTAACATTCATGTGAAAGCTATTCTTTAAATTAGAAACAATTTCAGGTGCCAGCATGTTACTGTAGGATTTTAAAAGGAATTTCTAAATAAAAAATGAACTGGAAACACAGGAAATCATCTGCATCTCAAGACATTCAAGGTATACCAGCCTAAAAGTTGTTTTGAAACTAATTGCGTGACTTACCAAGGTACTTTAATGCACCTGTGATATAATCCCAAAGCCACATTCTAGCTGCAATAAACAGTAAATATGTAAACAGTAAATACTCACATACTTTGAGAAACGTATATTTTAAGTATATATATGAAAAGTTAAAAATTCTTCTTGGTCAGTCTCAAAGCTTTGAAACCTTTGTAAGACATGCTAAAATTAATTAAAAACTTCTGCTGCAAGATATTCTATATGCCAAATGATGATTTTTAAAAAAAATTGGCAAGATCAAATTAGGGTGTCTGAGATTACAGATAGTTGTTACTGTTCTTGAATTTTATAGAAAGTGACACTTTTACAGTTGGTTTTAATGAGGACTCTTTCATTTAATTCAGGCACTTGTGTCTCTGTTTGCAACTGTTTATCACAGAAATTTTGGTATTTTCATTCAAGAAGGAGATGAAATGTTGTTTTGAGCAATTTATAGCATCATTTGTTCCCTAAACAATGTAATGAACTTGAAAAGATGAAAGTAAAGACCAGTAGCATGTCTTATCAATTGCATTCTTTTGTAAGAGGCTACAAAATAGTCTTCTGAATTAGGCCCATTTTTGGCACTGAAGCAGAAAGTAAGTATCTCTGAGTTCGCCATAATGAACATTTCAAGTTTGTGCAGAGAAAAACATTTTTTGTTGAAAATATTTTACAGGTACTCCTATCATCATAGCTCAGTTGTCGTGTTTTCAAAGTGTTAGATATGGCTTGAAAAATAGAAAAAATAGAACATATTTTTTTTTATTACTAATATTTCATTTTTTTTTCTTTTTTCATCTTAAAACATCCATTTAACTTGCTATACCATTTGAATTTTGGTTAGCTAAAATAATTTGGCAGCAGTGCTCCCATTTTGTGCCAGGAGGTGCAATATGTTTTGATTTATGAGTTTATGACAGACTAAAAGTACAAGCTAAGAATGCCTATGTTTGAATGCAGATTTCTTGCTTAAATAAACACGATATCAGAGAAAGGAGCTTATTCTGGTTTTTCATTGAAACATTCCAAGAAAGATTGAATTTGTTTGGCCATTTTAAAGAGGTTCTCAGTTTTGTACCCAACCATCAAATCTGAATAAGAAATTACAGCATTACTATTCCAAGTTTATTTTGATCGATAATTATATATCTAGAGTTAGGAAACTGGGCCTCATAGCCCTTGAGGCTTCTCTTAGTGTCCTAGACAGCATACTAGTCTGTACTATAGTTAAATAACATAAGTAGCAGCTTTTCAGTTTTCTTTTCTTATCATAATAATAGCTATATACCTAAAAATTATGTTGAATGAGAATTTGAATATAGATTCTTGATAAAGCATGATTGTTGATGCTTTTTTCCTAAGCTTGGGAAAGGCCCTTTTTCAAATAAAATATTCCATTTCCTAATATAAATGCTAGCCATCATAAAAATCCAAGGACAGTCCAAGGCTGAAATAAATTGAATAAAACATGCGATGACGTGATGTCATTGTTTACAATGTTATAATTTTTCTCAACAGCCTGGAAAAGAAAACTATATATAATGGATGGTTAGGCTATGTCGTGCAATAATTACAGTACCGCTGAAGATGACTTACAGCGATATTAAATCAACATAGATTTGCGTGCCACATATATAAAAATCTCATAGGGTGCAAAGGTTCTTGTAGGGCCTAAGGAAGGAAAATCTGATAACGAGCTGGCGCATTACTCATTCCGGGGTCATGTTGTAATCTCAAATGATATACTTTATAAAGGATTAAATTTCATACAAACCTTTTCGATGTTTACATCAAATGCTAAATAGTGCAATAATTTAGGAGCAAACACCGAGAAAACCCCTGTCAACGCAATAACTGTTCGTGAAAAGGAACTGAATTTTTAGGGGCCTGGTTTTGAGTTACGCGTCAAAAATGTCTACCATATTGCGACAGTCTCTAGCACAAAAATTATAGCTGCCATTTTTGTATCCGAGGCTAATGAAGTAAAAAATTATATTTTTTGAATCCATTATCAGTGGCTTTAAAAATACGTTAACTAAGAAAAATGTAGCCAGTGCCTTTGGTCTGGAAAAGGAGCTATATATAGCCAACAAAATAACTCCTATATCATTAGAGAATAATATATGCTTTTATCAATGAAGCCGTGAAGCATGCATAACTTCGTTTGAATGTAGATGGAAGAAATTGAAATGGTTTAACAACCTTAACTAAAAAGTATCAAGCCCTATGTACATAGGAAAAGGGTCTCAAGATGGCAGTGTGCTGGTCTCAAAGGAGTCTTAAGTACGCATGACTCGTAAGGTACTAGTTTATAGCGTCGATTTATCATTCACAGCTATGATCTTCTTATTCTGCAGGTATCCTGGGCTATAATGAGATGTTGTGGGTAACAAATGAGATGTTGGTAGGTCTCAACTTTTTGTGAAGCCGTGATACATACAAGAGTTCTGCTCGTTCTTTCCCAACTTTCTTACCAAATTGAATCAAAATTTGCAGAAAGGACAGAAAAAATTTAGGGTGTCGCACCCCTACACACTCCCTGTTACTCCACCCATGGGCTCAACTCACTCCTAGCCTCACGACTGACTTGTTGATGCCAAAAGCAACTTTTCCTGAGTTAGAAAGTTAATTAAAAATAAGCATTCAGTCAATTGAATTAATAAGTTCAGAACACACGTTACCCTTTGATTACCAATCAAGTTTTTGTCTATATTGTTTTACTAATGCTTATATTTGGAGGAGGGGGCTGAGCAGAAATGTTTCTAGGGGTCAAGGCTGGTTCCGTTAAGCCACTTTCCCAGGATTTCGTCCCATGCAGCAACACAAAGAGAGTTTGACAGTTATACGTTTCTGCATGTGACAACTATTGAAACATCGACTCAACTCGATAATACGCCAACCAATTGCATTATTCATTATTTGTAGGCTGTAAACTTAACAAATTACCTTTGTTCTTTGTAATATTTATGATTTCTAATTAATCACATGCAAAAGTTATTTTCCTAAGTGAAGAATTGAGATAAAACTGAAAAAAGGAGACATTACTGAAGTTCTCTTCGTCCGTCGCTATATAGAACACAACAGGGCATTTTTGAAGGATTTTTGAGTGGTGGGAAAATTTTCGAAAGGGCCTCAAGAAATTGTACTGGGTTTATGGACAGGTGCTTTAGATTGTAATATGGTTCTGATTGTGCTAAAAGATTCTGGTTTGTTGCAAGGGCTGGATGGGTTGTTTCATACATATATCATATATAAGACGAGAAGTTAGCAATTTAGCATGGAATGGGGAATTTTTGATTTTGCATAGAATGTGGAATGCAGAATTCAAATATTTGCCTTATTTGCGATTTATTATAGTTAGTAAAAAAATTTATTACACTATGCTGTTTCCATACTAATTATTTTAGGATTGGGCTTTTCACAGGCTTCAAGAATAAACAATCTAGAACATTTTTGTAGAAAAAATTGGAAGCTTTTATGAAATGTTTTAGATCAGCAACCATTCAAGCAATTATATCTGTTTAAAAAATTGCAGTAAACAATCTGGATGTTTTCCAAGCCGAGGGCATAGCTTGTTCTACAATTTGCACTTGCAGGAGTGGAGCCATTTCACTAAATCATTGTGATGTTTGAAAAGATAATATTCTCTTTCTATTTGCTATCATTCACATTATTTTCTTCTGAAAAAGGCCTATACTGGCTTGGCATCCGGGGATAAAAGGAGCATTTTGCGCCTCAGTGTTGGGGGAATTCTCAGGGTCCGGTTGGCGAATTCCCCCACCACTGAGCATGTTAAAATATGCCCTGGAACATAAACTTCAGTAATACCTAAATGCGGATTAAAAGGAACGAGAGAGATTCAGTGGCGTTCTGTATTGCTGGTAATAGCTTTAAATAAAAGTATCAAAACAAAAATATATTCCTTTATTTGTATCCAATTTGATATGAATCTTGAATAAAAATTTTAAAATACTTTTGTGCTTTTTGCTAATTTTCATTCATCCCCTTTATTTTTCAAAAAGCCGTTACACTGAGAGCTACAAAAATCAAGTCAAATAAAAAGTTAGTACTAAAATGAATACTGTCTCAACTGTCCACACATTGGACGCATTTTTCGACAACTTTGTCGGCAAATGCATCCCCAACCTATGGCCATAGCCTAATTTACATATATTATTCGTTGATGGAACATATTCTCTCGAATTTAGGGACACCTTTTTGTCTCAAAAAGTGCCATTTGAACAATTTTGTATCATTATTATTAAAATAGTACCAACAAGTGACATAAAAAAGCGTGAAATCCAAGACGCCCAAGTCGCGTATGATACTTATAATTTCCATTAAAATTAAATGTGTCTGTCCTTTGAAAAACTAACATGTATTGCCTGCTCAAATTTACATGTTAGACAAAAAGTGTCTTCAGGGTCGCATAAACATTACAATGTATCATAATAGGGGAATGGGGGTACCCTTAGTTCCAGACCCCAAAATTAAAGTATTTGCATTATTTGGAGTCTGGGGCTTAGGCTATGGATGGGGCTACTTTGTACTGTATAAATTATTATATGATAATATAAAATTTTAGTATAGAAGATACTTTTCTGGTTTCTAGAGACAGCCTCCTTGTAAGGATATAACTGCTTAGCGGCCTGTGGCTTGTAACCTCCTCAGACGCCCACAAGCCATCTCGAGGCAATGTTAATGTTCTTTTGCTTGTTGAGATGCATAATATATCAATAAAACGTCGGCAATAAGGGGACTAAGGTGTTCAAGCCTCCCCCACTCCCTTAACTGTTTTGAAGAAGTTACATAGAAGATATGTAGGGGAGGTCGGATGTTAAACATGGCAAATTTGGGGAATTTTAACGATCAGATTTTGGAGAACAATATCGGAATTTTACAAAGCTACTTAACCTTGTATTATTAGCATTGACATTCTGTCGACATTCTTATGTTCATGTTTTTTGCGAAACATGTTCCTTTAATGTCGTCAAATCGTGGTCTTTTATAATATTCGAAACATATAAAATTCTGGGAAAATGAAAAAATAAGCTTTCCAGAGCGTCAAAGGTTTTCAACCGGGTTGCGGGGAAGGTGGAGTGGCGCGGGAGTGGAAACAAAGAGAAGGGGAAAACGCCTTTTTATTGAAATATGAGTGTTTGAGGTGTCCTTCACGTACACGTTCGTTTTCAACGGGCTTTTGGCGCCCATTAGAAGAGTTGGATAGCCTTCGGCGGCAGGGATGGTGCCAGAAACTCAAACATGTGCCCACGATTATTATTTATTATTTTTCTGCAAATGGTATCGAGGCCGAGATGGCCAATAACCAAAATCCAATAAAAAAGTGATCGCCGACAGATCTCATGAACACTCTTGTACAGTTTCTTTAATTTAAAGATTTAAAGTTTAATTCTAATGGGGGCTTTAATGTTTATAAGTTGACTACACAAGCCTTGCTTCGATACAAAACAGATACTGAGAATTAGAGGTGTGTTGTTGTGTTGAACACCTTCTTTCAAAATGATCCATTTGCCTATTTTCGAACCTTCTGCGATTCGCCTGGAGCTCGAAAAAAAGTTCAATAGCTCCACACAGGGCCGTCGTTACGAGGGGGGGGGGGGGATGTATGGTATTGAACAACAGGGTATGGTATTGAAAGGGCATGTTTTCTTGGATCTAGGATATGGCATGCTATGCCATCTTCTATGAAAGAATCCCAGACACTTAACAACTTTAAAAGAAAAATTCAAAGCTACGATTTTGATTGCAGTTGTAGATGGTGCAGATTGTATGTAGGTAATTTAAGGTTTTTGTAGTTATATTCTTTAATAGTATTTCTCGTTTGTAATTTAAATTTAATTCATTATAGTATCTTGTATTTAAGTTGTAGTTTGCGTAAATTAGCACGTGAGCTAGCAATAAGAGCCAACCTTGAATAAATAAATCATCATTTTATTACTATTATTATTATTATTATTATTATTTTTATTAGTATTATTATTATTATGTGATTCCCCCCTTTGAAAAATATTTAGTTGCACAAACGAGGAGTTTTTTACCATCTAGAGGTGCTTCGTCGGCCAATTTCAAATTTATATGCAAGCAAAGGTTGTTTCACCAATTTTGTCGGCAAATTGGATCAGAGCACCCCCCCCCCTTCCTTGAGGCACTTGAGCACAATAGCTAGCGACAGCCCTGGCCACAGAACGCACTAACAACAGAGCAGCTAGAAGTGCATAACTTTACGGGAGTCTTAAAACAACTGACAGTGGAGCGTCCAACCTTTACCTGTCCACCAAAGAAGTTTGACTTTAAACCATACACTGTTTTTGAATTTTTTTTTCAAGTTATAATATTTGGACCCATAATTCCGCACATGTCTGACAAAATGTGACCCATGATTCCCCAAACATGATGAAAACTATACTCATAATTCCGCAGAGGAAAAATTTTAAGACACAATAAAATCATTAAACCAATTTTATATGTCCTTGTCCTTTGCCCTAAAATCTCAATGTTACACATACAGTATTCCACCCTTTCATTTCTAACTAGACGTTCATTTTCTAGTACTAAATTTCCTTCTTAATAATTTTGCAATATTTTCTCACAACTGTACCCATATTTCCGCACATACTTCAAAGACTGATAACGATAATTCTGCACTTTTCAGGAAGTGGTACATCCAAATAATGACACGTCCTCGTGCCTTCAAAATGTTGCTCGAAATTTTGTTAATTTTTTTGTCGCCGAAACATGGTGGCCAAACTGGGCAACATTGTCGTGCAGCATCTTTTGATGATGTTGTCAAAACAGCGTGCCAAATATGATTTGATATGTGGTTTTCCCCGCCATATTTTATTTGAGCAAAAATTTGGATAAGTATGGCAGATAGAAAGCAAGCTGTAGCTACTGGAAGCTGATTTTGACATCACAACACCTTTGTTGCTTAGCACTCTATGGTCGAGCACGCGGGTAGCATTTGGCTGATTTGTTTTTTCAAAGAGCTTGCATTTGGATTTGTTTCAGACGATACTTTTTATTCTTCCTAAACTATTCTTCCACTCCATGGTTTTCTTCCCATTCGGTACAATCAACTTGAAAGCTTAAATTTTGACAGGCCATTTTATTTGAATCGAGTAGAGCATACTGTTTTGCAATACATCACTGTGCAAGTTGGTTTTTCAGATGGGAAATTAAGGTGAATTGTTGCCCGACAATGTGGCCAAACTGGACAACATAGAGCTGAGCAACAAATGTTGCCGAAAAATGTTTGAGCATGTTCAAACATTCGAGCAACAAATTTCTTGATGAATTTGTCGGTCGACACGGTGGCCAAACTGGACAACATTTGAGCAACATTAGGAATTTGTGAATGTTGCCTGACAATGTTGCCCAGTTTGACCTAGGCTTTAAGGTAACCCTCCTGAACCCGGGGCTTACAAAGCCTATCGGCGGCCCTGGTCATTGGCAACTTTTAAGGCCATTTTGCTCATCACTTTTGCTAAAAAAGGTCTGGGTACATATCACATCACCCCTTTTGCAGGCTTTTTTAATTTACAGTCGCACATTTTTTCTCGGAAGCACAATGTCGAAGGAATAATTATTGGTTCTTACAAGTATAAGCAAAATGTACACGATGCACAGGTACAGGTAGCTTGGGCTCCACACCGTTATGAACTTGGGAAAAAGCCCCTGTTTGTAAATGCGTTTGGAAAAGCTATGGCTTTTTTACGTGGCAATGGTTGGCTAATCAAACACAATAACCGTCATATGTAGCTTTGTGTGGCTTACCTCCATTCTACAACAGTCAAATTTCTTCACAATTCCTCTTACGTTTATATTCTGAATTGTGTAAGGCGAGGAAGCGCTACGGCTAAAATCTGAGTTTCCAAAGTTATAAGCAAATATATCAAAATAATAGCCAGTATGCTTAAGTTTCAAACTAAGTCCGTTATCGTTGGAGCAAAATTTGTAAAATTCCTGATATTTTATCGGGAATTTCTTGAAAAAATGCGAAGACTTCTCTCTATAAACCCTAAAATTTTGGGAAATTGTTAACCATGTAAACCGGGTATTGAAGAAGGTCCCCTGCAAGCGAAATGAGCAGAAAATGTTTGCGACCACGCCTTCTAGTTTGCTTAAAATTTCAGAAGATTTCTTACAATAGTTTGCTTAGAGTCTATCAACTCCCCTCCTGGGGTACTAATTTTATTACAGGTTTGAACTTTCGTCAGACACCATATTTCTGAGCGTTGGGGGGTGGCCCCCTTGCCCCCTCACTTCGCATGCTCATCGGTAATGTAATTAAGGCCTATACATAACACTCCATTTTAACCAAATTGATTTTTAATGTAATATCAAATTGCAGAAAAAGCAAGTAGATTCTAACTCAACTTTGAAGTAAAATTATAAAGCACATTTTAATAGAAAACCAAATTTTCGAGCATGTGATAGCAATTGTGAGTTCTTGGTTATATAGAATCACAAAAAGCCAAAGTCAACTATATATAATCTTGGAAAACAAAATTGTGTTTGTGGACCGACATTTTATAGCTATGTAATACATAACGTTTTAAAAACTTTAATATCGTCTTTCTTTCAAGCTGTGCCAATTAGACGGACAAAACTGATGACGATAAAGCAGGGTATAAATAGTAATTGCACAGCAGCTTAAGAAGTAAATGTCAAATTTTTTTCCAATTAAGTTGTCTATCTGTTTCGTTTGACCATACAGCTGTAAAATTTTAATTCGAAACTAGTGATATGATTCATTATTTTTGCTCTGAGTTTTTAATGTTCTCTGATTTAAGAGTTTAAACAGGCTCCTGCTTTGACACTATCAATTTCGTGCTTCGTGTATCTGTGACTCAAAAACGATATAGCGACTATGAACTTTCGTTAAAATTATATTTCCTCTACATCAGATGTCTCTCTTTATCTATAATTTCTACATCCCAATAGGTGTTTGGTTAATTTGAGCGTCATCTTTATTATCTTTTTTATGTTTTTTTGTGTAAAAGTTTTCTGAATTTTTTGTTCAATAGTAAAATTTTAGATCTGCACAGATTTTTCTTAAGAACTACACAAAAAATTTTCAAAACTGCCCATTTAGTGTAGAACTGCACGGTAAAAAAAACCCTGTCCTTTTGACTTTCCATCCCCTGCATTCGTGTTTCACTGATAACAAATTCGAAAAACACAAGAAGTTCAGCTGGATTGGATAAAAACCTCTAAGGTCTGTGTGGCATTTTTGTTGTCAGGCTCTTTTTGCGCCTGCGCACTTAATGCCTTGGCGCCATCTCATTCTGATATTCATGTAAACAACATGGCAGCCTTGATGAAATGGAAGCGCGTATCCGATCCTTCTGGGCCGGGACCGCGACCAAGACATGGTCACAGAGCAGTAGCCATTCGTGATCTTATTGTAATATTTGGTGGTGGAAATGAAGGAATAGTTGAGGAACTTCATGTCTACAACACTTGTGAGTTTATTAACAGTTCCGATGCGCGGTGTTGTTTTGGGCCTATCAAAGTTTCACTGGCCTAGCTGCGGCATCATTCACGTGGCCTTTTGCTGCTTCAGTTTCTTCTTAAAGATTGAATGATAAAAATTTTAGTATGTAATACTATGCTTTTGCATCCTTTCTATTTCAGCTACCAATCAGTGGTTTTCCCCTGCTGTCCAAGGTGATATTCCGCCAGGATGCGCTGCGTTCGGATTTATTTGTGATGGAACAAGACTCCTTATATTTGGAGGAATGGTGGAGTACGGACGGTATTCCAATGAGGTAAGTTTAGTTTGATTTGTATTTACTGTGAATATTCGATTATAAGTTTATCAGGTTGACTATAAAGATAAGAAAAATAAGAAATATTTTGGTAGAATTTGCTGTAGGGGGAGGACTGCTCCTGGGTTTGGTTTGTAGAACACAATAGAATTCTGGTTCGGCTGCAATCACTTATCCGCCATGACGATCTTCAGGGATGCATTGATTGTACTTAGGGATTTATGATTTTCAGGGATGTCATTGTTATGAAAGGGCAGTTAGAGAACTCCGACAAATAGTGAGAGAACCGGTTATTGTTTTTTAAGTTATTTTTCATCTGTAAACATTTTTATTGTTTAAATCTTAAAAGCAAATAAAAAAGCAGTATTGAGATTAACTTTCCAGCTTTTTTTCTTCTCGCCTGCTGGCGCTTTTTACACCAAGGGTGGAGTCAATGTAGCTTGCTCCGGCGGAGATTTCCGGCGGTATACTACCGATTTCCCATTGTATTTCTTTTTTTTGTTGGCGTATATTTGGCGCGAGCGTTACATGGATTCTACTCTGGTTTAACACCAACGGGAAATTATGTTCATTTCCGTCGAACTCTCTTTAAAGAAAATTAATCTTGCCACATGTAAGTTTATTGTTTTTGTTGAATTTTGGAGCATTCTACCCATCCTTTGATTTATGGAAAATATGATTGTTGCCCACCCAGAGCCAGTCTTGGTTTCATGGCAGTTTTCGACTAGATCTCGGAAGTGCACAAGATATTTCCTGGAAGAGCAAGAGTGCACTTGTGATAAGTGTGCACACATGAATGTGCACAAAATTTTCTTGAGTGTATGCATATTTTCCCAGCACTTATCCTGTTTACACCAATTTTACATCTTCGGAAAATTCAGTGACTGAAAGTTGTGAACTTTGCTTACCTACCACTTATATCAGTAGCTGTAATTCAAATTCCAAAGGGTTCCGCAAGGAAAAGAATAATTTTAGAAACAATGTTTAGAAAGGCCAAAGACCTATTATGCTAAAGGATTATCTCAAGCAGGGGTGCCAAAAGGGGGCAGGGGCAAATTGTCCAAAGGCCTCAAGGTCTAGGAAGCCTTATAAAGAAATTCTATTTTAAGAATGGAATTAATCAAAGCCAACAGAAATATGTCAAAAATATTAAACAATTGCAAGAAAACGACTGCAAAAATTATTCTGAAGTGTATTAAGTGTGTTAATCTAAAGAACCTGCTCGAAAAATTTTTGAAGGCACCATGATTTTTGCTTTGCCACAGGGCCACTAAAAATTCTTGGCAGCCCTTATCTCAAGATCATTTAATTTAGAATGACACACTTTTTTCTAATGTCAAGTTACAAAAAACTTAGAAATTCATTTTGTCAAATTTGAAAAGGCTCTTTAATTTGAGCCACACCCAGAACCATACCCATATTTTAGGTGTGCAAGAGTACACTAGTAATTTTACAAAAATTTACCGGGATTGAAACTGCCATGGAATCCACACTGGACCCAAGGTAACAGTTAAGTTTTTCGAAATGGCTAAGAATTTCGATAAAAAGATGATGACCAAATTTAGTGATGGTGATTTTGATTAAAAAAAGTTCTCTGCTTCACAGATAAATTATGCTAATTTTTCTCTTCTAATTGCTGTTAATTTGACGACTTTATCAGTTTAAAATTGTGCATAGCAATAAAGTATATATAAGTTTTACAAGATATTGATATGTATCTTTTTAATTAAATTTTTTGATGTATGTATGCTTGATATTTTTCTTTGATATAAAGGGCACATAACACTTTAGATTCAAATATCTTTGCATATATATATTGGGAAAATATTTAGTATAAAATAAATGACAAAATATATACTTTGTATTTCGAAAATAAATGGAAAAAGTTTGCTTTTGTGCATTGGCAAACTTTTTTCCTTTGCAGAAGATTCTTTTTTGAACATCTTTTGTTTAATATCTACATATTAAAAGCAAAAACAAAGAGATTTGGGTTTTTAAATCTGGGATCAAGATAAAAGAAAGTCAACTATTAGGAGGGCATGTTTTAGGCACCTAGGAATGACTTTAAATTCTTTCTATTTTTGGGGAAACCAATCTTGAATTAAAAATATCAAATGCCAGAAGAAAGATAGGATGTCCAACAGTTTCTCTGACTTTTGTAATGATGTCAGCAATAATAAATAGCGGGCTTTTGGTTTTTTGAGGATTGATCTCCAATTGAAAATGTCAATATGCCAGAAGGAAGATAGGCTGTCTGTCAGGTTCTTTGAATCTTGCAAAGATAACAGCAGCAATAAAAAGGAGGCAGGAGCAATTATAAAATTGTTGAAGACCAACACAAAATGCAAGAGAACATCAAAACCAGCATGTTAAACAAAATTTGCTAATATTTCTCCCCAGGATCAAGTGCTTCATTACTGTGGGTGAACTGCTTTACTTTGAACCCTAGGAATTTATCTAGATTGCCTACTTCAAATTTTTCTTTGCTAACTTTACTATAAACCGATACAATATGCAATATGATACTATAAAGATTGCAATGTTAGACATTGCAATCTCCAAAAAATTTGCTTAAATATATGTGCCTTGTTATTCTAAGCACCCATTCAGATAGTCTTTAAGGGTGGGTTTTTTACTAATAAGTAAGAAGATTGATGCTGTTCTCTGTCTATGAAAATACTTCTCACCGCTTTTAAACACAGGGCCACTGCAAGAAATTGACTCATACTTATATGTTTTGAATTTTATCAGATGTTGGGAAAATTCTGTTAAGTTGTTTGATATGAGAGACCTAGCTTACTGCCCTTTGAGAAGTCACTTTTGTGATTAGTCAGGTCATAGTGACCTATGCCAGTGATCCCAAGTATAGTGACCTGATTGTGAGATATGATCTGTCAGAGACATTATTTTCAAAAGAATCGGTATGAATTGTGAATTGGAAGCCTTTTAAATGCACCAAACATTGTTGTATAAGAAAGATGGTCAACCTATAGTTTTTGCTCTCATCCACTTACAGCATTTGGATACCAATCAGTAACACTAAAAAGCCAAAGGCAGTGAAGCAAGAAACTAAGCTCTTTTACCATTGTACATATATTGAAAAATTTCCTATTTTAGGCACCTTATGCGCGGATTTTATATGGAAATCGCTGATGCTGTTCTAATATAAAATTCTGAATCATGAATTCACTAAAAAGCAGCAATTTTCTCTTACAGCTAGGTGAGGAAAATGTTTATTATAGGGGTGCTATTTAAGAGAGGGGCTAGTTAAAGGGGTAAGGTGTAGTTTCGGAAGATTGGCTGGGTAAATGATGCCTTTGTCACTGGGATATATCTCTTCAATTTTCAAGATTGAAAATCAAGTTGATCATTTAACACTTGAACTGTTATGTTTGATTTGCAAATTGTTGGAAGCCCAAAAGACGGTTTTTTTTTCAGATCCACACCAACTGAAACAAGGATCCTTGAAAAATTTATATGTTTGCAAGGTGTTCTTCTGCTCACTTATCTCAGTCTCGGCGGAAAACCAAAGGCAAAGATGAACAAATTCCTGACTTAAAACAAAATGAAAAATTAGAAATAGGAAACATTACTTGAGAAATTTAATGTTTAGCATTTAAATCATTTTGTTTATCTTTGCTATTCTTGTTTGAGACAGGGGGGGCTGTTACTGAATTTTCCTACAAAAGGAGGGCGTTTTTGGAGAGTGGGCTTCAAAGGGCTAGATAGAGCTTTTATGGTTTTATAAACAACATATTCTAGTGGATTAACATAATATGTAGCATAATATGACTAGGAAATGACCCATAGATGTTTATGATAAATAGTTATGGTATTAATTTGTGGTATCTTGAAGCAATTGGGTATTTCAGTCAAGTGCTTAATGATGGAAGAAAGTTTGTGACATTAAAAAGCTGTTAATGGTAAATATATTTCGCAAATACATGAAATTGTCAGACATACTAGGTAATTTGTTATTTAACAGTTGAGAGTATGATGTTTAGGTAAATGCAGAATTTGGTTTTAGGTTAGCTAATCGGTTTGTGTTAGATATGTTAGACTCATATGTATTACACATTTGTTGTCAGTGTATATATGTCCCTTTCTTCAGACAACCACATCTTCAGTTTTATGTTTTCAAATGCCAAGATTCTGTGATTTTCTTTAAGAGAAGCCAATTATGGGAAACTTCTAGCCTTTTTTGGGTTCCAACTATAACCTTTAATCAAAATTGAATATTTCAATCAGTTTTATAGGAAATTGATGTAGCTTAATCAGGCCTGGCCATTTGTATTTTTATAGGTGAGCTGTGAATCGCTCCCCTCATTTGCTGAGGCGAGCTAAATCAGTAACACATAGAATGTACTTTAAAGACAATCGACAGATGACTTAAGCCCCTTTAGTATCTGCCGGTTGCCTTTAATAGCCTCAGTCAGGAGTATGCTGTTTTATTTCTTTCAATTTGCATTTGCTCTAACCGTGACTTCAGCACCCCCTTTACTTAAAGTATTTAAAAGAACAGACTCTTTCAGTTTCACAACACAAAAACAACATTTTTCTTGCCAAACAGTCTTTATATGTATGTACAGAATTTGAAAATGTTTGAAAAACAAATTTTGAAACAAACTTAAGTTATTACGTCTAACACTCTTCAGAGTATAAAACGTCAGAACATAATGAGAAAACTCTACGCTAAAATACCCAGTTTTGGATCGAAATAGGCCAATCAGAAAACGCGAGCACATTACTGTTGAGGTTGTCCAATCCTTTGCCGCTTCCTATCGAAAATGTTACCAACGGATTCCTAAGGTTAAAACGAACTCCTTCTGGTCTACACAAAAGCGGTTCTGTCATGTTTATATAGTAGATAGATTCACAAACTGCTAGATGGAACGATGATCATGCTTCACCAATAATGCGAAACATGTTCGCCTTATAGTTTTTCACCCAATCTGGGTTTTTTTCAGTAAATGCCGCTGGATAGTGGAATTCCATGTTTTGGTTTCTTCGACTTTACTTCCAAAAATATGCCTGTTTTATTAAGATTGAAAGGTTTTAATCGCTAGAAACGTACCTTTCGCTTAACCACCCTTTTCCAAATAGATCGAAGTTCATGCCTATTATAACAAAAACCGCCCAACAAGCAAAAAGTTAATTGCAAATAATGCAGTGACGGGAGAAATCGCTGTTACAAAAATAAACCAATTAACCCTTTTCAGGGTTCTCTGAATAGGAAAAGGGCAAATGAATGGAAATTTTAGGGGAGCGATTCTCCTTTCATGTTCTGTTTAGGAGAGCAATTCATAGCTTGCCTCAGGTTGCGAGGGGAGCGTGGAGGCGAGCGCGAGCTATCGCTCGCCTCAAACCGCCAAATATTCAGTCAGGCAAGTTAGTTGTGTGTCGTCTTTTGTGGTGGTTCCATTTTAGGTTATAAAAAGACCTGCAAATAAACTTTTGTTCATAGTGAATTATATTTAACTATAAGACTTCATACCCTCTTCCAACCTAGCTACAGTCCTGTAGGGTTGTGTGCTTCTGGTTTTTTGGAGAAAGCCCTTGTGCAGTTAATCACCACCTGAAGTTTTGTGTCTGGTGAAGGTTATTAGAATGGTATGGAGTGAAATTGGGCCCATCATTGTTATGAGCTTGGACATTGTGTCCTATCCTATGTTAAATATGCACATTTGGTATTATGCCAGTGTTGTGTTACTGTTTATTTTTAATGAAATTCCATGTTGTGTGTCTTTCTCTGTCTGATTGTTAGAGTTTAAAGCAAAAGTTCAAATTTTGTTTAAAGAGATGGAAAGCACTATTATTTTGGTATTAGATAATCATTTAGATGCGTAAAATTATTTTTTCTTTCTGTTATGCATCAGTGGAAGTAAAATCAAATTTATTATAAAAATTACTATGTAGAGGAATGAAGCTTCTTCCTTTTTTTTTATTTTTGACGTAGTGCATCTTATTTGTTCTAATTCTGTGTATCTAAAGAACATATTTTTAAAGCTTTTTACATTGCTTAATGACGCCATTAAAATCACTTTGATTACAGCCAGTAGCTTCTGTTATCCCATGATATAAAAATCTGATTTAAATTACTTACCCATTTTGTGTTTATCCCTGTTAGTCTTATGCTACTCATTTTACATTTCATCATATTTTATGCTTTATGATTCTTTGTTGATTTTAGATTATTATATATTTTAATGAATCAGATTATTTCATCATATTCTTAGGTTTTTAGTTATCTTATATTTAACGATCTAGGTTTTATCAGTTAAGTTTGTTTTATCTGTCTAGTTTGCGGTGACATGCTTAATGAATATTATAATTTGCAACAAGTTGCATATGATAATATCGGTTAATCTAAGTTTCTTAACAAATCTCCTACCTCCCGTAGACAGTAAAAATTTCCTCACAAGTAAATTGACAGATAAATTGTACAAGCTGTTCATTTCTCAACAGTTATATGAGCTACAAGCCAGTAGATGGGAATGGAAGCATTTATATCCAAGCCCTCCGCTCAATGGTCCTTCTCCTTGTCCAAGATTGGGACACAGTCTCACATTGGTTGGAAGAAAAGCATTTCTTTTTGGAGGCTTAGCCAACGACAGTGATGACCCAAGACATAATATTCCAAGGTTTGTTTGAATTTCTTTTCGTTGATTTTGATGAGAAATTCAATGCTGCCGATTTCTTTTGTTTTGGAATTTTCACATACTTAGCTGATTTCTAACAGTATGATTTGCATGTTATGATTCTGGGTGTTCACCATCTCCTGCCGCAATGTTCTTGAGCTCAAAGCAATTAACATACACTCCAAAACTACATGAAAGGGTTTGTCCCCTTGAAAGCATGATAGCATGAAAACATAAAATTATTTGTCGCCATTTTTTATTAACTTTTTCACTAAAAATGAATAAAAAATATATCACCGACTTTTGCGACCTAAGAATTTGAAAGTAAGTTCTACATTTTATGTAATGTAAAACATGCTTCAAAGACGAGCTTCAGTTGCACAAATTTTCACAAAAAGCCTCACGTTCGAAGGCAGTATCTGCTTATGTAGAACTTTTCTGCACATAAACAGTGGAAAAGTTTGAATCAAATGGGAATCTTGGTTACGTTTATGACTTCTGGTTTCTGGAGCTAATATTTTCTTTTTGGAACTTAATCTAGACCAAATGAAGATTCATTATTTCATGTCTTGGCATTATGAGCGCATTAAATGTGAATATCGATGTGGCGGCTTTAAACGATCCTTTTCTATACACTAGAAAGTGTACAGCTCTGTTTATATGGCTTAAAGCACTTCCCAACCAGGGTTAACAGTAATCATCCTGTATATCAATTTTAGGTACTTAAACGACCTCTACATTCTTGATCTGAGCTCTCAGAACCTACAGTGGTCACTTCCCCGCACTTACGGTCATCCGCCAACCGCAAGGGAATCGCACACAGCCGTTGTATTTAACAATGGAGACAGAGCACCAAAACTCATCGTTTATGGTGGGATGAGTGGGTGCAGATTGGGAGACATTTATGTTCTTGATTGCAGTAAGTAATCATGGCCTATTAACTACGATTTGATTGTTTGTTGAGATCTTTCACTATTGCCGTCAGTCAATCGTTCATCATCATCAATCAATCGTCGGCATAATCTTCTTAGTTATCACAAATCAATGTAATCATCATCACCATTGATCACTGTCGTGATGTCTGAAATATCTCGAACACAAGATCTGTTATAAAGCCGTTTCAATTATGTACTTGTTGGTCCTTTTGTTGCTGATTCAACTCTCATGATTCCTGATTAGCTTTTAACTGTTGCTGCTTCAATCATGACATTTCAATTTCCCTTGAGTTAATCACTTTTTAAACACTCACTCACTATTTCTTTTCTCCTCGATCAAATTTGACTGGGGACAAGGCACAAGTTAATGATGCTTTAGTGTAATGAAGTACTTTCTTTTTGCAGATAATCTTATTTGGACAAAGCCAATAGCAACTGGAGTGGCTCCGTTACCAAGGAGTTTGCACACATCAGTCATAGTTGGCAAAAAGTGAGTAGCTTTTTATGCTGAAAATGAACCAGCTTCGACCTATCAAAATTTCAGAATAAGCAAATAATCTCCCCGATCTTATCTGCTTACGGCAATAGCATCTTTAGTAACTGGATTACATTACTAAAAGTGCTATGGTTTACCACTACTAAACGCCGTTCAAACTATAATGTAAATGTTTATGTTGAATCTCTCAATGATATCTTTGTTATATGCAGCAATATAATTTGTTTCGGTCATTGTTTTAGAATGTTTGTGTTTGGTGGATGGGTTCCACTTGTCGTTGAGGAAGCAAAGGGTGGCCACGAGAAAGAATGGAAATGTACCAATTCGCTAGCTTCCTTGGATATAGGTGACATTTATATTCTTAAAATCACGCTTATCCTGTTTTGCTCTTGTCTAGAACAGGGGTTTAGAACTCATTCATATAGATAAATACAGTAAAAATTTGCATTAATGAATCGAATAAGAAGGCAAAACTAGTAAGAACGAAAAAGCTATTATAATCGTTTTTGTCGAATCTTTTTGAAGACACCCCTATTATTTCCTTTAAAGATTAATATAAAGATCGACAGCCATTCTCAGTTCAGTTCAGTTTCATATTGTAAATTCTCCACATACAATTTATGTGTTATCAATACAAACAAACTACTAAACTAAACTACAAAAAAAAATACAAAACACAATACAGTATAAATACAAATACAGGACAAAATTAAATTGTATGAAGGGAATATAGTGATGGGTGTCTTGATTACAGGTTTTGATGATTACATTAAAGGTGACTTTTTAGTTGCAACTTAGCTCAACCCACCAAACTATAAATATATATAGTTTTTCAGTCAAGAATTTTTATGTGCACATCTTAATTAAGACTTTTTAGCATAAAGTTCTCTTATACTATTGTTTAAATGATTATTTCTGCTTGAAAAAACAGCAAGTACAGAATAATGATGAAATGCCAAAATTTAACCGTAAGGGACATTTTTATGCAGAATTAAGTGCATTAATATGTAATTGAAATGGATATTGCATCCTGTGTTTATTTATTTTTTGGTTTTAGAAAAGGTCTAGAACGATTGGTCATTTTTAACTTGTGAGTTAGAAGCAGTACGTAAATGATTTGTATTCATTTTTCCACAGACAAGATGAAGTGGGAAATAATCAATACTGATACCCTTGACGATTTTATTCCAAAACCAAGAGCTGGTCACTGTGGCGTGTCGGTAAGGTTCACCGTTTTGTAGTTTCGTACATTGCAAATGGCACGGATTCATCCTTATCTGTCACAGTTTGATATCACACTCCAATACGTCATTAAATACGATGTTTTAAAAAACTGTCACCGAGGCTTTTGTTGTAGAATATAATATTTTTCTTTTGAGTAGTGTCTGTGATATATGGTTCAAGTAGCAAATGGTAAATAAGTAAATCTTTGGTCTATTTGAGTACTTTATTTGGCATTTTATTGCAAATATTTTGCTTGTATCTCTATATATTTTGCTTTATCTCTCTCTATTGGATAAATATAATAGCTTTCCTTTTCAAATAAACATTTTTTAGTTCAAGTGCTGATGTCGAATTTGATTTAAGTTCGGCCTACAGAAAGTTTGCTGAACGAGTTAGTTTAGTACTCTGATTAAAACTGCTTAACATATACAATAGCTACGTTGCTAAAATTGCTATGAACCCGAACCTCTCCTTGTTCAGTCATATAAACCAGATAATAATAATTGGCAAAATCCACAGTATGCATGGTTTTTATATCGCATGGTAATCTAATGAGCTGTAATCAAATTCATAAAATACCTCTTTTTCATAGTCTAGTCATTGTTGAATAAGTATTCTAACTTGAATATTTTTTTGATAATAAATTAAAGATACATGACTGATTTTGATAGATGTTCTCAACCTGCAGTAAATTGTTCTGAGAGGCTAATGGGAATGTAATGGCTGCCCTCCCACAACCTGCCACTCCCAATAACTCAATTTGTGGTTTACAATTGCAGGTCAATTCCAGAATGTACGTATGGAGTGGGAGAGATGGCTACAGGAAGGCATGGAACAACCAGGTAGTGTGTATCGAAATCCATTGCCAGAAGCGTGCTATCCCATACTATGCTTTGCTAGCTTATTACTTTCTCTATCTTAACCATTCTATAGAGCACGACATCTTGAAAATAGACTGATTTAGTCCAGCAGGACAACTGATTTAGTCTGCCAAAAGATATATATGCAATTAAATCTAAATTTTAGGGATGAATATAAAAGGGTTATAGGAAGGGTTATCTTGAATTTAGCACTACTCCGTCGTTTCCTAGTTAAGGAATTGTGATCTTCTCCTTTTTGTCGTTTTTCTACACAATGCGATTCTTCACGTTGTTGCCCTGATAGCAAACAAAAGTTAAAAGGGAATGTCTGAGTTTATCAAATATCTATTGAGGTTAATAGTTCTATTGTCGATTACTTTAATAAGAGTTTTTAGAATAAAATTTTAATAAGCTGAACTTATGTAAAAGCAAAAAATAAATGGATGATCATTTCGAATCGCCTTCAAACAAGGTTAATTTTGAATATGAGAAGATAAAAGATAAATAACGATTCATTTTTAATCATGTCACCTATTTTCGACCTGACCTTGAATGGTTTTTAAATTAAGCTAATTTGTTTTGTGGTTAGCATAGTTTTCGACTAATTCAGTGTCTGGGTTTTTGTAGGTTTGCTGTAAGGATTTGTGGTTTCTCGAAACAGGTGCGTTTCTTTGAAAATGTGAACCAATCTAACTAAAATACCTGACTGCTTGTTACGTAACTTTTTGTTTTCTTGTTTGTCTTCTTGTCTTTGATTACAGCCAATTATTTAATGAGACAAAATCCAGTTTTAAATGACAAAAATAGAAGAAAAATATACATTAGGTCGTTGGGAAACCCCTATCTATGAGGTGTTTGTACCTTGTCTTGTTGCAGTACCTGCTTATATTGTGTCATATTGATCTCTTTGGATATATTTCGACCGTATCTGATATATATTTCGACCGTATCTGATAGTTTTGATGTCACTCGTTATCGATAAGAATTTCCTGCATGTTACAGTAGAGTTAAGTTGTATACGCAAGTAGGACTCTCTGTTTTCCATTGGGAAAAGCCAGGGTTTTGAACCATTTTTAGAGATCTCTATATTCAGAGCCCATTATAAGAAGCATCTGTCGAGTGCTTTAGAGAATTAGGAGTGATCAAATGTTTGGCAGTCAGCCTTCCTTGTCAAGCGGTATACTCAAAGGGAAAAAATCACAAATGAAGGATTTTCACATCGAACCGTTAAAAAACACGTTTTGTTGGCAGTAGATGACCTCAAAAAGATAGCTATTCATATGTTAAAGTTGAAATTTGGCATGATTGTTATACGATGAATGTTTCCTTTGCCAGATAAGCCACCTGCTCCTGCAAGAGTACAGCTTGTACGGGCGACCACAAGCACTTTGGAGGTTTGCTGGGGAAACCTCCCGACAGGTAATGCAGTACCTTTTGAGTCCTATTGTCTCCTAGTGACGATTTACTGTATACATCGTGAAAGTCGGTGTAAAACCAGTAACCCACTCCTGAGAGTTGTAGTGCCAAGCGACCCACACAAAAAAATTATGATTTTATTTCTATTGTAGTCATTTTTGTTATATCAACGGTATGTAATTAAAAAACATAAAAGTCATTTGATCTTAGTCAATTCATTGTTTTTGGATACTATAAAAGAGCCTCAGTCAATTTGTTAAGTTTGACGCCATACCCTGCTAAACCCTTAGTGATTGAAACTGCAAATTATCTACCATAATAAGGTGTAATTCAGTCTTTTTAAATGGCTCCTGTTTTTCCTGTTTGTCTAGCGGAAGCATATATTATCCAAATCCAAAAACACGATGTGGCAGCAGCGAATAGCACCACCCCTACTCATAACATGTCAGCAAAGGGGACTGTACCAACTACTGCGACTGCTACAAAAGCTCAGCCAGCAGCCACGGTCAAAAAAGTCAACAATACCCCAGCAGCAACACAAAGTCACACACTGTCTCAACCGGCACAAAGCAGTGTAGGATCCAGTCAAGTGAAGCCAGCTGTGTCAAATGCCACGGTAAAATCCTCTGTGACAGTGCTGCCACAAAAGGCAGCTGTTGCAGCCGTTCCTGGCAAATCAGTTCAAGTCCAAGGTGGGATTCAGACGGCGCTATCTAGCATGGGACAAACAATTGCCGGGGGACGAGTAATTCAAGTTACAACTCCAGCACAACTGAAAACAGTCTTACCTGGGCAACTGAGAGGAACGCAGGCTGCTATTATTCGACCGCCAACCCCAGGGGTTACAGTAACTGGTCCTAGGCCTGCTGTTGCCGGCCAATCATTAGTTTCTTTGCAACGTCCCACCACTTCCCTTCAAGGAGCCGTCAAAGTGAATTCTCCTGCCACTGGGAAAGCCCCTGCCACAACAGCTGCAGCACCAGGTGGGACACCTACACAGTATGCATTGGTCCAGGCACAAATCCCTGGAACTGGTGGTGGGCCTCCAAAGACAGTGACTTTTATCCGGGCAATAAGCCCTGGTGGACAAGCAGCAACAGGCAGTGCCACTGTCACAGTTACACCACAGCAGATGGCTGCGTTGTTAAGGGGTCAGACAACAGCTTTGAAAGGTGCAGCTCCTGCTCAGGTTAGAGGAGCTACACCAGCTACATTAGGAAGCACGACAGCAGGAATGTCAACCATAAGACCTACTGTGACAGGCACAACTCCTGCTGTAGTTGCAAACACTGCAAAGAGCCCTGTTAACAAGCAAATAATACAGATAGCTGCTGCACAACTCGCCAACAAGCAAACAGGTCAGGCTGGTATTCCAGCTTTAGCTACTTCCCCTGGATCAGTTGTTGCGAAACTCGGCATAACTGGTGTGCCAGTTTCTCCTTTATCGACAACAGCTGTAGGCACAGTTCGACAGGGAGTGGCATCCCCTCAGGCTGTCGTAACTAACTTGCAATCAAAACCAATCCCAGCGGTACAGATCGTCAAAACCAATACAGCAGCAAAGGGTGAACCAAATCCTCAACCAACGAATTCTCCTGCTGTAGGGAAAAAGCCTAGCATTGAAGCGAAGAGTGACCAACCCAACGTTCCTGCACCAACGGTGGTTTCGTCTGACGCAACAAAATCAGCTTCGACTAATAACGTAAACACTAAATCGACAAAAGAAACTGCATCAGAAACACAAATAACCCAACCACTTGAGCAAAAGACAACAGCACCGGAACCCTCTACTGAGAATAAGATTTCCGAGACAGGATCTTCAGATGTAGTTTCAACAACTACTGGTAATGTTGCTGGAGAATCTGACAACGAGACATCAGAAGCCAAGGCAGCCGAAACAATCAAAAGTGAGCCACCAGTGGCCACGCTAGCTGAGAATAAACCAGCGGATTCAAAGGAGATGCAGTCTTCTGATGCAGCAGGAGCAGGCAAGCTTGAAGACAGCAAGGTAACAGAAGGCACTCGATTAGGAAACGCATCAGGGGCCGAATTGACGGAAAAGAAAGAAAGCGTTAAAACTGCAAGTGAAGGAGTGCTAGAAAAAGATTCCCAAGTAGCAACCACAGAAGATGTTACGGAAGTTAAACCTGGTGCAGGAGAATCCACTTCGAAGGAGGAGGATCCAGTTGAAAGCATGGATGTCGTTTCAGATGAAAAGAAAAGTGAGTCAAAGATGGAGGTTGATGTTGCTGATATGGAAATGAAATCTCAAGAAACGAAAAATGAAGCTGTCAAGCAAGAAGATGTTGTACAAACACCTCAAGTGTCCGTTCCCAATGCACAAGAAACTCTTACGTCGCCGGTTGTTCGGGTTTGTATCCATTACTTGCTGTTTTATTTCTAGTCTTTGCACAAGTCTAAATCTTCTATTTTGCCCAGGCCAAGACAAAGGCCATAGATGAGCTGGATTAGCAAGGTAATTCTATTAAAGAAAATTGATATTGTAATGAATAAGGATGAAGAGTCTGATGGGCTTGCTGTCCTTAATTGCTGAACATGCCATTGCTGAACAGGCTTTTTTGTAGCTCCCGCACTTTCAATGTTAAAAAGTTCTATCAAAACTTTTTCGTCGTATCAACCCAGCTGTTCTTTTATATTTTTAACATTTATCAGCCAGATACATTGAATCTATCATAAGATACTATACAGCGAGGAAGTGACCACAGAACTTTGTTACTTTTCACGCAGGATACCAACAGCCTTACCGCTGCGATCACCGCGTCTTACACTTCATCTGTGGATAGCAGTAGCAGCATGTTAACGAGCGCAATGACGAATATACAGACAAGCGCGTTGTCAACTCTAGCTGCCCTTGCAACGTCAAGTGAGCTGACAACGTCGTCCATTGCGGTGAAGCAAGCCCCTGCAAATGTAAATGGAAATGTTAAAGCGCCTATGAATCCAGTGAACACAGACCAATCCGCAAGCAAAACAAAGGTACCTCGAAAGTTTTTTCAAGATTTTGTGTATATTCTGATACGCTACTCTTTCAGCCATTAACCTCTACCACTCTAAGTTTTCCTTCAAGAAGAGGGAAATTGTTGACTAGGACAAAAGAAACATTTGGACTCGATTTGAACTTTTCTACATTTCTAGCCGCTAACTTTCATGTCAGTTACCACTCACAAGTTTGAGAGTTTAAGGTAACCAATTGCAAGTAGTATAACAATGGTACCTCTTTTTTGTTCTGTATTACAGAAAATGCTCTATCTGCACACAAGGGGTTCCATAAAGGTTCAGCAGAGTTTTTGACTTTATTTATTTGACTTTATTGGCTAGTAGCTGTATTCTGAAAATGAATCGGAATTTAATTTTTTTTCATAGGTCAGAAGAACCTCGATTTCAGGACAGAGTAAGAAAGGTCAATCGCCATGGTACGATGTAGCTATGACGACCAACACCTCCATCGTCGTGTCCCATTTTTATATGCCAAATGACAGCGGAGAAGACGTACGTTTTAATTTCCATATTTGCTAAATTTATAATTATAGAATTATAGAATTTTATTTATGACGGGTTTTTTGTCATGTTAATCCTTGCTGATCAATACTAACCTTGTTTAAATAACTTTTTTAAATTTCAAATACTTCCTTAAAACCATCAAAATCCGATCTTGCATTCGACCTGTTGTTTTTTCATCAGGATGTGAACATAGAAAGTGACGGCGAATTCAAAGGAATGAAAAAGGTCTGCCTTGAATCTGGCACTGCGTATAAATTCAGAGTCGCGGGAATTAATGTCTGTGGCCGGGGGCCCTACAGTGATGTTGCTGCTTTTAAAACGTGCTTGCCAGGTAAGTTTCTCGATGTATAGTTTCCTAGTTTTTGCTTAGAATATAAAGGCCATCATGTGAAGTTAGTTGTCTCTTCACTGGACATGGATTTTGGAACAATCTTCGATCAAACACTTGAATTAACTTGTCTCCGGATACCTATTCAAATTCTCTAGATGCTCTCTGAATTCTCTAAACCGTTCTTTTAGATCACCTCTATATACTGTGCTTTATTTGCTCCTCTTTTGACAAAGTAGTACAATTTTCCTTTAGCACCAGAATTTCGAAGTTCTAATGTTTTACCCTATGTATGCAACGGTTTTACCCTAAATCTTTTTGTGCATACCTTACGCTTTGCATCTCAAAATTTCTCAAAAAACTTAATGCACCCGTGAAGATTTAAATACCCATCTGGACATATTATCCTCCACCCCAAAAGTATATCTAGACATTTTGTGCACTTTTCCACACGTCTGTCTAATGGATGGTGATAAGACAGATGGCAGGCCACGTATCTTATTCCATGCCCTTTGAACTGCAGCGATCTTCTGTGATTTTTTTCTCTCTGGGTGAGCATTTTAACAAGACATGGCCTGAGTTTGAAGGCAATCTGTCACGACGTTGATTGGTTATAAGCACAAAGGGATTTTTATTGTTTCCAGTCCCCTTTAATTTATCGCATTGTAAAAAATATGGCGGAGCGCTGGAATTGTGTTTAGGCTATTGTTCCAACTATTGTTCTCGTTAACCAATCCACAACGAGACAGATTGCCTTTAATCCCGGAGGGAACCCGGGTTAGTCTGCTGGCTTTTCATGCGGTTAAATTTTTGACATGCGGTTTTTTAAAAGACAATAATAGACAAATGTTAATGACAGAGTAAGATAACGTTGCACCACTGTCTCCGGACAGTAATATATGCCCATGCTACCGATAACAACCTGTAGATAACACAGAGTCTAATTTCGGAATGTTGCATTTTATTAAATAAATAGTTTAATTATTAATAATGATAGCTGTTTTTGTGGATGCCGTATAGACAGCTTTGGTTTCATGGATAAAAACTAAACATAGTTTTCATGATAGTGTTGAGCGTGAAGTTTCGTGTAGAAATTTAGCACCGTAAGCTTCGCTTACAAAAGGGTAATTGTGTTTATATAGAAATTTGATACTTTACAAGAACTTTTAGTTTATCGTATACGCATTTCGCTCGAATAATACACTCGTAGAATTGTACAAGTATATAACAATATATTTTTTGCACTCAGGATTTCCTGGAGCTCCTTCGTCGATAAAGATTACAAAGGTAAGTTACCTAAAGCAACTTTTATTTGGTAGATGAAAACATTTGCTGTTTTTCAAATTAACACGAAAGTTTTGAAGCCATCAAATAAATCGCTTTAGGAGTATATACGTATTTCTCTAGAATATAGAAAGTTGCATCGCACAACTCGAGAAAACTCTTGAGAGCTTGCAGCCATGTTTCCATTTTTATGCGTACAACTCAAGTTGGTATACCTCATTAATAGAGTGTACCTCAAAGCTCTATGAGCTTGGTTAAATGAAAAGCAACATTACTAATTCATAGATTATGTTCCAGACCCTTGTGGCCGAGAGTAAATGTTTGTTTATGGTCAAGACAAGGCTCGTGAAATTTTTTTAAAATAATAACTTCTGCAAATCTTGAAAGGATGGCTTCAAATTCAAATGCAATACATGAGTATACAAATTTGTAAAATTTCGTTGGCTGGCCCTTTGTTTGGAATCGGTCTGTGGTTGTTGGCATCGTCTGTTCATCCCTTGAATTAGGGTTGCCAAAAGAAATTGTAATTTTTCCTGCTATACAATGCAATCCACTTCTATTTAATCCCAGAACAACGATGGTGCCCAGTTATCTTGGGAGCCGCCAACTAACAGTGCAGGAACCATAGTTGAATATGCTGTTTATTTGGCTGTGAGTAGCAAGACAAACCAGGGCAAAGAGCAACCAGCACAACTAACCTTCGTACGGGTTTACTGCGGGGCTAGCTCCTCCTGCACAGTGAACAATGACGTTCTTACCAGTGCCCATATCGACTTCACCACGAAGCCAGCCATCATTTTCAGGATAGCCGCACGAAATGAGAAAGGGTAAGCTCGCCTTGTGTGTGATTTAATCAATGTTGTGACTTGTTCGCGACCACTTCTTTTGACAAGTCATTTTGTAATGAGAGTAAGTGCCCCTACAGAACGGACACTAGCTTGTTTCATTTGGAATTTCAGTTTGCCAGCTTTATTATTTTGTCAACAATTTGCCTAAAAGCCTGCCATAACATGAATCGTTTCTTATTGACTATAAGTCAGAAGCTGCTGTTCGGACAGAGTTTCTGCTTTTCTTCAATTGCCGCCAAGCTACCAGATTTCAGTTGTCATTATGAAATTATTTATCTTGTCCCTTAATTAAATTCCTTCTGATTTGTTCCAGATATGGACCTGCTACTCAGGTCAGGTGGCTGCAAGGTAAGAAATGATTACTAAGTTCTTTTTACTAGTATAAAGTTACACAGTTGAGAGGCATCTTGTAAAAATAGTTTGTATACTTCAATCTAGTCAGCAAGATCTTATGAGGCCTGCTAGATTACTCTCAATACGTCATAACCTCTTAATTTGCACATAAAATGCAATATTCTAAATTAAGTCTCTATTTTTTATCAACGCTTTGTGACACTCATAAACTTTAAAATATAATGCACAAGAATTGGTTCAGGGTGAAATTTAAGTTTTATTGAGAATTTGACAAAAATGGACAAAAAAGAATCAGAACCAAGAAAGCATTATGGTTTCAAGACTTGGAAAGGAGGATGGTTATTAAACGACTTTGCATAACTACCAAACTATGTGTGATTTTACTTAAACTCCATTTCTTAGAAACTTTTCTACAAACGATATAGGGGACATTTTGAGGCAACTAGAGCAAAATTTCAACCTGGGGTGATTTAGGTGTTTTCTGAGCTCTGAAAATAATGTACCGATTGTCAGTACCATGTCACATTCTTGTTGTTGCTTGGCAAGTGTTAACATATTTTGCCGTTTTCACTAGATCTGAAAGATGTGCCCAAAGATAAGGTTCCGGTGAAACGCGGTGCATCTGATATGAAGTAAGTATCCAGCTTTTTAGTTGTCATTTTTGCAGACAATTGCGCCTTGTTCTTGGGGAAATCAACTTGTGTTAAACCCACAGTTTAAATTTTGAGCGTCGAAAGAAAGGAGAAAATATGACAACCTACCCAAACAACATAAACTATTCTGCCTGCTGTATTTGTAAAAACAGCTAACTTTCTGAATTAGTTTATCTCTCTGGTACATGCGAATCTTACTGTGACTTCATAGTAGTTAGTCTTGATCCCGAAGAAGCAATTTTGTTCATATCGGATAAGACTTTTTTGATAGGATAAGTCACAGAGTTTTTTGTTGTTGCTCATATCTTTTCAGCTTATCTTCGCTCAACCGTTTTGTTAGACCCAATTTCAAATTTGTATCTTTGTCGATAGTAAATTTGCTGGATTTTTTTAAACCTTTCGAACCTTTTTCTTTTAGAATGAGTGAAAATTCAAAAAAGATAAAGACTGCTGTGTAAAGGGTCGTAGTCGGGTCGGCAAAGCTGGGTATTTTTACTTCATAAATAGATTTAAAGCCTTTACATAGTGTACATAAGTAGAAAGTTGTTACTGTGCGTATCGTAGCTTAAGATATTCTACGTCTGTAACTATTGTTTTTGAGATTGTCAGACAACGTTTTTAATTCATACAATTGTGCACGAAATTAGATTATACCGCGAACTGCCCAGCAATAATATATCGAACGCCGATGCGCCTTCGCATTGCAGGCAACAGATCTCTGTGGCTATCTCCAAGAAGATTACACGGAAACGAGGACAGAATCAGTGTGGGAAATCCTTTGATGAACAATCCACTTTGATCCTCAAATCTCAGTATTGTTTGCTACTTGTAATTAAACTTCCGTTCTTTTTCTGTTTCTTCATTGGAATAAGAGGAGTTCCCTACACCAATTGTCTACCTGAAGGCATTGCTAGGCCCACAAATATGAACGCAGTATAGACATGAGACAAGGGACAATCTTTGGACCGCGATCGTCCCCCTTGCGTTCCTGTAGTAAGGTGACAGTATAATCCCAGGGTTATTTTTGTATTGTTATGAGATATTGTAATCGAACTTCAAGTTAATATTAAATTGAATATAACTTCTGGGACTCTGACTTCTAAATTTCGCGCATTTAAACATTATTAATGAGAAACTTTGAATGAAATAATGTTGATAGCCAGTCACACGATTTAGCCTTTTTTATAAACCTGTCCCTATTTAATATCTCTTCATTGGTGAATACAATCCCTGTATATTGTTGAACCTAGATAATTAACATTACGTAATTCTGTTCTTGGCGTTTTCCAAGTTGTGTGACACTGAAATGCCGTATTCATAGTCGACTTTACTGCCTAAGTATTTGACTACCTTGATGAAGAACCCAGCTACAAAGCTCGCACTTTCTGCAGGCTTGAGTAGTATGCCAAGTAAGTTGATGCGTCTGACGGGCTGGCTAATTGTGCATGATTACTTCATATTTAGTAATTGCCAAGGCTGTGGTAGACTTATCAAGATATTTATCCCTTTATTTTTATCTCGTCATCAAGGTATCGCAAATTGGTACACGTGTTGGGTGATATGTTAACTATTAGTATGTTTTGGTAGTCAGAGTATGTTTTCCTCCCGAAAAATGTTGAAATATTTTATTTTTTCAAAGCCGTCGTCATTTCACACGTGGTTTCACAATCAGTTATGTGTTTTAGCATATATAATGTTTACTCTGTTGACAATTATATCATTCAATACGTAGATAATTAGGGAATACAACTGCATAATCGCGTTTTCTTCGTTTGGTCTCTATAATGTTCAGGGAGCATCTCAATTGGAAACATAGGTTCTCTCCTGTATTGAACCTGGGATGAACCCGGGACAACAACTAGTAAATGGGTATATGCGTCTGTATGCGTTGAGTAAAGCGAAGAAAAAATTTACGGATTGAGTAAACAAGGATTTTCGGACAAGTGTTTGTTTCGGGAATATTTATACTTGCTGTGTGTTAAGAAACGCAGGATTGCCTAGGATTAAATAAATGTTTCGTAAAGAAAAGCCAAAAGCTGCTGCTGTTCTAAATTTGCAATGTGATATGACTGGTTTAATGAATTCAGAATGGATGAAAAATTTTCAAGTAAAGAGAACAACCAGAATTATTTATACAAACTTTCACAACAAGCAAGAACCATGAGGGGCTCTTTTGAGTAATAATTAAGTTTGATTTGCACAACAGCTTGTCTGGGTTAAGCCTAGATCTAGTCTGGGTTTTCAGTTGGAATCTGAATCTGGACGCGCGAGCCGGATTTTCTTGACCCACGCTCAACCCAGTCTCATCTGATTCATAAGATTAAAAAGAAACGGGTTGGGTTCAGTCTATGTAGTGTGTGCCGCGTACACTGGGTATTGGTCAGCCAACATGCTTTGCATTTCAGTCTCAAGCTTTCTCTAAAAATGTAATTCAAATCTAGTCTCAGAAATGTTTATTTAGACGTTTGCCACCCAATCAGTCTAAAACCGCCCATTGTCGGTTTTTTTTGCTCCCAGAGTAGTCCAGCCCGAGCGCTACTGTGGAAATGCGATAGACGAAGAAGGTAGGGACAGCGAAAAGCAATTTTTCTGTTCGAAATATCCCTGCAGAAGAAATAAAATGATCATAGGCAACAGAATTTCAGAAGATAGTTAGTAGAGAAGGCGAGAAAATAAATGATATTTTCGCATTCTCTACAAAATAAAATGATCATATTTGATTTTCATATTTTCACACCGACGCAGCGGGAATTGAGTATGGAGGAACTGCCATGAGAAAAATTTTGGGCTTTTAATCGGTCATCATAAAATACACCTTCGGCTAGTATGCTTTAATAATATTCTAGTGGATAAGGACAAGTGTAGTTTCACAATAGTATACATTTGGTTTGGCCACAGAACATTGTTGTAATCATATATTTGAAATAGCGTTTCGGCGAAATAGCAAAATTGCGAATAGCGAATCGGTGTGATTGGTACAGAAATCAATCAAATGAATTTGAGATTTTTTTAAGTTTGATACGATAACCTGAAAGAGCATTCTGAAATACCGCCAGCCATGCAAAATCAGTGATAGATATTACCAAGAAACAAATTGCCTGAGATATGACCACATGAGCACAGGGTCTTGAGGCCCCCAGCAAACCTCTTCATTTGGTCTTGGTTCATAACTTTATAAACCAGGCCAGAATAACAGTAATCCATTTGCAAACTTGAAATCTTTCATTCGCCATATCCCGCCCAATTTTTGACATATCTAACTGATTTTGCATAACGAGAGGTATTTTATGGTTATCTTTCACATTTTATGTGGTCAAATTTTTGAAATCCTAAAATATTTTGATGACGTCACACTTCGTACTCTAAGCGACAGTAACAACAACATATAGTACGCAATTGTTGCAACAAAAATGGCGACTGAAGAGAAGGAGCTTTCCACAGAGAATACGGCGAATCTGCATTTAGAGAACAATGCTAAGAGTGAACGCAGTTTTATTGGTGCAGTATTATTACTGGACTTGCATTTATCGTCACTTATAACGATTGAAGGCAGGCCTAAGACCACAATGATAAAGATGTCTAGATTAATCTTGAAGTTTCTCGAGGTCACCGGTCATGGAGTTCCCTGGCTTTTGATATCAGCGTTTTATGGCTATAAATCCAGCGGAAATTTGCAAGAATTTAACATTAACCTTTTAGCTGCCTTACTGTTAGACCTTGTCGTTGTTGGTACACTCAAAGTTCTGACTGGAAGGAAGAGACCATCGCACAACAAAGATGATATGTTCGCCACTGTCTCCGTTGACAAATATTCATTTCCATCAGGCCATGCAACAAGAGTTTCCATGGTCGCAGTACTTTTCAGTTTAAGTGGAATCGATCCGACGTATTTGCTCTTTGTCAAGATATGGGCTGTTGTTGTGTCAGTTTCAAGAATAGTCCTTGGTAGGCATCATATTTTAGATGTGGTGGCTGGTGTTTTAATTGGCGTATTTGATGCATGGATTGTGATTAAATATTGTTGGATAGATGCACATACAATTAAAGTCTTGATTTTAAAGATGGATAGCTTTATGTTTAGGTAAAAATAACATCAGCTTTCTCAATTTTGCCCCAATGTTGGGGGTTTGTGCATTATCAATCTTGCCAGGACTGCATTTTTGCAATGTTAAAATTTGTGTATTACTTGAAAATGAACATTGCTTTTGTTTTAACATAAGGAATTACTATTAAAAACAGTCAGGAAGACATGTCATCAGTGGTTTCAAAGGTTTTTGAAGCTGTACAAAAGACAACTTTTGGAAAGAGGTTGCCTGAGGCCCAAAAATCAAATTTTTGAATCAAACAAAAATAATTTTTCAAACTTTCCAAGCCTTATATTAGGGGTGAGGTCTATGTGTTGGGAACTTGGGGTGACTCAAACACATATTTTTATGGTAACTAAGTGAAAATGAGTTTTTACCCTATTTGTTGCTCTTCCCCTTTTGTGCCTGGTGTCCTTGGTAAGGATGACCGCAATATTAGCCAATCAGAGCTCTCTTTAGGAAATATCATTGAAATATTAAGAGAGGCTGGACTTGCATATCAACTTTTTTTACCCTTTTCTACACCTTTCATTGTTCTTTTTTATTGCCAAAAGATTATGCTTGACTATCAATATGTTTGAAAAATTTTCCATATACACAAAACCCATGATTTTTATTCATTTTCTACCAATATGTTATATTTGTTGAACATAGCATGCAACCTGGTTCAGAAGCTGAATATTCAATTATTATAACTCTAGCAACTCTATTGTAATTCTAGATTATAATTTAAGTGAAATGCTTTAAAGTTACACAGAAATATTAACAAAAAGATGAATTGTTTTTGAATGTTTACTTATTGAAAGTTATTGAGTATATTGAAAAATTAAGAAAAATTTAAAGTTGCCTGCACTATGTAATAGTGAAGAGTTGTTAAACTAAATTATAAATTTGCTAAGTAAGTATCAAATTCTGTAGATCTTCTGGCAACTTACTGATTAATGTATTCTTACCCTATGTCGGATTTTGAATTTATGAAATGCAATATTCTTCTCTTTTGTTCTTGTTATCATTCGCAAAGTAGACACAGCTAGCCTGGGGGATTCAGGCTTTCATTTGGGGGGGCTCAGTCTCACAATTTTCTGACAATACGATACCTTGAATGGTCTTTCTGCTATTTAAGAATCTGTCAATTATTCGGCTAAAGCCTGCATTTCCTGAAGAGAACACTGATTGAGGGCCTGTGCCTGCCATGCCCCTATAGTTTCTATCACTACAACTAGCAAGTTTCTGTTAGCCTACCCACATTTCAAACTTACCATCAAGCACTGTTGATATCTGCTGATGTCTCTATCTCTAAAAAGAGTTGAAAATGATTTTGATATAGCAATTTTTTTAAAAGACAACTGTCCCATCTAAATAAATCTAACGAAATTATATTCTTCAAATAGAAAACATGTATATATTGAGAAAAGTTGAAACCTGTGGAATGATTGCTGAAAATCGAGCAAAACAGGTCCCAATAAAGAATAAGGTCTAAGTTAGTTTATTGAACAATCTTATTCACATCACCAATACATTTTACCAAGAACTAAATTGTAGAAATCAATAATTGCTTGAGGATTTTTTGTGAGAAATGACGTCGAAAGGTGACAAAAATGCACTAGGTCGCCCTCCATTAAACACCGCACTTTCAATAATCCATTTGTAATAAACACTGCCTTCTGATAAATGTCACCCTCCTTCAATGGAAAGCATACCAAACAAGAAATAATGAAGAGTTTATATATCTACTATTTGAAAACTATGAAAGTTTTCATGTCACAGACAAGAATACTCAGGGAGGCAGTGACATTGGCATTTCTTGACACTTCCAAACCTAAACAAGTTTATGTGAACTTTAAATTTTTTTTCACAAAATCGTTTTTGGGAAAAGAAAGCATAATTTAAAATCTGTTTTTATCGCACCTTTCTCGCCATTTTTCATTTTTACACACTTTTCACTTTGTATTAAACGCCACCCTCTACTAAACGCCGCAGCCAAAATGTGGATTTTGCAATAAACACTGTGGCGTACTTTCGAGGAATTACGGCAAATTCTTTCAGCTTAATTCGGTCAAATAAGTTGTTACTACATTCGATAACAGAGAAGCTAGGTATATTCTTTGGAAGAGAAGCTTTTTTCGGAACAATGACAACGAGGAGAGCATTCAAGTTATTCATCGCTTCATTGTGCTTGTTACGGGGTATGAAATGAATAAGGCTTAAAAAAGATATTAATTATTACATGGTGCATTGTTGGAATGATTAGCAAGTTATCCTTAAAGGTATTTGACACAGGTAAAAGTGGCTTACAGCCACTCGAACATGAGCGCTTGACCAATCAAATTGCGCACAGAGAAAAACATGTGAACAGTTTCCGCATCTTTGCAAATCGGTGAAATCCTAGAGCAGCGCGCAGTGATTTCACGTGGGCAGTTTCCAATTCATTTCTTGTGCGCGTGCTCTGATAAATTTGGCCCAAGTTATTTTTGGATTCGCTGTACTTATGCATGTCAAATGCCTTTAAATGTGTGTTTGCTAGCAGCAAGCGAATATGGTAGATTTCATTGTTCGCGGTTGACGTTTGTTTGCATGTTTATATTTTGAGAAGCACAAATCAAGCTGGTTTTAATAGTAATTGGGTGAAAAATTTATTTGATGTTTTTCTCATATCTACAATTTTAGGATAA